GGGATAGGTTCGGGTGCGGGGCGGGGTTAGGTTGGAGTGAGCGAGCGAGTCATTTGGGTCGGAGAGCAAGTCAGCTTATTTTTTTATTTCGTGAAATTGGAATACCTTTTTATTCGTTTTTAAAATATTCCAATAGCGAGACAATTACATAGTTCAACCTGTTTCACCACAACCCACCTCAACGCTGTCCTTTTTGTTCTGCACACCAACGGGTAACCAAAATAACCCAGTCGAAACAATGAGAAGACAAAGCTTAATACCCTTTTCTATCGCCCTTGCTTCATTATGGATATGTGATGCATCACTTCGTGATTCTTCGTCAATTCCTCGGAGTAGCCATCGCACAACAGAACATCGTTCTTATCCACCTTGGAACGCATCGCCAAATATAGACGATGATGGCTTTTTGCGTCAACAGTACGATCGTCTCCCTGGGGATTGGGAAAATGACTTTAAGATTAGAAAGAAGCAACAAAGAGAAGTGAGAACGCCGTCAAAAATTCGTCAAGTGCCTGGAGATGGAAATGTAAGAACGATGATGTCATCAAACAATCCGGTGCATCATGAGGACATTATCTCACGTTTGCCTGCCCTCTAATCCCCAGTGTTTATTTCACTCCATCAGTACATGTTATGTAAGTTGAACCGTTTTCATAGCTTAAGCGAGGGAAAACCTGCGGCTGACCACTTTGCTATGAACTCTCAGGCGCATGCTATGAATGGGACACAAATTGATTTACGAGACTCCCATAACTTACGGTGGCTGTACGAAAATTCAGCGAGTCTACGAGAAAAAGCGGTGGACTGTCTAGAACAAAAGCGGAAACTCCTTTTCCTCCAGGGACATGAGTATTTGAAGGCAAAGGATTTGGTGGAAGCCGCGGCGTCGCAGTACGGGATCAGTGGGTCAGAGTACTGTCAGTTAATGAGACAGGATTCTTACTGGGGTGGGGGTCCTGAAATTGTAGCCTTGTGCAACGTGCTACAGAGACCGATTCACGTATACGAGCTTTTCGTTAAGAACAAGCGCTTTATGCTAAGAAGAATGGCATGCTTTGGCTCTCCCAAATTTGACCGGAACCAAGCATTGCACATTCTTTCAGCGGATTCTAGATTTCCAGATTTGGCTCCAGGAAAACAGCTGACGTCAGGGAATCACTTCCTTGCCATGTTTCCTGTAGAGAAGCAAAAGAAGCAACGCATAAGAGGTGGAGATGTGGATGTGGCAGAGGAGGTTGAAGAAGCTATAGGGTCGGAGAGCAAAGCATCATTGTTCCGGCCATCGACTTGGGTATCGAAATTGTGCAAAATACTAGAAGACACAGAGGATTGAAGATACCGATGACTTGGATCAATTCTCCAGATTCCACAAGTAACACTACACTACTGTACGCTGTTGCATAATGTTGATAGTCGCCCTTGTTCTATCAATTTTTCTCAAGCCTTTCGAACATTTAAACATCTACAAAAAGTAATCTGGTGGAGGATTCTTGATCGGCACACCACGAGCCTCTTGAGGTGCTGCATCAAAGATCTTGAAGCTTCGTTCCAAATTTTCGTCAAGCTCTAGAATTGCAGCGACATTGCCACATCTGTAACAGTAGTTTGGAGCCGACCATACAGTGACTAGTGCATCATTGAACATACTTCTATGACCCTCCATGACAAGCTGGTGGGCCCTCGCAATCAAATCAAGATCGTTTCTTTCGTTGAACATGGCCACAATATCACCACCAAAAAGATATCCTGCACCTCGTGGCGACAATCCCCATCCATCAATTTCTTCTGGGTCACTCCACATCAGGTCACACATAGCACCATCATGTGGCACTTCTTGTTTTCGATCAATCACACGAATCTGGTCCAATGTATTAATGCTAGGACTCAATCCTCCGTGAACCGTGAAGATTTTGTCTTCGATAATTGCACTCAGCGATAGGTAATCAAAAATTTCTGTACAATACCTCCAAACATTGACGGAACCATACTTTCTCAGGCATTCATCATAGAATCCGTAGACCTGCGTAATCTGTCGACTTTCATGGTTTCCACGAATCAGGGTGATTCTATCGGGATACCGCACCTTCAATGCAAGCAACAGCAGAAATGTCTCAACAGAATAATAACCTCGATCCACGAAATCACCCAAGAAGAGGTAATTCTTGTCCGGACATTCACCCCCCACTTTAAAGAGTTCCACCAGATCATAAAACTGTCCATGAATATCGCCGCATATCTGTTGGTCGCAGAGTTAGATTTAAATTGGATGAGTAATGTAAAGCGTTTGTAGCATTGGTCACAATTTTGCCGTTGCAACTTACAGTTACTGGTGCATCAACTCTCTGTACATTGCTCTCATCTACCAGAATTTCTCTAGCACGAAGGCAGAGTGCTTTTACTTCTCCTTCTCGAAGGTATTCACATCGCTTCAATCGTTCAATTTGTTCATCCAAGCAGCTATTGCCTCCACTTGTCAGTGACGAGGCAGTCATGTTTGTGGTCAACGGGAGGGCAGATTGGCTATGCTCTACCGAGGTGCTGATTGGAGGCATAACGGCTGCTGCCTCTGCAGGATTTTTCACCATTGCCGCCATGGTTGTAGGGTGAAGCTGCTATTTTTCTTTTCAATACTGTACAATCCTGGAATAGCAACAATAGGTTTCGTGCCGTGCTGAACGCGAGATGAGAGAGAGCCAGCCTGCTGGATGCAGTCGCCAGCTTTTGGCAAAAGCTTCTGATTATTCTGATTAGTCGCTTTCGTCGCAAAACAACATTTATTTTCAATTTGGCACCATTCGAACATACTTGAATACAGTATATAGTCACGTGATCGGGCAAGAGTTTAAAGTCTGGACCATGATGACGAATGAGAATCATCGAAACAAACCAACCACATACTGCACCGCGTTTTGTCTCAGGTCAACTCTATTGGACACTTCCGCAAGCCACATATTGTATCGGATGTTATCTTGGAGGAAAAATCAGCAAATGTTGTACAAGTCTTCATGATTCTGTACAAGATCCGAAAGTTTGCTGAACAGCAAGCAGCAAGACCGATATCCTTTCGATCGAGCGACAAGTCATCAGATGTGCAAGCAATGGTGCCCAAGAACTCTCACAGCTTTTCAAATTTGGAACTACACGAAGTGGGGAAGGCTTTTGATGCCATAGACAGTGACGGAAGCGGTGAAATTGACCGCGACGAGATGCGACAATGCGACAAGTACTGCTTAGGATGGTAGCAAATATTCCTCCTTCTGGAATTCAAAGATTGTTTGCTTTACTCGATCGGGACGGAAGTGGTCCATTGAGCGAGATGAGTTCATCGCGTGGTATGCAAATCACTTGGAGGCAGACAAGCATGTATCACCGAAAGAACGGGCCGAGGAACTTTTCAATTCCTTTGACCTGAATCATTCTGGTGAAGTTACAATTGGAATGTTCAAACAGAAAATGGATAATTTCAAATTTGGGTTTACGATCGATGACTTGGAGCGATCGGTAAGTTTGAGTTTTTCCTTCGGCACCTTAAAAGTTGCGAACCACGTATCCTCACCGCTGTTCTTCCACAGCGAACGAGCTGGATAGAGATAGATGAATAACAATTTCTTTGGTTGAATTTCAAAGAATGCTAAAAAAGCATCACACCATCAAAGCAGAGACTGGCACCGTGGCTCCCATTGCAAAATAGAATAAATTGAGGATAGGAATGGATCGAAGATATGCGTGGACATTGTGGCAAGCAATGGGCGTTAGTCGCTCCAATTTTTAACCATATACGTTAATCGATGGCGTGTTTCGATCAACCTACTATACAGTGTTGTTCTGGGAGATATGAAGGAATAATAACGATAGAGAATTGGTGATCGCATTAAAACCATTTGGAAAACTTGTAATTGGTTATCATAACTTCGTTTCCAAACTCAAGTTTTTCTGTGTGGAACAAAGGTTGATACAACCTTGCTTCTTGGAAATTTTGTCTGCAAGCTTTCCCAATGAACTACGAACAAGTCGACAACATGGTACAGCAGTTTGCCTGTCAGACTAAGGCTTAGACTGTTGTTAGAATTGAATGACCGGACAAAAGCGAAAATGGTGACGGAAATCATACCTCTGCACACGACAGAAACTCTCAACAAAAATAATCCTTCCTTCACAGAGGCCCAGTATTCGATATGCTAAAGTTACAATGGCAATTGGAAGGCATGTCCCAGGGCCATTGCAGAGGAGAACGTTTGGCCGTATCCTAAGCACGATCCCAAAGGCGTGAAGAAATGACCACAACGTCGTGACAATGGATGACAAGTAACTCTGTCCAACTTCTCGACTCCTTGGGATGCGATAGATTGAGTCCGGCTGACGAGCACCGAAAGCTTCGACGCGTCTCATACTCGTTATGTCAGTGTCTGCGACAACGAAAACCAGAGGAGTATATGATTCATGCTTAAGTTGTTGTAGCAGTTGAATCATTTCCGTGGTCTTGGTAAATTTGTAAGACCATTTGAACCAAGTAGGCACTGTGCATGTACAAAGCAGCTTCGACTTACGTGTCCTCCCGAACCCAAAACTACAAGTGTCTTGACTGGATCTCTGCGGGCCAGATCTGGCTTTTCCGATCGTATGCCTCTGATAACATATATTGCTCTTACGATGAGTAATAGTATAAGTGCCAACATCACATCTAACACCTTTGGTGATTTTGTTTGAATATTGAATATACCGGGTAGGGTCGTACCGGTACCGTATATCTTTTACTGTATGATTTTCATTTCGGTTGTCGGTCGTCGACAAGTTTAGTCGAAGGCGTCGACTATGACGTACCAGAACTGGATATGACAGTTTCAAAACTGTGTGTCACATATCTACCGGTACGCCCAGAAAAGGTCTAACTGACTATATACATCGTAACTAGCATGGAGTCCAAAACCGGCAACGGATTATGGACGAAAGCAGCTAGCGTCACCTTCCTGGTTGTTTTGGTTCAGGTGATTACTGCAAACTTTCCGATCGGGAAGGAAAACAGAAGGCGGATTCAACATGCTTTAACAGGACATCTGATGGTTCAAGTCTCCTACATCATCCCCCCGAGTGTGGCAATCGGTCTTTGTCTATTAGGCGCTGGTGGCATGTATTCTCTTCTCAAATTCTCACCAGATGAATTTCGAAGAATATTTGGCGAGTTGCTGCGAAAGGAAGAATTTGAGGGAGAGCAGCTGCCTGGAGCCTTTTATTTTCTACTTGGAACTGCATCCACAGTCGCTGTTGCAAAGGACATCAATACAGCTCGATACGCAGTGGAATGCCTTGCAATAGCCGATCCACTTGCCTCTTGGGTTGGGTCGAACATCTCATCTCTCAAGCTGAACGCAAACTCTTCCCTGTCTGGATGCTTGGCATGTTTTGTAGGGGCTTGGTGCGTTGGGTACCTGATGTTGACTCACGACACATATGTACTCAGCATTGGAGCCTTAGTTTGTTCGATGGCAGAGGCTATCGATATTGGAAATGATAATTTCAGTGTTCCAGTCTTGACAGCATTGGCTGTCGAGAATCTTGTGTAAACAAGTAAAATGCCACCCTACAAGCTCTGGAAACAAAATGGTTGCTGCAAACCTTTGCCACTGTTGGCCTATTGCAGAAATACAACTGTTGCAAACCCCTGCGAACGAGATGAAGCTATCAGCTAATAACGTCATTGCATCTTAGAAGCGTGGTGGGTGCACATTATATTGATGCCACATCCAGTACCACTCAGTAAACCCTTGGACTGGATTTAGAGCAATTTTGTCTAACGGAACCTACCAAGTCGAGTATAGACTAAACTAGCGGGGTTGTTATTGTTGGGCAGAGCCCAAAAACGAAGTGATAAATCCCTTGTCATGTGGCCCAAATGGCGAGTGAATTGTATTATCGCCATTCTTCACTCGTTCCTTATCATATAGTTTTGAGTGAGGTTGGCACTCTCCAGCGGCGACTGATTTCCGCCGGGAAGGTGATTTCGACAATTTCTTTCTGCTTCGGACACTCGAGTCGCCAGAGGTCCAAGCACCGAAGGTCATAGAATCGTCAATAGACTTGCTTCTATCGACACCCCGTTTCGGAGTCTCGCGCCGCTTTCGCGGTACGCGTGATGAGTTTGGCGTCCTTTCGCACTCGCTTAATGTTGAGCCAGGCGTTGAACCAGGCGCAGCGTTGTCGCTTGGACGCTGACGAGAAAGTTGGCTGGACGTTGATCGACTCTGCTCTGACCTGATGGATTCTGAATCTCCACTTTTCAAACTGTTTGAGCTCGAGTTCCCACCAACTACTTTCAGTCTGCTGGAACGGGAGCGTGTCACTTCATAACGCTCAGTGGAAGAATGTGATACACTGCCCGATGCAACCGACCCAGCTTCACCAGGTATATCTTCTTTCCCAATGTGCTTCTGGATTCTTCCTGACCTTGCCCGAGTTAGCGTCTTTTGGAGATCCCTATTTGTAGACGAATTATTTGACACAGCTGAAGAATCATTTGAAACTGAGTCTGCCGATCCTACTGCTGTTGTCGATTTTTCATCGTCAAGGTGGGCCTGAAGACGCTTTGGAGCGACGGTGTTGGCTGATTCTAAAGCCAGGTTTTCTCCTTCATTCATTTCTGCTTCCAAACCAGCATTTTTCTTCGATTGCAAACCAGACATCAAATTTTGAAGGCCACTTGAGTTCACGCGCTGTAGACCTTGACGGCGATTCCCCTGCACTGTTTGCCGAGACGTGGTTGGACTTTCAAAGCTTTTGGTGCCATTCGACACTACCTTTTCAACATCTCTTTCACTAAAACTGCATGTAGAATCAATCGAGTTGATCCTTCGAATGTTTAACCGCCGTCGGGATCTTGGAGAGAGTTTGTTCTTCCTGTTTCTGCCCGGCCCAGCCTTGTCTTCTTGTTCAAGCTTAGCTGATTCAGTATGGTTCGAGCTTAGGTCAGAATTCTTTGCCATGCGTGGACTTCGGGTACGTGGACTACGGGTAAGTGGACTTCGAGACTGTTGAGGAGGAGGAGGAGGGGGGGGCGGTGTATCAGTTTCAGTTTCATCTGTAATCCCAGACGCTGACTCGTTGCCAAGGCTACTGGCATTGCAGAGAGACATAACTTGAGATTCAGATGAATGAATTCGTCGAACGTTTCGAAAACTATGCATCACGCCCAAAGCCCTACTACTTCCCTTCCTTTGGCCTAGTCCCAGTCGACTGTCACCGGACCCCAGCATATCTACATCCATGGACTTGGTCCTTTGGACTCCTATGCGTCTATTCATATTAACATCATTCGCCGCCGTGGAAGCACGCCGCCGAGTTCTTATTCTTGGCGTTTCATTTGAAGTATCCAAGTGCAAGTTTTGAAGACCAGCAGCGGTATCAGGTGCTCTATTTACAGCCAGAGATGCCCGTCGTCTGGATCGCACACGTGCTGCTTCGTTTGGAACAACATCGGGTTGTAAATCTTGGACATTGGAAGACGGCGCTGCGCCTACAGCAAGAGAAGCACGTCTCCGTGATCTGACCCGTACTGCTTCAGTTCTGGTAGCGGTAGGGTTCTGAACATGTGGTGGTGGTGGTGGTGGTGGTGCATTTAGAGCGACAGAAGAAGCTCGCCTTTTTGACCTTCCTGGCGGTTTTTCGTGCAGATCACCGAGCCTAAAGCTCTGAGATTTGCTGGGATTGCTATTCGATGATGTTGTACCATTTCCAAGGTTGTTGTCGCTTGTGCCGATCATGTCCACATCCAATGACTTGGTCCTTTGTGGGGCTCTACGTCCACCAGTCCCTGAGCCCTCGATAGCGTTGTCAAGGCTTAAACTTGCAGCGCTCGATGTCCTCCTTCGGGGTCTGGCCCCTGTCGGTTCACTCGCCCCGTCAAGCTGCATATTTTTGATGTCACCAGATTTGTTTTGTCGCACACTACGTTGTCGCGTCATCGAAGGTGGAGAGACTTCCTGGGCTTGTTCTTCGCTCCCCGTGAGTTGACTTTCTGAGGTACTATGTTTCAGCCCATTGACCTTAACCTTTGGTACCATTCGCGTTGAAGCTGATCTGTCCACTCGTCTAATACCAATTGATGGGTTCACCTTTAATGGTGTAGGTTGTGGTTCTTCCTGGAAGTCATCAAAATCCAAACTGCTTGAAGATGAATTTCCCCTTGAGACTGATCCTCCTCTCCCATTCCCCCGTGCCATGTTGCGCTCCCTTTGTGCTGTCCTCCACGCCTTCGCTTGCTTCATGTCCATCTCGTTCCATCCTCGATCCTCTGTAAATGATTTCCAATCATTGCTGAGCCCACCTTCGTCGTCAAGAGCGAAGGATGAAATAGATGCTTCCCCGAACCCATCATTCGCACTGCCTAACCTGTGTGATTGTCTGGACTCCTTCTTCGCGTTTCCAAGTCGATGCGATTCTCTATCTTTCTTCTTCTTGGTGCCGTATGCTTCCCAGGCAGGATCTGAGTCGAAAGTTATGTCACTCGGCCGATCCTTCTCTTGACGAAGGGTCATCCTATGACGTGCTAGAATTGCTCAGGCCTGAGACTATCTGCGAATAGTGCAAATGGTGTAATCTCTTTCCCAACTCTGTATATTTTCCGCTTTGTGGTTTTCGCAGACAGTCAGTCATCATCGAGCTGTTGCAAGTCCTTCCAGTACTGGTACCAATACGAGTTCGGAAGAATGGTCACATCCTTTTTTTACATATTCGAAGCGGTGACCAAAATGATTATGGATCATCTATTTTTCTTCCCCCAACACCCAATACCCTCCCCGCTATTCAAACAGTTCAAAACCAATACTGTAATATAAACCCACCAAGAATGCCCAAACTTTTGCAGGCATCTGTTGAAAGAAGACATCTAGTACTGATTACTGTAGTACCAGCCATAATTTCTCGCAGACTTAGGTAGGTACAAGAGAAAAATGAGTCAAGATTTGAAACCAAAGAGGCATGCGTTCGACAATTGGCTCAAAATGTGCTTTTGAGCGATGATTACATGTAGCAAAGTTTTTCGAGTGCTGTACGTCGTTGATCATTCGATCGCTATTTCCATCCAAGGTCCATGAGAAAGTCGAAGATTCTTTGTCTCCATGGTGGCAGATCCAATAATGATGTTACCCAGTTTCAAACAGCAGGACTGAAACTTTCCACTCGAGCGGATTGTCATTACTTGCATGGTAAGCGAGCTTGGCTTTCGTGACGGATTTTCGACAGTAGGTCACCACTAACCAATTTTTTAACGCTGAAAATCCTCTAGCACCACACGAAGCGAATCGATGTTACCCTGGTTTGGAAAATTTTGTCAGTCCACCATTTTGGACTTGGTCAGAGGCTTCCGACAGTGCTAGTGAACAATGGGACAAGAGCTTGGAATCAATTGCTGAATACTGCCGAAAAGAGGGTCCTTTTGACGCAGTCTTTGGCTTTTCTCAAGGCGCTGCAATGATCACGCAATTTTCATATCCTTCCATTTGGAAGGAACGCTTTGGTTTTCGATCGTGTCCTTGGAAATCTGCAATTTTGGCTTGTGGTGGTGCAGCAAGCAACGTCGCAAATGACTACCAAGCCAAGATTGATATTCCTTCCTTGCATATCATGGGATCTGCTGATCCCTATCTAGCTGAGAGTAAACTGCTGCTTGAACGGTGGACTGATGGAAGTGCAAGAACGTATACTCATCAAAAAGGGCATGAAATTGATTTGATGATACTGTCTCGAGAAGAAGAGCTCGCGATAGTGCTGGATGAATTCCTGATAAGCATGTCTATATTCTAGCTACAATCCGATTTCATTCATCTTATCTTTTAATAGGTTTGACATCTATCTACCTTCAACCTGCCTACTGTACCGGTACCTGGTATTACTGTACGATACTGCACTTTCAACTTGCTTGTTCAACTACGATAATTTTGAAAATTGCAGTCAGTCCGTCGGCGGCCGGTCACAGAGCATTTTTGATGAAACGATTGACAACAGACACGGTGGATCACAGTGGATAGCTGACTATTGGCTCTCGAAGACACTGCTGGCTACCATATTGTCTTAATTCTCTTGGGATCAGGAAGAGCAGAGTTGGATTCTCATCTAGCCTCATTTCCTCGACAGTAGATATTGTAAGATAGCTCTTGTACCGCGCATCATTTGATACTTGAATCGGATAGTACGTCAAAATGAGCTCCAATCACGATGACGACGACGGACTCTTTGATGAAAATGACGATAGTAGTGATGAGGAGGTTGCTGTCGTCAGAAAGTCGTCCAAGAAAAGAAAGGGCAACGACAAATCAGGTGGCGAGAAGAAGAAGCCGAAACAGTCATGGATTGACGATGCTGCGGAAGAGAGTGGAGATGAAGGAGGTGATGACGATGACGAAGAGGACGACGATGAAAACGAAAACGACTATATCAAGGATGATTTCGTTGTAGGCGAAGATGAAGTTGAATTCAAGAAGAAGCAGAAAACTGGTGATCTAGAAGATTCTGATGACGATGATGAAGATGATGACGATGATGACACTGGAGGAAGAAAGTTGAGCAAAAAGAAGAGAGTTAAAAAGAAGAGAAACAACCTAGAACTTGCCGAAGAAGATTTAGATCTCATTGCCGAAGCTCGTGGTGACACAGAGCGCGATTCCAAACGACGCGAGCGAGAAGAAGCTGCTCGGAAAACGGTGTTTGGTAGAGATCAAGATGAGCTGCAAAAGGGCCTGTTTTACGACTCTGGTGACGATGGTGCTGCAGCAACTGCTGCTCAGTCCAAACAAACCAAGCGCAGAATGGTAGAGCAGTTCGATGAAGATGGAATGGACGACTTTATTGATGATGATCTTAACGATCAAAGCCAGATTATGGCTAGTGCAAGATCCGATGCCTACGACGACGAAGGGGCTGGTGTCAGTGAAGCACAACTCAATGAGGCAAGTGAGATCTTTGGTACTGACTATCTCGAATTCATGGCCAATGAAGATCAAAACATGGACGAGGAAGAAGAATTGGGCGGCAAGTACAGAGAGCGTGGGGTTGGTGTGGACCTTCTTGATTCCGACGAGTCTTCTGATGAGGATGATGATGACGACGATGATCTCTTTGGAGATGACGACAGAGGAGGTGATTCTGTTCAGGCGAGCCAAAAGCGGGAAGCGTTGAAGTTGAAACGTGAGAAAAAGGAACTTGCAAGGCAGGAACGAAGAAAGCAAAAGCTACAACAGAAAAATGCAAAGCGAAAAGCGCAACTACGACGAGCTTTTGAGCCTGTGCAACTCATTGAAAACTTCTGCACAGATCGTGATGATGAAATTCGAAGGCTTGATGCACCAGAACGCTTCTTCGATTGGAAAAGCCATTTCCACGGATCTCCTGATGGTGGCGATCCTACTGAAGAAGAGGAAGAGGAGGCGATGTGGATTATTGGTAGAATCCCTGAGATTGCCTCGGAATACTTTGCTCCGACTCAGAATATGGAAGAAATGGAAGAGCGCGAGAAGAGAGTGATGAACTCTATTGTTCAGGCTTTGCGATTACTCCATGTCGACAAGTTGGAACCGGCATTCATTAAGAGGTATCGTGAGGACCAGGTTGCTTCTCCAGCTGTCAGGGAGAATCTCTACAGAATTATGGACGAGGATGACGAGTATAATACGATGGTTACAGCTCGGACCAAAGTTGGCGAAATTTTGGAATCGGTAATAAGGGATGTCGATCATATCGAAGCAAGAGGCGCTGAAGCTGATTTTGTCAAAAAGCTTGAATTGGATCTCATGAACGCAGAAGAAAAGCTAGAAGAAGCTGCCAAACAAGAATCTCAACTCAAGACGGAAATAGAGCAACTTGATTCAACCGATGCGGTGGACGATGACGATGATGACGAGTTGTTTGGGGATGATGACGACAATGTGAGTGTATGTGAATGTGAGTCTTGTTACAGAAGAAAAATGATATCTAATGATAATTGAGAAGGACAATGAAGCAAAAAAGGAAAAACAAGAGACTCTTAAGAAGCATCTTTCCACAATACAAGCACTGATGGAAGATAGAGCAGAAAAGGTAACAGATGTCCAAACCAAGCTTGCATCTGCTCAAGCAACCTCTCGGGAGTCGATGCAAGACCAAGGACCTGCTCAGGAAGTTATGAGAAAAACCTGTCGCGAGAGTCTTTGGAACGCAGAAGACATTGTTGACTATCTGTCCGGATTGACGGACATGCGACATGCTGTTGATTTGAACATGTATCTCAGCTTGATTAAGGAAGGCAACGATGCCATCCGAAAGAAAGAAATGCCCATGCTGAGTCAGTCCGACAAAACAAAGGATGGTAGAAAGAAGAGTCGGAGATTTGATCGTGACTTTTACAGAACTTGTGTCAGTGAAGGATTGAGAAGTATATGCTACAAATTCCTGTTGCCACCTAATCGTGTTGGAATCAAAATAGAAGACATGTCACAGTCCCAGAATTTCGATTTCAATAAGGCAATGCCAGGAGAACAGAACCCAAGCCCACAAAATTGGGTTGCGCCAATGCTGGAGTCTCAATCTCCCGATGAATTTGCCAACGATTTGATCGGAAGTGGCGAACTAATTTTGCTGTCTTCTTCTGGGGGCACAGATCCTGGTGATCAAGAAACAAGCGATCCACTCCGTGGATGTCGATATGTTGCCGCAATGGAATTGGCCCACGAACCTCGTGTCAGACGCCACCTTCGCAACATCTATCGTCGTTATGCAGTTCTGACTACTCGTCCAACTAAGAAAGGAAACGAAATTATAGATGCATTCCATGACTACTATGGCTTGCATCTGATCAAGGACAAGGGGGTTAAGGAGCACTTTCCCATGGACGAAAAGGAGGCAGCAGAAAAGAAGGCAATGCTCGGACCTGATGAATGTAGAGAGCTGGATCGTGAAATGAAGAAACGAGAGCATGAGAGTTGTTTGCAGTATCTTCGTATCCTCAAAGCAGAGCATACCGGACACATCTCCGTTCATGTACACTTACCGCTAAAGGAGCAATTCGACGACTGGTATACCCATGAAGAGCAGTACGCTACCCGCGACAAACAGGACATAGGTGCTCTTATGGAAGAATTAGAAAGAGTTTACTTTCCTCTTGACGGCGACACAGAGGAATGGAACGATGAGCGCAGAAAGATTCTCACTCAAGCTTTGATTCAATTCCTACTTCCTAGATTTGAAGGTGAGATCAGACGAGAGTTAAAAGAGGCTTGCATGAGGATTGGCGTTGAGGCTGCTGGGGAGAATCTCTATAATTTGGCCATGGAGGGCCCATACAGACCTCAAGCGCTTATGCATACAGAAAATCGCTTCCTATATCCAACCGGTGACCTCCCGATGGTTGGTATCTGCTGTTCGGCAGATCCAAAAGAACCGACTTACTTGGCTTCTGTGACTGAGCGTGGAGCTTTCAACGACCACCTGGCCATCCCAGGAGGGACGAGGGTTGATTCCGGCAAAAATCGAGAAAAGGTCATCACATTCCTTTTGCAGTCTCGTCCCGCAGCGGTCCTTGTTGGTACTTCTGGTGGCTTTGAGAGTAGGATTCTACATCGAAAGATGAACGACTTAATCAGCGAGGCAATGCAGCGATGGAAGGACAAGGATATTCAAGGAGAGGACGAAGACGACGAAGACTACGAATCTCGCCGAGCTTCTCTCGATAAATTAAGATACGAAGATGACGAAGATGAGGAGTGGACTTGTAACGCTGATTTGATTGATGATAACGTCGCCCAGCTATTCGGAAGAAGTGTTCGAGCGAAGAAAGAGTTCCCAGACCATCAAACGAATCTCAAGATTGCTGTCTCCATTGCTCGATATGCAAAAGATCCATTAGGTGAATTGACTTATGCTTGGAGTGTGGCGAGCGACACTGGTAATTTTGGAGCCGAACTGCTTTACATCAATATCCACCCAATGCAACAGCAGCTACCACGGACACTACTGTTACGTCAATACGAAAGAACACTTTGTGAAGTTGTCGCAGCAATTGGAGTTGATGTCAATGCTGCGTGTTCTTTGGACCACTTGCAAGGATTGCTCTCGTTTGTACCTGGCTTTGGGCCTCGAAAAGCTGCGAGTTTGAAACAGAGTGTCGAACAGCTTGGGGAAACCATCGGCAGTAGGCGCTTTCTGCTTGAAAAGCGTCTGATGGGGCCCATTGTCTACAACAATGCTGTTGCCTTTCTGCGAATCCGCAATGTTGATGTTGACGATGGTCACATCATGAATCCGCTCGATGATACTCGTCTTCATCCTGATGTGTATACACGGCACAACTGGGCAATCAAGATTGCCACCGACGCTCTAGAAAGAGCAGAAGATGAAACTAGGAACAAGGAGAGAGCAAGCATCAAGGCACTTCGTGACGTGATGGATAACTCTGCCCAAGAGGTCGAACGACTTTTCCTTGCGACCAAGGAAGAATGGGAGGCTCTTTATGGTCCGACCTTCAAGGTGTTTGAATGGAATCCAAAGGTCAGCGTACCTTCTGATAAGTGGCGCGACAAAGTTGAAGAGTTGGATCTAGATGCATTTGCAGGAATGATCGAGGAATCTGGCCACGGGAAGTGGAATTCTCATCTACAGATGATCAAATGGGAGTTTCGTTTACCCTATTCAGATCCCAGAGCTCCCATGGAGCCATTGACGGGTGATAAACTATTCAAACTGATTACTGGAGAATCAGATCAATCGCTTCGACCTGGCAAGGAAGTAACTGGCAAGGTTATGCGCAACGGTGATTTTGGATCACGGGTTAAGTTGGAGGGAGACATTCCAGCATTTATTCCACTCCGGAACTTGTCGGATGAACATGTTGAGACTGCAGAAGATATTGTCTCAATTGGAATGGTGGTGACGGCTGTGATTACCGAGGTTAAGAAGGATCACATGTGCGTTGACATGAGTCTGAAGATGGAAGACTTCAAGAAAAAGCCAAGTGCTTGGGATCGTCCAGCTACTCTTCCGCCACTTGACGATCACTTCGATTGGAGGGCCAGTCACAGTGTCGAAGAAAAGAAAAGCAAGGAGCGTGAGGCACGTTTGGAAGCTCAACAACTTAGCTTGGGCCACACAAATGTTGGTGAAGACGGTGCTCCCAAGAAGCGTGCAGGAAGAATTGCGCGAAGAGCTTGCGCCCACCCAGCATTTCGGAATTCCCGACATGATGAAGTTGATAAGGAACTCAAAGAAGGCGGGGCTGCTATGGTCGGTGAAGCTCTCGTTCGGCCGAGCAGCAAATCTAGCGACTCTTTGGCTGTACACTGGGTCGTCCAGGAGGGTTCGATCAAAGTTGTGGAAGTTATCGAAGAAGACAAAGACAATGACGCCGCCATAGGAAACATTCTCAAGATCAAGGTAAGGTTCATTTGTATCTGAGAGTTTGTTCACTGGACTTGGATCCCTTAGTTGTTGCTTTTCTCTCCGCATAGGATGAAACCTATGGTAGCATTGATGAACTTCTTGGTAGATACGTGGCACCAATGAACGACTACGTGGAGGAGCTGATGAGCCACCGTAAATTTGCTGACATGCCAGAAGATGAATTGGACGAAAAGTTGAGGAAAGAGAAAACAGCAAACCCGAAGGGAATATTCTACAATATTTGCTGGATGGAAATGCACCCAGGATATGCATCCCTTCGTTTCATCCTAAGTTCGACTACTCGAGCTCATCCTATTGGCATCTCACCCAACGGCTTTGTCTGGGGGACGATTAAATACCCAAATCTGGACAAACTATTGAACGATTTCAAGAAGAACCCTCGTGGTTCCTCGACTGGAAAACGAACCGCAAGCTCAAGTGGCGCTCAATCGCAAAAGCCAACAGAGCCAAGAGCTTCACGATGGGGCAGCAGACCTCCTCCACCGTCAGCCCCACCACCATCCTGGGGATCACAGTCCGCTGCTCAACCAGCTCCAGCACAACAATGGGGAGCTGCTTCTGCCACAGCTCAAGGTCAGTGGGATCGACCACCACCTCCTGCTGCGGGATATGGACAACCACCACCACCAAGCTACGGCCCACCACCAGGTGGGCCACCACCATATTCGAGACCACCTGCTCCTCCAAACTACCCCCCTGGCATGTAGGACTAGATGGAGACAAGATGCATAAAATAGATACGAAAGAACAAGCTCCTGGTCAACCTTTGATAGATAATCGGAAAGCGGCTGAGACGTTTTCGAATGAATGATTCATTGTCGCTTTGTTACAAAAAAAAGACAAGCTATAGTAAGCTACAAAACCCGTTGGTACAGTACTGCACGAACTGTTTCTCAGTACTAAAATAGTCCCAGTATTTGTTCATAGATTGATTCATTCAATACACATAGATACGCAATTCGAAACAAAGGCACAACAGGAAAAGACAATTATATGAGACGTCGGCAATGTGGGGGGATCTAGAAAGAGCAGCTTCTTTGGAGGTTGGCGATTCTCTCGCAACTTTGCTATTCCAAGTATCTAGTCCAGTGCATATTCCGTGGGGAGACACAAGATGGCAAGAACTGTTGACAGGATACGATGTTTGGATTCACGCTGAATCGATTGAGGGTGACGAATCGACTAGTATCATCACGCAAGCTTGTGAAATGATGGCAAAACATGCATTCGTATCAAGTAATCGTAAGTCTTTGATGGCGTCCTTGGAAAGTTCTTTCTCCGTAATTCACTCCTTTGCAGTTGCTGCATTCAGTCTTCATGTCACAAGAATGATTCGTGATCTTACCAGGGATATTTCCAAGAGCAAGAGCAAAAAGAAAGAGGATCAGACCGACGATTTTTCATTACGAATATCTCGTGTAGGGAAAGCAAGAGCTACCGCAGGTGCTTTGCAGCTGTTACGACTGCTGTCGCATTCGGTCGTGGTTAGATGTTGCAAAGACTCATTTGGAAATGAAAGTAGAGCTGAAAGCAACACGGATTTGGAAGAAGCATTCACATATCATACAAGAGGGGACTTGCCACGTGATCAGCTTGCTTCTGGGCCTCTGCTAAACGCAGTGTTGGACCTAATTGTGATCTTGGGGAAGTGCGTGGATGCTTTGCGGACACCAGAACTGTATGACACAATTGTATTAGCGTTCCGGCTCCTGTTTGTCCTGTGTGGGACACAATTGTATCAAGATTTTGAATCTTCATCATTGCGTCCAGACGAAGAGCCCCGTTTCTACTCTTTCCTAGACCAGTTTTTTGAAGCTGCCCAAGAACGCAATTGCAGTTGCAGTGAGACATCGGAAGACTATAAAAATCTGAAGACGTTTTTCGGTCCGTCGAGAGACTCCATCCCATTCAACAGCTCGCGAGAAAGATGCCCGGAAGATCATATATGGACAGCACAGTCAGTCCTGGAAACTTGCTTGCGTTGGCAGACTGCTCGTCCTGTGGCTCCTGATCGAAGCATCGCACACTACTATTACATCATGGCTCAATCGGCTATTGCCCCCAGGAGTAGAGAAATGAGAAGCGCGGATGGAATGTACGAATCTTATTCGATTGTTCCCGCAGCCGCACCTGGTATTCTAGACCCAAACGAAGGTGCGCCTGATGCGGACGCTCCCCTCAGTGCCGATGACATAGCGAACCACCACAACAAATCAAAAACGCAACACAATCTTATTCTTGACGCTACTAGAGGTGTGATTACCCTTGGAAGCAGAATCATTCTGCTGCCATTACGATTGGTTAGCAGAGTGTTTGGAGCCTTGGTACAGAGTAAGGGATCCTTCAACCGCGATCTCAAATCAATCATGTCACGGAAGTTCGACTCAAGCACAGCCAGCAGAACTAAAGACGTTCTTTGGCTATCGGATGCAATTCTGGCAGACCTCAGTAGTTGCCTTGTACTTCTATTGATAAACAACAATAGAAGTCGCGAAAATCCGTTTCGCGAGGAACTTCAAGCGTTAAGTGACAATAGATGGGATCACGGAATGGAATCAAGACTACCAGATTTACCATCTCTCGATACAAACTCGTCCAGTGGATCACCATCTACGGATATTTCTAGAATAGAGAAGGGTAGTGACCTGCGACAAATTGGTCTGACACTAAATTTCGAGTCCCTCTTTGAATCCTTTGGGAGGACTCTTCATACCGAGGTTGGCAGTTTGTTGCTTTATACTCTCGTGCAAACCTCTGAATCGTTTGCAGAGAGTTTAGCGGTGCGATCGGACTTGGACACACTAGTGCTACCATTGTTGCGGACACTTTACTTTTCATCACAAAGTAACACCTTCATGGCTAGTGATTATGCAGCTCACAAAAAGAAGGGGTCGACGAACATTCTGAATATCAGAAACTGCCCATTCCGCTCTCAGTCACAATTGTATGTGATAATAATATTGCTCTTGCTCTTTTCTCAAGATTTGTCCTTTGGACGTGACGCGTTTCGAAGGATACATGTGCCACATGTTGTGTGGTACAAGGAAAGGCAGCTGAGACACATCAACCTCGGGTCGGTACTCTTTCTGACATTGTTACGTTCCTTGATTTTCAATTTGCAACGGTTGCACGATCCTTTTATGCTGAGCAACTGCTGCGCCATCTTGTCGAATCTCTCATCAGCTACCACTGATTTACACGAGTATGCCGCAATGCGACTCGTTTCCGTTGCAATCTCTGTGATGAAGCGTCATTCTAAGTTAATTGCCTCCACAACAAATGGCGGCCAGGATATGAACGATGGCGAGGAAGATGATCTCAGTACTCCTCTTGGTAGATACTCCGAAGTCGCAAACAACCTCTTGTCGATAATTTCGGATTGCTTGTCTCATCGGAGAATTGAGCAAAATTTGCAAGTGATCTATGCGATTGTATATCATCAAGCTGATTTTACAAATGTCTTCAAAGGCAATATGTATCCCGCACGTCAAACGGAGAGAATATTGAGTATTGCGCAAGCTGCATCCACACTAATCCAAGAAGCATCGGCAAGATCTGCGCCTAAGGCGCTAAAGGTACTAGAGAGTCAAGTTGAAGTACTGAGAAGTGTCGTTGACAAGAAAAGAAGGAAACGAGACAGCATCAGTGATTATACGTTCACATACGAAGAGGATGCCGACCCTGAGAGCTTCTTTGTGCCATACGTCTGGGAAGTGATTGTATGCGTGGTGACTTCAAGCAGCATCGAGTGGAAGAAGAATAACATACGTGCGTTTCCATTACTGGAACCGGAGGAAAAGGCTGGCGTCCAGCAACAGCCAAGAAATGGTGCTATGGTATCGGATTCATTTGACACCGATGCTGAAGACTTTGTTTGAGTATTGATTTCAAAGCTAGAATTAAATGTGCTACGTGCTACAGTAGAACTCAATCAAAGACGAGAGTCGTCCACAGCACGATTTATTGCTTCCGTTTTCAAATGCCCGCAAATTGTCTATTTCGAAAGTGGCGCGTAATCTGTGTAAGTCAACTCCCACGTATCATCCTCCGCGGTATCGCTTTCGGTGACTATTGAGTTGACAGGTCGCTTTCGAAAGCTCAAAATATCAGGGCGAGGGATGATGGCTCCGCTCTTCTTGGCAATTCTCACTTTTTCTCCAGTGGGCAAATACTTTCGACTAATTCTTGTGGGTACTCCGGTAACGGGATCTATCAATTGCACATTTGAAGAATGCATGGTTCGCTCAACTTGTACGCTTCGACCTGGGATACCTCTATCTTTGTCTCCTTTAATGTTGCGGGTGCCCATGTTCACACCTTCAACAATAACTCGGTCCTTTTCTCTCAAAACAGTTTTGACAATTCCTGAGCAGCAAAAAAATTGAGCGATGGGCAAAGTGCATTCGAATTCAATCACCTCGATTGCACCCTCAAACGAAACAAACAACCGGTGTGACGAACCTTGTTTTCCTCGCTCTGGGTGATTTCCAATCACCTGCACTTTGTCCCCTCTTAGGATATTCCATTTCGTTTTCTTGGCCGCTTCTCTGAGTTGAGGCTTCGGTTTGTGGAATTTCCCCATACTTTGGGCAATCCGTTGCAACCGAGCTCGTGATGCCGACATGGTTACGATGCTTATCTTGTGTGTGGATTGAAACTTTCCATCATCACATACAGTATGTCCGGGTGTCTACGTACGACAGCCAGACAGACAGAAACCGTGTTTGGAATCTCGCGCTTGAGTTCACGAGTCACGGGTTCCGTTGTACCAGTACGAGTACAGGGTATACCAAACTAAACTTCCACTCGTCGTCTGCATTGGCAGAGGAGGCAAGAACAAGCTGCAACAGTGCTTGGAACTCTGGTACACGGTATTCCAATTGTTCTTCTGTGCTTTTTCTTTGCAAAAAATTGGAGCGGATCGTACCATAGGCATTTTTGTATATTTCAATGGAATGAGGGGATTGAGGGCAAGTGCACCAGCATTCGTACCACAAATTGACCCTGAGAGTTATTGGAGCAAAAACGGGGACTCGAAAAATACTGATTCGAGTAAGCGAACTAATCACCTGAAACAAAAGCTCGATGATAATTCACGCGCTCGCCGTCAGACTGGTCGAGGTAGGGGCACGAGGAAGGGGAAGGACACGAAAATCGCAGTTCAAAATGAAGACGAATCGCGAGGTTCTTTGAGCATCGAATCCAATCAGAAGGGAGGAAATAGACGTAAAAGACGCAACAAGAGAAACCGTTTAGGTCAGAAAAGAAAATCTACTCGGGAACAGTCCAGTTTGCATCACCGATCCTACCCCGACATTCCTGCGAATCCCTTGCAAAGTGAGAATGTCTTTCCCTCACTCGGAAACGCAGTCCATGAGTCCAAAACTTCCTCGGTTTGGAAACTTACGTCCTCAAACCACCTGATATTCCAGCCTTTTGATGAAGCTCCCAACAACACTGAAAATAATGTGGACGAGTTTGAGCGTCTTGGGTTGCAGCGTTTGTCTTCATCACAAATGAACGAGTCGATATCTACATCTAACGAAACAAAGAGAAACCCAATGCACTCACAGTTCTCGGAACCAATGCTGGCTACAGACTTGGAGGAATCGACTGTGAACGAAGGAGAAGAAAACCTGGAGGCAAACCAACTGCCATCCGAAAAACAAAAATGGAACATGAATCGCTTACGCGATCGTTGGTGGAGGGCTTTGGCAATGCAACGACTTCATCGGAAGCTCATGGATGAGCTAAAGCAACAATTCGCAGATCAGTGCAGAGAAACCGAAGATGATTGTGAAACTTCGGATAGTGATTCAGGGTGTTACCTTGAACCCGTAGAGCTTAGCTCCATGAATCAACCCAAATCGAGAGAGCCAAGCGTCCCTTCCACTATCGTGAACGAAATAAATAAACAAGATTTGGGTGGCTCCTTCTCGTCTCCGACTGAAGCTGTTTTGAATGCAATTAGGATGAACGACGAAACAGTCTTGCATGCAATATTACACCAGAGTAAACCTAGCGATCATTCAGCCGATGAAATGGATAATCGTTTCCGATCTATTGCTCAGGAAGCACTTTTCGCTTGTCTGGAACAAGATAAACCACATCTATTGCGCACAATATTGAGATATACCAGTACCTCATCTTATACGCGACTGATGAAGAAACACGAGGCGACGGAATCACAAGTCTCGCACCTGATGATAGCTTCGGAATTAGGGCACAGCCAATGTATTGCTGTTCTTCTGTCGGAGGAGGAACGTCATAAATGCTCTTTGCCATCTCGCGACATGGATGGCAATAATGTCTTTCACTACTGCTGCCGTGGACGAGGGGATGAAGCCAGTCTCCGAACACTTCTCAAAGAACTGTCAAATGGTACAAAGTGGAAACAGCAAGTATTATCAAAGCTTTTGCTTCTGCGAAATAAGGAAGGCAAGACATCGTTGCATGTCGCTTGTGAGAAGGGGAGGGAAGATTTTGTTTCAACATTTTTGTCTCTCTGCACCAACTCCCTTTTATCAAAAATGCTCTCAATTACTGATGTGTATGATCAAACTCCATTGCTGGCAGCTGTTGCATCTAACAGCACTGATGTTGTCACCTGTCTCATCATGTGGCGTGGCAACAACAATCGAAACCTATGGAAGAAGGCATCACAAATCCCATGTGGCAATACCCAGCCAAGCAGCCGATTGGTTGAAAACAGGCAAGAGTCCGGTTCTCCCCCCTGTGCGCTTTTATGGGCAGCCAAGACTGGAGTGATTAATATGATTCACGTGCTGTTACAATTCAGCTCTGTTTCGGGCAGTGACTACCGCGTTACGGAGGCGTTGGCGGCGGTAATTCAATCCAAAGCCTCAGACGAGGACAAATCGGAGAGTGCCCGAATCCTGATTTTGGCTGGAGGGAATGCGTTCGCTGGTTCTATTCAAATGCCTTCAGATTCGGCCTCGTCGACTACTCCAATAGGCGTTGCATCCAGCTACGGGTCTGCAAGAATACTCCAGACGCTGGTCCAAGTTGGTAGAGAGGAACTGAAGGCAAAGCAAGAGTTGCGGCGACGGGACCCGAAGTTACAGCAGCAACCAGAATCGTTTTTCCGAGGCATCGAAACTGCGGAAAACTCCCAAATGAAATCTGCCCTGACAAACGCCTTGATAGAGAGCCTATTTTATGGCTGGCAATACCAGGAAACCAATCTTAGTGTCCAACACTTGTCATCCGCTGTCGCTTTGTACAAACTTGGAGCCCAGCTCGGTTATTCTGATGTTGAACGATTGTGGAAGAGCATGCAGTGTAAAAGCATACAACTGGATGCTCGATCTACGGATGTGAACATGTCTCGATGTTTTGCGACTTCGTACTTGCATCATAACCTGGAAATGAACTCGAAGCCGACTAAGGTGAGCGATATTGATCGAAGCATGCTCTCTGGGCACAGCATGCTCCTGAGTGGTTTTGAATGGCTGATTGATCAATTAGGTCGCTTTGGTTGCAATTGTGCTTGGATGGCGAGACGAAGTAACGTAGACATCAAGACAGAAAATAATTGGCATGGAGATGACAAGGTCTTCCTAGTGATCAGAGGCGGTGAAAAGTTTTTGGTGCATGCTTCGATTGTATCTCTAAAATCTGAGAAGCTCGCGTCAGCGATTCGTTTTGCATCAATGAATGATGACCCTGATGACACGGAAAGAATCCCGGAAGTTTTTGTGGACATTGACGGTCGGATGCTTCGCTATATGTTACAGCACATTTACCATGGATCCGTGTTTGCCGGATGGCCATCCAACGAAGATGAGATTTTCCGTGATCTCTTGGACCTCATGGTAGTTGCCGAAGAAGCACTGTGTCCCTCACTATTACAGGAGTGCGAGATGAGACTATTGAGCTCAAACCCTACGAGGTGTTTCTGTTGGTCGTGCTCGAAGGCAGTGCGGTCTTCACTGCTGAACTATTGGCAAGCTGCAGAATGCATGTATCTCACCGAAGGGTTTGGACTTCTCGTTACAGGCAGTCGTGCACTCGATGTCCTTGCCATAACTGAATTTGTGTCAGGTTTTGAGCTTGAATACAGTATCCGTATTGCACCGATACCTTATCCGAACACGAGATATATACCGGCCTCTGAAGCGTGGGGGAAGTTTGACGAGACGTGGAAAACTGCAAGAGCTATTCGGTTGCTAAAGGACCAAGCCACAATGATAATTCTTCTTCGGTTTAGGACGGTGATCGAGAGTGTATCATTTCAAGAAAGTGTCCAATACAATGCTGATCCAACTTCTTCGTTGAATCTACTCTCACATCAAAGGCTTCTTCTCCAGACTTGCTTAGAGGAGCTGCCCCAATCCTTTATGCTGTAGAGTTCGATTGAAGATGGTGTTTCGTTTGTTTCCAGAAATTAAAACTTACTGTATGTGGAGGTCTGCTAGAGTTATGAGGTACTTTCGTAGTGTTTTGTGTTTTTCTCGCGACCAGGTTTGAATTTATTAGCTTCCCATCACAACGGAGATTTTTGGAGAGATCACATTTTCTTCGAAAGTTGACCATGGTAGAAGCTTCATTCGCAAATCAGGCATCCAATTTGAGCGCCCTCGGCGCAGCCATGGGGTCATTTCATCGAGCTTTGGAGGTTAAACAACCATGTACTTCGTTTGAGGGGAGCCACGAAGAAGAGAGCTCAAATTTTCTGAACGCTCAACTTAACAGACTGGCCAGTATCGAAGATGATCTCATGATAGCAACAGGATGCATACTGCCCAAATCCACATCTTCATCTACAATTATAGAGCTGGCTGAGATGTGCCGAATGGTACAGGAAGAAAATCGGAAGAAAATAGGATTCCTGCACCAACGCCTCATTTCCATGGGGGCGACTTCATTAAAATCAAACGAAGTGTTCTCGCCGGTCATGTCGCCTCCTACGACAAATGTCTTCTGTTTCCTCGGTGGGCCATTACAAATGGTCGAGGAAGGAGACGTGGAAACGGAAGGAGCAACAACTCCAGGCTCCATGATAAACCCATCTCCATTTGCTTCAAACAGCAAGCCGTCGATCAGTCCTGCAGCCCGAACGATAGATCAAATGCCCCTCAGGTGCGTAATGAGTGTACAGAGACGTTCCAAATGTTCATCGTTCTCAAAAATATTGTTTGCTTTTCCTTCGGTTCATTTCGAACACTGCATCCCTTCCGCAAATATTAGCAGTGCTGACTCCGATCGGTCAACATCCCCGACGCCACGTAGATCGTCCCGATCTTCCGGCAGCTTTCGTCGCATGAATTTCGAAGGTTTTCAAGATGAGGATGACATGATTACTCTGGATACGCACCGTTCGGGGAAATCTCCAACGGCAAATCGGAGCAAAAGTTATGGCAGCAGTTTTGCGCGAGACTCGAAAGGGCATCATCAGTTCATCAACGAAATGGAATCCATGCTTGATAAGGTTGAGGAATCTATTTTAGAAGGGCGTCCTTCAGATGAGGTTACACTCCAGGTGAATAGGAGAGCAACAAATGAGTTGCAAGATTCCAGCTCAAGCGAAGGCGACGTTTCTGCAAGTGACGACTCCACAGATGTGATCGCAACTCAAGTGGCTTCCACAACCAGGCGAAGGCAAGCTGACGCGCATCAACTTAACGGTGCGCCAAAGGTAGCCCCACAAAGACCAACTCAAATTCTTTTCGACAACGACGCGCCATCCCCAGCACATACAAACCTCACACTTGATGCAACAATGATGAACGATACCATGGTGTCAACCGTCCTGTTTCAAGATGACGATAACACCTCAGTGATGACGCCCATCCTCGATAGGTATAGATTAGATGCAGATGACAACTCTGTAGGAGTTAAGGTTGTCCCGAACAAACGTGGAACTTCGAGTCGTCTGAGAAAACCGCTTGAGGATGTCGCAGAAGAGCAAACTCCAATGGCTTCCAATCACACAAATACTTTCATAAAAGAAGGCGACTTCATGTCGCCAAAAGGTCTACCTGGAACAATCAGTGCGAGAAAGAAAAAACAATATCGAAAAACTCCACTTCCGAAGAGGACTCTTCATAATGATGACACAATGGACACCACAATGGACGAAAATGACGATCCAAACCTTCCAATAATCCATTCATCTCCAAGTGTGGTCAATGCTTCGCCTCGAGCTAGTTCGTCAACGCTAGGCTCATTTACATTGCCCCCTTTGCGCCAGTCTTCTCTCGACATGCGAAGAAATGAAATTCTACCTTCGTCTTCCTCTTCAAGTACAGTATTGAAGGTTTTCAATGAGATCAAGGGCAACCCCAAGTCAACATATTCAGGACGTTCTCGTGCAGACACATCAGTTTCGAGAGACATTGTCGATAATCACCAAGTCAGTAGCACGTCAGAATCAAGACCAAGACAAAGCGAAAGATTTGAACACGAGTCTGTTCAAATGACGAAATGGATGGAGCACATCACAATGGCAGAGTATGACGTTGCACCGCGAATCGTTCAAGTACAAGTTCGCCGAGATGAGGCAAATAAGGCAATCGATCTTTTAGAGGATTTCTTTACGACTCATTTACAGGGTAATCCTACATCAGCACTTGAGTTTGGAGAACAGCAAGGGTATGGTATACTCGGCAACTCGTTCAATACAGCACACAAGTGCAAGAGTATTTTGATGAGCCTCTGTCACTTCCGTCGGCTCTTGATGCATCGTGATGAGGAAATGCATTTTACTATAAACCAGTTTTCGGCATGATCCGTAGGTGATGGTTTAGACAGGCTTTGTCTACCTGTGGGATAGGCAAAAGGTTCTCAAAGCTGTGGGTATTACATTCTCTCAGCTTTTTCAACTCTTTCAATTCTGGTGCAAAGCTATAGCCATTTACCGTTGTCAATGCTTAACTTTGAGAGATCCTCTATCGTCGCATCGTCAATCATACCAGCGCCTTGTGCAGTAGAAGCCTCGTCTATTCGTACTGGGGGGCCATCTTCTGGTGCGAACTTGTCGCAATAGTCACTTAGATTACTGAATGACGAGGGTATGGTAGCCGATGCATCCGAAGATTGCTTACGCCATTCATTTGCCTCTTCAATCAGACAATTTCTTTCATCTTGCCTGAGCTCTGTGGCAATGAATTTCAGCTTTTCGCGCAACATGAGATTCTCGTTTTGTACATCATCAAACTTGGGCGACTGAAACAGATCGAGGTTTTCCTTCATTCTTGCAAATTCAACTTTGATTTCTTTGCTCTCCTCTTCTAGGGCATCCATCTTCTTTAGCTTTAATGATGCAGCGTCGATTTTAAAACCGAGTTTCAAATTTTCTTCCCGCAATCGTTGGTTCATGGCCTTCAGATCTCCAACCCGAAGTCGAACTTCTGTCATCATTTCAGTTTTCTCCAAAGTTTCGATAGCTCGTGATAGTGGACCCTCCCTTTCCATCTCTTCAATTATCAGCTGCAAACTTTGCACTTGTGCTAGATAGTCTATCTTTTGTCTTTCTACTGTTGCGTTCAATTCCGATACAGTTTTTTCAAATGCCTCTGCACGGGCTTTCAAAGCATTGGCTTGTAGCTTCAAATCTCGAGCTTCTTCCGTTTTGTCAATTGACAACTTCTCTTTCTGATTCCTTAGTTCTTGCATCTCTTCCTTTATATTCTCGATAACCTGCTCCTGAGTTTGTATCGTCTTCTCGAGAGCATGAATTTGCCCGTTCTTTACAGCTTTTTCTACGTCATAGCGATTGCAGATCGATTTTTGATTGCTCTGCAGACTCTCGATTTGGCTCTGAAGCTCTGAATTATTTTTTTCAACATTCTCTTTTTTCTTGAGTTGCTCTTGGAGTGTTGCAATTGTCTCGGCGGTCTCCTCCTTGACTTTGGCAAGACTTTCGTTGGCTTCAACCATGCTCTTGCTGAACGAATTGCTGAATTCACTTTCTCTTCTTCGCAAGTCTTTTCGAAGCTTTTGTATCAAGCTTGTCTTTTGTTGGAGTTCTTGACAAACGTCTTCGACTTCGTTCTGGAAGTTCACAAAGTCGGTGCCCCCAAATGCTGAACTGGCTTGAGTCCACTTAACTTTGGCACCCTTAACTTCTTCGCCATCGCTTTCTTGCGATGCCCAAAGTTGCCATTTGAGACCCTCCATTCCCATTCTCTCACTTTTACCATTCATTCCCCCAGCTTTCTCTCCTACTTTCTCCCCGACCAGGTTACGAGGTGGTTTGACCTTCCCCGAGCCCTCACCGTCGCGATTTGGATTAATCTTGTGCACGTGTTCATCTCGGATTTGGATCAGTTCCTTTCTCAATGCACAATTCTCTTCTCGCAGTTTCTGTGACTTATCGTCAAACCCTTTCTGCTGTTTCAAGGAAAAAAATTCCTTTGACAAGTTGATAGATTTCTCTCGGTTCTCCTTCAGCCTTCCTCGCATCAACCCTATTTCCTTCTCTTGTTTAAGCACCTTCTTGACGAGTATCTGGTTGTTTTGCTTTAGATCTTGCAGTGCTTTCTTTTTTTTTTCGTCTTCATCCCGTATCGTATTAAGATTATTACAAATGGAAGCTTCTCTTGATCTGTATATCTCCAGCTTTTTGTTGAGAACGTCGACCTGTCTTTGCAAGCTTTCTTGGTCGTGGAAATTGCCCTCCCTTTGCTCCACATCAGGTTTTCTTTCTACGCTAGCCCAGCTGCGTTCGAATTCACCCCGTGCGTCCACCATTCTTCTGTATAGTTCCTCGGTTTTGTAATCGGAGAACCCCTTTTGTTGGATTCATATCGTGTAGGCTGAGAATAGAGTTAAATTTTGTGTTCGTGTGAAGTGCATGTGATGGCCAGAAATTCTGTAGGTCAGTGAAAAATTTGGGCCCGGCTGGCTTTTCCCGCCAATGATTTCACCTGGCAGTCGCGTCGAGGAGGAGTCTAAGTTGAAAGTGTGATGGTATGTGATTTGACGTGAACTCCGAGAATTACTACGGACTACGGTGCGGTACCTGGTGTCCTCTTATGGTTGTTGTCGCTATCGTCAATTGATATTAACCAACTGAAGAAAGAAGACTTCCCCTTCCAAGAGTGGATCGCAAGAAGGTTGAACAATTCTCTTTCCGGTTAATCTCACGAGCAGAATAAGCAAGAAATTGTAGTTGCCCAACATGTCGGCTCCGCCGCCGAGCAATCCTCCAACAACGCATCGAAAGGCGGTTTCCCATGGAAGAGGATGGTTTGAGGGAACCATGGGTGTCATTTCCGGTATTGGCGCTCCCCGTCCCATGACTCCTAGCGAAGGAAATAGGCCACGGACCAACTCTTGGTCTGCTCCAAACTCTCCGGCCAGAAGTGGTGTCTTCCCTTCCATTCATAGGTTACCGTCGCAAGATTCGTTGGATCGCAGCATTCACAACGAATCGGGACATGGGAAGTCAGTGGCGCAAATAATAAAGGACTTGAAGAAGGCCAATGCTGACTTGACAGACCAAATGGCTGCGATGGAAGTGAAGCATATGAATGAATTGGAAGCAGCGACGCGTCCGAATGTCGAAAAGCAAAAGAAAGTTGAAGATGCCTTTCTTACTTTGAAGAAGCAGATGGCCCAGCTAGAAGCCAGTAAAATTGCTGTAGACTCCAAAGTCAAGGAGAAGGACAGTCAGCTTCTCAAGGCTCGAGAAGAAGCAAGCTTTCACAGGCACGAAACATCAAATCTCAAAAGTCAGCTCCATCAGCTACAAAACGAGTTGGACGATTCAGAGGGCAGATTCGATGATATAGAACAGATTATGGCAGAAAATGAAGATATGAAGATGGAGCTGGAAGAATTGAGATTCAAGCTTAGTGCTGCTGATACTGGGAAACCAGATACGAAAGTTATTGATGAAGCGTCTTCGTCCTATGCCGATGTCCGCGGCAGTGACTATTTCCAACAATGGCAAGATACGCAAGGGGAGCTCGAGTCACATCGAAGTACGTTGACCGCCACGAAGCAAGATTTGGAAAGTTTGCAACTTGAAAGGGATTCGTGGCACCAAGAGCAAAACCAACGAGTTATAGAGCTAGAAACGGAACTACATACCAAGTCAGAAAAATGGTCAATGCGCGAGCAAGAAATGCAGAGTCAGATCCAATCCATGGAGTTTGACGCTGTGGAGGACATGCAGAATCAGATTTTGGAGCGTGATGATATTATTGTTTCTCTCAACGATCAATTGGCTGACCTGTCTGCAGCACTGGCCCAGGCCAAGGAACAATCCGTTGATGAGGAGCAGTATCGCCGTGATGAAGCTGAAGATCTTCGTATTTTGCACGATGCACAAGAAGAAGAAATTGTGAAATTGCGCAAGAAGCTCGAGGATGCACAGAAAGAATTGGCATTCAGAGACGAGGAAATCAATGAACAACAGACCACTCTCGAGAAAACAAACACTGACAAGAATGAAGAGATTGAAAGGCTACAAAAGGAATTGAAGCATTCGCAAGAGCAACTTCACGAAAAGTCGCTTCCACCCTTGCCACCAAAAGAGGAAGATGATTCTCAACTGATTTTGGAATTGGAAGACGATCTAGACTCAGCTCGGGCCAAAATTGCCAGCCTGGAAGACGAAATTGAACTTCTCAAGGTCGAGATGGGAGTCGAAAACATAGATTTACTCGAACGTGAGATTGATGACCTAAAGCTGACGTTGGAAGAGGAGCGGCAAAAGAGTGCCGTTGCGACCGCTCAAAAAGCAGTGCTCCAAGAAGATATTGCTCGTCTTCAACAGGGGCTATCGGCAGATGCTACTCTTTCCGAGGAAGAAAAGAAGGCTGATACGGAGGAAAACCAGAAGCTGTTACAGGAAGCGAAGATGGAAATCACCAATCTAAAATCGACTATCGAGTCAATGAAGTCTTCGGAAAGTTACAAAGGAGAGAAACATAAAAGACAAGTTCGTGAAGCTCAGCTAGCATTGGTTGCCTTGGACGAGGAGAAGGACGAGCTTATCAAGAAGCATGGTGAACTCCTAATGGCGGTTGACAGGGAGAAAGAAAAATTGGAAAAGGATTCGTTCAAGAAGATAGCAGCGATTGAAGATGAACTTATTATTGCACAGAGCCTGGCCGCGAAATGCAAAGAAGTAGAGGCAGAGAAAGACGCTCTAGGAAAGCGGGTTGTGCATCTTGAAGAGCAGATTACCAGAAGCGCAACAAGACCAATCGGTACAACCTTAGCAGACGAGCAAGCTCAATCTCAGTTGGAGTCCATAAGCGAGGAAAATCAAGAATTGAAAGAAAAACTGAAAGATCGAGATACAACAATATCTGCGTTGGTTAGATCGTCTATGGGAGTTGAGGAGAAAATGGCAAATTTGGAAAACGACTTGGTGGAAGCAAGATCCTCCAGAGATGACGACCTCATTACTGCCGACGGGGAGATCGGTGAGCTTCGAATCGAAGTCGAAGCCATGAGATTAAACGAGCAGCGACTACGGAATGATCTGAAGGCTATGGAGCGGGACCTTAACTTTGCGGAGGCAGATGCGACGAGATGGCAGCTCGCTCTTCAAGTTGACGAAACTTCTGGAGCAGATCAGCGGTTTCAACTGGCTGCCCTACAACGGAATGTCGCTGAACTCAGAGACAAGCTCCACGAACGAGACGATACAATTGAAGCTCTTGTCGCCGAGAGCCAAACGGCTGAGAACGAGAGCAAGGAGCTGAGAAGCAAGGTTATATCTCTGACCAAGGATCTTGAGAATACTAGGGTGAATAACACGTACAGCGATCCAGAGCTTCGTGATGAAATCCAGCGACTGCAAACCGAAAATGACATGTTTGCAGGGCAAATTGTCGAACAAGACGAAGAGATTCAACACCTTGTGCGAGAACTACGTCTGCGGGATCAAAGCGTAGTCGAACTGGAGCGGGACGTCCAAGAAATGGCTGAAAGGGGAGGAGGAGGACAAAGCCGAGAAGAAGATGCGAGAGAAATCCAGGCATTGCAAGGACAACTCGCTGAAATTCAATCCGATTTACGTCTTCGCAACCAGCAGCTCCTACAGTACAGGCAAGAGCTCGAAAGCATCCAACAGCAAGGTGCGTTCGGAGGAGACCCCGCTATGGCTGGTGATATATCCGATCTGCAAGCTATGAACGACGACTTCCGCATCGAATTGCGTGAACTGCGCACGGAGCTTTGGGAAGCAAAGCAAGCAGCAGCTGCTTCAGAAGACTTGAAGCTCGAGCTTGCACAGGCTAAGTATGCGTTTGACGAATATAAGCGAAAAAACGGATCCGGCAATGGAACCATTATCGATCTCAGAAAAGAACTTGAGTCTTCGAAGAAGGAGGTTGAGAAGATGAAACAGCTGAAGGAAATGCAGGAGGCCTCGAAAAACTACAGAACTGCCAACGAAAGCACACTATCGGAGTCCTTTGAGCGAAAATCAAAGGAGAAAGACGCTACTATTGCAAAGCTTAGGAGCGAGCTTGAGTCGTATGGTACCAAGTCGGGTGATATGTCGAAGGGTCCGAGCAGGATGACGGAATTAAGAAGCGAAAACAAAGCCCTCCAAGAACAGTTCAAAGTGGAATTACATGCCAAGAATACGCAGATTTATGCCTTGGAGCAAACACTTCATGCGCAAGAGCAGGTTGTACAAAACCTGAGGCGGGAAATGAATCAACTGCAAAATGGTCTGCAACTCAATATAAAGGGACGACAAGGAGATTTGGACGAGATGCAAGAAGAGATTATTGTCATGGAATCGAAAGCGAAGAGACAAGAACGAGAAATTTCAGGATTGCGGGTGAGGCTGGAGGAAGCACAGCTTGATCACAGAGCAGAGGTGTCCCAATTGCGAGATTTGCTGAGACGTAAAGAACAAGAAGCCCCCATTGCCAGGACTGTGATGGACCTAAAGAATGAAGACCGTCTATTGGAAGTACACGAGCACTTGGCCAATCTCAAATCTCACAATACCAAGCTTCAGGAGCAGAACCTAAAGCTTAATGGTCGATTAGAGCGAGCGACAATTGAGATCCAATCGTTTGCCTCTCAGAGGGGGCACGCAGTGGAATTGGAACAAGACAATCGTCACCTTCGAAACCAATTGACTGATATGGAGAGGGTCCTTAGGTCCTACAGCCAAAGGTCACCAACGGTGACAACAATACCACTCTCTCGTGTGTCAACAGCGCCATCACAAGTATCGTCGCCATTGCCATCACCGTCTCCATCTCCAGTAACCGTGCAATCCTCGGCGTCGTCCGCAACTTCGAGCTTGAAGTCCAAGAAATCTAATAAACCGTTTGGCGGTCTGTTCAAGAAAAAGAAGAGTAAAGATAAGACAGGAGAAACGAAGGCCATGCCAATTACTCCTGAGAATGAGGACGATCTGCATAGCAGCTTTTGATTGAGGATCTCGTCAAAGCTTGTAATTATAGTCTACAGTATAATATTCTAGTCCTAGCACCTGTATTTCTTTTTACAAATACTACTGTAGTGCGGCAAGTACCGGTACCAGCAAGGATAAAGGTACCAGGTACGTGACGAGGACAGTGACGAGGACAAGTGATCATCTGTCCTCGTCACGTACCTCGTACACATCCGTCCTCGTCACGTACCCCGTACAAGTACACGTGTACCAGGTACGGTAGATTCGAACGCAAAAAGGGTTACGACAGCGGTGAGATTCGAACTCACGCGTTCAAAGAACAATGGATTAGCAATCCATCGCCTTAACCACTCGGCCACGCTGTCAGACTCCTTAGGGGAAAGAATAAAATCTTAAAAACACTGAATATTTATGAGTTGATATCAACTGTTGCACCTCCCCTTCATTCCATCAAGGAAGAGGCATCCAAAGATCAGTGCCATATAAAAACTTCTCCTCGGGGGAAATAATTGGAAGCGATGAATGCGTTAGAGCTGACTGAAAATCATGGGAGCTCCAGTCGAGGCGATGACGATCCTCCCTTCTTTGCCGATATGACGTTAGATCTTGCAGAGGCTCATGACATTGCTGAAACACCAGAAGCAACGCACCGAAAGCTTTTGGCAACAAAAGATCAATTGATAGCAATGCCAAAAATGCCAGTGATTCCGCAAGATCGAGTTATCACTTCCTCCCTGTCGAATTCGGATGACAGCATAAGCCCAAAGTTCAATGCCAACCTTAGTTCTATTACACATGAACAGACGCATGGAAGAATCTCAGCCATGGGAAATAACAAACCGCTTCAAGCCACGAGAAACATGCCACGTGATATTTACTGGGCCATTGCCTTTGCTATCTTTGTTCCATTTTCCTTGTTAGGCCCCATCATGTCTTCAAATGATGCGGAATCGAAAACCTCCAAAACCTACTGGCTAGGAACGTCCTTGGCCCCTCGAATGGCGACGGTACATTCCCTCTGGTGGGCTGCTATTGCTGCTTTCTTGCTAAGTCGGCTGCTGTATCGGACTCTGGGAGGTGGAGACGGAGACGATGCCCGCCACTTGGCATCTCAAATTGTGCTCTCGTCAGCTCCCATTTCCCTGAGTATCTACTCTAGTCTCATCCTGACCATATATTTCTTCCTTCCCCATGCCAGAATCTACATAATTTTACCGGCGTGGGCTTTGGCGCGAGACATCTACATCTTTCGGCAATGGAAAATGACATCGTCAACTCCGGGTGGTCGACAGGCCTTTTTCCAAGCTCTGACTTGTATGACCTTGGATATTTTGTCGCGTTCGTTGAGACGGGCTAGTTTCTACCGCATTGTGTCGGCTCTCCTGCTGCTGCAACTGATGGTCATTGGCCTGTGGCGTATGGCACTGAATGCAGCAATGCATTCCCAGAGCACATTTTGGCTTTTGCTTGCAGCCGTTGGTGGCAAATGGGCAACCGGAGCAGTGGCAAGATTGCTGACTTTGATTTCATCAGGAGGGATCTCCAGTTGGTTTGCTGAACAAAATGCGCTTGTGGAAGAAATGGAACAAATGAAAGGAGGTCGGGAAACAGAAAATGGACTCAGCAACAGCTCATCATTGCATTCCAAATCTGACGACGAGGATTCTGAGATGCCTGAAGCATACCGCATGACAGCCGCCTCAGCATATCAGACGACGCTGACTCCAGATGAGGGCATGGATGATGATTTTGAAGACGAAGACGACGCAGAAGCAGCTTTGAATGCACCCATCAGCACCTTCTTATCGACGCCCATTGCCGGTGGTTCGACTGTCAAACAACTATTGCTCAAGGGAGTAACTGTGAATTTCGGATCTGTTTGCAAATGTGGACTACTAGGTGGTTTGGCACAATTTGTTTGGAGTCAACTCCGAAAGATTGATACCGCCAGAGCCAAGTTGAGTGGTTTTCAGACGATGTCAATAGGGCAAAGCAACGATTTTCAGAACAGCAAATTCCGGCACTATTTAATGGTTTCGAATCGACTCGCAAGAGGTTTTGTGAGAAACAACTCGGACATGGCCATGAGCCACGTTGCAGCGTTTCAAAAGTCGTACAATCGAGCGGCGCAAGATGTGGCCATTTTGATTGACGAATCAGGTAAGAGTGTCTAATGCGATCACTGGAGTTGGATCTATGACGGATTTTACTGACTTTGTACGATACAATACTGTAGGTGTTGAACCAATCATTCATGACGACATATCAACCCACATGGCTGCATGCGTGGGAGGAAGTATATCTGGCGCTATTGTCATGTTCACTGGTATCATCTTGGTTCATCAAAAGAAGTCAAACACTACTGACTCAGCAGTAGTGATGGATATGGTGGTTTCATTCATCTTTTGCTATACCCTTATCTTTACGGTAATGGAGCCACTCCGAGCCTCCATCAAAGCAGTGTACGTGAGCTTCGCACAACATCCTCAATCGATTAGTCAGTCCTTCCCCTTGATATTCCACAGGTTGAGTCGAATGGCCAAGTCTAATGTGCAATAACTGCTAAAGCAATACAGATCCATACAGTAGATGAATTGTTGTATTGTGCATGTTCAATGTTGATGTGCTTCAGGTGCTCAGTAGAGCGGTCTGTTCTTGGGTACTGCAGTCGGTGTAGTCGGGCACATGTCATCCTGGCTGCCGATGCCTGCTGAAACGAGAAGTGTTAAGGCACGATTGATCACCACAAGCCACGAGCCAACAGGCCGATACAGTACAAGAATGAAACTTGTTCCTGCCACATGACAAACTCAACACCTAGAAAAATGAAAGAAATGCCGTTTGAAGACTTAACATTGGAATCGATTTTTAAAAATTATTTGGACGCGAACATGTTGCAGAGCGAGGACGAGGAGGATATTGTCCTAGCTGCACTTGCAGTTCTAGAAGCCGACGATCGAGAAGCGAGAGGGTCAACTTGGACGAACGATGAACGTGTCTTGGCTAGCGTGCCAGTCCTTGGGTCCGTGAGTGCTTTGGCCGCAGCTGGAGGTGCTAAAATCGCTGCGACGGGCCACAGCATCGCAGGAGATGTAGCCAAAGAAATGGGCGATGCGGCTCGAGATATGGAATATGCGGCTAGAGACGTGGGAGAATCAGTTCGAGCTTTGACTGAACAGATGCGTTCGAAATTCAAGTTCATATGATACTATACAGCACATAGATGCAGCACATAAATGGAGGGACGTACTTATCTATGAATTTACGTCATAGTTTACATACCGGAACATTGAAAGCGAACAGTCGGGAGGAAAAAACTGCAGATCGAAATGGAATGAATCTCGTCGGGACAGAATGGAGAGAGCCACCTTCAAGCAAGAGTGCCCACTTTCTAGCGCGAGATACGACTGCCTCCCCATATACTTTGGCAGGAAAGAAGAATATTTATCATTCATATGCTATATATTTCGTACACAGAATCATTGGTATTATTGCGATTACTTTAGCTGGAGGACGCATTGTTTTTTAGTGAAGTCGGTTTGGTGAGTGGTAATGGAGTTGTTAGTTGTTAGTAAAGCTTGTTGAGTTTTGCCTATCAGTAATCAGTAGTCTCCAAGTATACTCTTGCTCCAAGACGCGGCATTAGTGACGTCATATTAGGAAGACACAATACACAACGGTATGAACTCTTCGTAACAGTTTTTAGTTTTATTTTAATCACAATCACGTACGTAAGTCAGTACATACTGCACGCGTACGTCCTACGTCCACGCGACGGTGTGTGGCAACCTCCAAACGTCATACACCACCAAGAGATGATTTTCCTTCGTTCGGCATTACGAGTTTAACAAACCTCTGCAGAAGTTTAGACTACAATGAAAATCAACATGGAAAATAAACCAAAATCAATGAAGAGGACACGATGGATGAAAGCAGCATTCATGATCGGCTCTTCTATTTTGCTAGAACTGGAAGCTTCGCTTGCCTTCTCGTCTTCTGTGTCAACCAAGAGTCACAGTGCAACACTTGAGAATGGATGTCGAGCCGTGCCTCATGGGGAAGGAAGCTTGTGCGCTGTTGCCCCAGGAGAATATGCTGTCGGAGAATCATCTGAGTTGCACTCACTTCAGGTTTCCAAGCGCCTAGATATTCTAAATTTGCAACAAATTCCAACGTCCATCGAGCGACGACCGGCGCTAGAAACACGAACTCGAAACGCTAGAATTATGCGCCCGAGCAGTCGCAATAGCAGTCCAAAGATCGACAAGAGACTAAGTCCAAGAAACCGAGGAGCCTTGCTCACCAAAGACGAAGAAGGAGTGTTGACACGCAGCATCGCAAGCCTTCGTCAAGCGATTCGGATTCGCGACGAGCTTGCCCTAAACTCCAACATCAACTATGCCGCTGAATCGGACTGGGCCAGTGCGTGTGGATTATCGATAATTGAATTGAGGAGATTAATGCGTGACGGCCAAGAGGCACGGTCGAGGTTGGTGTCAGCGAACGTAGGCCTCGTAACTGCCATCGCGAAACGTCACCACAAATCCTTGAAATATGCAACAGAAGCTGGAGGAGGCGTAGGAACAATCTTGACTCTGCAAGATATGATACAGGAAGGAAACCTTGGCTTGATGCAGGCAGCAGAGCGCTTTGAGCCAGAACGTGGAAATCGATTCTCAACCTATGCTACATACTGGGTGAAGCAACGTATTCTACGATCCATCTCAGATTCTTCTCGTATTATCAGATTGCCAGCACACGGTAAGTTCAGAAGTTTGGCAGTTGCTTTCATGATACCCTGTACGAGAACTGACATTTCAAATAGTTCATGCTATGCTACAGAAAGTGAACAAATCTCGAAAAGACATGATTCACGAAATTGGAAGACCACCATCCGTACCAGAACTGGCCCACTACATGGAGATGAGCGTTGAGGAACTGGAAAAGCTGACATCTCGAGCTCGCAATGTGGTCTCGTTGGAGAACCGAATTAGAAGCGGAGGTAGTCCCAAAGAAGACAATCGCAAAATTGTGGACTTCGTCGTTTCAGATGCTCCAACGCCTGAAGAAGATGCCGAAAGCCAACATTTGAAGCAGGATATCCGGGCAGTCATTGCTGAACTACAAGTTAAAGAAAGAGAAGTTCTCATACTTCGTTTCGGATTAGATGATGGTAATCCAATGAGCATTAATCAAATATCAAAACACTTGGGCATCTCGAGTGACCGAGTGCGAAACATCGAAGCGAGAGCGCTCAACAAACTGCGAAACCCGCAACGGAATTACCGTTTGAAGGAATACCTTTGTTCGCAAGAAGAAAAGGAGCAAATCCCGGAGGAAACTTGCCTTACCCCCGAACGAATGTGGTTTGTCTAATACAAATTTGTTCAGCCAGGCTCAAGCTTTTCCGGACTTGAGAAGCAGAATTATACGATTTTAAATAGAAATTGCCAAGATTCTAAATTGATGTCTTCGACTGCGTTTAGTTTTACTTCTAAACCGCTTGCAGGAATGGTACCATTTGTTCTGAACACAAGCAAGCGCAGCACATCAATCCAGCAAACGAAGTAAGATAATTAGCCACAGCTTATTTTTAACTAGAGCTATTGCATGTACAACATTTCGTTGCCAGAGGGACATGGGACAATCTTACTGCGCCAGTCACCCGAAGCAACATCTTCAGGATTGACATCTGTGATCTTATCCGGAGGCACGTAGACCAAATTATCTGTAGCATGAACCATCCATGGTTCTTGACGGAAGTCGTTTCCGAAGGGCTTTGGAAGCAGCCAATGAAGTCCAATTGTCACACCCTTTCGTGGCAATGGCTTGAATTGACCGCTAGCTTGTGCAGCCTCGAGCCTTTCAGCACAGAACTCCTTTAGTTGAGCCTTGAAGGCTGTCTTGGCGTTTGCGTTGCTAATGGGCATGTTCTTTGTCTTCGAAGCAAAGCTCGCAACAGACTTTGTCACAACGTTTTGCATGTCGGAGGCCAAGTTGGGAGAAATTCGAAGTTTTGATAGTTCCTGCTTGAATTCATCAAAGCATGCAACCTGCGACATTCCCAACTGCTCTTGACACAACTCATCAATTGCGGCCGCGATGTCATGCTTCAAGTTCTCACGAATCTGTTTGCCTGTTTTGGAAGCGGTCAACATTGGCGAAGAAACTTCATCGAGTTCTTCCATTGCACGCTGGGTGGCAGCATCGCACAAGTCACCAAAGTTGGGCACAACCTTATCCTTAGACATGGTACTGACGGTCGAGATTGCATTTTCGAGTGCTTTTCGAGCTGCAGGTCCCAGATGTCTCGCTGCTGCAAGGTCCTTTGATGACATGGAAGGTTCAATGGCCACTGGTGTCGTTTGCCAAAAGTCAGCAGCCACTGCTGATGCGATTGTTGCCTGCTCCACAGCTGGTTCATTTGTGGTTTCACAAAGGGCCATAGCTTCCTCTACATTTTTGACGTATTCTACCTTCGCGAATACATCGCCCAATAGTGCAACCTTCTTTTTTGGTGACACGAGATTTGAAAGGACACCAGACGCTGCTTCTTCAAGCTTAGCCTTTGCGCTCACTGGATCATCGGCAACCACGAAAAGTGAAGAAGTAGATCCAAAATCCCCGCTCAAGATTCGTTCCATTGCAGGTCCGAGAGTATCAAAGAGCCCTTCTCCCCGAAGCAGATCCTCTTCACTAGCGTAGAATAGGACATTACCTCCACATGCCGCTGCAGTTGAAGCAACCTCAGGAATCGAAATGGGAGAAAGAGCCATGCACAACCCAGAGTCTGTTCCAAAAGCAGTTGTTGTCAAATCCTCCAATCCGAAAATTTCTGCCTTCTTTGCCTTCGAAACACTACGGCTGGTGAGGAAGCAAGCAGTCCCAAGCGCCTTGATATCTTCAGCTTCCAAGTCGGAAATAACAGTGGAAAGACTCATGGGGAGTTTGGAATCGCTCTCGGCAAGAATCCTGGCACCAGCCGCAAAGCGACTGAGTAAGAGGAAAGCCAATAATCTAGACATTGTTTTCCTTTATTGATGATGTAATATGGTGAAGTTAGTAATGTAACGTTGAGAGTTGATGGTTTGACACGTGTAGCACCCTGCGAACTTTATTCGACTTGGTCGAAAAACGAAGTTGTACATGGATCGAATTTTAGAGAACACAATATAAAATCTGTTCAGCTATCGCGAATAAGCAAATCAAGTAATATTGAAACCTACTTATTTGTTATTGCTTGCATATTGAGATCGATAATTGCGGCTTGATATTTACATTCCCATGCCCATGCCCATACCTCCCATTTGAGGCATCATTCCTGGTTGTGGCAAACCACCAGGTGGCATCATTCCTGGTTGTGGCATTCCTTGCGCTTGTGCAAAGCCACTCATATCAATCGCACCTTGTGGACCTGGCATTCCTCCCATAGATCCCATAGAAGGACCGCCGTTCTCCAACATCAGAACGCCTCCGCCGAACCCTCCAAGGTTTCCATATGTAGCAGCAACTTCGTCTGCTGCGTTCTCCTCCGGAGGGGGTGCTGTGCGCTTTTCCAAAGCTTCCAATCGCTTGTGCGTGCGACGGAAAGTTTGAATAATGAAAGGCATGACAAAATGGTGGTATCCGTTGAGCCATCCTAGTTCGATGACGACATCTGGGCTGATGTGTGCGAAGCATGTATACAACGCAGCACAGAAGCATTCCTTTTCAGATGAATCGCAGAAGAACCTCAACAAGTCCTCAATGATCTCAGCGTCTCCAGATTCGTTGGCAGTATCAATGCAATCCTTCCACATTCTGTCGTTCTTCGAAAGGTCGATCGATTGACTCCACTTCTTGTTGCAGCGGTAGACATAGGCAGAAATGCGACGGAACTCAAGAAGCTCATGTGTGGCCAGCTTGGAAGCAAGAGCAATCATGTTAAAGTTGTTAAAGCTGTCAATAGACTTGCGAAGTGCTTCATAATCTTCATCTTCAACGTAAAGTTCATTGAGTGCTTCGTTCACAGGGCTCAAGTTCAGCTTTTGGACATTCTTGAGGTAAGGTTGTCCAAGTTGAAGAGCATGTGGGCCGGTTCGTCGAAGTTGACTGACGACACGAGAGTGGTCAATGTTCTCCTCGGTAACTTCCATCAATCTTGTAAATTGATCTGGGTGATATTCGAGGTAGTAGCTGACAGCCTTATACATCAGTTCTGCGTTGCGAACCTTGATAACAGACTCCAAGAACAAATCATTATCGTAAGAGTTAGCTCTCTCCATCATGACCTTCAATGCATTGTCGTGTTGCTTATCATGCATGTACAGGTAGACAGCAGGGTCCCACAAACGGGCACGTTCGCACGCACGAACAACCTTGGACACATTGAGCTTACTGAAAAAGACCTTGCAATGCTCCATGGTTTTCTCAGGAACGTGCTTGGTGTAAAGAACACCCAATTCTGTGAAAATACCAATGTGAGCATCATCAAGACCAAGTCCTTGCTCGAACAAGGAAACAACGTGGTCGAAGTGACCCAAATCCGAATAATGGGACACAACCTCGTCGACGTGATCAGGGTACTTGATAACCTCAAGACCGCAAGTGGAGGCAAGTCTGAATTCGTCTGCTCGGAGGCAAGCAAAGCATACCTGTTTCCACGTTGAAACATTGTTGGCCTTTTGTGCCGCAGAAACGGCTTCCCTGTACTCTTCCAAGTGGATGTGACACAGTGCCAACTTGGAGTTGTTGTTGATACTCACGAACAGAATCTTAGCAGCAGGGTACAGACCCTCCGAGAAACATCTGTCTCCAATTGCTTGGATATTAGAGACATTGGGTCCAGAGACGAATTGCTCCAACTCAGTCAAGTTGTTGGTCTTTGCATAGGCATAGATTAGCTCAGTATCAATGAGGTTCTCTTGCATGTTCTTTCGGGCCATTTTCAAATATGGGATGAGTTCACTGTAGATCTCGGCTTCATTCGCTTCACTGCAAACCATGACGTATTCACTTGGATCATCGGCATTGATGTAGGACTCAATAGCATCAGCAGGGAACTTTCCTTCGATTTGAGCCTTTCCAAGCTTAGACCAGACGGGCTTCTCGTCGCATTGAGTGGCATAAGTCTTGGCTCTATCCAAGTCTTTCATGTAGTCCACAAGAACACCAATGGCAAGAACTTGCATGTCGGTTTGCTCCTCCTTGTCGGAAGTGTACTCGGGCTTCGAAAACTTGGTGTAGATGCTGAAACCTTCTTCGAAAAGGTTGTGGCTATCAGAGACACAAATCAATGCAATATCCTTGGCATCGAAATTGTCCAATTGATCAATGTATCCCGCTACACGAGTGGTATCAGCACGGATAGCAGTGAGGATAAGAAGGTTTTGAAGATTCTTGTTATCGGAAAAGTCCGACCCTTGGAGGACAACACGCTCAAGCAGACTGATGAGTTCACCTGGCATATCAGCAGCCATGAAAGCCTTGACAGTGCAGGAGACTTCGTCAGCAGAGGTACTCTCGGGAAGGGCCCATTCGACGATTTGGTCAATCAATTGGCGTCGGGATGTGTCCTCTTCGTCTTCTCCTTCTTCCTTGTTCAAAACCTTGGCCCAAAGTTCCAAGTCTTGACGTTCAACAAGATACTTGGCAAGATCTCGGTAAAGTCCATGAGTTTTACTGATCTTGATGAGTTCGTCATCACATTCACCAGCCCCCTTCTTGTAGGCAATGAAAGCGAGTTGGGGATCAAGCGATTCGCAATATGGACCCAACACTTTTGGTTCGTAGAACATGTTGTTAAGCAAGAAAGACTTTGGCTCACGGTTAAGAGTGATGTAGATCTTTCCCAGAGCATTGTGTGTTCCAGGTTCGGTGCTTCCAGTCGCCACACGAGCTTCGAGCCAAGGTTGCAACATTCTGAGGCGATTTCTGGTCTCAGCAATCTCGACCAATTCTTCAACGGGACAAGCGGTGCCAACAGCCATCAAGATTCTCTTGATAAAGTCTTCGTTCGCTCCCAGATCGAAAAGTTTTCCGACAACTTGAGGAGTCTTAGTTGGAGACACCTTGGTTACGTAAACCTCAATGTATTGCAAAAGACTGTTCAAATACAAGTACTCGGTTAGCTCATCAACAAAATCGAATCGGTCGCAAACGTGAATCAAAGGGCGAGGATCGGGCAACTTCGCTCCCTTCAAATATGCTTTGACTTCGTCAGCGTTGTAAATATTAGAGTCTCGACAGACTCGTTCGGCCTCCTTGAATTGTCCCAACATACACGAAGATTGGATGTACTTGAAGTGGACAAATGCATCTTCCGAGAAGTTGACAATCGCTCCAAGGTAGTAATAGAGACCTTCAGTGGCACGGTTCTGTTCAAAAACCTCAACAAGTTGCTCGGATCCAAGCTCTTCGTGGTATTTCTTGGCAATTTCCACGCAGACTTGCATGTTTTGAGGACCACGGCTCATCATATCCTTCAATAGGGTAATGCTTTGTTCTCTGTTGAGCTGTCCAAAGTAACTGACAACGAATTCGGAGCTCATTTGGTGGCTGTTCTTGAAGACTCTCTTGATATCAGCAATGTCGCTGTAATGCTCGGCAGCGCGTTGCCACATACCAGCTCGCTCACAAAGCTTGGCGACATGAGCACGGTCGTAGTGAGTAAGAGTTCCTTGCTGCATAATGGCATCGGCAACCTGAGGTGCACCTCCGATCAAGTTAATTTCAAGAAGTTTGGTTTGTAGGTAGCCATGTTCTTGTTTGTTGTCCTTCAAGGCTTCCAAAAGGAAAGCAGTGGTTTCTTGAATGCGGTTGCTACTAAGGAATGCTTCAGCTGTCTGTTGGATATCAATCATTGGGCCACCTTCGGCGCTAACAAGTCCCTTTGCGAGATCAAGAGCCCCTTGAGGATTGTTGAAGAGAAGCTGGCTCAGCATGGTAGTGTAGTCCATCTGAAAGCCCACACTGGTGGAGTATGGAACAATCTTGTCGTATTCACCTCGTTGGACAAAGCATTGGATAGCCTTCGCGTGAACTTCGGCGCGAAGGTACACACTCAAAGCCATACCAGCGTCTCTTGGCATGATTAGATCACCAAGGGCTTCGGAGCATTGGAGTTTGTCATCCTTCAGCCATTTCTCCATCAGTTGAAGTCTTCCTTGTTGCAAGACAGGCTTAGCAACCTCAATACTCTCTTGCTCGTTCAAACGACCAGTTTCCAAAAGTGTAGAGAAGTATTGCAAGACTGGTGGAACAGCATTTGGCTCGGCAGGAATCTGTTGAAATCGAGCAATAGTCGCTGGTGTTCTCAGAGCATTTCCGCTAGCAGCAACTACTTTGGCTGCTGCTGCCACTTGTCCAGTGCTGATGAGTCTCTCAAACTCGGCGGCAAAAAGATTCTCTGCTCCTGGCAAATTCAGGCGCCCGGCGACCTTCAAAGCAAGATCAGTGTCACGAAGAGTTTGGACAATGTAGGGAACCAAGGCTTGTCCGTTGAGTTGCAGACGGAAGACTGACCCCTTGCGAACAGTAATTCCAAAAATAGCTCCAGTAGAGTCTTGTGGGCAAGTGACAAAGATGGTGTCGGAAGTGACCTTGGCGCGGTACATGGTCTTTCCAGTGTGGCAGTCAAACATGTATGCGTATCCCATCTTTGTCAGCAAGAAGGCAACCTCGTTTTTTTGATCGATGGCAAGACTGACAGGGAAGTCAGCCATCGCATCGGCAGGCACTGGGATGACAACCGGTTGAACACCAAAGGGCGCTCCTTTTGCTGGGTCGCGTCCAATTTCCTTGATATACAGTTTTGGTGGCTCTTGTGGTGCCTCAGCCTTCTTTTCGTGAAACACAAGGATTTGCGCATCTTCTCGGCCAGGAACCTTGATTGTAGCGAAACTTCCAGCGTGACCTTGAAGTGGTTGTGACACTTTTCGCTCCATACTGAACAATTGCATGTTTCCGTTGACCATACCCCCAGCGCCAGCAGAAATGCCACCCAACAGACACCACTTGTTATCAGGAGACACTTTGTAATTGATGATTTGGGTATTGGCTCCAAGTGTAGCGTGGCGATCAAACACTTTAACGGGAGCGGACTGTGCGTCCAATGCCCAGTGGTAAACGGAAGTAGCAGTCACCAATGCCAAGTTTGTTGGACTAGACCACTTCCAGAAAACCAAAGGCTCTGGCATATTGTGGGATTTTAGCTTGGCCTTTGCTTCTAGATTGAAGATCTGAAGCGTGGTTCCAGATCTCAAAGCAAGAATATTTTGCTCCGGGTTCATGATGGCAGCTTCTGCTTGAATTGGACGACGAGTGACTTGTGCACCGTTGCGAAGATCAATCATGGTCACTTGGCTAGGCTCGACACAAATAATCCACTTATCGGATTCCATTGTGGTCAATCCATGCTTGATCGAAGTTTCTGGAACTCCAAGTTGTTGGAGCTGTGGCGAAATAAGATGGGAAGATTGAAGATATTAGTTTTTGACCAAATAAAACAAGATTCAACACAAACTTCACAGCATTGGCGAACAAGATCTCTTTGTCGGCAAATTGAGGGCATGTTCTCATCACCATTCAATCCACTTTTCACCGTATTTGTCTCAAGAAATCCAAGACTCGAGATTTTGGTCGTCACAGCCATGGTCATTGCCGATGTTTCACGAAGCTTGCAGATTTTTGATTTTTTCGTACGATTCCTACGACACGCTACGCGAACATGAAAAATGAATCCAAATCATTGGGGAACTCACGTTGATTGCCTCCGAGAAGATTACTGGAACGGCAGCCATCTTCAAAACTTCTATTCTAGGACGGGGTGTAAGAAGAAGAAAGTTGTCTTGTTTTTGTCTTGAGTTTTGGCAATCGAGTGTTTGGCAACAACACTCCTCTTGCTCGATATGTTGGATCCGTGGTTGTCTTTGCCAAGCCTCCGACAAAAGTCATCAGTACTCGTAGGAGTCAATCAGACCGTTGAGAATTTTTTTTACCGGCGTGTGCAGTACAAAATCTACAGCTTATCACGGGGCGGCAAGCATTACGTCAGCCACGATCGGCCGAGCACGGAAGCTTTTGTGGAAAGGTTCAGGTGCGCATGACAACGGGACTGAAATGAATAATGAATGAATGAACGAATGAATTCAAATCACTCGACTTGAATTTTTAATGATGATGATGATGATCTGTTTCCAAGAAAGGAGGAAAAGGACATCGGTCTAAATTCATGGTCAATATCATGGGATTAGTATAGTATAGTGTAGCATCGCATCATAGTAAGCGTCATAACATGAAAGGTAGTTGCGACTGTTGCAAAGAGTTGGAGGCTGCCATTTGTTACGGAATTTTAGACATGAAGGTGGTGGGCGGTAGGCACATCATTACGGAAAGATTATTGGTGAGATCGATTGAGCCTGCAAATATTAGAATCTCATGTCAAAAACGGTTGCAGCACTACCTAAACAGCAACGCTTTGAAAAACAAACAAAAAAGAAACCGATTTTTGGCCCTGCAACGAACAGATCAATCATCAAGTTCCTTTGTGCGAGGAGTGGAGAATGAGATGAAAACTGTTCGAAGTAAGCACAAAAATATGAATTTATTCCAGCCAACAAAAAGGATCAACCAACATCAATTCACACGGTGATCCAAATCAATACACATGTTTCGAGAATCAGCCCACATAGGCGCACACAGAACAGAAAACGTATACCCCAAACATAAAATTTGTTTGTTTCATTCCATTTGACTTTTAGTTTAAGCTTGTTCAGTTGCCAATCTTCTTAGACGTCCAATGGTACTGCGGGCAGTGACCCCACTGGCTGTGCTCAAAACGTATGCTCCACCCGCCATGGTCTTTCGGCAAGAGCGGCAGTGCCAGATGCCGGCACAAGTTCTCTTGACTGAATCCTTACCGCAGAAGACGCAACGGTATGTGGAATGTTGAGAGACCTCCATTTTTCGGACAATCTTACGAAGAGTGGAACCATATCTGGTTCCGTACTTTCCCGTGATTCCTGCCTTTTTGGTACGCTTTCCCATCTTGAATTACAAAATATAGCTGAACTGCAGTGACGAGAAATGATTGGATTAGTTTGTTGATTGGTTTGAATGACAGATGAAACGATGAAGTTGTTGCAGTCTTTCAGTCTCCAAAAAAGGATGCTTCTGACGAAACAATGTCGTCGTCACAGTAATAGAATCCCTATAGTACAAACTGTTGACCTCCCACGTATATTTCCAAGCGCTGTATCTCCACATCATAAAAGAATCTCATTTCTAACTCACGCTTCGACAAATTGCGTTCAGGTCTCGTCCTGCTGAAGATGTTGAAAGCTAGAAATTGGTCTTGCCGTAGGCTGGCACGAAATAGTTTTAGTAGGTGGTAAGAATGACCTAATATTTGGTACAGACCTAGTGTTTTAAAACTAAGAAATCGTCAGTTCGTACCGGTCGAACCACTTTGCCACTCTGGAGCAACATCATCAGGTGCTCCGTGTTAGGTACATGAGCTTAGTGACTGTATCCTCCAAGAACAGAAAAGTTCGATTTATGAGCCTTTTAAGATAATTGTAGTAGATTTGGACTATACGATACTACTCCACAATTGTGATAGTTAATGATTACTCATCCTATCGACCATGTAGTAGGTGGGACGACTAAAAAATATGGTCATCTCACATTAGGCGCACACTCAAACCGAGCTTATGACCCTGACCTCAAGAAGAAATGCCTACCGGTAGTGTTTAATTGAAAAAGTATTGAATGAACAACACAACAACTACTGTTTTGTAGCTACTCTACATGGTTGACATTCGAGGGACTCTTTCTCGTTGTGATTGATTGCTACAAACGCAATAATAGGGTTCAAGATTGGCTACGATCTGGACAACTACAATGAATAGCAGCATTGCAATAAGATGGTCGATCGGAGGAGTCAGTCGAGCCAAAAAAAGAAAAAGTGTACCGGCATGTATCTGATTTGCTCAAATCAAGGCGCAGTACGGTCGGTGCAGTGCAGGATCGGCAAGGATGCGCGCCGGTAGACCTAACGAATAGATTCTGCGATTTAAATCTGTACCAGGTGCACGTGCACATAGAGCCTTGGTGTACGCCAGCCTGACTCGCCAAGAAGCTTCCCGCCCGAAAGTTGCAAGATTGGAGCACGCCGACGTGCATTTGAACGGGGTTCAGTACTAACAAACGTCACCGGCAACAAAACGGACAAGCAATTCCGACCTTTCTCTTTCGGGGATAGTTGATGCATTAAAGGTGCGATACTGTAGGTGCAATAGATATAGGTCCACCTATACAGTACCGTAGAGACAATAGAAGAAAGATGGTGAAACTGTTCCTTCCGGTGTCATTTCTGTTGACATCGGCTGTTGGGATTGTCGATGGAGCAACCAAGCAGTTTAGACCAATTGAAACTATATTCAATGCATTTGTTCCACAAAAACCGACCAGTACTGAAAGAAATTACACAAGCATCTTGGACCCTTTTGCTCCTACAGCCGAGGAAAGGGAAGAAGAATATAAAGCTCGTCGCCAGCGCCAAAAAGAACGTAATGAACGGGTGAAGGAAATCTTCAAGAATGTGAAACCTAAGGATGTTGAAAGAGTTTCAGAAGAAGAATTGGAATCCATGGATAGTGAATACCTCCGAAAGCTTGCTTGGGGAGGATCCAAGTCTGGAGGAGAACTTTCTTATCTCGTAGATCCTGGCGAGGATTACGACATGTGGTCCCAAGCTTACAGAATGCTGGGAGGTTTCATTGATTGCGACAATGACAAGTCAGATGATGATGAGGGTGGTGGTAACTCCCATGATGGTGGTGGTGATGCGGGCGGAAGATGCTCTCGCTGGATGATGTGGGCATCGGTGAGTGAAAACTTGGATTCTATTGAGGGATGCAGTCATCCTGATTCCAACTTGTAACTAACACATAATGTTTTGCGCTGCAGTATGTTGACCCCAACTATCAAGGAAATGGCTACGATGAGTATTTTGGCGATCAACCTGTGGGAACACTAGATTGCCACAGACCCGATACACAATGGCAACTCATGGGAGTCTACCGTCAAGAATTTTATCAGTTCATCGAGCAGATCTCCAAGCATATGTGGGCTATCGATGAATATGAATACGTTGTTGCTCTTGCTGGACTTGCTTACATGACAGATGCTACCTGCTTTTATGTTGGAGACTCCAACAACGGAGAAGCAATCTATGCAGGTGTTGCCCCCAAACAGTACGGTAGATTCGAAATGGCTCTATACACTGACGATTACTGCTTGTTCCCCAACGACGATTTGGGCATGACATATGATGACTTTGGATTGACAAATGATGTTTCTTTAGGAGGCTCTGGGGATGGTGGCGGAGATGACGGAAACTGGGCAAGCGAGTGGTGGCAAGACACCGAAGAATACACTCTTACCCAACTCAACGATGTCTACGATACCTTCCGATACTGTACATCATGTATCGATTATCCAACGTATCAGGATGGTTATGTCATTGGCGACAACGGAATGGATGATGATGATTTGATCAACCAGTGCTGGAAGTTCTACTCTCACGACTCGTTTACATGTGAATCTGACTGCATCGCTAAGGGACACGCGCAAGGTACCATTCTCAGTATCGACGTTGGGGGCAAGTTCTATGGTCAAGTGATTCAAGAGTTCTGGGATGAAGCAAATCTTCAAATGGGGGAGAACAGCCAACAAGTTGAAACACAACTTAGTCGATTGCTGGCGAATGTTTTTGTCACATTCTCCTTTGTTGTTTTCGTTGCAACATTTCTCGCATTTGCCGTTGCACGAAGATCTCGGTACCGTGAGAGTCGTTCCTCCAAGGCACGGCGATTGCTGGGTAGCTCCAGAAAGCGCAGCAGCTCCCGAAAGCGCCGTTCCAAGAGCCGCGACAGAGGAGCCGATGGCATCATGCGTTCCAAGAGCGGTAGCCGTCGTAAGAGCAGGAGTCGCAGCAAGAACAGAGATCGTGACTACGAACCTCCACGAAGCGAGGATTAAGTTCGCTGCGCTGTTTTCACGACGAATACCAGCTACAATTTGATCGCCTCCAACGAAGATTGGAGAAATGAAGTAGTAACCTCTTTCTACCTGTTTTATTTAGATATCATTGCAATACTCTCTGTCTACTTTCTTCGCATGCTATAGTGTGGCTACAAAGTTGAAACTCAAGGTATTAGTTTAGCCCAAGCAAGATGCTGCATTGCTCTCGCCAAATTTCATCAAACACCGAGGGGGTGACATCTTCTCCCGCTTGTTTATCAGTGCACACATGAGCAGTTGCATATGACACATCCATTAAAAGATCAAATGTGTACGTGTATTTTGAGGAAAATGATAACGATAGTCGCAATGATGATGTACAGTAGTTACTCATGTTGTCCTTTCCATGTCTCATCCATCTAGTTTTTTCTATTCGAGTTGGATTGATCATTGCCTCCATCTCGGCCGCCACGGCCTCCTCTTCCACCTCCTCTGCCTCTTCCACCGCCCCTTCCACGACCTCGTCCTCCACGGCCCCCTCTCCCACGACCTCTACCGCCTCCACCGCGGCCTCCCCTTCCGCGACCTCCTACGTAATCACAACAACAGTGAGCTAACGAGTTATTTCGCTTCTAATGTCATTTATAAAGAATGCCCACTCACCTTGACGTTCTTGGTCCAGACCCTCATCCCTAGCTTTTTCAAGCAGTTGTGGTGGAAGTCGCAAGTATTTAATCGCTGATCCTCTGATGTAACACGTTGGTAGTTTCCAGAATCGATCCCCATCCTTGGAGGTACAAATTACTTCTGTTAAATTCATATTCATCCACGAGTCACACGATTCCAAACGTCCATTGTATGTATCACCTCCCTTGAGTTCAACCAACAGGGGAGAACCCGAAGCAACATTTAATAATGAAAGAGGAAGCTGTAAAGAAGAGAAATGGAAACATGAGATGGACTTCCTTTCCAAGGAGAATGCAAAAGACTCTGTGCCTCCTCACCATCTATGTGTATGGAACTTCAGTCTCTTGAGTATCTAAATAAGTGCTGGTTCTTCTTGCCTTTCCATTGCGCTGTCTTTTTCATCAATCTTCCGGTTGGCAGAAGAACGCAGAGGATTTCCAATGAAGAAGAGGTCCAATGAGTCAGTCGTTACCTGTTCGTCACATCCGGACGATGGATCGATCTTGAAGTTTTCCGATACGAGGACTGTGCACTTTTATCAACTGTCAAACTGACTGTCAATTCACTTTTTCCGCAGCAAACCCCACCATGAAGAGCTCTTCGACTGCATTTATATTGTTGCTGTCATCAACCGCAGTCCTGTCTGCTGCATTCTCCATGAATCAACCAGAATCGCAAAACCGAAAAGCTTTCCTTCAGACCACAGCATCAATCTTCGGCCCCTCGTTGATTGGGCCCACGCAAACATGGGCTGCTGAAGAAATCGTGCTTCCCGAAAAAGCTGCGGTGAAGCAGGCCTATGATGCAGTTCGATATGAACTGACAGACCCAAATGGTGGCGTGGCATATTTGCAAAAAAAGGCCGATGAAAACGACTTTGCTGCACTGATGGAATTCACACAGACATATGACCTAGAGTTCCGAAAACTCAAGATGGGCAAAGCAAAGAAGCTGCTCCAATCGAAGGAACTGAAGGAGGAAGCAACCGGCTACGCCAATGGAGTTACCTTTGATTTAATCGGAATCAACAGAAATAGTAGAAAGGGTCAAGAGAGCGTCGATGGGGTAAAAAAGTACATTCAAGAACTACGGGAAGACGGCAACAAATTCATCAACTTGGAAAGTACAATTCAAACGTCGGACTAGGAAAATGTGCTTCAACTTGATGTACTGGATTAGGTAGTTGCATTTCACCATAATTTGCCGACAAAATTAAGCAGCTATCTGAGAATCTACTAAGATTCGCAATTCATGGCGCATGTTGAACAATCAAATAGGTATTATCATCATAGCCACTTGTGAAAGATGCTTTCCACAAAGACATTTGCGGGTGGTGCACCTGCAAGTGTTGCGCCGTCTTCCTCAGTGATGTGCTTCAACAATGACATGATTACCAGCTTTTCAGAAAACATTTTGGATACCGTCTGGCCTTCGGAGTTTCGCTTGCATACAATATCGTAGCCATCACGATCTTCCTTGATCATGAAAACCATCCCCCCATCTACACTTCCCTTCTCGTTGGTTTTCTTTCGCAAGAATTTGACTTCGACTCCATTTTCTGTAGGCAAATATTGCAATGGTTGAACAGGGAGGACTGCTGCAAACGGGAAGGATTGTAAATATTTCGCAAGCTTTGCTGTCGCGGTTTCCTTCTCTCCATCGGTGATGGTAACATGGACGTTCATGAGTGTTTCTTCATTATCTAGTGATCGAGGACTAACGTCGTCGTCTCGTGAAGAGTAGAGCAATCTATCCCGTCCCAATTGGGATTCTTGCGAAGATGATCGTCTTGCTTGGAACGCTGAAGAGAGACAAAGAAAGAACGCAAAGATATTCGAAAGCAGGGTAAACACCTTCATTTTTCTTCGTGTCATTAAATTTTGTAATGTTTGACTTTCGAAGGGCAGACGGACTGACGATTGTTTTGTTACTTTTACTACCGGTACTGCAGTCACTCTAGAGAGCTCTACTTTCGGGCGCCTCGCTCTCTTCCACTGCCGAAATCGAGAGACTTGTAGATAAATTTCAACCACTCTGGTTGATTGGATTTATCTTGCGTTTCATCATCATCATTATCAACGAGGAATGCAAAGCCGTATGCACCGCTGACAACCAGAAAGTTTGCTGAAGAAATCACCACTAGGTAAGGCTTTGAGGAGAAAAGAAAACTTAACTGGCGTAAATCAACACTTACCCAGCCAAATCAGCCCTGTATCCTTGGTCGCTACAGGGGCAATGATGGATATAAGTGGGGTCCCAAGGAAGGCGATATCCAGAGCCCTTTTCTCTGCGCCGGAGGGTCTTCTTGATCTTAGGGAAGGGACGATGAACAACCACCAGAACCAGTATCCTAAAACTTGAATGGATATGTCCCTATGTAGTTTGAGCTAGCAATCAGATACCATTCGGTATTGGCTGTATACACACTTGTCTTCACTTACATGTTGTAGGAGTAGAACCAGCTAAATCCTCCAAACAGAACACTTGGATTTGTTGCCATGATATAGCTTACACCAAGACTGATAACAGCTTGACCTACGAAGATATTCTTCAACCAGTCTCGGAACACACTGCGGCGTTCAATGGCCAAATCGGTCTCTTTCTTGGAAATCTTTGCCCTAATTTTCTCGGCTTCTTCTCCACCGCCGCCTCCGTCACATTCTTCAGTAGACAGTCCAGCCACATCCAAGTCATCGTTACCTGTCAAGGAAGCCAGCTCAATTCGAAGGTTGAATAGATCTCGCTCCAAGTTGACCACCTTCAAGTTTACAACAATATGAGAAACAATGATCAAACGACAGTAGCTCAATTCTTTCTATCAAGAGGCAGAACACGCACCTTTGCAGGATTCAGCAAGTCATCCAAACCGAACCCGTAATCTGCTAGAATAGCAGCATCAATCTGTTTTACAAAAGGATCTTCCGAGGTCATCTCTCCATCATCAATTGGACTGGCCCATCCGACCTTTTGAAGAACTTCCCTGGCCTCTTGTTGAACATCATCGGCGAAAACACCAGTTTTTTCGTCGGGATCTGCCGACAAGCTGCGGACATTCAAGTTCCTCGATACCAAGGAGTGATGTGAAATAAAGCCCTCCGTGGCGGCGATTGTGAAGGCAAGTAAAACAAGGGCTTTCTCCATGGTTGCTTTGTTAATTTGTGATTCTTCAGTGTTGACAAGTCATGGTGGAGGATGAAACTGTCCGTCGATTAACGGACAACTGACGTCATGCTGTATGTAGACTGTAGACTGTAGGTTCACACACAAACCTTCTTTTCCACGAAACTTCACAACATTCACTATGCGCTCCCAAATCCTTTGTCTTTTTATTCTCGGAAACGTCTACTCCTTCACCTTCAACAACTTCAGTCTCATTCGACCGTCCGAGCTTTACGCGGAACACTTTGAAGGCAGAGTCGTTGTTTGCACCGGACCAACGTGTCGACGAGGTGGAGGCAAGAAGAATCTCGAAATGTTCAATGAATTGGCTCCTGAAGGCGTCACTATCGAATCTATAAATTGCGTGTCAGACTGCGCTGAATGCGGGATGGGACCCAACGTCGAGCTCCGAGCCCAGGGAGATGATGGGCCATTCTACCCTATCAAGAATGGCGTTAAGACGGAAGAAGATGTCAAGAAGATTCTCGGGATTGAGTAATTTTTATCATCTGACATAAAACTATAGATTTCATTTTCCTATGTACAAGCATCTTAAGGTGCAGTACCACATCGTACTCGTACTGTAGTTTGCGTTTGGAGTCTGAATTCAAACCTTCCACACCCAATAAGTTGTTGGGGGATGGTTTTATCTGGGGGGGAAAAGATCCCAAAAGTAACTAGAATAAGTTTTGGCATGCGCACCTCTCGAAAACACTTTTGAAACAACGGATCATCCGATCAACAACTGTACTGCTTGCTGATTATTTATTCTCATTTTGGTGGATCGACCACACTGCGACTGCAACTCCATCAATCAGTACAGCACGATCACTTATGGAGAGGCGTAGTGTCTACCGAAGATCTTCGGCACACGGAACTTCTCCATCTGTTATGAGATCTAGATCTGCCGAGCGAACCGTAGTCCAGGATGACGAAGAGGCTTTGACTGTCGAAGTGGAAAACTTGGTTTGTGAGGATGCTTGGGAATCTCCAATGTCGGGAGGAAGCAATCGCGATCTCTTATCAGAGTCCACTCGGAGTGCATCTGCTCGAAAGTTGCACCGTCGAGCCATGAGTGACCCCTTCGATACTGCTGATTCCCAGGGATTTCTCGAAGAGAATGCTCAGGAGGTGGATGAGGAGGAAGAAGATGAACACGTGCTTGCTACTTTACCGAGATTTCCATATGCGGAAACAAACAACAAAAACTGCTGGTCCGAGACCCCAGTAAAGATATTTTCTGTAAGAGGGGAAAGCTATTTGAAAACGAAAAAGAAAGTGAACGCTACAGAATACCTGTTGCATGCGAGAGGATGTGACTTGTTTGTGTCGCACAATCCAAGTAAAGTTGAATTGTCACAGTAAGGAGCCGATCAGTTGATTTTCTTGCAGTTCGGTCGTTTGCAGTCGTTCTAACTAGGACTTGTCGTTGTTGTGTGTGTGTCGTGTGCGTGTGTGTGTGTGTGTGTGCAGCATTCATGGTGCTCTGGGAGGAACCTTCCGGCACGTCCCATCCTTGCTGATCCGACTAACCTTTCCCTGGGGAATGCTGTTACAATATTACGAAGTTTCGGCGAATATGCTACCATTCATGCGAGGAGACCAATCGGCGCCGACGGATCATTTGACGAAACAGGAGAAAACATTGGCACAATGGCTGCTGGGTGATGATAATTACAAATCTGCTCGATTGAAGCTAATCCCAAATGTTGTGGAGGGACCATGGATCGTTCGAAATCTTGTAGCAGGTACCCCTACAATAATCGGGAAGAAGGTACCTATGAGCTATCAATACGTTCCCAAAGATGGTTCTCTACAGGACTTTTTTGAATGCAACTTGGATGTTGGGAATTCCACAAAGGCCGCCCAAAAGATTGTTTCCGTGTGCCGACGTTACATGACAGCCTTGACAGTCGACATTGGATTTGTAATCGAAGGGACGGCAGCAGACGAACTGCCAGAACAAATGATGGGTGCCATTCGAATTCATCAAGTCGACAGTGATAAAGCACCGACAGTGCAATAGAATAATGTTAAGTACTTTAGAAACTCCTTATGGCTGTGTGCGGAACTTTGTGAAAAACGATACACGTTATTATTTGGGTTTTTCGTTTCGTTCGTTTGTTTTACAAGATTTGTGAGATTCGACCAGTTTGACCTAACAATGACTTTTACTGCGCGAAAAGTGGTAGAAAACGTACCAGCGGCAGTGTTGGATCAACAAACTCAGGCATAGTTCAACGATGTTGACCAAGTTCGAATCGAAATCAGCCCGGGTCAAGGGCTTGGCGTTTCACCCTGCTCGACCCTGGGTGTGCGCATCCTTGCACAATGGAGTAATTCAACTGTAAGTTGCTTTCGGATTTTTTACGCAACCTAGATCGGCATCGGTTGTTGTTGCAAATGCCAATAGAGCCAGACTCAAACCTTATGTATGTCTTTTACTTTTCAGATGGGATTACCGTGTTGGCACCGTAATTGACCGATTCGAAGAGCACGATGGACCAGTCCGTGGCGTTGATTTCCATGTTTCAGAGCCCTTGATTGTGTCTGGAGGTGACGATTACAAGATCAAAGTTTGGGATTACAAATTGAAAAGATGTCTCTTTACACTTCTGGGACATTTGGATTATATTAGAACAGTACAATTCCACCCAAATCCTTCCCAATTTCCCTGGATTTTGAGTGCTAGTGATGACCAAACACTTCGACTTTGGGATTTCCACAAGAGAAGTTGCTTGAGCGTTTTGACCGGTCACAACCACTATGTGATGTGCGCTTCATTTCATCCCTCTGAAGACCTTATTGTTAGTGCCTCTCTTGATCAAACAGTTCGCGTTTGGGATACAACAGGGCTTCGAAAGAAGCAAATGGGAGAAACAATGATGGATCCAATGGCTGCACGTGCGGCTACCAGTTCTGCTGCCATGAACGTCCAAGCAGAGCTTTTCGGAACCAATGATGTCGTGGTGAAATACGTTTTGGAGGGTCACGATCGTGGAGTCAACTGGGCTTGCTTCCACCCAACCCTTCCTCTCCTTGCCAGTGCGGCCGATGATCGTCAAGTCAAGCTTTGGAGAATGAGCGAAACAAAGGCTTGGGAGGTAGACACGCTCCGAGGACACGCCAACAATGTCAGTAGTTGTTTGTTCCACCCCAAGCACGACTTAGTCATCAGTAATAGTGAAGATCGCAGCATTCGTGTCTGGGATGTTTCCAAGCGTGTTGGAGTTCAAACATTTAGAAGAGAAGGCGACCGCTTTTGGATCCTTGCTGCCCACCGATCACAAAACTTGTTGGCTGCTGGACACGACAGCGGTATGATCGTCTTCAAGCTTGAACGTGAACGTCCTGCTTCTGCTCATGGACCAAGTAACCAACTATATTATGTCCGTGGCAGAGAACTATTCATGCACGACTATGGACGCGCTCAAGGAGGAGTCGATGTTCCAATTGCAAGTCTCCGACGAGTCGGACAACAGGCACAAACTGATGGTATTGGGTCCGCTCCACGACACTTGGCATACAACCAGTACAATCCTGCTGAAGGAAATATCTTGGTTTGCAGCGACATCGATGGTGGTAGCTATGAATTGATCACCTTCTCTTTAAACAATGCTGGAAACAGCGTCACCGATGGAAAGCGCGGATCGTGCATGGGACCTGCCGTCTTCTTGGGACGAAATAGATTTGCTGCCTTGGATCGTCACCAACGACAGATCATTGTGAAAAACTTGCAAAACGAGACCACCAAGCGCGTCCAACCTCCAGTCGCGAATGTTGAAGGTTTGTTCGATGGAGGTACCAGTGGTCGTCTCCTATTGAAGGCCGAGGACCGAGCGATCCTCTTTGAAGTACAATCTCGTCGTGTTTTGGGAGAAATTACTGCACCAAAGATCAAGACTGTCGTTTGGTCCCCTGATGGTTCCAAGGTTGCCATTGTTTGCAAGTATGGTGTTGTCATTGCCGATCGTCAGTTGGAGCAACTCTGCAGCATCTCTGACAATGTCAGAATCAAGTCTGGAGCTTGGGATGTCAGTCCTACCGGAGGAACCGCTTCTCAACTCTTCTTGTACACCACTTTGAACCATGTGAAGTACTGTTTACCTTCTGGAGATACTGGAACTATCCGCACACTGGACACGCCTCTCTATGCCATGCGCGCGGTAAAGGATCAACTATTCTGCTTGGATCGCGAAGCACGAGCTCGGGTTCTTTCAATTGATACCACCGAAGCTCGCTTCAAGCTCGCTTTGGCGAACAAGAAGTACGGCCAAGTTATGCACATGGTCAAAAATAGCCGTTTGTGTGGCCGTGCCATCGTTGCATACTTGCAATCCAAGGGATTCCCGGAGGTTGCGCTCCACTTTGTGCAGGAGCCAAAGACTAGATTCCGTTTGGCACTTGCATGCGGTGACATTGAAGCTGCCATGGAAGCTGCTTTTGCATTGGAACAGCAATCCGAATCTGGTCGTGAAATCTGGGGACAACTTGGAAGTGAAGCTCTTCGACAAGGAAACCACCAAGTGGTCGAGATGTCTTATCAACGAACAAAGGACTTCGACCGTCTCTCCTTCTTGTACTGTATCACTGGAGACACGGATAAGCTTCGCAAGATGTTGAAGATTTCGCAAATGCGTGGCGATATCATGGGACGCTACCACAATGCTTTGCTTCTCGGAGATGCTGCGGAACGTGTTTCTGTTCTAGAAGCAAGTGGCAATCTGCCCCTCGCCTATATGTGCGCTCGCCTCCATGGTCTTACTGAGGAAGCTGAACGCGTCAAGGTTGCCATCGAAACCAACGAGGGAGATATGGAGAGTCTGATCGCCAAAGTTGAAGCCTGCGAAGCCGCTAACGACAAGTCCGCCGCCAAGCTTCTTCAACCCCCAACACCCATCTTCCGTGCCGAAAACTGGCCAACTCTTGAAATTCCAAAGTCTGCCCTTGCCGATTTGACAGCAGCCGTTCCAGAAGACCCAGAGGAGGACCGTACCGATACTCTTCATGTCGCACCTGCCGCATCCTCTGCAGAGTGGGACGACGACATGGACGCTGGATTCGGAGATGATGCTGGCCCAAGTGCCAACCTTGCCGCCGACGATGATGACTTTGACTTTGGAGGTGGTGATGACTGGGGTGATGAGGATTTGGGTGATCTTGGTGATGACTTTGGTGATGCCGAGGTGGAGACTGAAGATGAAATGGGAGCTATCTCCGATGACACAGGATTCCAAATGCCTGCATCTGGACGTCTTCCAGCCAGTTGCTGGGTTTCCAATAGCTCGCATGCTTCGGATCATGTAGCTGCTGGAGGAATGGCATCTGCCTTGCAATTGTTGAACCGTCAAATTGCAGCTTCTGACTTCTCTGTGCTCAAGGATTCGTTGATGGGATGCTACCTCGGTTCCATGATCAGTGTTCCAGGTATGTGTATTAGGTTTATCGGGTGATGCGGGCCCTCGAGTTTCTAACTAGTCTTCTTTTCTTTCAACATCAGGTATTCCAGGAAGTGGAAACATGGCAATGCCACTGTTGCGAAATGACTCTGCTGGACACCCTGGTCCAGAATCGCTGCCACGAACCTACCTCACAGCAAAGGACTTGGTAACAGCCATTCGCAATGGATACAAATTCTTTCAGGGAGGAAAGTTCAACGATTCCCGAGCAACCTTCCTCGATGTCTTGCACAAGATCCCAGTTGTTGTTGCTACTACTCCTCAAGAGCAAAATGAAGTCAAGGAAATGGTAACCATCGCCCGAGAGTACATAACTGCTATCCGTATCAAGGGAGCCATGTCAGAAGCTGGATCAGACCCTGTTCGTTCGACTGAACTTGCTGCCTACTTTACGCACTGCAATCTGCAGCCAATACACTTGTTGTTGACTTTGAGAACAGCCATGGGTGCAGCATTCAAACACAAGAACTACATCACCGCCGCTAGCTTTGCCAGAAGGTTGCTGGAGCTTCCTGACATTAGCAACCAACGAAATGCTGAACTCAAGTCCAAGGCAATGAAGGTTCGCCAAAAGAGTGAACAAATGGCCCGGAATGAACATCAATTGAACTACGACGATACCAAGAGCTTCGTAATTGACTGCCATGCATTCGCCCCAATATACCAAAATCAGCCATCTTCTCTATGCCCATACTGTGGTTCTCACTATGCGGAGAACACCATGACCAACAGTATCTGCGACAACTGTGGTTTGTGTATAGTCGGTGTCAATACCCTTGGTCTAGTCACTGGTTAAGGTAGCACTTATTTTATCGTACCACTGTCGACGAACGCAATTTTAGCACCCTTTCCATTCAGCACCAGTTGTATGGTACCTTTGATCCTGCTGTAGGGTGCAACGGTACAGTATGGTACCAGGTACAGTGCGATCTTTTTTTTTTATAGCGCGAAGTTCAAAAAGTGGAGACATCGCCGTGACATACCGTCACTTCGGTCAGCGACGTAATGCAAAAAAATTGTGATACGACTCCACCGATTTCTTCGCGTTGGCGCATCTGATTGGTCTATCACTCCTAAGTATTCATGTCCATCACAGTGCTGCCAGGCCCATCCTGCGCTGTAGGAGTCTACAGTGCTTTGAAAAAAATAGATAGCACTGGTTTCAGATTTCGCCATCTCCAAGGCGACGATTTGGAGGGATCTCACCAGCGTCAAGAGAGCTTCTTCGGGCATCAAAGATGGCATCTTTGCCTCCGTATTCTACTTTTCGGACGGACAGCAAGGTAGGGTTGCAAACAGGCAAAAATTTGCTGTGAAATCGAAGCGTAGTGACTTGTAGAGCGACTGAATTCGCTTTGGTTCCAGGAAACCTCGTTTGATGTCTCCATTTTGCGTCCTTATCCAAAACAGCCAGCGCAAATATGCTAGCTGTATTTTATCTGAAGCCTGTCAGAAAAAATCGGAAGCGCAATGGTCGATTGTGGCGAGAATCGCGCCTCTGCAGCAAGTTGAACGGTGCAGCTGACGCAAAATCTTTTCCCAATTTTCCAGCTGGCCGTAGGCTGCGTATGTTTCGTACGTGGATGTAGTTTCACGACGTCGATTCCATGGAGTCCCCGACCATTGGAAAAATACAGATCGTCATTTCAGGAGGCCAGCAATCCTTGAATCTATCATTCCTTCTACGTTCACTTTCAACTAACGATACAACAAACCTCAATACTGAATACTAACCTTATGTCTTTTGATGAATCCGTATCGATCTAACTTGCATCAGCAAATGATGTTTCCACAGGCACAGTCGCATGGGGTAAGTTATTTGGAATGAGAATGCAACAGTGGTCTTGCATTTCATCTCACCGTTCGACCAACCCAGAATGTCCTTACGTTCACACCGCCTGGATTCAAGCAATCTTTGAATGTCAAGTTTCCAGACAGTCGGTTACCGGTCTGCGAAAAGTGCAAGAAGAACTTTAAAACTAGGGATATGTGTCGTGTTCGCAACGGACATACAGCGGCACCTTGGACAACTGCTTTTATCTGCATGACTCTGGACGATTCTTGCACCGATGCTCATGGAAAGTATGTAGACAAGCCCTTTACTGTCCGCATGGTTCCATGGCAACCTTACTGCGTGAAGGAACCCTTTGACCCTAAAACACCCGTCTGTGCTGGGTGCAAACGAACCAACCGAACGCGATCATTCTGTCGGGAACGGCATCGACATCGACAACTGCCTTGGTGCACAGTCTATTGTGTATTGAGTGCAGTCGACACGGTAGACGCCAATACCATAGTTGCTGCACCTAGTAGGCCGGTGGAAGAGTCATCCAAAAGTGAAAATGATAAGGATAGCCCAGTTAAAGAGGACGAATCCAAGGAGGCATCTTCGCCCGCCAATGGAGAAACTGAGTCGAAATCTGATTCTACCAAGGAAGGGGACGAGAACACTAAGCCTGCCGAAAAGGGATCATCAGGGGAAGGTGATGATATCCACCAAATTCCAGACAGCAGGACTTTCTTGGCAAAAGTATCTTGCAAGTCAATCTCGATACACTGGCTAGAACTTGCAGAATCTGACGGAACTGACGTAGGGGTCATTCCTAACATGCACCAACATGTGGATCCGAACGCATATGCCATGGGCCCAGGGGGGCCTGGCATGCCAATGCCACCAGATCCAAATCATCCGCCATACTACCACCATCCAAACATGTATGCTCAGCAGCATCCACATTCATTAAAGAATCAACAACAGTACTTCTTTCCGATGCAACGACACCCATCACCGTATGCAACTTCGTGGCCACCGCACCATTACCAACAACACCCACACATACTGCATGGACAACAACTTGCTTCGCCACCCGGTGCACCTCCGCCGCCACCACCTCCTCAAGGTGAAGGATCGTCGCCACCATTAGTTACGGCTGGTGAAGCCGCAGCTCAGCAACTCAAGAGGAACAGGGAAGATGATCGCGGGCAAAGCCCAATGCATCATCCACCTCCAGGGCATCCTCACGGACCACCACCTGGACCTCATGGCCAACAACAGCAGTGGATGTTGTACCAACAAATGTACCAGTCCGCTTTACCGCCCATGTCACACGCATCGGCCTATCCACCGCAAATTGGACGACACATGCCTCCACCTGAAGGAGGTCCACCCATGATGCATCCACCAGACAATCCATACAACAGGCCGCAATCACCACCAAACGGCAAAGAACACGAAGCAGATCCCAAGCGCCAGCGGCTCGGCTAACCACCAACGATGGATTTTCTCTCACCAGGGACATACTGAGAACGCATTCCAATCGTTGTTGTTGTTAGGGGGTCAATAGATTAGACGATACAAAACAAAGGACACGAGACCTTTTCCACGGGGAAATAGAATAATTTTACTATTCACGTATAACTGCTTACAGTGATCAACGACTTTATCTTATTTCTGATCCTTGTCGATTCTATTTCTTGCTCATGTATCCGAACTCGATTAAGCGGTCCTCATTCTTTCTCCAATCCTTGTTCACTTTCACTGTGAAAGGGAAATTAGATTAGTCCTACCAATCGCTATTGCTTGCGAAGACGAAACAAAAGTAAACATACCAAATAGCTCCAGGAATACTTTTTCTTGCAAAAACTTTTCAATCTTATCTCGCGCTAGGACACCGACAGCCTTGACTTGTTCCCCTCCTCGTCCAATGACAATTTGCTTCTGGCTCTCCCGTTCGACGTAGACTGTCGCCTTGATTCGATTGACCTTTTTCTTTTCACTTTCCTTTGGTTCTTTGAATTCATCAATTCTGACTTCGCAGCAATAGGGTAGCTCCTTCTTGAGCGTTTCAAATATCGATTCTCGAATGAGCTCAGAAACAAAGAACCTATTTGAATAGAAGAGGAGCAGAGAGGAAGGTTGAGCCGTGATTGGGATAGGATTTATCTTTCCCACTTCGATACTTCTCCTGCAACGTACCTTTCGGATCTGTCTGTTAGTATGTCTTCCTCATATAACGGAGGCCCTGGTGGTAAAAGTGACTTGGCCTGGTCATCCGATATGAATTGGACGCCGTCTTGAAACATGCCGGGTACCGGTCGCCCTAGCTTTCGAATGGCAGCAGATATATCTTCCCCTCCGAGCAGCAGTTGGCGCAGCAAGTTGACCCCTTCGTTCTCTGGTCCCTCAGAAGCAGCCACTGGGATTATTGCAAGAGCGTCTGGCAGTAGTGATCTCCACTTGGCCACAGCTTCTGGGACGGTATACGTTCGACCCTCCTCTTCGCTTTCATCTGAATTTCGGTTGGCTTTTCCGACAAGATCGATTTTGTTGATTGCTACCACAATGGGCGCTCTACTTTTCTTCACTTTTTGAAAGATTTCATCATCAGGAATTGGGCTGCTGAACAAATCTGTTACGACCATCAAAACATCCGAGTCATAAAATGCTGTCATGACTGCTTCCATCATACCCTCTTGGAGCTTGTAGGCAGGATTTTCGATGATTCCAGGTGTGTCAATCAAACATAGTTGAGCCTCAGCTGTTGTCAATACGCCCAGAATAGCGTGACGTGTTGTTTGAGGCCGCCGAGTGGCAATACACAAATCTTCTTTCAACAAAGCATTCAGCAGCGTACTCTTTCCCATATTGGGAGCTCCCAGTATACTGGCGAAGCCACATCGGAAGTTGTCTCGCATTGGAAGTCTTCCCTCATATTCGAAGCTCTTGTCAAGATCTCTCAAAAGTTCGCTCTTGTCTCCGTTTGAATCATCCTTTCCAATCGACGTTGCTGTCTCTATTCTTTGATTGTTGAGTTTTGTGGGCGTATTTCTGAGAAATCCTGATGATGGAAGACAAAAGAGAGATAACGAAATGAGGATCAAGTTTGACATGTTGTTATTGTTGTTGTTGTTGTCATCAATTTGACGGTTTGGTTTTGATTCCGAAAAAAGGAACCCAAATCTGAAACCGTCGAATGGAACTGATGCGTCCAGCCAACTTCCACGAGGGACATGACAGACGTCATCCAACTTCAGCGATTCACAGGACTGAATTCAGTCGTGCAGTGGCTGCATTGTCTGTCAACCTTGTTTGTCACCTGGCTGTCACGTCATGAGAATTCCGACTGCAGGCGTGACGACAGCAAAGACACCGAGAAAAAGGAATCTTCTCGGGGTGGAAATTCTGTGCACGATGATTCTGTAGCGTCATTTCATTCAATACACTGGAGACTCTGTTGAAGCGCAGCTCTTCCACTATACCAGTACGAACAAAGACAAATCTTGCTAGGAACGACTACTGACTCATCAGCTGCTATTGCAGAGCATCCCAACAAGCACATCACTCATAGTTACTCCAAGCTGCTATCATAGACAATGTCGCGACGAGGCCGAATCCCTTTCACTTCAACCTTCATCTTGTGCTTCTCCCTTGCGATCCTGGGTCCGTCCCGTGGCTTTCTTCAATCTGGAGAATTATGTCGGTGTACGTTCATTCAGCTCTTTTTGCTCCGAGATTTTTACTGATCGCATAACATGCTCACCTTCTTTGCTTTTCTCTGCTGCGGAATGTATCCATGTTGAACTTCTAATAACAGCTCCCCACAATTTGCAAAAAAGTACCTTAACTTCGCTATGTGCAACAATTCCCAAATCAAAGAAAAAGCCGAGAAAAAGGCGCGTCAAGCACAAAGCGTCTCAAGGAAGTCCATTGAATTTGAACGAACTTTCAGATCATGTCTCAGAAAGCTACATTGCTAGTCGGCATGGAACCATAGGAAGCAAGGCAATGTCTAGGGGTATTTTTGATAGAGGGGATGGCATTGATGAACAAGCAGAGTCCCTCAAACAATTGAATGCCCGACCTGCATTGGTCCTCAATGCCGACTATCAACCAATGACTTACTTACCGCTTAGTCTGTGGTCGTGGCAAGAAGCCGTCAAGGCTGTCTTTAATGGCAAAGTTCAAGTTGTCGATGTCTACCCCGATATCACTGTCCGAGCGGCTAGTCTTGAAATCCCCCTTCCAAGTGTCATTGCATTGACCGAATATGTCAGACCAGCTAGCACGACACCGGCATTTACGAGACGCAATGTCTTTCTCAGAGACGAATATCGATGCCAATACTGTGGGGAGCATTTCCACACTGCAGATTTGTCATTGGACCATGTTGTACCAAGATCGCAGGGAGGTGTATTGAGTTGGTACGTCTATGGTGGCTCTCTACCTCAAAAGCAACAGGGCTGGCTGATTGAGGCTTTTTTTCCCTTACATTTCATTGATTTTCGTCCAACAGGGATAACGCAGTAACATGCTGTAAGAAGTGCAACGGTAGAAAGGGATCCACACCAGTATCACAGCTATCAAAGATTGGAATGCGACTTCTGAATCCGCCACGAGCTCCTACACAAATGCAGCTTGCAGCCAAAGCTGCTAAAATGGTTCCCAAACGTGTCCATCCCACGTGGAAGCCCTACATTGGACTCGCAACCACTCCATCTTCCTTCTCGTCATCTGATAGTGCATCAACTGGTGACGAGCAGTTCATTGATGATCGCTACTTCGAAGAGTGAACAAAGCATTAAAGGTGTTTTGCAGTGGATGTTTTGGTGACCAATGTGTAGATTTAGGTTTGGCTTTTATTCTTCCGTATAGAGTATTCAAATTTAGATTTGAATGGTATCGTATGACGGTGTTAGCATGCTAAAATACAGATATTGGTCTCTTTCTAGTTCTTGACCCACGAATCTTGACACAAAATTAGCGGTCCGATATTTTAGTTTGGAAAAAAGTTATAGTAAGATTGGACCCGTAAGGAAAATCTCATTACAATCCTGCCAACTCTGCTTCCAGTGCCTTGAGGTCGTCTTCTTCCTTCTTGGCAAGTGCTGGCAATTCGTTTCTGGGAGCATCTGGTAACGAAAAGGATGATTCTGCGGTTGGTGGTGGTTTGAGCAATTCGGCCTCCAAGTCTGCTGTTTCCAGATCGTTGAGTTCCGCCAACAAGTCATCTTCATCTGCCATAAGAAGCGGATCAATAGGTTGGGCAATGGCATCGTTGATTTCTTGCGCCAATTCCATTTCTTCCTTGATTTCATCCATGACATCATCAACCTTTTCTATTCCAACATCGTCTCGAATCTTTGCCATTGTCTTTGTACCTGCTTGCATTGCTTGGAATGTCATTGCGTTTTGTGCGGCCGATTCCAAACTAATTACTTGTGTTTCAAGAGTCATCTTGACATTCGCAATCTTGTCTTGCTCCTGCTCGTATAACTTTTTTCGTTTCATTGCAAATAGAGCACCTATCCAACAAATGAATAATGAAAAAATCAACCAATCGAAGAAGGCAAGAACGACAAGGATAAATAAGCATATGCCAGGAGTGGATTGAAAATAGTGGTCGTTGACTGCATGTCAACTTACCTTTCTTGTCACCCTTTGACATCTTGAGTTTCGCTTCCTTCACAATTTGATCAATCTTCTTCTGCAAGTGCTCTTCTCTGAAGACATCAAACACAAGAATCGAGGTTGGGGGTTAGCAACATCATCTTGCAGTGCATGAACATCACGACTTGACTTCACGTCCCTGGAATTTTGTCTTGGCGGGACTCAGCCTCCAATACAAAAATAGAAAATTGGAATAAGAAATTACGGACCTTTTTTCTTGATTGGCGATGGTCTCTCTCAGTTTGACGACAGTTTGTTGAGGATCAGTCGCCTGTCTGGTGGAAGTTGCAGACACCGTAGACGTTGGTGTCTTCTTCTTTCCAAATAAGTTCATCATCTTGAATTTGTTGTATACCGGTATATAGCGTCGCCAAGGGGAGTACGATGCAGTGAATCGCGTTTAATCCACAGTGGCAACTGAAAGTGAAGAAGGCAATGGATGGGCTTTTCCCGAAATTCGTTTCTCGCTGGCCTGCGATTCGATTCGATCCGTTGAAAATGAGAATCCAGTCCTGTTTGTCAAGCAGGCCGTTTGTCCGCTGCTCTCACTTTGAACTTTGCGTTTGCGTCAATATTTTTGTCGATAACCCGGAAGTAGAACGATGACGCAGGCAAAGATTTTTGGATTTCCTCATTATTTGCGAGCTCCTCCCCAATCAAATCGGTCAAATCCCAGTAGCAGTTTGACGAACAAACGTACGAAGTTCTGCAAGGCAAGCCTTCCCTTCTGACGATCGAGAAAAGATAGCCAAAAGCTCGACAGAAAACCGGTTTCCTGTGTTGAATCCTCACTGACACTATAACAGCTGCCCTCCGCCAACCGTGATATTACTTAGGCTCCTACCTCTCAATTATCACTACTGATTGATTGTTGACTGTTGATTGTCGATTCTTCCATCATACCAATTACCTACCATACTAGAAGAATGAAGTTGTCTGTTTCCATTTTGTTTGCGACTCTTGCTTTGAGTTCCGCCTTTGTCCCATCCACCGGTGTTGCCAGCCGATCTGTCGCCATGGACCTTGTTTCCACGACTGAGGTTACAAATCCCGACGCCTTCACAAAACCTGACCGTATCATCATGGAAAAGCTTCCAACTGTATATGTTTACGATCACTGCCCATTCTGCGTACGTGTTCGAGTCGCATTGGGCCTCAAGAATGTCAAGCATATTGTCAGCTTCATGGCGAATGATGATATACCTACTCCTACCGCGCTTGTTGGCAAGAAAATTGCCCCTATTTTTGTAAGTGTTTATCATTGACCGCTTTTCCATGAGTGGTTGAAAATCCAAAGAGTATTCGGCAGATAACTGACCTCAGGGTTCTCATTTGGCTCTCTTCTTTAACAGACCTTCCCTGAAGGTGATATCACCATGGCAGAATCCATGGATATTATCAAGCTCATCGATTCTGACGAACGGTTTGGTCCGACTGGTATCTTGAAACCATCCAGTGGCCGAACTGATCTCAAGGAATGGCAAAAATCTGTCCAAAGCACTTTACGAACACTTCAACGACCACGCTATGTTGCAACTGGTCTTTTGCCAGAATTCACACAACTTGATGCCCGACATGCTTTTATCAAGGGACACCAATTGCCACCATACGACAAGCCAGAATGGAGAGAGGAGTTGGCAATGGAAGAAAAGCTGAAGATATACGCCGAATCTATGGCCACCGACCCAGCACCTATGGTCGAAGAGTTGAACGCAAAGCTTGTGGAATTGGACGACAAAGTTTACTCTGAGCACTACTGCACTGAAGGAGGACTTTCGTTGGATGACATCGACCTCTGGGCTCGCCTTCGTTCCATCACCATCATCAAGGGGGTTCAATGGCCAGCGGGACTTCGGGCCTACATGGAAAACATTAGTGAATTGGCAGATGTTCCACTTTACGATGAGTTGGCCATATGAGCGATTCATAGGTGTTGCCTCCCCCCTATCATGCTTGAGAGCCGAACGCAACCACATACAAATGAGAACATCACAAGTCCAATCATCTCAACAACCCCATTCTCTATACCCAATGCATCGACACCCGCTAGTGCCCTGTCATTGCGCGATCAAATGTCTGTAGATCAAGTTGTGAATCATCAGTAGGGATCATTTAGCACTCATTTGTTGACTTATTTTTGATATATCATCAAAGTCGCCGTCTTTTAGTATTGCTCAGTAATTCTGAAACTCACCAGCAAGCAGTAGAACTGCATCGATCACTAGAAACATGGTGCTGCCTACCTCCTCTTTCTGAAACGAAGAAAGATCGACCTACAGTACCAGGTACCTGATGGGAAAGTGATCGTATATATGATGGATATATTTGGGAAGAACCGTTTTTGGGCCGACATTATTCATTATTCATTGTTCATCAGGTGTAACACAAAAACACCACATGGAACACAAATATCCCTTTCAGATCAATAACACTGGCAGCTTATTTAATGTGTAGGGTGCAGGTAGAGGGGGGAGAACACCATGGAACTCTGTCCACTTCGTCCGGAAGGCTATCGTATTTGATATCTCTCGTGCAAAGCAATCCAATCAGAGTAGTTGAAATCTATTTTTATTATACTGCTACAATTGGATACAAATGCTTGTATTGATTAGCCAGCAAACGCACCAGGGTTGTGGCGCCCCCTTGATGTGGATTCAGTATGGTGGATCATCATCACTAGAGTCATCCTCCTCTTTCATCCTGACTATTCATCCATCTCTTTAGAGGTATGGGAAACCGTGTCCAGTGACGATAGATTGGGTGGCGATTCCTCCGATGGCGCACATGGCAAGGCGTCCGTTCATGAGCTCGGATTCTTGCTTCTTCTTCATGGCCGCAGGGTCAGATGGGGCGAAAAGAGTTTGTCCAAAGTCTGTGTACAACAGTGCAAACGGCGAGCAAATTGTGTGAGTTCAACAGTCTCCTCTAGACATCCACAACTGCAATCTGTGAACAAGAACAAGCACTTACCACCGGCTTCACGTTCTCCGTTCATGGTGGCAACAGCGGCAGGGGCGGTGATGACCAAATCGAAAAGACCGATCCACAAAAGAAGTTGGTACATGGGTCCGTTGTGCAAAAGAGCATCGTGTGCATCAACAGTCTTGGGGATGCTCTCGAAAGAGTACATCTCTCCCGGGAGACGAACAAAGTCTGTGGCAATGAAACCAACAACGGCAATCATGGCAGTGCGTCCGTGACGAAGTTCGGACTCACGGAACCATGGAAGGAATGGCGAGTAGGTCTCGGAAAGGTTCAACTGTAAAATGCAACAAAAATAGAGAAGGGGAGTCAGAAACTTTGGTGATGATACTACCGTAAAACAATTCATTGCAGTCTCTTATCGACTCTTAAGCAGTCCATCTCTAGCTTCTCCCAAATGTAGTTCTACTATCAATCGATCAAAAAAACTTACGGGGTCGAACTTGAATTCCGATCCAAATAGGTTGACAGAACCGACGTAGTCATCCATGGCAGCCTCCATAGCGGTGGTGCGTGGAGCAGCAGGCTTGGAAGTGGTGAAGGCGCTGGCAGAAGCAGCAAGGGCAAGGAGGGCGGCGGCAGTCTTCATGGTTAGCTACTGTAGTGGATGGTGCAATAGTGAGGGAAGAAAAGGGTGGCCGATCAGAGCCAAGTTGAGAGTTTTCTTGCTTGCACGTGGATTTCCTACTCCAAAGATACGGCTTTCATATTTTTCGTCCCTCCTTCTGGTTTTCCGAAGGTTGAACACAAAAGATTTGCCCAAACGCACGTTCAATTTTCGTAGGAAAGTACCAAAGATACGTCACAAAAGAAAGCTAATCCATCCCCCCTTCATCAGTCCTTGCCCTGCATCTTTCCCAAAATCAGAAATACCTCCACCATGAAGACTACTGCTGCCCTCCTTGCCCTTGCTGCTTCTGCCAGTGCCTTCGCTCCTCTTCAATCCACCAAATCCTCCAGTGTTTTGAGCGAGTTCGCCAACGGATACGTCGGAGCAGAGGGGCCAGAACCAATGCCATTCAGCCCCAAGGGAACCTCTGTTGAATTCGATCCATGTGGCTTTGCTGAGGTAGGTTTCAATAGATTCGTTGCCGAAGACTAACTTCAGGCTATATCGGTTCGTAGAGTGTCGTTTTTATATTTATGACTCAATTCCCATTGCATTTGTTCTTGATCAACAGCGTGCCCCCGAATGGCTTCCATGGTTCCGTGAGGCTGAATTGAAGCATGGACGTGCTGCCATGTTGGCCACCCTTGGATTCGTTGTTCCTGAATTTGTCCGTGTCCCAGGAGAAGCTTACTCTTTCGAGGCCCTCCCCAAGGTCATTGACGCCCATGATGCCCTTCCCCAATCCATGATCCAAATCTTTGGATGGATCTCTTTCTTGGAAGCCTGCACTTTCCCTGCCTTGGCCAACATGAACGAATACGACCGTGCCCCAGGTGACTTCGGATTCGATCCCATCGGTCTTTACCCCACTGACCCCGCAAAGCAAAAGGAATATCAATTGAAAGAGTTGAAGAATGGACGTTTGGCTATGATCGCTATCGGTGGAATGGTTGCTGGAGCTAGCGTCACTGGACACGGATTCCCTTACTTTCCTTAATTTGACAACCAAATCATTTTGTACTGATAATCAAATCTTTCCACTGCGGGAACATGCCAATCGCTGAAAGCCTTAGTTGGGGCTGGTTGGTTTAACTTACGCACTTGCAAGCAACATAGACAGTAACGCGAATGAATATATAGAAACTAGCATAGTTGCGAACTTGCTACGACTGGTTTCATAGTATTCATATTTATTCATAAACATAGATCATAGTGATCATGAACTGACAATGTTGTAAGTTGTAGATGTGAAGCAAAAGTCTACTAGCAACTGGAGTCGTCCTCAGATTCTTCGTCACCAGGCGCAAAAGACAACTTGAAGCGTTTTTGTTGTTTCCTGGTGCGCTTATATTCTCGTTTGGCGTTAGTTAATCGTCGGAGGACGCCCTTGTCGGTATCAGCACCTGAGAGTTGTGTACTCTTGACACTGTTTTCGAAAGCCCGTATTGCCTCTCTGTATTCACCCATCTCATAGTGCGCACAACCCATTCGAAAGAAGGCCTTTGCTTGCAGCTTTATTGCGTCCAGAAAGGTATCTTCAGGCTCATCTTCTCGGTAAACTTCTGTCATTTTGGGGCCCTTCATGATCTTCCCTTTTTTTGTACAGAAGGGCCGTAGCTCCAACAACGCCAAACGAGACTGTTCTACTGCATGATGGGGTTGTGCAAAGTAAGGCTTGAGCATCACCAGCGCATGATTCAGTCGGAGAACGATTAACAACCGCACTGTGGGGGTCCACTCGAGATGAAGCCATCCGTTGGCTCTCATTTCTTTGCCCGCCTCATCTGAAAAGATAACCTTAAGCGTCGGATAACACATGCAGGCGACAGCTCCATATTGAATACCGGTGTCGTATCGTCGTGCAGCTGTGTCGAAATTTCTTGCCTCAAGGGCTTCGTTCCCCGCGTCCTTCAGCAGCAACATAGTTTGATATAGTTGATTGTGAGCCAAATCGTCTTTGTTATTCTCGAAGGACGATTGATTCATTTTGCATGTTGGCGCCGTCGAGTCAGTCTGCTCACTTTCATTTCCATCGTCGATGGATGCAATTTCGGCATCTTCAGACCCGCTTGCTCTCGCAGCATCAGTGATCTTCGCTTTGTGTTCTTTTCTCTTCTTTGGTTTATCCCCGGTAGTCTTATCATCATTTTGCTCGTCTTTTCTGGACAGGTTAACATCCCCTACGTGGATACTGCCAGGCTGCACCAGCGGCCCTCTTGAGAAGGGCTCAATATCCTCCAAATTGGAGTATCGAAGACAATAGAAGTCTTCATATTGTTTTGCGTTGAAGTATTCATGTTGACCCATCTGGCTCCGGTGCATATCAGAGTCGTGAAGGATCCAATCGGAAGGAGACTGCGGGATCAAGTCCGCTGGGTGTACGTCTAGACCTTCTGCGCTATCCAGGCGCCATGGGATGTTTGGATTCCACGGTAACCCCATCGTGTCAGCCTGGTGCCGTTGTCGTATCATGCAGACTCGATGCTGCAAGGCATCAAGATCACTTTCTACTGGTACGTCGTCCTCACCGTCGACTCGTGATTTGATACATGAGTAGAGATTTAACTTGACGACTTTAGTCAAATTTTGCATATCATTGCATATTCGGGGCTGTCCTCCATGCCTTCGAAAACCACCACGTGAGCCATACATGTCTGCTTCTTTCCGCTCTTTAGCACCGGGGATGCTGTCTGGCAGAATATCCTTGCTTTCAAAGCCTGGCTCTTCAAACAATACCTTTAAAAGAGGCTGAATCTCATTCCATTTTCGAACGATCGGACTCATTTCATAATGGGACTTGTGATACACGTCCAAGCGACCCTGAAGAATAGGATGTAAGATAAGCAACTTTCAAAAATAAAACGAAGAAATAAAAATGGTGTCTTACCGAAGGCGAGTCGTCAATTTCTGAATCAATGGGAGTCGTTGCCCTCCACAACTTGGCAGTGGAGTCGATTCCATAAGTGATGAACAGAGGCAATGACGGGTGAGGTACAATGCCATTACAGGTCGAATTATCGGCATTTAAGAAGGATACAACTGATCCCGTAGCTTTCTCATAGATCCAAGCGTGTCCCGAGTCAGAACCGGTGCATATGTATTCATCCCGAGGACCAGCATACCTAGCATTCTACCAACATTTTAATGAGGTTTTGAATTCCTTCACATAGAAAAGCATTGGTAGACAGATACCACATACCTTTAAGAAAGTAAACCGATTCAAATGTGCTCCATACGAAGCAAGCTCTCTTAGGGGCGCATTTTGACCACTGCTTCGTTCGACAGGCATGTCCCGCAACTCGTCGATTGTGGGACCTAGTCCCTTTCCATTCCGAGGGAAAACAGGAAAAGTATATATCTGATCAGACTCGTAAGACACTAGTAATTCTTTTCTGTCGCGTGACAAGTCGATGCCGCTGACAGAAACGTCCTGAAGTGGCGTGAGGGAAGATGGACGGTACACCTGAACTACTCGGTTCGCAGCAGAAGCATCAGTCATTCGTAGATCAAACAAGGTGATGTCAGAGGAAGAGCCACCAGCTTTTGGATGCAAGGAGTTTAAAAGCTGTCAGACACATCCGTGCAGTCACATACAGTAGCCAACTTCTAGTGCTTACCAAACACGTAGACAGAATCCCCTTCTTCCAAAGAAGATGTTGTCACCGGTGAAGAAAGCACTGCAAAAGCCTTGCAAACTCGATATCTCCTCCCCTACACGTATGTTGATGAAACGCGGTAAATAAGAAAAAACAAAAACGAATTCATCTTCGCAACAACAACGAACATACCAACAGACTTCTCGACGGTTGTGCCCGTGGGGGCACTCGAATATCAAACCTCCTCAAGCCTCGTTCAGAGCAGAGTAGCCCAGTGTGGTCACTGAGAAAGTGGTGAGAAAAGCACATTGGGGACCGAATGGAAAGGAAACCAGCCGGAAGCATGTCAGAGAGTTCTTCGTCGAACTCTGGGCTTACAATAACCGAAGATTCCGCCGATTGTAAATCGGCCACCCTAAGGTATCCATCAGCCCCACACGTAGCCACTTTCCCGGGCGTGGCCATCGGTGTGACATGAAATACGTTATTGTAATGCCCGGTTCGTATTGTGGCCAAAGGCAGAACAGCGCCAGAGATTCGGCCCGTGGCATTGAAATATCGACTCCATTCATCTGTAGCATTATTTCCTGGGCAGTAGTGAGACTGCGCAAAAGGGCACATAGTAGTAACACCGCCAGCAAGCGGCGTCGTAGAACCCATTGCTTCTCTTACGTCCCAAAATTTCACCAAATGATCATCCCCAGAAGTCACCAGTTGGGTTGGGCAATCCATAGTCTTCACCGGCTCGTTGCAGCTCCCTGCTGTTGATATACGCCACCCACAGTCCATCCAGGTCGCCGTATTAATACACCCTCCATGTCGCATGGAAGGAGCATACTTTGGTTCCATGCAAATTCCATTCTGCTGAACTTCCTCCTCGTCTTCTGATGACGAGGAATCTTCGCCGTAAAACCGACGGAATGCAGCGTTCACAAATTGCTGTGTACCATCCTCCCCACTTTCGTCGCTGTCGGATTGGGTACGCCTTTGTCTCGTCCATCGAGCTCGACTTCCTCCTGCAGCTTCATTCTCTCCCCCGGTGTCATCACCGTCGCCATCAGCGCCTTCCTCGTTTCGTTCTCTGGTATCTTCTTCTAGACTTTCTTCGGAACCAGATAAATCCGGTTCAGCTTCTGCCGAAGATGACGATGAAGACGAAGTAGAGACAGAAGCCTGTGCGTGTAAAGGTCCATGACCCATCACCAAGGCTGCAGGAGTCCCAGGACCAACCGCTAGAATCATGTTCTGCAATCGTGAACGATTCCTACAGAAACAGGTTTAGATTTAGATGACGAACAATAGCTCTGATTTTAACCCTTCCAATCTTGAAAAATAAGCTTACCATGCTGTACGATAGGATAGGAGGTCATGGGGAATACCCATTTGCTTCCCAAAACGGCCTCGTTTTCCATAGGTTTGGCGACCTGCCAACAAATCTGGAATTGATCGTCGTTTTCTCCATTCTTTAACGATTGGGGTACTGTTCAACGAACCATGCGACGAAACCGAGGGGCTTCTTTCATGTGCGCATAACATAGTGGGAAGTCTTGTGCGTCTTACTCTGTTTGATATGCTGCTGAATCAATCATCAATAAAAAGAAATGGGTTCCCAAGATTCTTTCGTGTACTTTGTGGCAGCGTGCCTGCACATATTGGGTTTCAATTTGAGCCTAATCTATCGCGCTAACTGACGTCATGTTCAATGTCCAAGATTGCCACCAATAGCGACAATGAACAAAAGCCTCAGTTGGCAGTCTGCAATTCCATACCTAATAACCAAATGATAACAATGAAAGAAATAATACGGACACTAGTGGTGATCTTTTCTCTGCAGACGTCATCTGCCTTTTCAACGCCGCAAAGATCGAGACACTCAACATCATTTCGATTATATGGGAGCAAAATTGCAGACGAAGTTGCATTGGATACACCGTTGAAACCTGCATTGGATGACTTGTTCAAAGCATCAGAAGTGGCTGCGAAGCCGAAAGACGCCGAGACAGGAGAAGGAGCTCATGATGCTTTTCGTTTTGAATGGGGTGTACGTAGACTGCCGAAAAAATCTGTTGGTTGTCGCAGAGTCTAAACTTTCCCTTTCGTTTCTTGTGGAACAGAAATGGGTTGACGACCAACGCTTGGAAGAGCTCATGGAATGTATGAATGAGATTCAGCTAGTTGCTGGAGTCTATGACTCTCTGGTAGAGGAATTGGCTTCAGAAGGTGGAACAGAATCACAACCACGGCGGCTTCGAGTTGCCGGCGGGGATCACTGGGATTGCATCTTGCATGTCCTGCCCCAGGGAACGGAATGGACTGGGCGATGGCCCACAGGAGCTTGGGCCATCGTTAGATCGCTCACAGGCGTCGCAGAAATTGCAATGTTGAGAGGTCCCAATCGCGACGGATTCTATACGAAGGCAACAAAGAAGAACCTGCGTGGGGGAGGAGACGGAACTCTTGCTGGTGGTAGTGCCGGAGGAGGAGAGGATTGTATTAAATATGTAGGAGGAGCTCTCAGAAGCTATGCCGGCAAGAGTGGTAAGACGACCTTGCTCGAAGTTGTGGTCAGACCACCAATCGGCAAGCAAAGTCTGGATGGAGACGGTCGCAGCTCCGACAATATGGAGCAACTGGAGGCTCCAAGTAGCGTTTTGGAAGTTACTCTTCCTATCACGGAAGAGAGCATGGAAGAAGTCGAAGAGGACACGGACGTAACAACTGGAGAAGCCCCAAAACACCTCGGATCCAAGCTAGGAATGGATTTCAAGAATGTTGGTGGGCTGGATGATCAATTGGATGCAATCGTCAGGCGTGTCCTGGCATCTCGGTAAGTTTCAGTGTTGCGTTAATTCCAAGCAAAACCTAGAAAATTCTCACCTTTATTCGACTCACTATCAGTGCAAACCCTGAAGCAGCACGACGCTTGGGAGTCTCCCATGTGAGAGGTATTCTGCTGTCTGGACCCCCTGGGTGTGGAAAGACGTTGCTTGCACGAGAGCTGTCAACCTTGCTGGGAGCAAGGGAACCTCAAATCGTGGATGGTCCATCCATCTTGGACAAATTTGTAGGAGAGGCTGAAAAGAATATTCGGGCTTTGTTTAGACCAGCAGAGGTGGAATACGACCAAGTTGGCGATAAGTCAGCATTGCATGTTATTATTCTAGACGAGATGGACGCTATAGGAAGAAAAAGAGGAAGTGTCTCAGGCGACACAACGGGCGTCAGAGATTCTGTTGTCAATCAACTCTTGGCGAAAATGGATGGTGTGAAAGAAGCCAATAATGTGCTGGTAGTTGGACTCACCAACAGACCCGAGCTGCTTGATCCTGCACTGCTGCGACCTGGACGCTTGGAAGTTCAACTTAGAGTGGAGCTCCCTGATGCTGCAGGACGACGAGATATCTTGAGAATACACACACGACGAATGAGAGAAGCTGGTGGGCTGAGTGAAGAAGCTATTGATATGTTAGAAGACCTCGGCGAGGACGGATTGCCAGCAAAAGCAGAATATTTCACAGGTGCCGAGCTTGCCGGTCTTGTTCGATCCGCCGCAAGTTTTGCTTTGGCAAGAACAGTTGAAGATAGCGACACAGATGATAGTGGAATCATTACTGTTACAGACCTGAAGGCATCCCTTGAAGAAGTCCGACCAGCTCTGGGCAAACAAGATGAAGTGCTTGAGAGACGTTTCCCATTCGGAATAGTTCCGTGTTCAGGTCCGATTCAACGAATCATGCGTGACTTGAATCGGTTTACATCCATCCCCAAGATCAGTAATTCAGCGATTAATGTCGCTCCATCTTTGCAGTCAATGCTTGTTGTAGGCCGTGGTCAAGGCACTGGAACCACTGCATTGGCGTGTTGGGCTGCGGCACAAGCATCCTCAAAGGGTGACGCAAACTACGTCCGATTGGTGACAAGCCTGGATTTGTTAAGCTCTAGTGGTGAGGAATCGGCGAGAGCAGCTGCACTGGTTGATCGCTTTACTGAAGCTGGCGAAATGCCCAACTCGTTGCTTGTGCTAGATGATATTGATCAGATTTGTGCTGGATCTGGACCCAATGGCTACAGCAGCATAATGATTTCGACCCTTCGCGCCCTTCTCCGTTCCCCACCTTCAAGTACAAATGTGGCTAGAGCTGGCGGTCATGTAGGGACACAGAAGCAAATCGATGGAAAATACCTGGGAAGAAGCATGAGAATCATTGCAGCAACTTCCCGAATGGATGCAGCATGTTGCGTCTTCAACGAACTATTTGACGAGACGGTTGTTGTGCCTGTCTTGACAGATATGCTGTCTGTCGAGAAGGTAATAACAGCAGGTGCAGAGGCCTCTGGTCTGCAACTGGCCGACGCTAAATCACTTGCCGAGACAATGATAAATAGTTTAGGAAGTCTAGGTTGCAAGAAGGCGCTGAGGTTGATGGAACTCGTCGCTGCTACAGCAGACCAAGATTCAGACGACTTGGGAGAAGCTCAGCACGTAGCGCTTGAAACGACACTTGAAGACATGCAGCACGATGCAAGTGATGCGGCTGAAACGTGTGAAGTAATGTATTAGATTCCACCTGTTTTAATCCTTGTAGCGAAGACTGCACTGGGGATAGACTCTGGCTGAATGGTTGCCATTTATGCAAGAGTGGTGTCGACGCCATTTATACTTGGAGTTGGTCACTTAATCTTTCATTTAAGTCTAGCAGGTACATGTTCTTAGTCTTCATCGGTGAGTCGCACTGTCGATCACCTGTTTTATTATGAATAATAATATTAAAATAAGACTCCGTTCAAATAAAATGAGTTGACTTGTCGGAGTGGTCACAAAAAACGCCCGCCGGCCCCAACCTGGCAAAATTCAGATCATTCAACTTCCACATTTTAAAAAAAACGTCTCGCAAACTACAACGACATCTTTCACCGAAAACATCAAACTTTATCCAAACGATGGCAGAAACCAGGTCTCATGGAATTCTCTCTTGTGCTTCAAATCGGTACCATAATTTTTGTTCTATCCAAAGTCAAAAAAGGAAGAAAAAGAGAATGCAGACAGCCTCCAAGTTGGTGGTCCCAAAATCCTTTGTATTGCCAAGAAGGCTTGGTACTCCATCAAAACTGACGTATGATTCTAGCTCAAGGCCTCATCAATCTATGCATCAGTTAGAATCGATTGACATCAAGGGTAAGAAAGGGACGAAAAAACGGGGATTTGATCCTTCCGTTTCGATTTTCAGAGCACGAACAGCAGGGTCGCTCTTTGATCACGACAGCACCGACGCATCGGACGAAGAAGATGACTTGTTTACATTGAGAATGGCAAATCCAATTTGTGATAGCAGCGACGACGAAAGTGAAGAAGGCTCGTCGTATCAGCGGCCACCTCTGAAAAATGAGCTGCACACGCTGATGTGGAGTTCTCGACTCGAAGAAGATGATATCAAAGGATTTTCTCTTGGTGGTCTTTTACTGATCTAACTATCCACCAAGAATGGCGGAGAAAGTGGCACATTTTATCTTCGCCAACAACAGCACAGTGTCCACCAAAACAATGAAACAACAGCCAGCATACCCGCACAGCAGCTCCGATGAAGATATTGTCATGGAGTAAACTTTTAGAATATTTTCACAACTACAATGCTATCATAGCCTGCGTGTTCCTTCGATTCCTCCCAGCTTCTATACATGAGATGTGAAACAATCGGAGAGTCAACTGCTCAGGTTTTCATGAAAAAACCGTCATTCAGGAAAATGCCAATTGTTTGAAGCAGTCTCATGTGATAGTGCCTTATTCATCTAAAGATTCGGTTTCCTACACCATCCCTACAGAAGGTTTTAGGAGGGTTTCCTCGTGTTCTTGGACTTGCTTTCTTCGAGTGCTCTTTTGTTTGGGATCGAATGTACATGCTCCACCGCTGCAAGTGGTCATCATTGGTCTTTCGGACGAACGAAAAGGCTTGGTAACCAAATTGACAATGAAGGCAATCAGATCTACGATGAGTCAGATCATTGTTTCTCTCGCTTAACTTGTTGTAGAAGATACAGAAAACGTGTGTATTCGCTTTGCTTCGTGTTTGGTGTGTGTTGATGCCGGTACCACTGTTGATGATGACTATTCATTCGCTTCCTCCCCACATCCGGGTATTCTTCCACTTTGGAATGTTCAAGCTGGTCGTTCTAGTCGAAAAATCAGGATGACCCCCATCTTTTTGTCGACAGGAAGAGTTCTCACACCAAGCAATCAAAGCGCAGTGTTGACAAGCTATTTCCAGTGTCGACACTTGACAACCATGGGTTCTGCTACAAACCGCCTAATGGGGGCCTTTGCTGTGGTCCTGTTACTATTGGTTTCAATCAATATGAAAGTTCTTTCGATGAACGCTGTCTATGATCTGAAAGAACGGATGGGAGACAATGTGATGGAGAACTTCAAAATCCTTCCAGCGAATCGGTTAGTTCATGTCTCGCGTGCTGGAATCGGCCATAGGATGGTTCGGGATACATCTGCTTATCATTTGGCAAAGGGGCTAGATCTAGCGCGATTGAAGCTCCAATGGGGATCTTGCTCAAAGGATACGAATTGGAAAGGAAACGAAGGCTTTGATGAACTCAGCATTTTCCCTCATTTGTTTGGAAACGATCTTTGGAACGTTCCAGGAACGCTTTCAGGACCAAAGAGAGAAGGGAAGAAGGTGATTGCGAGGAATGATGTATATGGATATATTCCGGGTGAGAGTTACAAGACCTATCATATTCCAATCCAGCGTGAAATCTACGAAGGGGAAGACGGGCCATTCTTTGACAAGCTGCAGTCTGATTCCGAGTTTTATGACAAGCTAGTAGACAGCTACATGTTCAAGGATGAGGTAGAAGCGTTTATGGAAGAGCACAACTTTGCAGAACATGAAGTGATTGGTATTCACTTGAGTGCTGGAAATGGCGAAGAAAAACACAAAATCGAAGACGAGCGAAAGTTCATGAAGAATATTTTGTACCTTGTGAGCCAATATGTCAGATTGATGAAGATGTTGTACCATGATAGATTCGCGCGGCGGACACCACTGATCTTTCTCGCGACTGATACCCCAAGACTCATTCCTGAAGTTCAAGCAGCAACAGAAAAGTTCGGCGTGAAGACAGTTGTCCTCGATCAAATTCGTGTTGAAGACAATGAGGGTGTAACATACAAAGCGCTTGCAGGGAAGGAAGAAACGTGTTTGGAGGGATGGAAAGCAATGACATCAGATATGATGCTTTTGAGTCATTCTGATGTAGTCATTGCAGCCAGACCTTCTGCATTTACACAGGGTCTACCACTCTCGAGAGTATTCGACAAACATGTGGACGAGGAGGGACCCCACTATTGTGAGGTTGGTGATGATGGAAACTACATGAGTTGCTTGGAAGACAAGAAAACATGGCTCTTCCGCGACAATATTCGAAAAGTTGTCCCCATATCAAGGTCGCAAGGTATAAATGGACTCTTCGATCCAGAATTTCCCCAAGTCGTGCACAACCTACTTATACAACTTCCAGATGTAGTTCATCCGAATGAATTCCAGGAAGTAAAGAAATTTTTGGATGGGAAAAGGGGTGAGAATCAGGGCGATATTCTGAAACATGTGTATGGTGAAAAGGCAATCTTTGGAAAGTACAAAGACAATTTGAAGCACGAACCAAAGTGGAACTTTGAAGATTAGATACCCTAACCTAACTTTTCCCGTTTGTATCTATATTTCTCCCCATGGTGCATGACCCAAAGAGCAACTCCAGTACCTGGTTTGTAAAAAAAGTATGGGTACAGGCCAGTACTTGGTGTCTGTAGTACCGGTAGACCACACATCCCTTCGATTTCAGGATTTGGGCTGATTAAGTCCCGATCGTGGCACCAACAACATCATTCAAGCAAGGATAAAGATTCAAGTAACTAATTCACCAGCACGAATATGGCAGAGTCGTCCCATGAAACAGGATGGGATCATTCAAACGCTTCTTGATCTCATTACTATGTCTATCGATCTGTTGTAGCCTCCAACTATTGATATCATCTGGGGTTGGGGACCAGGGAGGTGTTGGCATTGACACATCCATGGATGGATTTCAAGTGTTGCCCCCTAATCGATTAGTCCATGTGACTCGTTTTGGCCTTGGTCACCGCTTAATTCGGGCTACTTCAGCGTATCATCTCGCAAAGATACTCGCGTTACCAAGGCTGAAGAATCAGTGGGGCTCATGTTCAAAAGACACAAACTGGAGAGGGAAGGACGGAAATGATGCCTATAGCATTTTCCCATATCTTTTTGGAAATGATGTTTGGATCCTTCCAACAGAGTCGTCAATCAAGCGTCAAGGAAAGAGAGTAATTGTTCGGAACGATGTATACGGATACATACCAGGACAAATCTACAAAAACTTTGAGCTACCAATAGACAAGAGCAATGAGATTAGTGGGAATGGCCCACTCGTGCTCAAGTTGATGTCAGATTCTGAGTTCTACAGCCAGTTGGTCGATAACTATAGATTTCAAGCTGAAGTCCTTGAGTTCATGGAGAAACATAAATTCCGAGAGCACGAAGTGGTTGGTCTTCATATCAGAGCTGGTAATGGAGAGAAGACTCATTTTGAATGGTCTGGCAGAGGTATAACGGATGAAGAAGCTTTCATTTCTGATTCCATCCATCTTGTTGAGGCACTTGTTGAGAAACTTAGATCGCTACAACGAAAAAAGCCTCTTGTGTTCCTCGCAACCGATACACAACGTTTGATCCCAGTCATTCAGAATGCAATGAAGAATATTGGGGTTGAGACAGTACATTTGGAACAGATACGGGTAGAGGACAATGGCGGCGTCACATTCCAAGCATTTGCATCAAAGGAAGACGATTGCTTGAAGGGTTGGCAAGCAATGTTCTCTGATATGCTGCTTCTGGGCAATGCCGACGTGGTGGTTGCTGCGCGTCACTCGTCATTCACACAGAGTCTTCCTCTATCACGTGTCTTCGATAGGCACAGAGGGGAAGAAGGTCCCCACTTTTGTGAAGTCTCGAGTGATGCAACCACAATGACGTGCTTCGAAGATAAGAAAACTTGGCTTTTTCGTCAGGATGAAAATAAGATCTTTCAGATAGAGAATGGAAATCAGACGAAATCTTTTCCTCAGGTGACGCACAGAGTGCTTGTAAGTTTTCCCGATGTCGAAACGCCAAACGAAATGGATACTGTTATTGAATTTCTTCAGAAACCAAGGATCGGTAATGATACAGATATACTCATGCATACGTATGGCAAGAAAGGCTTCAATCCAAAATATAGGGGTCAAAAGAGTGAGAAATCCATGTGGACCTTCGCATATTCTTAATAATGTTCGCCCCGGCCGTGCCATAGGACCTACCTATGATGAAATCAATTCACAACATTAGAGCATCTACTGTAGGAGTCTATACCAATTTTGAATTATGACAAGGCGGCGGCTTCAACCCACAGCGCCAATAAACAAGAGGCAAGAGGGAGGATTGGTTTATTTTTCCGCACCTTATTGGCGGCGGGTATAGAACGGTTTCACAATAGCAACTTTTAGAAGGAGCTGACGCAACTGTGACGCCAACATATCGGTGCATTGCAACGCTTACTTTAATCGACTTGTTCGACCCATTTGGAAGACTTACGTATGTGATTTCATACACTCTATAGCCATTGTATTTACGACCAGCTCGAACATTGCTTTAACCTTTTTCGATTTGTACCAAGTCTACACAAAATCTCTCTCGGTGAGGGATTAAGCACTAAATATGTTCGACGCTTCTGAGATGGTGCTTACAGAGTGTTCGTCAGACACAAGAAACTGATCAGGCAAGACGGTAGACGGACTGGCAAGAGAAGATATCTGTCTTCACGCCAACAGTCATGTTGTCAGTCGCTTAAGCGAAGTAACGGTAATTATTGGACGAAATTTCGGGAACGATCGGCATGGCAAACGAAGGCGTGGCAGAAACATTCTTTTTGCCAAGTGCAAGATGAGACGATGAAGAGCTAAGGAACCATGATCTTCTGAAGCAATTCAGAATGATTATATCTTTTTTCTCTCTTTCATCTACTCATTACAAGAACCACCGGCCCGACTTCCGAAGTCGCAGCCGCCCCCACAACAACATTTACCGCAGGATGAATCTCCGAATCCGATTCGAGCCATCATTCCACCAGCGGCCCCAAACAAACCTTTTCTCGCGTACCCGAGAACCGTCACCATGTTGACAACCGCTCCCCGGGAGCCTACTCTAAAAATCGCACACTTGCGTCAGCTCATTACACGCTGTATTCATTGCCCACCGGTGGCTAACCCTCAAATTCCTGATATTTGAACAGACACCCGGTGTCAAGTGGTCTAGCCCCATGCTACCACTCATTTTCATTTGCGCCTGTGCATTTTGTTGACCGTCAACACATCCATATCTCTCCGAGAGATCTCCTCAATCAGCAACCTGCGACAGCTGATCCCTTGCCCACCGGTGGCAATCCGTCGGAGCTTGACATCAGTCAGCAACCATCCGAACCATCGAGTCCAGCACCTTTCCTTCGCCCGCATCCGCATCGGCGCCGGACCAATTCTGCCTACTCCGACCTGTGTCCCCCAGTACCACCTCGCTACGTGCATCCCAGAGTGATTCCCATAGCCAACGGCTCGCCAACCAAGATTGGCAACGAATCTTCGGTCACTCCGACCGCACCATCTTTCCGTTTGCAACGCCCTGATGGCCCGACCAAAGGTCTCCAACTGCCTCCCTCTACCGTTGAGGGCCCATACAATCCGATTTATCGCAGTATTTATCGCTAATTTATACAAATCCAACCCACTATCACTCCCTATTTCGTTCCCACCAACCCCCCACAATCTCGAAACTGCTGTCCCTTTCGCCCGATGCAGACTTTCCCCCCTCGCACCCTAGATGCAATCCTCCAAGTAGGTCGCTCTGCTTTGACTAGCGTCAAAGACCTTCCCTTGGACCCGATTAAGGAGAAACTCCTGCTATCCAACTATTTCCACACTCATAACGCCAGCGCTTGCAAAAACATTCTACTATCCCAAGCCCACGGATTTGCATACTTTGACGGCGCTGATGGGACTCTCCGACAAGTGATCTGCCCTAAACAGGTCGGTCCAAACTTGTACTGGGCATCCGCGAATGACCGTTACGAGTCCCCCACCCCAGTTGCTTTCTCCTTGGATGCCCTTGGTAGCAGTGTCATCTCCATCGCCCGCGATGAACTGGCTCGTGAATGCAAGGCCCGCCACATCCAAGACACCCAATACTCTCCCCATACCGCATTGGCCCCCGACAGCGCCAATCCCCCAGAGGATATCTATTGGCCTAGTGGCGATGGGGTGTTCACTGAAGTTAAAAAGTTCTTCCCAATCTATCCTGGTGCAACCATCCCTACCAATCTCAAGCTATCCTCCGCTCCACCAGCCGACTTGGACACCTTCCACCCCCAGTTCCAGCTCTGGTACGAGGCAATGAAGTACCTTCACGACCACAACGAGTCTCAGAGCATCCATTCCCACGACCATATCTTCAGTGACGACACCATCCCAACGGATCGGTTTCCCTCAAGTGATCTTGCTACTCATCTGACCTATTCTACATCAGACGTCAGTGCATTTGCCGCGGAGGCCGACACATACAAGAATCTATTCGAAGAATTCAAACGGCATTCGGCCCTTTCTACTTTAGCATCTACTACCCATGTTGCTACCCACGAAGTTCCTGCGGCCCCCCTCCCAGCAGGAGCCCCATTCGACAGTGAACTCTTCGCCCAGATCATGGCCAACGCTCTCAAAGGCGTCAACGCCAGCACAAAAGAAAAAGATCTTGCCCGCACTTCTGCCAGCGCCAAGGATTCGTACCGTTTACTCTTTGGCCGCGTAAAAAGCGTAGTTCAACTCGACGGTTCAACAGTCAAAGAACTCCACCCGTCCGTCCTTTCCGATGACTTCGAAACTTTCTTGGAAATCGGTTCGATCAAAGAAGCCCTCCGGCACCTCCACGATACATTTGCCCATATCACCGACACCCTCACCACTCGCAATAACTACGACCGCAACGTTGACTTCGACATTGCCCTCTTCCAGCACGCAACAGTCACTGCTCTGAAAACATGCAGCTTTGGCTTTAAGCCACTCACAATGCACCCTCACGAAGCTACTTCCCTTCTTAGCCTCCTTGCCTGGCTCCCTCCCAACAAGCATGACGTCAAATACACAACTTTCCTAGCGGAAGGCCGCGACATCATCCGGCAGGAAGCCATGGAAGAAGACAAGTCCAAACAAGCAGCAAAGAAGACCGACATCTTTGTCCACGGCGATATCAGCTCTGTGGAAGCTCTGATCAAGATGTTAGCGAACTTCTTTGCTTTTGCAAAATACTGTGTCAAAGACTTTACCTTCGACGACCCCCCATTGATTGTCACCCTCTTGGAAGATTTTATGGATGCCCTCCACACTCCCACTGCCAAAGATTGGATCCGTTGGAACGATAAGGTCCCCCACCTACCCCTCTGTCTTCTCCTTGAAATGAACCAGATCTTGCAGATTGTTGTGGGGGTCTCCAAGAACAAAACAACCCTGAGCAAACTCCGCAACGGCCAGCCTATCACCATCGACACTTTCGTGAATGCCTTCAATGGTGTCGAATCCGCCATCGGCCACCTCAATATGTCTATCACTATGGGCAACCTTGGCCCATACGCTACTTGCCCCAACTTGCATACGATCTTGCATGGAAAACCGAACCCCGCTCCCAAACGTGAGGGCCCAACCACCCGTGAACGTCCAGACCCAACCAAACGTGCCAGACCCCAACCCCTTGGATCACATCCAGGATACTTGACCTACGATGGCCCGGGCAGGCTCCCAATTGCCCCTTTCAAATGTAAACATCCAATTACTGGGAAACAGGCAGCCTTCTGTTCCCATTTCCTATTTGCCAACTACCATTGCAACCGCCCCCGCTGCCACAACATCCATTACACCAAACAATTTGCGGCAACCATGAGCCCCACCGAAACCCAATCCTTTGATAAATTCATTGAAAAAACCCCTGGGGTCACCCGTACCGCCCCAAAACCTCATGGTTAGTTCTCCAACTCAAACTACTTAAACAGCACGTCAACCCGTCACCGACTTACCTTACCATTTCGTTCCACTGCATTTCATCCACGTTTTGTCCAAAGTTCCTCAATGCTCTACGTGCATCGTCCGCACTCCCAGTAGCATGATCCGCAACCCGATCAACAACTCTCTTTCGCCACCCCACCCATCCAGAACAACTTCAACTTCCACCCAACCGACAGGAACTCTTTCCAATGCCCCTTCCCATACCCCTTCCAGTTCTCCTCCTTCCGCTTCCTCTCCAGACTCCCCGTATCCACGGTACACTGACGCAGAACAAGAAAAATTCGGCGAAAGACTTGAAGTTGCGATCCAAGGTCGTTCCTCTATCCCTTCAACGACCAAACGCGACCGTGAAGCTTGGGCAACAACAAAACTCCCGTCCCCTGTGTTCCTCGCCGTCAATTCTCCCCATGGTAAGGACAGTGTTGACCGGTGGTTCAGTACCCAGCACAAATTCGAACATACCTGGATATTTCTGCTGAAGAGCCGCTACTTGAGCCCAACCGACATGGCAACCCTCTTCCAAGTGTGCCCATCCATCCATCTCCTCTCCCTTCTCCTCGACGAACACCGATTTGTGGACTTCCGACCCCTCCGACAACCCATACCAACTCACCTGCCGCCTGATGTCGCCATGCATCGATGGAGCCGCATGTTTACTGCATGTCTCCTCCACTACGACCTCAGTATCCCTACTGCAGTCCGCTTCGTTGGGAACATCCATACCGGCGCCCATCGAGATTGGCCAACTCTCGAACCTATCCTCCGCGAAGCAAAAGTTGACCCTCTTCTCATCACACAACTGAAACGCATATTCCTCGACGGCGCCCCGAACTACGTGACCGCCGAATCCTCAGATGACAACCTCCGAACCTTCATCGCCTATGGTAACCACAAAACAGTTTATGATGATGTGAAAAAAACCAAAAGTGCTGTCGAAAAGGACGTGCTCCGCAATTACCTCCTGGCAGCCAACCCCGCCCTCCTTCCGTATATCCGCGATGCCCATACTACTCCACTCGGGTTGGTTGACGCGTCCCATGAATACAGAAAACCCCGAATCATTTTCGATGCGACCCATCATCCTTCCCTGGCAGCTATGGCAGTCAACGATTTTACCTCCAAAGACACAGAACCCGACATCTGCTTCCCGCGGTCATTCCCCAACTTCTTGATCTGGATCTACAACCTCCGTATCACCTACCCCAACGAGGAAATATACATCTGTGACGATGATGTTTCCGGCGCCTTCCGCCATGTCAAATGGAACCCCAATGTGGTTGGAATGCATATGTTTATGCTCTTTGGTTTCCTTTTCTTTTGCACTGGTCTTTCCTTTGGCGACAACACCAGCCCTGCCCAATGGGAAGTCGTTGCCTTGGTCCGCCAACAACTTGCCCAATCCCTTTGGTACGCAGCAGCTACAACCATCCCCAGGGTGGCAAAATACCTTCCGACATTATCACTTGCCCCTCTTCCAACACCATCAGACATTGCCGCTTTCACCCCCGCCGAACCTGACTCGAAGAATCCCGGGGTTCTACAACCTGACGGTACCCGCAAGTCTCCTACTTTCGACCACCACGTCGACGATTGCCTCTATGCTGATGTTGCGCTCTTCTTGCGCCAAACAATATCAGCCAGTGTCCTTGCTTTGTACATCCTCCTGGGATACCCAAACACCTCTAATGGAATACGCGATTGCATCTCTTGGGAAAAATTTGCCAACACTTTCTCCCATGAACGCAAAACCATCGGATGGGTAGTGAACTCAAGACAATTGACAGTGAGCTTGCCTCCCATCAAACGGGACCGCCTTCTCAAACTCCTTTCAGAAACGCTCGCGAATCCAAAACTCTCCCTTCGCGATATCGCGATTCTTCTTGGGCACGTTTCAACTGCAACCACAGTCTGTCGCTGGATGCGTTGTTCGTATTTCAACTTGCAACGTGTCCTCAGTCAATTTCTCCGCTCCCGCCACCAATCCATCAAACATTACATGAAGCGCAATGACAAAGTCCAAATAATTTCCGACCAACTTCCTCCAGCCCTCAGCTACCGCCTCGCTTCCCTCATCGGAAAAGAAGCAGCAACATTTCTTTGGAACGCCAACAAGCGATTCCATCTCGATGCCTCTGTCACCCGCGAATTACGAGCGATCCAACACAGCCTCAAAACTGAAACATGGAAAATCTACATTCCCCAAATGATCCCTCGCGACCCGCATTTCACTTCCTTTGGTGATGCTAGCTTTATTGGAGGAGGAGCCTATTCGGAGGAACTTCTCTTCTGGTTCCGCATTGTTTGGAGCCCCGATATTGTTGCTGGTACCAAATTAAAATCCAGCAACCCGAACTATGTCCACATCAACAGCCTTGAGTTCTTGGTTGCTTTCCTCCAAGAGGTTGCAACGGTTGTCCGCCTTGAAGGCACTTCCCACGCCCATGCAGGCCTGGTCCACCAATTTCCCAATGGATTTCCACACTTTCCAGTTCTACTCAATCGAACCGACAACACCCCTACTGAGAAATGGATGAATGACGCCCGGACCAACAGTCCCTTCGCACGCCTTTTGGTCGACTTGCACGGTCAACTGCTCAAGCGCTCCCCTCTGACTTCACTATCCGACCATGTACCCGGTGAAGACAACTTTGCTGCTGATTTTATTTCACGCCCCGACACAAAACTCTCTCACCATCACTTACTTTCACAGACATTTCACACTTTACCTTGGATGAGAAACTTCGATTATTTCCAGCCAAGTCCCGAACTCTGCTCCGTCCTGCGCTCCTGTCTATTCTCCAATCCAAAGCAGGCGCCGCCGATGATCCCCGCAAATTTGGGACACTTCGTTCCCGCCGACTCCATTTCCTCAAGTTTTGCTATGATATGAATCTTCGCGACGACTACCTGATGAATGGCCCCGATTTCCCCCACGAACGCCGTGTCGCTACCTTTGCCCTTTATACAGTGGCTCTCGCCACCGGCCGCACCCTCCAAGGCCAATACATCAAATCTGCAACTATCAAACAATACCTCCATGCAGCTGCCTCCTTTATCTGCCTTTTCACTGGTCGTGATCCCCGCTACAACAACCCAAGCGATACCAAAATGTCCCCAGATATCCACGCCACCCTTGCTGAAGTCGAACGCCACGAAAAGGTCCCAAACAAACTCGAGCCTTACACCCTCGACATGCAACAACACCTCGAGCAACACAACCTTGACACCAAAGCCCACCACGACGGCATTTGGAAAACAGGAAGAGTTCTCACACCAAGCAATCAAAGCGCAGTGTTGACAAGCTATTTCCAGTGTCGACACTTGACAACCATGGGTTCTGCTACAAACCGCCTAATGGGGGCCTTTGCTGTGGTCCTGTTACTATTGGTTTCAATCAATATGAAAGTTCTTTCGATGAACGCTGTCTATGATCTGAAAGAACGGATGGGAGACAATGTGATGGAGAACTTCAAAATCCTTCCAGCGAATCGGTTAGTTCATGTCTCGCGTGCTGGAATCGGCCATAGGATGGTTCGGGATACATCTGCTTATCATTTGGCAAAGGGGCTAGATCTAGCGCGATTGAAGCTCCAATGGGGATCTTGCTCAAAGGATACGAATTGGAAAGGAAACGAAGGCTTTGATGAACTCAGCATTTTCCCTCATTTGTTTGGAAACGATCTTTGGAACGTTCCAGGAACGCTTTCAGGACCAAAGAGAGAAGGGAAGAAGGTGATTGCGAGGAATGATGTATATGGATATATTCCGGGTGAGAGTTACAAGACCTATCATATTCCAATCCAGCGTGAAATCTACGAAGGGGAAGACGGGCCATTCTTTGACAAGCTGCAGTCTGATTCCGAGTTTTATGACAAGCTAGTAGACAGCTACATGTTCAAGGATGAGGTAGAAGCGTTTATGGAAGAGCACAACTTTGCAGAACATGAAGTGATTGGTATTCACTTGAGTGCTGGAAATGGCGAAGAAAAACACAAAATCGAAGACGAGCGAAAGTTCATGAAGAATATTTTGTACCTTGTGAGCCAATATGTCAGATTGATGAAGATGTTGTACCATGATAGATTCGCGCGGCGGACACCACTGATCTTTCTCGCGACTGATACCCCAAGACTCATTCCTGAAGTTCAAGCAGCAACAGAAAAGTTCGGCGTGAAGACAGTTGTCCTCGATCAAATTCGTGTTGAAGACAATGAGGGTGTAACATACAAAGCGCTTGCAGGGAAGGAAGAAACGTGTTTGGAGGGATGGAAAGCAATGACATCAGATATGATGCTTTTGAGTCATTCTGATGTAGTCATTGCAGCCAGACCTTCTGCATTTACACAGGGTCTACCACTCTCGAGAGTATTCGACAAACATGTGGACGAGGAGGGACCCCACTATTGTGAGGTTGGTGATGATGGAAACTACATGAGTTGCTTGGAAGACAAGAAAACATGGCTCTTCCGCGACAATATTCGAAAAGTTGTCCCCATATCAAGGTCGCAAGGTATAAATGGACTCTTCGATCCAGAATTTCCCCAAGTCGTGCACAACCTACTTATACAACTTCCAGATGTAGTTCATCCGAATGAATTCCAGGAAGTAAAGAAATTTTTGGATGGGAAAAGGGGTGAGAATCAGGGCGATATTCTGAAACATGTGTATGGTGAAAAGGCAATCTTTGGAAAGTACAAAGACAATTTGAAGCACGAACCAAAGTGGAACTTTGAAGATTAGATACCCTAACCTAACTTTTCCCGTTTGTATCTATATTTCTCCCCATGGTGCATGACCCAAAGAGCAACTCCAGTACCTGGTTTGTAAAAAAAGTATGGGTACAGGCCAGTACTTGGTGTCTGTAGTACCGGTAGACCACACATCCCTTCGATTTCAGGATTTGGGCTGATTAAGTCCCGATCGTGGCACCAACAACATCATTCAAGCAAGGATAAAGATTCAAGTAACTAATTCACCAGCACGAATATGGCAGAGTCGTCCCATGAAACAGGATGGGATCATTCAAACGCTTCTTGATCTCATTACTATGTCTATCGATCTGTTGTAGCCTCCAACTATTGATATCATCTGGGGTTGGGGACCAGGGAGGTGTTGGCATTGACACATCCATGGATGGATTTCAAGTGTTGCCCCCTAATCGATTAGTCCATGTGACTCGTTTTGGCCTTGGTCACCGCTTAATTCGGGCTACTTCAGCGTATCATCTCGCAAAGATACTCGCGTTACCAAGGCTGAAGAATCAGTGGGGCTCATGTTCAAAAGACACAAACTGGAGAGGGAAGGACGGAAATGATGCCTATAGCATTTTCCCATATCTTTTTGGAAATGATGTTTGGATCCTTCCAACAGAGTCGTCAATCAAGCGTCAAGGAAAGAGAGTAATTGTTCGGAACGATGTATACGGATACATACCAGGACAAATCTACAAAAACTTTGAGCTACCAATAGACAAGAGCAATGAGATTAGTGGGAATGGCCCACTCGTGCTCAAGTTGATGTCAGATTCTGAGTTCTACAGCCAGTTGGTCGATAACTATAGATTTCAAGCTGAAGTCCTTGAGTTCATGGAGAAACATAAATTCCGAGAGCACGAAGTGGTTGGTCTTCATATCAGAGCTGGTAATGGAGAGAAGACTCATTTTGAATGGTCTGGCAGAGGTATAACGGATGAAGAAGCTTTCATTTCTGATTCCATCCATCTTGTTGAGGCACTTGTTGAGAAACTTAGATCGCTACAACGAAAAAAGCCTCTTGTGTTCCTCGCAACCGATACACAACGTTTGATCCCAGTCATTCAGAATGCAATGAAGAATATTGGGGTTGAGACAGTACATTTGGAACAGATACGGGTAGAGGACAATGGCGGCGTCACATTCCAAGCATTTGCATCAAAGGAAGACGATTGCTTGAAGGGTTGGCAAGCAATGTTCTCTGATATGCTGCTTCTGGGCAATGCCGACGTGGTGGTTGCTGCGCGTCACTCGTCATTCACACAGAGTCTTCCTCTATCACGTGTCTTCGATAGGCACAGAGGGGAAGAAGGTCCCCACTTTTGTGAAGTCTCGAGTGATGCAACCACAATGACGTGCTTCGAAGATAAGAAAACTTGGCTTTTTCGTCAGGATGAAAATAAGATCTTTCAGATAGAGAATGGAAATCAGACGAAATCTTTTCCTCAGGTGACGCACAGAGTGCTTGTAAGTTTTCCCGATGTCGAAACGCCAAACGAAATGGATACTGTTATTGAATTTCTTCAGAAACCAAGGATCGGTAATGATACAGATATACTCATGCATACGTATGGCAAGAAAGGCTTCAATCCAAAATATAGGGGTCAAAAGAGTGAGAAATCCATGTGGACCTTCGCATATTCTTAATAATGTTCGCCCCGGCCGTGCCATAGGACCTACCTATGATGAAATCAATTCACAACATTAGAGCATCTACTGTAGGAGTCTATACCAATTTTGAATTATGACAAGGCGGCGGCTTCAACCCACAGCGCCAATAAACAAGAGGCAAGAGGGAGGATTGGTTTATTTTTCCGCACCTTATTGGCGGCGGGTATAGAACGGTTTCACAATAGCAACTTTTAGAAGGAGCTGACGCAACTGTGACGCCAACATATCGGTGCATTGCAACGCTTACTTTAATCGACTTGTTCGACCCATTTGGAAGACTTACGTATGTGATTTCATACACTCTATAGCCATTGTATTTACGACCAGCTCGAACATTGCTTTAACCTTTTTCGATTTGTACCAAGTCTACACAAAATCTCTCTCGGTGAGGGATTAAGCACTAAATATGTTCGACGCTTCTGAGATGGTGCTTACAGAGTGTTCGTCAGACACAAGAAACGTACGCATACGTGTTTGTGTGATCTAACGATGGAGATCCGACAATTGCATCTGACATTCTCACAAATCAAGTCCAGAGTTGAAAGAACGATATACAATGAAGTTTACCAAGGCCCTTTTCTTCCTTCTTGCTGGTACCGCCAGTACCTCTGCTTTCGCACCAGCCCGTAAGTTTGTAAATTGATTGGGCGTCAACGAATATTTATTGGAGGGCTCCAATGACTAACCTCTCACGACCACAGATTCCTTCGGACGTGTTGCCGTCCCATCTCCTTTCGAACTTGAGGCCAAGAAGTCCATCGAGGACCTTACCGAAGCTGAATTGAAGGGAAAGAAGGTCTTGGTTCGTTGCGATGTTAACGTTCCCCTTGACGGAAAGAAGATCACTGATGATACCCGTATCCGCTCCTCTATCCCCACCATCGAGTTCTTGAAGAGCAAGGGTGCCATCGTCACCGTCTGCTCTCACTTGGGACGCCCTAAGGATGGACCAGAGGACAAGTTCTCCCTTGGACCTTGCGCCGATCGTATGGGAGAGCTTCTTGGCCAAACTGTCACCCTTGCCCCCGACTGCATTGGTGATGCCGTCAAGAAGATTGTTGACGAAGCCAAGGAAGGTGATGTCATCATGCTTGAGAACACCCGATTCTACAAGGAAGAGACCAAGAACGAAGCTGGATTCGTTGAGAAGCTTGCTGCCCCCTTCGATCTTTACGTCAACGACGCTTTCGGTACTGCCCACCGTGCCCACGCATCCACTGAGGGTGTTACCAAGTTCCTTCAGCCATCTGTTTCTGGATTCCTTTTGGCCAAGGAACTTGAATACCTTGATGGCGCCGTCAACAACGGAAAGACCCCAATGGCCGCCATCGTTGGAGGATCCAAGGTTTCCTCCAAGATCACCGTCCTTGAAGCCCTTCTTGACAAGTGTGACATCATCATCATCGGAGGAGGTATGGTTTTCACCTTCTTGAAGGCCAAGGGTCTTAGTGTTGGTACCTCCCTTGTTGAGGACGACTACGTTCAAACCGCCAAGGATGTCCTAGCCAAGGCCGAGAAGCTCGGAAAGAAGATCTTGCTTCCCTGCGACATCATCGTCGCCGACAAGTTCGCCGAAGATGCAGAAACCCAAGTTGTTGCCGTCGACGCCATCCCTGATGGCTGGATGGGACTTGACAATGGACCCGAAACCACCAAGGAACAAAAGGAAGCTCTTTCTGACTGCAAGACCATCATCATGAACGGACCCATGGGAGTCTTCGAATTCGAAAAGTTCGCCGCTGGAACTTTCGGAATTGTTAACATCTTGGCTGACTTGACCAAGGAGAAGGGAGCCATCACCGTTATCGGAGGAGGAGACTCTGTTGCCGCCACTGAGTTGTCTGGACGCGCCGGAGACATGAGCCATATCTCTACCGGAGGAGGTGCCTCCTTGGAACTTTTGGAAGGAAAGATCCTTCCAGGTGTTGCTGCCTTGAACGAGAAATAAATTGCTCGTTTCAGCGTTGTTCGAAAAAATCACTCTGTACGAATATAAATTAGATCATCACTCTTGGCATGGCTAAACTTGAAGACTTCATTTCTTTTGCGATTTGCTGTATTGAATAGAAAAGGTGATGGAAGTGTTTCGTAGGGGGCATAGTCACATGGTGGTCATCAGAACTCTATTTTCGAGACTTGGCTAGTTAAAATGTGGCACGACATTTTTTTCTCTCACTATATCATAGATTACGATTTGGGGTCGCTTAGTCATAGCAATTTTATGTAGCCCAGTTGGGAAAATATCAGCAGTAAGATTCAATTGCAGGGTAATACAGCATGTCATGTCATGGTGATGCTTGGCATCAAGTTGTGGAAGCAAGCACAGGTGGATCAGGACGCTCGAAAGAAAGGACTTGTTTAGTGGCTGACTCTCCCCCATTTTCGAGTTTCAATTGACATCACAACAGCTGCCTGGCGTGATTCATTATGGCGAACAAAGGAATGAATCAATCTTTCTCCTTCATCCGTCCGTCGTCCGCAGTAAGTATGCGAACCCCAATTGACAAGTACCAGTACCTGGTACAGGTACAGCACGTACGAATTCTACATGTTGGAGAATGAGAAGAGTGGTCGAAGATCTTGAGAAAAACTGCAACAAGAAGCAGAAGCAGAAGCTGAAAGCACTTCTCTCAAAACAGAAGCAAACTCAAAATAAAACGATGGCCAAAAAGACAGTCGAAGACCTCACCGCCGAACAGCTGAAGGGCAAGAAAGTCCTTGTGCGTTGCGATCTGAACGTTCCGCTTGATGGAAAGAAGATTACCGATGATACACGAATTCGAAGTTCCATCCCAACGATCGAATACTTAAAAGGCAAGGGCGCCATTGTCACTGTCTGCTCTCACTTGGGACGCCCTAAGGATGGACCAGAGGACAAGTTCTCCCTCGGGCCTTGCGCCGAACGCATGGGAGAGCTTCTTGGCCAAAAAGTTACTCTAGCCCCAGATTGTATCGGTGATGCCGTTGCTGAGATTGTCAACGCCGCCAAGGAAGGTGACGTTGTCATGCTTGAGAACACACGTTTCTACAAGGAAGAAACAAAGAACGAAGCTGGGTTCGTGGAGAAACTCGCAGCGCCATTTGACCTATATGTCAATGATGCCTTTGGAACTGCCCACAGAGCACACGCATCGACGGAAGGTGTCACAAAGTTCTTGAGTCCCTCTGTCTCTGGTTTTCTATTGGCCAAGGAACTCGAATATCTCGACGGAGCTGTCAACAATGGCAAGAGCCCTATTGCTGCCGTTGTCGGTGGCTCCAAGGTTTCCACCAAGATCACCGTCCTTGAAGCCCTTCTCGACAAGTGCGAAGTCATTATTATTGGCGGAGGCATGGTCTTTACTTTCTTGAAGGCCCAAGGACTTGGCGTTGGAACTTCTTTGGTTGAGGATGACTTTGTGGAAACTGCCAAGGGTGTCCTCGAAAAGGCCAAGAAAATGGGCAAGACCGTCTTGCTTCCTAGCGACATTGTGGTCGCTGACAAATTTGCAGCAGACGCCAATTCAAAGGTCGTCGCTGTCGATGCCATTCCAGATGGCTGGATGGGTCTCGATAATGGTCCCAAGACTACTGAAGAGCAAAAGGCTGCTCTCTCCACCTGCAATACCATTATCATGAATGGTCCAATGGGAGTCTTTGAAATTGAACAATTCTCCAAGGGAACCTTTGCGTTGATCAATATCATGGCCGACTTGACCAAGGAAAAGGGCACCATTACCGTTATTGGTGGAGGTGATTCGGTTGCTGCTACGGAACAATCGGGCCGAGCTCCTGATATGAGCCACATTTCCACTGGCGGAGGGGCCTCCTTGGAACTTTTGGAGGGTAAGGTCCTTCCAGGAGTTGCCGCCTTGGATGACAAGTAAACCATGTAGTATTTAGAAATAAAAAGGTTGTTGTTTGATTCTTTCCAACTGCAGTCCTATAAAAATGTATTACAGAATTTATTCTAAAATATATATTTGAAATATCGGAACAAGAGAGTTTTTTCTCACAGGTTGACACCCAAGATCCAAAGATATCATGTCTGTCAGACTGTACGATACGAACACAACGAAGAAGAAAGAAAATACAAGTTGAAAGTGTCAACCCGAACCGAACGTTACCATTCACTTGAGTTACGAACTGTAGTTCTGGTATTCATCGTCAAAGTAGAAAGCATATATATTTTCAACCAGACACACAATCACGCAAACACACACAAGACGAAAATGAGCTATTGCACTCCTCTGTTGCGAAGTTTGTCACGACAAAAGGTGGCACCCGTGGCCACAAGCTTTGCGAGACGATCCATGGGAACATGGCCAAAGATGCGGCCAAAACGAGTTCGCATGATTACAATGGATGTGACAGGGACCATCGTTTCGTTTCGAGGGTCCTTGGAAGAGCACTACATCGGAGCAGCTACAAAGTGTGGAATCGAAGGCGTCAATGGCAGCAAAATCAATGAGGCCTTTGGCCAAGCCTACAGGGAAACCAGTGATCGATATCCATGCTTCGGAGGCGATGAATTAACTGCCAAACAATGGTGGAAGGAATGTGTTGTCAAGTCCTTTCTATACGCCGGTGAGTTGTTGGATAATGTTATGCATTTCTATGTATAGCATTCGAGTGTGCTCTGAGTTGTTATTGTTATTCTATCTTTTGGTATGTGTACTCATCCTAGCATCTTTGATGACCATTTGGATGAACTTTACCTTTACCTTTAGGCGTGGAAATGAGTGAACATCAACAAGACATGGTATTTCAGAGAATTTATAGTCGTTTCGGATCAAATATTTGCTATGAACTATTCCCCGATGCTATACCCTTCCTAAAGTGGGCACGTCGAAATAACATTGTTTGTGGGGTTCTGTCGAATGCCGATGAACGTTATGGTGATTCCATTTTGCCAATGCTTGGATTGACCCATGACGAGTTGCAATTTCAGTGTTTCAGTAAAGATCTCATGATAGAGAAACCAGATGCTCGTCTATTCATGGCTGCAATCAAAGAAGGGGAAGCATTTCTGCCTTCACAACATGAACACCCTTGCGATCCTTCTGAAGTACTACACATTGGCAATGATTTTGCAAAGGACTTTGAAGGAGCTCGACGGACGGGGATACACGCAGTCTTGCTGGACCGTTATGATGAGAAAGATCGTGCTGGAGAATGGCGACGACGAGGAGCCCTAGTCTTTACAGATTTAATGGATGTTTTGGAATTCTTGGGTAGAAGTGACTGTCAGCTCGGATAAAACATAATTGCGCAATCATTCGAGAAGCGTAGAATTATTCAGCTAGTCTGCTGTTATTCTCAAATCATCCAGTAGCTGTGCAGAGTGTACCGTAGTCATGGATTACTGTCGTGTTGGTTGTTGGTCGTCAAAGATTCATTCGATCGAATGAATCAAGCAACCATCTGCATCGAATCATCAGACTGCACTGCAGACTTGCGCGCTTGACTGACCACGCCAGCATTTTCAATGAGACGAAATTGATTTTGTTTTATCATCTCCCTTTTGATTAGAAAAACGGATATCACATCCAGCAAAAGCCTTCAAGTCCCCATTCCAAGAGGGAAACACAAGGTCAAATCAGTGACACCAACCCACGACTAGGTGTCCAAAAATATTTGCCTTGAAAGATTGAGAATAACGTCATTTAATCCTCTCAAAGAAAGGGGCGCAAGACCCATCACCCATCAATAAAATTCGAATCATCAACGGCCACTTGTTGTTGAATCAATAATGTTTGAACGATACCTGACAGATGCCCTGGTATCGCATTTTGGTCACGTCATTGAAAACTTGGACTCCGATAAAGCACGACTGTCAGCATGGAATGGACAAGTGGTCCTCAATGATTTATCTCTCCGCCGAAATGCTTTGGAAAGCTTTCTTCCCGATTGTCCTGTGGAAATTGCGTACGGAAAGGTGGGAAATCTAGAACTTCGAATCCCGTGGAGACTTTTCAAATCACAAATGCGATGGCGAGGCAAAAAAGCAAGCTTACTAGAGACCAACTGCTCCATTATCTTGAAGGATGTCAATATCCTCATTACTCCACGACGAGAATGGATGGATCGAGACGAATCCAATGAACAAAAGGAGACTTTGAGCGAGGAGGATATGCAACAAAATAAAAGAACAGAAAAAGAGAAGAGAGTGCAATCACTGTTAGATGCAGACTTGCTGCGGAGAGTAGCAACATCGACTAGATCCTCGCGATGGGGTTGGGTTCGGGATTGGTTGTCCAATTTGCTTTCGACACTTTCCATTACGATTGAAAACATCCACATTCGTTACGAAGATCCAGGAACAAGCATGGGCTACGTGTGGCAGAGTAATGCTGATGGAGCAAAGCTACGAAGATATCGACCGGCATTTGCAGTCGGAATTACGCTGCAAGTTTTCTCATTTCAAGCAGCTGACAATGAGGATACCAAAAAGATTGAAGACACTGCTGGCGAAGAAAAGACGGAGAAAAAGGACGAGACTGACGATTCGGCCAGTGTTGTAGAAGTGAAAGACACTCAGCCATTTCAAATAAGACAAAAGATTGCTGCTGGAGAGAATCTTGCAATCTACTGGGACGGAAACTGTGAATTAATATCAGTGCACTCTAGCAATCGGAATATCAAGAGCGACGCAACGACATATTGCGGCAATTCCTTCAGAATACTCAATGGCGAAGTTGACTATTTCTTTGAAGACTCGAATCTATACAACGAAGATCACACGTATGTTTTGGATCCAATATCTCCCACAATTGATATCAACCTCGTATCTACCCGAAAGAGCAATGTAGAAAATGAGCTAGATCCAAAAGTGCTTCCAGATGAAAGTACAACTGATACCCAGGAGGCACCTGCCAACACGATTTTACTACCCGCTTCATCATTTAGCATCGATTTGCCACCCTGCAAGCTTACTCTGTCTCGGATCACCCTTGAAGATACTGCCTATATCCGAAAGTCACTTTCAGTGTGGAATCAATGGAAGAGAGGGTTTCTACCAGAAGCATCACTCCGACGACTAGCAGAGTTACGTCCAGCAACTACTCCTCTAGGAAATGCAAAAAAGTGGTGGATCTATGCTGGTGAGGCAACGATAGAACTCTTGAAGGTGCAGCGCGCTGGGAAAAAGTCGAAGGATATTGACTGGGTAGAGTCGCGAAAAAGAGGATGGGTAGGATTCATGGATGCAGTCAGAAGGCGGCGTGAATATATCAAACTTTCAAAGGAATTCTTGGCGTTCATCAAGCAAAACGACAAGAAGATTAGCCTGAAAACTCATCAAGCCCTGGTTGAAATGGAAGATGGTTTAAATCCCCGAGAAATTGTTGCATTCCGGATTGCGCTGTACGACGAAATTGAGGAACGTCAAGAAGAGACTGTAGTGACTGTTCGCCGTGAAAAGCAAAAGGAAATTGACGTACTGTCGGTTGAGCATCGCTCTTGGATGATGGACGAGATGTTGCGAGCCCTGAATCGAGAAAAGGCAAACATGGATCGTGTCCAGAGTAGCCAGAATGGTCCAGCGATTCAAACGGATGAGGAAGAAAGCACTGATAACGTGGTCTGGTCAGCCTCGTTTGTCTGCCGACAATTTGCTATTCAGGTGAATGATGCTGCTGTCAAGCGTGTGAAAAATCAGTGGACGGCACCGATCATTCAGCTATCAACTGCGTGGATACTAGAGCATAAGTGGCATGACGATGGATCGTGGGATACAGACTGTACGCTAGCTTCCCTCGAAGTCAAAGACCTTACATCTTCAAGAAATCGGCAACTCCAAACGCTCTATCCATATTTGGTTGGTCGAAAAAGAGAAGCTGGCAACGTCCCGGTAGAGAATGCGATTGTCATTGACGGCATCACTTACTCACGTAGCGTGTCTGTTACTGTAAGTCGAAAACTGGTGTGGAATACAAAAGACGGTGTGCCACAATATGATGACGACGACCGAGGGTCGAGAACAAGTTTTCAAATCCGCATTCTCCCCATGGAAATAGTCTACTCAACGGCTCCAGTAGAAGGGCTAAGTCGAGTCCTAGCAACAATAAAGACGCCTGAGCTAGTTGATGATATGCACAGAGTGGCATCAGCGGCGCAAGGTTGGAGGGCGAAGCAAAAGCGCAAGTTTTTGCAAACTTTGGCGCACGAACACAAGCGAATCATCGTTGATGTCGATGTCGGATCACCTGAGTTGATCATACCAGAAGACATCAATCGAGCTGATACTCCAATCCTAGCTGTGGATCTTGGTCGACTTCAAATCTCAAACGAGTTGTCGACTGAAGAGGTCAAAACAGAGTTCGATGACAAATGGCAACTTGCACTCAGCGACATTCAGGTTCGTTGTACAACTGGAGCTATTCGGAATCCAAAGGCAGATGAGGTAGAGAATAGCCAGATACTTCATCTTGTTGAGCCTTTTTCTCTCAACTTCACGTTATTGACCAGAATAGCCAGCTCTGACGACCCAGTAGTGCAGGAAACCACAAAAATTCAGGGGTCTGTGACTCTACCACGGCTAGCTTTCAACCTGACCTCTTCTGCCATGCGACTAGTCCTTCGATTGAAGCAGCAGTGGGAGCACAGAAAGAAAGAAACCGCAGTACGGCAATCGCAACCAGCTCAAAACTCGCATAGACGATCGAGATCGATGCAATTGACGGCGTCGCCCAGCAGACGAAGAGTGTCAACCATTAGCCGGGATATTCCGAATGGCGATGCCATCTCACAAACTCTGTCATACAATTCTACCATTTGTCGAGTTACACGATTTGATTTTTCGGCACCGTTGATAACGCTGAGGGTAAGCAATGATGTTGATGGGCGTGATTGTAGCGTTCCTGGGAAAAGTGGAACTCCTCTTGTTGATCTCGCCTTCAGAGGCATTACAGGAAAATATATACAAGAAGAAACGTTTCAAGGAGATTTGACGAATTCTTTTGACGCGAAACTCCACTCTCTAAGCGCTATCGACTTGTACCAGACAGCTGGAAGGGACTTCGCAATGCTGCTGTCATCAATACCAACACAAGCTTTGCCGGAAAACATATTTGATCGCTCTTCATGGGAATCCTATTATGCAGAAAGTAGGAATGCGTCAGAGTCGAGCACTTCAAGGCGTAAAGATCTTGTCGCAATCCAATACAAGAGCAAAGTTGCCTTTGGAAACATCGAAGACAAAAAGGCAATTGAAGTTGAGCCTAACAGCCTTTCCATTTGGTTTCATGAGCTGTATATTGAATGGAATGCAGAAACATTTGCTGGGATACAAAAAGCTCTCAAGCTACCTCAGGGGCAAGAGCCTGCCAAAACTTCAATGCATGAAGAAACAGTCAGTGTCGTATCTGGAGAGGAGGACGAATTCTTTGATGCAGAAGAGGACGAGTTCTTTGATGCAGGATCTGAAGTAGTTACTTCGATCGAACCACCGCCAGACCTACTCATGTATCGTTTCAAGACCTCTACTTGGATTGAAACTGGAGGACTCCGTCTGTCGCTGCCACTCGCTGCTTCATCTGTGTCACATGGCTCCCCTTTTCTTCCTTCGCTTGCGTCGACAAATCACGAGGCTACTGGAAACGTTGACTACAACAGCATGTTGAGAACTAGATCATTTGAGATCAAATTTGAACTTTCTGTGCTTTCTATCAACTTCAACAAAGAAACTCGGCACCGAAAACTAGTGAATGCTCAGATGGATGCAACCTCAATATCCTACAAGACAAATTCAATTGGGGGTTCGTTGACCAAAATGAAGATGGGAAACTTGGTTTTTACGGATCCTGATAGTCTTTCGAACAAGTCCCTTTACGGGCAAATACTGGGGTTGAAGTCGGAATCAGAAAACTCCGAGAAGTCTGATGTATTATCTCTTCTTGTGATGGAAATATTAGTCAACCCGCCAAAGCGAGAGTATAATGCAAAAGTCGTTGACTCCGAGCAAACCCGCGATGAAGGAGTTTCGATTGACCGCGAACGTGGGCAAGTTGCAGGGAGTAACAATTTCATCCGTGCCCTTTTTAGTCCAATGCGATTTGTATTTCTTGAACAACTATGGTTTGAAATAATCGACTACTTTTTCGAGGGAGTGATGGGTACTGCTGTTTGGGGTGGCAAAATAATAACACCCAAGTCACTTTTGAAGCAGATTGAAGAAAGAGCAATGGAGACGCCAACAGAATTTCTCCTTGGAAGTGATGCGGTTGGATTTAATTTTACGAGATGCGACATTTCCCTTGAGTCGCCTGAGATTATTTTGCCTGTTTCCTATCTCTCGCCTCACCACATGCGGCTGGAGTTGACGAGTATAAAAATATCCAATCACTACGACGGCTGCTCATTTTGTGATGACCCAACAATTGCAAATGGAACGTTTGAGGGCGAACGAATGCAATGGTTCAACAATTACAACATTGCGCTGCGTGGGCTGAGATTGAGATCCTGGAGTGGCAGAGAATTGGGCAAAGATCCCTCAGTTGCTGACATAACTCTGCGTTGGCCAGTCGGCCCACTTGCCTACCGAATTGTTCCAAAATGGATTGTCGGTTGCAAATTCTCAAGTCTTGACATTTCTCTTCGCCGCTCTGAATATGCACTTCTCCAACACATCATTACCTTCAATATTGGAGAGCCTTCAAGGCACCTAGATGAGTGGGAGGTCCTTCAAACTATTTCGAACTCTATCCTTGAGGCGTATCAAGAACGAATCTTGGTCCCATACGGCTACGACAAGAAAGATGTCCCACCAACAACTTACGACGTTGCTGTTGATGTGCCACTGTTGAGTTTCAGTCTTATCGAAGAGAAGGAAATAGTCCAGACGATTGCAATCGTAAGGTGCATGGACCTTCTATGGTCTCTACGGAAAGAATCTGATCGCATCGTAAAGCAACGTTTGACCTGTGATATTGAAGTGGTAACACCGAGTTCGAAAACAGGATTTGACACACTACTTTCAATGTCGAAGTATGATACGATCATTTCCTCAGAAGGGTCAACAAGCCACGAGACAGTTCCAGAACTGACGTACACATCAACAACTCAGGTTTCTGGTAACAATGTGAAAACACTCGAGATAGTCGACCCTTGCATTTATGTGATAGTTCCTGCTTGGAGCAAATTCATGGAGTTCTTCCAGGAGCTGCCTGAACCAGAAATTTGGAGTGCTCAGGAAGCTAGAAGTATGCTTAAAGTCGGAGATCGTTGGTATCGCATTGCAGCTCCTTTAGAGGAGATGGATGGGAAGGAAACAATCGAATCCAAGTTGCGATGGATTGGCTTGATCTCAGAGACGATCAAGCTTGATCACCAAAACATGGATACATCTACAATTGGATTGCCAAAATACCAGTTCCACATATCACTTGCCTGGCCACGGATTATCCTGTCTTCGAAGGCAACGGCTTCGAATCGCTTGATTTTGCGGATGAATCATTTGGATTATCTGAACATCAATGACGGTCACAGCAAATCGATTCAACGCTCATTTTTCCTTCATGATGTTGAAGTCTACACAGTCTCCAGTCAAAAACCAATTCACAGAATCAACGAGGGCTCTGTTTCTTTGATCCACCCATGGTCAGTTGTTGGCCTTGTAGAGAAATGCAATGGGTTCAAAGTTGGGGCATGTGAATCACACACGTGGCATGTCACAGGTGACATTTTGAAAGCTCGAGCTGCATACTCAGATATTCTTGTCGCTATTGAGGTTTGTATGAGCGTGTTCAACTCGCCTCAAGATGGCAAGTCAAAATCAAGAAACAAAACAAATCAGAAGGCAACGACACCACAGCCCACCGATTCCTCCACAAGCAGCCTTCTCGTTCAAGACGACGTAAAAGACGCCCTTTGTAATCTTCCGAAGAAACTTGTCTACAACATTGCACTTGATGGTTTTGAATTGAATGTTGCGGATGACAGTGGGCGACATTTTGCGGGCACTCAAGATTTGATCATCCTATCTCTTGTGGACCTGAATTTCTGCCGGGAAGTCTCTCACGATGGTGCTGCTAGCGTCAACCTGTGCTTGCAGAGTCTTGACCTATTCGACTGTCTGCAAGCCGAGAGGTCACCATTTAGGACGGCGGTATCCAGCCGTGAAGGAGTCATGGGGCTCGGTGGCTCGGACCCAGAGCCAATCACTGAACCAATCGTTACGACCGCAGGCTCATCTAGAATGGGTTGGGAGGACTATCGTGCCCACGGTGATCGACAAAATGGATTCGAACTGTCTCGATCTTTTGTCAAAAAGGTTCGTCCATCCCAAGAAGGCAATGAGAAAAGCACGGAGGAGCGGATCGAAGTCCAATACTTATTCTCCGCGGATGGACAGCATCAATACTCGGTCCACTTAAGATCATTTGCCCTTCAATGGAATCCGTCTACAGTTATTGCAATCCAGCGCTTTCTCGGCAGACTTCGGAAAGATGCGGTGATCAATGGCACACAATCGGAGACGGGTGAAATTGAAAGTGTTACCAAACCAGTTCTGTCGTCACTACGGGAAGAGCAAGGAATCGATGTCGATAGATCAAGAAGGGAAGAAGGCGCGAAGACACACGCATCGATTTTGATCGGGAGCTTCACAATATGCCTTAACAAAGAGCATCAACATAGGCGACTGGTCGAGGTTACTTTGTCCTCTTGTCAGATGTCACTTGACTCATCTGATGAAGGGACAAGTGTTGATGGTCAGCTTGGGGACTTAGTTGGTTGGGATTCAGACAACTATGCCGTATCCCACAAGAAAAACGCTACCATCACCACAGAGAATCGAAACATATTGAAGGTTCTCAATGGTGATCAAGGAAAAAACGAAAATGATGAAGGATTCAACAGATTCTTGAGGTTTCAGTACAAGACGTTTAGACAAAGGCTGCCGCCATCCCGTATGGTCACAGAGGTGCCCAGCTGGGTAAAACCGCATCTTTCCGATTCTGGTGAGATAGATGACGTTTTGAAAGTGTCTTTGGCGGCTCTCCAATTTACGTACCTTCGTGAGAGGACCGAAGAAATTATTGACTACTTATCAAACGGACTCCCTGGAAAGGGCATGGGAGTCACTTCACGAGCTGCAAAAGGCTTTCTGGAAAAAAGAATCTTGACAAAAAGTTTCTTGGAACTTGACATTGGATCACCAGAGGTGATTATTCCGCAGCACGAGACTTTGAATGCCGGCATTATGCTCAAGCTAGGTACGTATACATGGTTGGGAGTCATTCGTTTTTGCACCGACGAGCAAGTACTTAATTGTAATCTTTTGAAGGTGACGTAAATTTGAGAAGTTGGTTCGAACAAGACTTCAAAAAGCCGTTGGCATCAGGCGGGCAGGGCGACTGGTGGCGAATTCTCTCGCTACGTCTCACTGGTTTCTGCATCGGGACAATGAAGAGGAAGAGAGGGGTAGACGACCTTTCGTTGATAACAAATCCCATTGATCTTGAAATTATGCTTCGAAAACCCACTGTAAAGGGAAGGGAGCTGGCTGTGCGAGGAAATTTATCCTCTCTTGATCTTGAATTGGATTACAGTGATTATGTCTTCTTGCGTGCTGTTGCAAGAGACAACATTGGAAGGAACATCAATACGGATGCATGGGACAATGTGGAAAAGGCGTACTGGCTAGAAGAGGAGAAGAAAGAGGACGATTCAAGTCTAATCTCGAATGTCGCTGATAATGAATCGCGAAAGGTGGAATATTCTTCAAATGCTCGATTTGTAAGATATGGTAAAGCTGGGAAGCGAGAACGAGAACTCCAAAGTACTTCGCCTTCTCGACCTTCTGGAGCCAAAGCAAATGGCATGGGGCAAGATGCAAGGACTATCTTTGATTTACGATTTAAGCTCGACGGACTTTCGTTGAAACTTCGACGTGACGACGACGTGAAAGAGGCCATGGAAGACACTTTAAAGCAGTCTCTTCACTACGATATCATGTTGCTCCGAGTGCAGCTAGTTGAAATTACTCTTTCATCGAAAGACACTGGGGATTCATCATTTTGCTTATCCTTGTATCGACTGGGTTTATTTGACCTTGGAGACACTGGTCGCCTACATCGACAACGGTATCTCGCTTCGCTTCCTTCCATGGCGGCAAGTAGAGCGAAACATAAAGCAAGTCGACAACCATGCGCTTTCCGTGTACTCATCGAAGGGTACTCTTTATCCGAAGTGGATAGCAACAATACATCCAACTCTGAAGATAATGCGCAACTAGTTGTCAATGTTGATAGATGTTCGGCAGCATCTGCAATGGAAGGTGGATCACTAACGGACAGCGGTCTACCAATGGACTCAAAAGTCACTGTGGCAAAAGCAGTGGTGAACAACTTATCTGTGAATGCTCTTATCCGCCCGTTCAAAGAGATCGCCGCGTTTATGGCATGCGACTGGGAGACCAAGGCGGTTCAAAAACTACCGAAAAATATGTCTAGATTCGAGACAACAATCCAAAATTCGACAAAAGATGGTAGTGGGTCGTTGTCAACAGGAAAGAATGCAAGTGGGTTCCAACTCAAGGTTGTCGCGCACTATCCAAGAGTATTTTTTCTTGCTGATGAAAGTGACGCACATTCACGTGCACTAGTTCTCCGCGGGTAAGTTCACGTGTTTACCAATAACCCGCTTTGTTTCTCTTTACTAAACGACATTCTTTAGACTTGCTGTGGTCGATCTCAGTAGAACAAATCTCATCGCAAACGAGGAAGTTCCGACGGGAAGCAGTGCCCTGCCTCAAGAAGACAGAAGGCACGTAACTGCACTCAAGGCGCAACTCTATAGAATGGAGAGCTATATCAATCCTGATGTTGATGAACAGCTAGGGTTTACGTACCGACACAAGACGATAGTTGGGAACAGGTATGCATCAATATTCCCAGATCCTGAAGGCGACGAAAGCGTTAAGGACTCCCATTCCTCAGACACACTCGGGGTTGCCTTAATACAGCCAGTGACAACGGGAGTTGAATTCTTTGAGTATCGGAGGGATCTCTTCCCCACAAAACGTTCGCTTTTCGTTAACGTTGAACCGGTTTCAACCATGTTTAGTTTCCAAGACCTGCAACTAATTGAAACCGTTCTGCATCGATGGGCGTCAAGGAGGTCTAAGAAGGAAGCGATACAACGTCTGGAACATGTTTATTCCGACGAAAATATGAGTCCACGGAATAGTGAGACCTTGCATCATTCAGAAAATGAAATATTTGACATCCAATTTCGTACAAATCGATTGGGACTTAGCTTGAAAGTGCACGGCGACCAAGTGGAGGTTGTTGAGATCAAGAATTCCGACTTACTGGCACACGTACGGCCTGGAGACATTCTTATTGCTATTGAAGGGGAAAATTATCGGTCAACTTCGTTGGACAAAGTTGTGCGCCACTTATCACAGTGTAAGAGACCGACAACTGTTACTTTCTCCAGACGGCGGTTGATTGGGACACCTAGGAAGCTGGATGCAACTCCGCCAATGTCAAAGACAAAACTTGAAAGAACGCCGCCAACGACCCCGGTTTCAAATGAAGAGACTACTGCCAGTGTTAGGTACCTTGATGTCCGATTCAGGCTCGGAATGTCCCGTGGTCTTGAACTGGATAAGAGTATTTGTGGCCGTTTCCCGGTAGTAGCACGTATCCTTCCAAACTTCTTTCATGCAACACGTGGGTGCAACATCGAAGAAAATACTTCGGATGAGATTGAAGCTACATTCTTGGTGCGGAGAGAATTACGTATCCCGCGAACTGGTGCTGTTGTTGTGGCGATTAATGGTCTCTCCGTGGAAGAGATAGGAGTCAAAGAATCTTTTCGACGACTGGAGGCCCTGTCCTTTGAAGGAAGCGAGAGAAATACTTACAGCTCCATATCTGACATTATGCAAAGTCAAGTCTACTGGCTGTCCTTCATGGAAGCTGATGCTTCGGTTTGGGGCAAAGTGGAAGAGATCGACGTCTCCGCTGAAGGCATAGCTCTCTCGTTCATTGATGACTTACAGGGGCGAGACATGCCTTTGTTTCGAGCAAAATTGAGTTCTGTTAATGCTCACATTGAGCGTGGATTAGGCGTCGAGGCTCGTGTCCTTGATGTAAGCACACCGTCACTCTTGAAAGTGCCCTCAGACCTCCTCTACAAGGACGACGATAATCAAGTATCTTTGTCGGAACATGAGATTGCAAATCAACACTCTGAGGTTGTTTCTGCATTCAGCGTTCTTGCAATGTGTTCTATTGACTACTTTCATCCTCGGGTTGCCTGCTGGGAGCCATTGATGGAACCATCTCAATTGTTTGCGCATCTTGAAATGCAGAGGGGGAATGTGGCTAGACGGGGCCAAATTGCTCTTGAGTTGTCCGATTATCTACTCTACGAGCGATTATTCAAAGTTGGTCTTTCAAGTGCCAATCGCCGTCCTCAGATGATGGCTGTAAACGTGACTGATGCTGGCGCACAAGTACTTGTAAATGCAACAAATCAATGGAAAGAGTGGCGAAAAAGTATCATTAATGAGTCGGAGGGCGACGACAATGAAAGCACATCCGAAGTCATTGACGGGGATGCGCCAGGCTTGCCGCTGCACCATAATGTGGAAGGATCAGAGGAAACCAAACAACCACACGTTTCCGATGAGGTAGTCACAAGCCGATCGTATGAGCAAGCTCGCACGTATCGGCAGACCAAGAGACTTAAAGCCCAGCGAGCTGCGCAGGCTGCTTTGCTTTTTGCCACGAAAAGAGGTGCAGATAACAAAGAGAGTGCGTCGGCAAAACCATTTGTGTTCAAGAATAGGACAGGTGTTTCTATTGCATTTGCTCAAATGTCAAACGACAAGGATCAACAGAAATTGTTTAGTGCATCGACGTCAAGCGTAGAAGGTATTGGAGAATACTCTGGTCTTGAAGAATGTTCCCCTTCATCAGTAGTCGTCATTGCCGATAAAGAAGACGCCCGATTCAGTATGGAGGTTATTGCGAATCAAGGCCTTCAAGGCAATGTTCAAGAGGGAAAAGGTACAAGGTATGGTTCAAGCAAGATCAGAGACTATGAAGGAAGGTTTCCCAATCTTGTTGTTTCTATACAAGCGGTCTCGGGAGTGTCAGTGGACCCCTTGTTGAACTTGCAAGTGTACAAAGTTGGGAGTGAAGTGAGGCATTTGGTAGTGAAGAAGGATTCTGATACAGACGGTGACGACGTAGACGACGAAGCTCACTATTCGATACCTGTTGTTTGGAAGGTAGAAATTGAGGACAATCGACGTATCTTGACGTTGAGCACTGCTGTTCGCGTAGTGTCTTTCGGCTTCAATACGCCAATTGAGGTGGGGGTTCTCGATCACAAGGAGCCAGATTCAGCAGAGGATGTTTCGAGGGTGACTTCCGTTGGAATTTCTCGTCCAGAAGCAGCTTTCTTTCTGCCTTTATGGCTTGCGCTGAAACTTGATCCAGTAGATGTTTACGTCCGACCGTGCGACAATTTCAGTAGCAACTATAACTGGAGCGATTCCAGTGTGCTTCATTTTGGCCCTTCGATTGCTCATTCTAAGGAGGGGGGGAAATTGAAGGCTGTCGAGGCAGGGCGGTGGACATGGAAGCAGTCCTTTTCTGAGCTTACATACATCGGATGCAAGCCCGTAAACAAACATCGCAGTCAAGCGTTTCTAACAGTTTTTGGTACATCCTCTGCCGTGACTTCCGCTAAAGCAACAATTGAAAAGAAGCGAGCTGATATTGATGAAGTGATTTCTGTCACTATCGATTCCGGCTTGACGCTAAGGAACATGCTGCCAATGAATCTAGAGTGGGAGGTTGCACACGCAGATGGCAAGAAACGGAACGTTGTTGATACCTCCGGCAATAAAGAAACTAATGTCGGCCGTGTCTTTTCGTTTGACGACAACCTTACTACCACAAAAAGCACAACGTTTGAACCTGGCCAGTGCCTCGAAGTCTTTGCTTCGGATGTTTGTTCCCAAGAGCTTGAGGCAAGATTCAAAGTCACAAATGGTGTCGATTGGTCCACATGGGCCTCTTTGTCCTTAATGGACACTGTTTACAACAAAAGAGACAAAAATGAGGCGAATTTGGAAGAGGATGATTTCCTTGCAGCAATGACGCCTGGAGTGCGGCAAGTCAATGTGCAAGTTAGAGACGACTCCCTTGAGGTACCATTGACATTTGGGGTTCGAATAGTTCCGAAGATGACACTTCCCGACGACCCACAACGTGGTGATGTATACGGCTTAGAAGTCATTGTTTTTGCCGAGTTGTGGATCCGAAACCTTACATCGCTACCACTAAATTTTGGTTGCCCTGCTTATCAGTTGCATGAACCTGGAAGTGACGTGAACACTGAGATCTGCAGCGCCGATGAATCGTTGGCTCGATTCACGGCCGAATCGGCATTGATCGAAATCGCAAACTTACTTGAAGTTGGCGACAAAGGGACTGGACTGAGAGGCGGTGGTGCAGCTGCAAAATCGGCGGAGCTTCTTGGAATAGAAAGCCTTCCTGGTCAAGAGTGCGATCATCTAATTGAGGAAGTCTTCGAGTACATAGAAATTGATAGCTCAACCGTGAAGAGGCGATGGTGGGCTGCTGAAAGCTATAATAGCTATCGTGCGAATCTAACGTTGTCTGACGAGAAGCACGAGAACTGGCGGTGGCTAGATGACTCATGGGTAAGTCAACGCTGTCTTCTTGATATATCTACTACACATTTTGTGTTTCTAAAGTCTTTGTAGGCAATTGATTGTGTTGGTCAAGCGCAAGCGCGTCATGGGGGTTGGGAAAGCTGTAGAGCTCTGTTCACATCTGGAGGATCTTTTGACGGCACTCGGACTTTTGATCCTGCCCACACATTCCGTCGTAGGAGATACTTCCGACAACGAACTGGATATGGCTGCTCCTCAGCTACCAAACAACCGCAGCATTCCGGCGTGTTACGCGGAGGGCTACAAGCAATTCACCAGCCACTTGTGGACTCGTTTTCTAAAGAACAACTGAAGCTAAAACGAAAACGAGCTAATGGAGAATCCAAACCACCAAAAAAAAAAAAGGGAGACGAAGATGACGACGATGCCGCTTTCAAGATATCAGTGAAAAGTGGAGATGGAAGATGGTGCAGTCCAGTTGCAATTCCCGACAACGGTGCAACCCACGGCGTTATCCGTTTGCTCTCCTCTAGATGGCCCACGCTCACAATGGAGCGTGTGCGTCCACAGGATGAACGTAGCTTGAAAGGCGAAAAAATTCGGGGTTTCTCGTACAAGTCCGCCTCGTTGGAACCTGATTTGTTTGAATTGTGTTACTCTGTCGCTGATGTTGACGGTGAATGGGGCGAATTTTCGCGCACGATGGAAATCTCTCCCCGTTTTCTTATCAAGAACACTTCCGAGAAGTTTGTGATCGAAGCGAAGCAATGTGGAGCTTCAGATGACACAATGCTAAGGCTTGGTCCACAGGAATCAAAACCGTTCTTTTGGGCCGATTTCCGCCTTCCAAAGCTTGTCAGCGTTCGTCCATCTGGATATAGTCTCCGAGGAACTGACAAATATAGATGGAGTGGTGGATTTGATATCTGTAATATTGGAATGGTTCCCATCCGTGTGCGAGGACGCATGGTCGGTAGCAACGAACAAAGCAAGGAGGACAGACAATCGCTGAGAGCAACGGTTGAGGTTCGGCCTGGAACCGGTGGTTCCGGAAGAAACATTGCACTCAAAGAGGAAGATCCAGAAGGGGATGGCTCATTGTTCCGCATCGAAAATACATCAACATTTCCAATCTGGCTTGCACAAGACGGTAATTTGGTCAATCCTTTGTCAAGCGCCTCGACTGAAAATGGTGCACACGGACTAGGCGAGGAGCTGACCCAAATCGATGGAGATTTGATCAGACCCAACGAGAAATTTTCATTCGCCCTTGATGTACCGTATAGACAGGGAAAGTATGCGAATCGAAAGGAGGCTTCGATTAGTGATCTCATGTCACTTCGAGTTGCTTTGGCACCACTGTCTAGTAGGGCAGGAGTTGAGACTGTCAAATCGATAAGATTGACTACAGTGGGAGTGAGCCTGAGACTAAATGCATCCAAGCTTGTAGGGTCCTTCTTGCCTGGCTCTCGCGAGATGCTCCAGCAGATGCGCGTTCTTGGGATTGTCACGACCGACGGTCCAACCAGAGTGCTGAGATTTTGGTGAGAACAACACCAATTGTGGTCCAGTATTTGTTTCTTTCGCTCACTTTCCTTTTCTTTTCAGCCTCATATCGCACCCAGCTCCAGATGTTTTCCGTAATGCTTTCGAAGAAGTATCGTACATGTCTATGAGCCAGAATCGTTCAAAGGAAAGAATTAAGGACCATCGTCAGCAAGATTTTACCCGCGAAATATCGGACGCTACAACTGCTACTGTCACTATTTTGAAGAGTAACGAGCTCCCGACAGAAGAAGAAGCCAGAGGAAAAGCGCTTGCCGAGGCTGGGGCAAGCTCGAAGAAATCAGATAAACCAAGGACGACGTTTCGTGGACTAGAAGATGAGACGTACTCTATTCGGGCAGATTTTGGGGGCTTTCTTTTCAGTCTAGTGGACTCTGTTCCTTCCGAGATTGCACTTGCGTCCGTTAAGAGTATCACTGCCCTCGCCAGATGGAACAAGCTACGAACATCCGACGCCACGATGATTGCTTCAATTGGCTGGATTCAAGTGGACAATCATGTGCCAAGTGCACCATTTAAAGTTGCTTTGCGCCCGGAAAAGAGTGGTCACTCAACCGATTCGATGGACAACACCTCGAATGCGCAAAGCCAATCATCCCCACTACTCGTTCTTGCGCTGTCGTTCGCACCGAAACACAAGTCTGGCATCATGGTGAGTTTGTATTGCATAATTTGGCGTTGTCTTTGACTTTTTCTCTTATTCTGTGATGTATCATTGCAGTGTCTTCGATCAGTCACAATTGCCCCTGGAAATATTATGGTTGCAATTGACCTAGCTTTCTTGGTCAGGATTCAACGATTTGCCCAAGGCTTGCAAGGTCACTTCCAGAACGCCGATGGCTGGAAGAGTATTCGGTCAGGGATGGTATACGCAGAGCAGAAGAAGCATATTCCATTCCCCAAGTTTGATAGCAGCGATGAAGTACTGGAACGAGCAGCTCTATTTGCATCAGAGAATCAGAACCTATACTTCCAGGCATTGACGATCCTCCCTTGCAATATCAACTTTTCTGTTGCACCAGCGAGAGCACTGAGTCCAGCGCAGGCTGCGTTGGAGGGTGCTGAAACAGCCGCGATCCACGTGGCCGTGCGCAAGGGCGACGTCAAAGTCGGAAATAGCAGCGCTTTGCTTGGGGTCCGCGTAGGGCGAAGAAACAAGACACCATTATCAGTTGTGAGAGGAGTTTTTAAAAGCATTGTAGTGGATGCGTTGATTAGGCTTGATGGAGCGTCGCTAGACCTCGCCGGTGTCGGGCTTCGCAATCACATTTCCACCGGACCTCAGCTGACTACTTACATTCTGGCGCATTATGTGAATTCTCTTCGTCATAATGTGCCAGCGTTGATAGGTTCCCTCGCTGCCTTTGGCAATCCACTAGGATTGATTCGAGGAGTCGGGGAAGGAGTGAGCGACTTTGTAAGTGAGCCTGTGAAAGGGTTCCAGAAGAGTGTGAAGGAGCTTGATCCCACATTTCTGGTGGATGGTGTTGCTCGAGGAACAGAATCACTTGCACGGCATACTGTTGGAGGGTTTGCAGATTCGGCATCGCTGCTAACTGATACGTTCTCCAAAAACATGGCAGTGCTGACATTGGATCGTCGATACGCCCAAAAACGAGACCGGGATAAGATCCTTCGAGTCAATGGTGACGGAAAGGTCACTTTGGCTGGTGGAATGGAAAGTGGATTCAACAAACTGGTTGGTGGTTTCCGTGACGGCGTCACTGGTGTAGTTGATGCACCCATTCGTGGTGCAGAGAAACGTGGTATTGAGGGATTTGCAAAGGGAGTTGGTAAAGGCATTTTGGGACTGATGGTGAAGCCTATCATTGGTATATCCGATGCTGCAACCGACGTAATGATTGGTGTCAAGAGCACTGTGGAGAAGGATTCTGTTTATCAGAACTTGGCACTTGCACGAAACCAGCTTCGACCCCGACGTCCCATGTACGGGCGTGATAAAGTGCTCCGACAATTCAAGATGGAAGATGCTGCAGCTGCAACCTTGATGCAACGGACAAGTTGTGCTGGCGAAGGCTATCTGAGTCATATTGATATGACGAACCGAGTGGCCTTGTTTAGCGTCGTTCGATGCCTCGTACTAGATTCCACCGGCAAAGAACTTGTGTCGCTCCAATACGAACAAATAGCAGAGGCAAATGCCCGTTCGTTCCAAGAATTTGGTAAGGACGAAACGTGGCGGGTCGAAATCTTGTTGACTGAAAATCTCAAACCAAAGGGGAGACGAAATGGGAAACTTGTCGAAATTGTCGAATGCAACAACAAAGACGAAGCCATTGTCCTGTGCTCGCAGATTAAGCAAGGAGTGGATTTGGTCACCAACGAAGACCGTTTGTAAGAAAGAAGAAAATACAAAACAACGTGTTGGAACTATGTAGTAATAATACAAATAAATGTAGAATTAAAATGCAACGGAATCAATTCATTAAAAAAGTGAGGTAAAGAAAAGTTTGACATGTGAGCTTTGCATCCTCGCAACGGACTGGTTACATACGTACACGTGTCGGTTATCATGTCTAATTGTTGGTCTGCTGCCGTTGAGGAACACTCTGGAACGGAAGAGCCGGCATGTCCAGTCACCAACCAAAGCCGAATTGTTCAAAAACATCTCTAAACTCTTATGCGTTAGCCTCCATTGTACCAGTTGGTTTGAAGCAACTTCGTTTCATGACAGTGGACCGACATCGAGGGAATTAAAAATTCAAGCAGCGTGAATTATTACAGCCAATACGCACTAGAAAAGGCTGTCGCCATGCCCATATCCATGGTGAAAGAGCAAATATCAGACAATGATGGTGTCAACCAGCATGAACATCAAATATCGCCAGTCTACGCCGATGATTCGGGGCAACTTTTCGCACATTGTCAAAATGGAGAGTGGATGGAACCCTTTTGGGATTGTCATGACGAACCCGTGTACAATACGGATGAAGATGAAAAGGAAAGTATCAGCAATGCATCTTCATCACAATACTTTGCAAAGCAAGACTTCCGCGGTTGGCAGTCGGCGTATATCAACCCTATGGGATTGACTGTCTTCTTGGGCGGGCTGGCAGTCGTTGCACATCCCTTCTTTTGGATCGCAGGGGCCCTTACAGCGCTGGGGACGGTCAAGGCTTGTCTGGAAGATGAGAATCTGTGTACTGGTGATTGGTTGTATTCTCTAACTGATGAAGAACAACGAAAGGCACTCGAATTGAAGGATAACCAAAACCTATCACGAGAAGTGTCCGAAGTGACCTATGAATATGGGGGAACGGCAAAAGTGTTGACAGAAAAGAAAACGTTACTGGCCATCGAAGCGGGGCCTCCTATCATTCCAGAAGAAGAGGAAACAGAAATAGAAGACGAAGATGACTTGAAAACGGTGAACGGAGAAACTGTTGACACGGCTGCTGTAAACAAAAGTTTGGATCCTAGACTGTTAAAGAATACACCAGACGCATTGAACTGGGTCCATCGGTTCTATCCGCCACTGGCCGAATGTGCCATGGAAAATGTGACGTTGGTGGGACTCAGTGCATTGGACTTTTTCAATGTGTTTTTTGCCGACGATGCCCCCTTTACTTTTGAAGAGCTACAACGGAAGCGACAAGACAAACATATTGTTTATGGTCAGTGGGAACAACTCGAAAATGTCAAGCAAGCCTCATTACACCCAGAATCATGTAGAGATCTGAGTCTGTTGATGAAGGAAAGATTGCTAAGATTCAAGACCAAGACGAATAGTTTCTTTGGGCCGCCATATGCCGATGCTACCAAATCACAAAGGGCGTTAGTGGCATCGAAGAAACTTTTGGTCTTGGAGGCAACGACCACTCTAAAGGAAGTTCCATTTTGCGAGCGATTTTATGTCATGGAGCGATGGGTGGTCACGGCCGAGAAGAAAGATGACGTTTATCACGCATCCTTATCCATCTCTTTTGAAGTAATCTTTGTGGAGAGTTGCCCATTTGAATCGCAAATTGTCTCCAGTTCAAAAAAGACATTTCTTGAAATTGCCAATACCTGGCTGAGCTTGGCGCAGCAAGCCTTGAAACAAACCGAACAGGCAAGATCGGAGCGATTGGAACAATCCAAGAATGCGAAGGTGCCTTCTTCGATTACCACCACGAGGAAAGAGGAAGATTCAGCTATTGAAGTGAAGCATGAAGGACAACGACTGACGTCTATTATGGATGATCATGGTGTGGATTGTGGTCCTGTAGGCAAGATGAGTTCGTCAAGAAATCGACGATTGAACACCTTTCGACATAACTTGTCCAAGCTGAGTGTGTCCAAACTGACCAAGAAAAGAACGCCTTTATCTACAAGCCCCTCGTCGCTATCGAGGCCGACAGCAACTCTTTCAGCATAGTGTATTGTGTAATATAATTAGTACTCTTAAAACTTTGTATCATAAAAGCAGAGCACTATTATTGCATCTTGATCATTAAGTCTACTTTCTGTCTCCTAAAAGTCATCCCAGCCGTCGGCCATATCATCATTGTCCAAACTTAGCTTGGTAGGCTGTGCTGCCTTGGTGAGTTTGAGTGCTCCGCCGCTTTTGGGTTTGTTGAAGCTCAACTTGGTTGCGCCAGAGGGTTTGGCTCCAAGTGCGGCGAATGGATCATCGTCAAATTGTTCTGGTGTGCTGAATTGCTGGGGCTTTGGCTTTGAAACCGGAGTCGAAGTGCTTCCAATGTTCGAAAATGCCAAATCTACATTGTCATCATCGTCGTCATCACCCCATCCTGACTCCTCACCCCAACCATCATCATCCGCGGTCAGTGCCACTGCTGCAAATTGTTGCTGAGGAGCTGCCATGGGTGCAGCTGCCATTGGTACAGGCATCACTGGAGCGGAAGCAGGCGCTTGCACGAGGGGCGTGGACGTGTTGGCAGGTGCAGAAGTGGCAGGTGTGGTAGTGCTGGACATCCAAGAGGTAAGTCCTCCCAACATGTAACCTCCACTCTTTGGAGCAGGCGCCACTGGCGCTGACATTGGGGGAGGGGGAGCTGATCCTTGCTGTTGTTGCTGCTGCGCCAGTTCCTGCCTTTGACGTTGAGCAATTTTCATAGACTCTTCCTGCAAGACACCCATGTACATATTGACAACTGTGAAAGCTTCATTGCGAACATCGGTTATTGGATCCAACAAAATTGGCATCACGCACGGCAAAACTTTTGTGGCAATATCCTGTGGAGAAAATACTTGTTTCGATTGTGCGAGTGCTTGCAAGGCAGCCAACCGGGCAGGTGGAAAGGGATCTTTCATCGATCGCACATAGGCCGGCAGCAAATGCTTCTCTCTAGATACTTGACTCATTTTCGGAGCAATCTTACTCACAAAAATCACAGCATTGGTACGGATCGATGTTTCCGAGTCTCCTTGGAGCCGTACAAGGTAACGGGTAAGTTTCTCTAGGTTGGGTTCATTCAGCGAAGGCACGAGACCAAGCGTTGCCTTCAGCGTAAGTTCACGCAGTGCAGGGCTCGAGTCATTAAATCCAGTACACAGCGGTTCAAAGACATGTACGTTCAGAGAATTCTTCTCCAAGTGTTGCGACATGAATTCCACTTTGCTCAGCAAGGCGCCACGGACTCCACGATCCTTCACCTTGAACAATAGTGCCACCAATGGGCCCAATTCTTTTGATACTCTCCCTTCTTCCAAGTAATTCTCCACAACAAAAAACAGAGGTTGCATCATTGCCAGCACTAATCAATCATCACAATAGAACAAATAGTTTAGGTGAGAAACGTGGAATCACAGCTGACAAAAATCCAACAACATGGATCACGATACAAACCTTCTCTTCGGTATAGATCTTGAGTCAACATTGCATCGTTGGTGCAAATTGTCAATATCGCACTCTGTATCATAGGTAGCACCTTGTAGAGCGAAACATCCCTTGGAATTTGTCCATTTTCAATAGAGCGTCCGAAATTCTGCCATAGAGCAATTTTCTGTTCCACAGGTTGCACGACCAAGTCTTCGAGCGTCAATTGTAGCTTTTGGTAAGGTGTATCAAAGATGGGACATTTCAAGAGAGGTTGTAACCGAGGTCGCATTTTGATGTTGGGCGTTTGCAATCGTTGAGCAGCCTTTTGCAATTTGGGAGGGATTCGACCTTGAAACCAATGGTCAATCAAGATTCCAAGACCATAGGAATCCATGGCATGTACACCATGGTTGCTGATTTGATCATATTTCCGTTCTACTCGTTCTGGACTTCGATAAGCATCTTGGGTGCATGCCTGTTCCCATTGTCGAAAATGATTGTCGGGTCCCAAATTCGGGCCAATCTGACTGATCAAGTTGAAGTTCCAAAGCTTAACATCACCCGATTTTGTGACATAGAAGGATGAAGGAGACATGTTTCCATGGGACAAGTTTGCTGATGCATGCATAAAGTGCATACCCCGAATCAAGCATTCCAAACCCCAGGCAAGTTGTTCAGGACTAGGCTGTGTCAACAACCATGTATCCAAGCTGACACAGGGTTCTGTAACAATCATGAGATCCCCAGTCTGAGCTTTATTTGAAGGAGCGGCCGAGCCAGCTGCACCATCCTCACTTGGATTGTCCGTATCGAGAGTGGCATAGACTTTCAAAATATGAGGGTGTCGGAGCTTTTTGCATTGTCGAAAGTGGTGAAGTGCAGGAACCAATTGTGTCTGATTAGGAAATCGTGGGGAGATGGGTGATTTCGCCATTTCAGGCTTCTTTCCAACGAAGATAGTAACCTCTGTTTCTTGTCCATCTGTAGACTTTCCAGTGTGCAATGCCCAACCATTGTGATCATGTGGTGCCCCGATTTGAGCTTCAATCGAATACGGTAAAGCAGAAGCTGAATTTCCCATTCTTCAGCTGATTTCTATGCGTCAGAGCTAGGTTGAAGCGCTTCCCTTGTTTCTAGAGTGATGGCTATCTACCCTCACCACAAAACCTTAGTGGCACAGTGGATGTCTGGCAGGTGTGATGCGTAAGTCATTGAAATGATGAGAATTTTTTCAAGTAATCGAACCAGTCGACTAGGTTGAAGTCCGCCCATAGCCCCATCCATTATTATCATCATTATCCCATCCCATCCCATCCCATCCACAGCCTACTACGTCACAACCATGGAACCTTCAGCACAGGAAATTGTCACTGCCATGCAAGAAGCCGTCAAGGCCAACCCATCCTTGAAATCAAAATTCAATGCCTGTGTGGAATTTCAATTGACCGGATCGGATTCGTTCCAATTGGACGTTAGCAAATCTGGAAAGGATAAACCAGACTTGGTCGTCATTGCATCATTAGAAGTCTTTCACAAATTATTGAACAAGAAGCTGACGCCACAACAAGCATTTATGCAAGGAAAACTCAAAATCAAAGGGAAAATGGGCCTCGCTATGAAATTGACGTTAATTCTCAATGCCACGAGAAAGGTGCTTCAGAAGAATCATTCCAAATTGTAATCGTCTGACGCAACGATGAAAGGCTGCCCAGCTACAGTAGATAGAATTTTGCAATATAAACAGGCGAGTTTTGTTACTAGCAACACAAAACCATACAACAGTAGATAGACTGCTCTTTTTGCGAATGAACTCTAATTATGGATCGGACGAGCTGCACTTGCAAGAATAAGTGCAGCGCAAATCACTGGTTCTTTAAGCAGAAAGGGTAACCTCAACCTTCTTCTTTTTCTTGTTCTTCCTCTTTGCTGCCTTCTTGGCGGCCTTTTTGGCTTCAGCATCGGCAATTTCCGTGAGGACCTTTTGGGTTTCTTCATCTGCTGCCTTGTCGGTTGTGAAATAAGATGGAAGAGTCAATCCTGTTACTCGGGCAGTTCCAGAGGGAAGTAGCAGTACAGTGCACTTGAAGTGTGCAACCTTTCCAGAATAGTCGTGCATGCTTGGGTAAGGGGTCAATAGACCGTGAGTGATACATTCAGTGATACCCAACTTGGCCGAACGAAGATCGCTCAAGTGGCGCATTGTGAAAGGAAGAGTGGGGAATTTCTTGTCAACTTCCGCCAACAATTGACGAGAAGCCTTGACCTTAAGGTGGTATTGTTGCTCCACATTGCGCTTGAAAACAGTGGTTCTAAATTCACCTGGTCGGGCCTTGCCATCTCCCGTAGACATGGCAACATCAACAGCGTAGACCTCAGCTTGCTCAAAGGTGCATTCTGGGACCTTTTCTTCTTCTGGGTCATCGGGAACAGGAGCCTTCAAAGCCACTTCCTTGACACCATCCAAGACATAACGTTTCATTTGGTGCATTCGGACCGAAGAAATTGGTGTGACACCATATGCACTGGCGACACGTTCAACAGCCTTTGTGACATCAGCATTGGTTGCTCCTGCTTTTATCGAAGCAGCGGCAACCAACATGGCATTGTAGGCGGCAACAGCAACATTTCCAAGTTCCTCATCCTTCTCTGGTTGGGCCTCTGGAGATTCAGTAACAACACAGGTGTGTGCTGCAACTGCAATGTAACCGTCAATGTGGCACCCCAAATCCATTTTCACGATATCCCCAACCTTCAAAGGTGGCTGTTACAAAATGAAAATACGCAAGAGACGGACAAAAGGTGAGCATTTCATTTCATTCTTGTCGGATTTCTATCATCAAAGTGCATATTTCTTTCTTGTACGAAAGGAAAATGTGAAAGACATGGACCAACATGTGTGCCAGGCAACCATGGAAACAGAGGGCCTACTGGAGGGTGGTGCAAAGCACACACACAAACACGAACACACATGAAACAGGCGACGCCTTTCCAAGAGAACAGAATCACAGGATCGACCCCGCTAAGGGTGATGCGACTGCAACTACACGAGTGCTCTCTTTTTTACTCTTCCTGTCATTAACGGCCTGTGCACCAGTCTCGGCATGCCTTCTTTCACAAAGGAAAGGCGCTGTCACCATGCACAAAGGCAATGGAACATAGGCAAGCTCGTGATGCACTTGGTATAACGACCTCGACAGGTTGCGGAATGAATATCAAACCATGTAGCGGAACCTACAGTTGCCTGGTATTTTGCTCCAAACGTGTATGTGAAAAGCGACAATAAGAAACTTACTCTTTCCTCTGTGGGAAGAGGAGAATGATTGCAGACAACATCGTTGACAGAGATACAGACTGGGAAAGAAACTCCTCTATCAATAGCAACACCGTTAACCTTCTTTTGATACAGCTTGGCGGCTTGTGCTTCCATGACAGTGTGTCCGAATTCGCAGAGATCCAAAACTTTCGCACCTGGAATGCATTGCAAGACTAGACCTTCCAAAGCCAAATTGACAATTTTGGCAGCTTCTTGGTACTTTGTGCAGACATCGCTGTAAGATTGAGTTGGGAGAAAGGAGGAGGATTCGGAAATGGAAGAATGACAACAGAAGAGTGATTGAGTATATAGTTCTGACTCTGGCCCATCAATCAATTGTTACGGATGATGGAAGTGTTTGCTTACCTATTGGAAAGATCAGTGATATCTTGCTCTTCTTCGGCTTCGTTGGTGCTTACTTCGTCGTCACTCATATTGCTAATTTTGGATCTGCTGTTGAAACGAACAAGCAACGATTGATTTGTAGGAAAAGTAGTCGAGATGGGGTGGTGTACAAAACCTGTCGTTCTCAAATTCACAGGACACCGTCCAACCGTCAACCCTCACCGCATTCACGACCACAAAACGTGGAATCCGGGTTATCCCCGTCGCGCCAGGATTTCCCCCAAATATAGCTCTATTTGGGGGACTTAAGTTCCACGCGGAAGCGTTTTGCCCTGAAACCCGTGAAAAATGGGGCCAGATTTACTTTTTTGTTTGGGTCAGTCCTGGACTGAACATACCCACAGTCCACCGTCATTGCATAAGGAAAGTTACGGTTCCCATCACCAAACGACGCAAAATGACATCGGATGCCGCAAAAGAATGGCCAATGGACAAGGTTCGTCAGACCTTCTTTGACTTCTTTGAGAAGAAACATGGCCACAAGTTCTGGCCGTCCAGTCCATGTGTTCCAGTCGACGATCCAACCTTGCTGTTCACCAACGCTGGAATGAATCAATACAAGCCACTTTTCTTGGGAACTTGTGATCCTGGTCTTCCAATGGTACACCTCAAGCGCGCTGTCAACTCTCAAAAGTGTATTCGTGCCGGAGGAAAGCACAATGATTTGGATGATGTTGGAAAGGATGTTTATCACCACACTTTTTTTGAGATGTTGGGTAACTGGTCCTTTGGAGATTACTTCAAGAAGGAAGCCATTGAAATGGCATGGCAATGTTTGACAGAGGAATATAAACTCGATCCAAACAGATTGTACGCAACTTACTTTGGAGGTGATGAGCAATCACCCAGTGATGAAGAAGCTAGGCAAATTTGGTTGCAATTTTTGCCTCCGGAAAGAGTATTGCCCTTTGATGCCAAGGATAACTTTTGGGAGATGGGTGCCACAGGACCTTGCGGACCCTGTACGGTGAGTTTCAGTTTCATGGCAGACAGGACGATGCACATTGCAGAAGTTCTGATATCATCTTTTTTCTTTTGTAGGAAATTCACTATGACAGAATTGGAGGACGTGATGCTTCAGCCATGGTAAATGCCGATCTACCAGATGTCATTGAAATCTGGAACAATGTGTTCATTCAATACAACCGCGAGGCTGATGGTTCCTTGAGACAACTTCCTGCCCAACACGTTGATACTGGTATGGGTTTCGAACGTCTGACTAGTATTTTGCAAGGTGTCGACTCCAACTACGACACGGATATCTTCATCCCGCTCTTTGAAGAAATCCAAAAGGTCACTGGAGCCCGACCGTACGCTGGAAAGGTAGGAGCCGAGGATGAGGGCTTTGTGGATATGGCCTACCGTGTGGTTGCTGATCACATTCGTACATTGAGTTTTGCCATTGCCGATGGAGCCATGCCTTCCAATGACGGACGTGGATACGTCCTTCGACGTGTGTTGCGTCGTGCCGTCCGATATGGTCGTCAAAACTTGGGAGCGGAGTTGGGATTTTTCTCCACACTTTTGCCAAAGTTGGTTGAAGTCATGGGAAACATCTTCCCTGAATTGAAGGAAAAACAAGACCTCGTTGCCGCCGTCATTCGTGATGAAGAAGAATCCTTTTCCAAGACATTGGACAGGGGTCTTCAAAAGTTCACCGAATTGGCCGAAAAGCTTGGTGACACGAAGGTTTTCCCTGGCGAGGATGCTCACTTCTTGTACACAACAATGGGATTCCCCATCGATTTGACTGAGCTCATGGCCGAAGAAAAGGGATTGACGGTTGATATTGCAGGATTCGAAGCCAAGATGAAGCACGAACAAGAGTTGAGTGCTGCCGCACACACCGCAAAGATGGCTGCTGGATCTGGAAAAGACATGCGAATGGTTGCCGAACAAACTGCTCACTTGGTCAGCAAGGGTGTTCCCGGAACTGATGACAGCGAAAAATATGTATGGGGCAAGGAGTTGAAGGGATGCGCCGTCAAGGCTCTGTTTATTGGAAGAGGTGAAACCGAAGACAAGATTGGATTTGTTGACACCATCACGTCCGAAAGTTCGACTATTGCAGTCATCTTGGACAAGACTAGCTTCTACGCCGAGGCTGGAGGACAAGTATATGATATCGGTACCTTGAAATCTGGAAGTGCCACTATCAAGGTCACCAATGTTCAATCATATGGACAATTTATCCTTCACATCGGCGAGGTTACCGAAGGATCTCTATCCGTGGGAGATTCTGTTGCCTGCAGTGTCGATTACGTTCGTCGTTCCCCCATTGCTGCCAACCACACGATGACACACATCCTGAACTATGCCTTGCAAGAGGTCTTGGTCACCAGACCTACCAAGGATGGCAAGCCACCAAGTGTAGGCATTGACCAAAAGGGTTCTTTCCTTGATGAAGCTAGATCTCGATTTGATTTTTCATGGAACGGTGCCTTGTCTTCCAAGGAGTTGACCGAGATTGAGAAGATCTGCCAAGACACAATCCAACTTGGTCTTCCAGTCGAATCCTATGTCTCTCCTTTAGAAGCTGCCAAGAAGATTTCATCGCTTCGTGCTGTATTCGGTGAGAAGTACCCCGATCCCGTCCGTGTTGTTGCCATTGCTCCTGCCAAAATTCCAGACATGTTGGCCCAGCCAGAAGATGAAATGTGGAAGAACTACAGTGTTGAATTTTGCGGAGGAACACACCTGAGTAACACAAAGGAAGCAGAAGCATTCTGCTTGCTGAATGAAGAGGGTATCGCCAAGGGTATCAGACGGGTTCTTTTCGTGACACAGGCTGATGCAAAGAAGGCCATCGCCGCTGCCGAAGGATTTGGCACCAAACTTGCAGCTACCGAGAAGATCGAGGATGATCTTGAGAACAAGGTGAAGGAGCTGTCTCTAGAATTGGATGCTCTTTCAATTTCCGCTGCAAAGAAGATCGTATACAGAGAAGCCATCTCTTCGCTTCAAAAGAAGGTCCTTCAAATGAAGAAGAAGAAGCTTGCTGGTATGACGGACGAAATCAAGGTGAAGGCTATCGAGGCAGGTGAGAAAACTGAGGGCAACAAGGTTGTCTTCCGATTCGATTTCGGTGTTGAAGGAAAGGTCGCAAAGAGCGTCACACAGGCATTCGGAAAGAAGATCAAGGATAAGGCCCTTCTGCTCATTTCTGCCGATGAGAGTTCGGACAAGTTTTTAGTTATGACATTTGCTCCAAAGGGAGTGGATGTTGATTGCAAAGCCTGGGTAACTTCTGCAACCGAAGGTACCGGTGGAAAGGGAGGAGGCAAGAAGGACAGTGCCCAATTCACATGCTCTGATGTCTCCAAGATTGATGGAGTGATTCAGAAGGCAAAGCAGTTTTAAAGATTATTAGTGTACTGTAGACTTTTTATTGACATTGTGCTTGCGTGGGGGTCTATTTTCGTATGTGCACCATGTACACGGGCTGTACTGTTTTAGCACCGCGTTTGGCCCTTCCTCTGTCAAAATCACGCGTCACCAAATTTGTTGAGCGCTCTTCTCAACAAAAACGCTTCAACTATCGAACTTTTCCATCATTGCACTATGATGAATACCGATTCAAGCCGTCAAGGAAAGCGGCATATCCCGGACGGCCAATCAATGCCGAGCATCGATGATAGCTTTCTTGAACAAAATGCCGTACCAAGTATGGAGGAAGAATATTGTGACAATAGAGACGGCGCAATTTTACCAACTAGTATGATGAGTCCAGGAGGTAGGAGACGGTTACTAATGACTGGTCGGGTGTACTCAGATTCGGACGTTCTGTCGGAATCGGAAGCGTCGATTGGGGACAATACATGTGAAGACACAGTACCAAGCGTTGACATCACAGTCGACAAGGAGAGTCCAGAGAAACAACCACCAGATGACGGAAAATCTACGAAAGCAGGAAATCCATCCTCTGGAAAATCACCAGACCCTCCTTCCCTTGCGGATGAGTTTCGAGATGAAGAGCACGGAAAAAGTGCTCACAAAGAAAGTACAGCTAGGACTAAAAATGGGGGACCCAGAAGAATAACAGTGAAACGTTCAAGGGACGGAACAAGTAGATCCGACCCAAGCGACGTAGGGGTGGATGATCCACTCGTTCGCGAAAAGAGCAATATTGACTCAGACACGATCTTGAGCAAGAGCCACAAGAAAACTTTTATCATCTGGATGCTGATTGTACTAGTTGTCCTAGCATACGGTGGGGGGGTTTTCACTGGTGTTGCAATTTCAAATGGAAGTGACCGCTCAGTAACCCTGATTACGCCAGCTCCAACGTCGCCACCGACGCTTCAGCCAACTTTGTTTGCACGGGACGATGGTGCAAATTGAACTCATCTCATCTCTATCAATAGAGTCATTAATTGCATCATGGTCACAATTGAAACTATGAAATCATGAAAACAGGACGATGGCATGTAAATTGACAATATTATGCAATGACGCGACAGTGGTGAGCTAGTAATATTCGGCTCCAAGAGGCACGGTATGTTATCAATTGGGATGAAAGTGCCCAGCAGCCCAGCCCGAGCCCGACCTGAATCAGCGGCATGAACGAGCAGCGATGGAAAATGGGAGAAGCCAATATCGTTTCAGAAGAGTATGGAATGTGACCAAAATTTGTGTATCGCATGGCAAGTATCAACCGATTCACGGCAACTGACTCCCCAGATGAAGGCTCCGAATTGAGAATGAATTATCCACTACTACCTTTCATTAAAGGACCTTTCACTGAAAGAATCAACGAAGACAGTGCTATCAGAAGAACGACCTACGGCATACGTCGGATCTTCATTATGTTAGCAAGATGTTTTGCCTTCGATCTTTATCGGTTGGACTAGTGTACCGGTACCTGTAGCAATAGCAATGGTTTCTTCTTTGTCAATTCGATTTTGACACTAACGAAGCCCCTTCACTGAGCGTAAGCAAGTTTCGTTTTTCAACGGCAATGACGAAAGCAATACACAGCAGGAGGTAAACCCTTCATCACAAACGAGTTGTCGTAGACGATGGGTGTGAAGCATATATTTAAAAAGCACGACAAAGCAAAGAAGCGCGTTAAGTCACCAGGAGCTGTCGGCCGCGATGGCACTGTACAGTCGAGCCCGTCGTATCAATATGCTATAAATGAGTTTGCCCAAACAGTTGCTCCTGCAACATCAAACGACGATGGAAAGTCAAAGTATAGACAACAACAGCAAGAGCTGCAACAAAATATTTCAACTCCACAGCACCAGCAACAGCAAACGATGCCGAATCAGCAATCGAATATAAGGCCGCAAGATGGTGATGCGGAATCGGGAACCGTTGTGTTTGATGATCAGTCCACGGCTTCATCCAGACGAACAAACGAAGGGGGAGGTGATTCGAGATACCCTTTCTCGCCGCATGGAACTTTACCATCGGAGTACATGATATATTCAGCCTTTTCGCAAACGTCACAGAGCCGACTACACCAAGAGCAGCAATATTATCACCCAACAATCGTCGATGCAACATATGATGAAAAGTACGGAGACGCTTATCTCGGAGCTCCCATCAAATACATTTACCCATCAGGATATCAATCAATGCGGCCTAGAAGTGGACCATGGAAGCTGAGCATTTTTGTTTGTATGATGTTTACCTGGTTGTCGGTCTTTATCATTGGGCACTGTTCCGATCACTATGAGAGTATTCCTCAGTATGAAGTGGACGACGATACTGTCATGGCAATCAACACACGATGGTGTGGATCACAACTACTATATATGATGTGGGTGCTGAGTATGTCCATCACCGGAATGGCAGCAGCATATATGGGTATAATTGGGTACATCAAGATGCGAGATTTTGCAGTGGCCAATGGAAGAAGTCAACCACCGGGGATGACGGGACGTTCCGATTACTATGTAGCGATTCGAGACGGTCCGTCTGAGAGTAGAGGAAACGACAGTGGCTATCGCCCTTCCATTTATCAAGCAGATGGAACACCACAGTTCTGGGGTGGTCATATCTACCGACCAACTCAGGCAGCTGTTGCAGTTACCAGTCGGTAAACAAATTGAACGTGGTTGATTGTAGAGAGCAGCTATTGCTATCAAGTTAGTTGTAATATCAGCGTCAGTTCTTGTATGTATTATACTTTTTTATTTCTTACACATCCTATTTTATGGAGATTGCCATTGCAAGATATCCAAGACAGCACTTCTAGCAATTTTTGGTGTTCTTGTTTTGGACGAATGCTGTTTTCATCCAAACTGGAGTGAGGAGACAAGATAGCTGAAGCGTCGGTCACTTTAGAGTAACGGTCACTTTATAGTAACACTTTTGTTTTATGGACGTACTTTCTGTGTGACAAAAAGAGGCGCCTGCACTTGCGAAGAGCGAAATCAGACGCTAACCAGACACTCAAATGAAGAAGATGTGACACATGCACTAACATTCACGACTTAAAATATCATGACCTCGGCACGCACTGAACATAACTGATAATGCGTTTCAAAGAAAATTCTGAACCGCCATATAACGCCACATGTATATTTGAATAGTGAAGATCAAATTTGAAACGCCCGTACGCGAGGCAGACAAGCCCCATCACGCTATGGAGAAAACTCTGCAGTTGAAAAGTTGATCCGAAGAAATTTCCTGGACTCTCTTCCATGGCGAAAACCGGTATGTGCGATTTCTCTCTAGAATCCAATAAAGTATTCATCAACTGCCATAGACTGTGAATATTTTGCAGCTCAGAGACGCTGGTCCCAAGACGACTCAACGAAGAAACTGCATCAACGTTCCTCCTGTGGCATATTCCAGCGTGTCTGGCGTCCACGGCTTGAGGAAAATTCTGAAGCTTTGATATTGCCACATCTCCGCCATTGCTTCATTGTTATTGGTAGGTCTCCACGGGTCGCTGCCCCCCGAGATCCCAAAGGTCATGTCGGATAAGCTTTCTTCTCCAAGCAGCAGCTCTGGGTATTCACCTAGAACTCGAGGCAGTGCAAGTAGTGATGAATCATCCTTCATAACTGTGAGGAAGCATCCTCCTACCTATGTCTACTCGAACGAATCATTCGAAGTGCAGCTGCAGTTGGAGACACCAAAAGTAGCCAGCCCCTCGGCTCCGTCATCTCAGCCCATTGAACTTGGTGCTTCCCTTCATCATGTCAAGAATGGACGAGAGTGTACATCTGAAGCGATTCTGATAACTGAGCCATCAAGAATAGATCTGTCGCTCAAGAAAAAAACTTGTACTATTAAGTGTATGATTCGCATGGATGGCATACGAGGAGATCAGGGAGCTGGTTTGGAGGTTAGATTTACACCGAAAAATGACCTTTCTCCATCTGCTCGAAGTGTTATTGGGGCATCCACCAAACCCATCACAATTGTCAACTATAAAGTCAAGATAACACTTGAGGAAGAATGGGATAACGTTTGGTACAAGGATGAAGGGGGCAGGGACAAGTGCATGGAGTTGTTTGTTGCGATATACGACAAAGATGGACAAATACGAACTGGAGAACAAATTCCGCTACAACCAATGCTCTGCTATGCGTCGGAGAGTGGTATCCCAGTGAAGGTCTCGAATCAAGAAGTTATGCGTACTCTCGGTTCTAGCAAGGTTCATATCGACAAGGACAGCGGAAAAGCTAGGATCAGATTCCGTGTAGAAGATGTCTCCAAGAATCACCAAGGCCAAGACTTCAAGCTTCAAGTAGGACCTGATCCCAAAGCCAAGCTATTCAAGGACGTTGCCCCAGATTATACACCATCCGTAAACGTCCGTTCAAAACGAAACAAAAGATCAAGAGCAGCTTCAAGCGGCAGTCGCGGTGTTGGAGAGAGAAAAATATCAAGTCCCATGGCTAGCAGAGCCCGATATGATGCACCCCCCGATGTTTCCCTTGACAGATCAGACCTATCGACGCTACGAGACTCTATGAAAAATGTCCTTCATTGGGCTGATGAAGTAGTCAACGGGTTGTATCCTCTTCAATGGCAGATTATGGGATACGCTCAGCACCCAGATGGCACACCTGATTATGCAAGTCCCTATCACAACATGCCAAACCCGAATGGATGCATCAATCGAATTCTTTCTATGTATTCGGAGTCAGTGCGTGAAAATCTTCGCTTAATCTCCAATGCTATTGACTCCACTGAAGGAGTTAGACCGACGGAACAATCGTACCTACCATTACCCGGCGCTCTCCCGGCGTCGGACGATCCTTATGGAATGATGCGCGGTCAACCTGGTCCAATGAATCCTCAGGTCGGGCTTCCAACACAGTCTGTGAACAGACGTCCTGTTCCTGGAATGCTACCACCAATGGGGCAAGAGACATTTCGAGATAAACCAGATGGTCCCATGCCACCCTTTCAACCTCGTGGACAGATGCCCCCGATGCATCACCCATCGAATATGGGTTCAGTGTCAATTCCAAGGCGACAAATGTCTGGCCCAAGTCCATTCATGGATCCGATGCTTCAGAACCAACCCCAGCACGGTCGCATGATGCACCAGCAGCAGCAAGTTATTAACCATACAGGCATGCACATGCACCCAGACGCGCTCAACGAGTCCACTGTAGAAAGCGAAGTTGCTTATGTACTTGCGAAGCAATACAAGGCAGCACGGACTGGGGAGCGCTTAGGATTTCCTGCCTACAGCACAAATAAGGAGATTCTTGGCTTCTACCGCGAAGCGAGTGGAAAAGTTGGCGTGGGTTCGTTCCATCCTCTTTCGAGGCATCGGAATGATTTTGGACCATTGGAAGTCTTGCAGGCAAACGATATCTTGGAGCGTGCAATCGCCAAGAAGAGCGATGCTGTACATGCTCTCAAGGACTGGGGAACCATGGCCAATTTGCTCGACCATGCACTAGTATATGATTGGAGTAAAGATATTTCTGGTGATCCATCCAACTCTTCTTCCGAATAAATGTTCTCGCACTTTTATTTTTCTAATTCGAGGAGACGAGAGGATTTTTCCGTTGCTACTTGCTTACTGGGGAAACACAGCTTGTATCTTGCAAACACTTTATCTGGGGTCAAAGCTGTTTGTGTTGTGATTTGAATCCTTTACGAGTCTTCAAATAGCATCTCGAGCTGCTGAATTGGATGGAATTTTCATAGTTTAGACTTTTCATATTTAGAGCACTAACTTATAGACCACTTTATAATGCCCAAGCAATTTACTTTGTCAATTTGCTTACACAATAGAGTTGAAACGGGTTTCGTCCTGTGCTTCCAAAATAGGCTCCTTTGGAGGGAAGCGTTTCTCGCGGATTAGTTGTGCAAGCAGCGTATTGGGACCAATTGCAGTGATGACTGCGATAGCACTCCCTTGCACCACCTTTCCGCCGTAATATAGACTAGTCATGCTGTCGCTCCCAGTTGCAACCGTCTTCAGCCGCTCTTCACCGGTAACACTTCTCAAATCTACCAGCAGATCCTCACTTCCAGATACCTGCATAGTGACGCAGTCGCCTGGAACCGAATCCCCTTCTTCCAAACGAATGACATCGCCTCTTACAAGGCTGGAAGCCTCATACCGAACCCATTTTCCATTTCTCTTGATTTCGGCATCATCTGGCTTCAATACAGCGAATGCTTTCATGCTTGGGACATGTTTGATGCAAGGCAATACGATACAGAGCCACGCCGGACAGTCAATTGGTGGTTGAACAACATTGAAGGCCCCGTCGTCTTCTCTACGTTTCGAGGCTTCGTCGGTTGTCAGTCCTTTTTGGAGGTCGGCCCCAAGCTTTTCAAGCAGTTCTTGCTGTGAGAGAGACATTTTCTCAACTTCTATTTCCTTTTGCTTGGTGTTTTTGAACATGAAGTCGTCATTGTGGAGGAACAAGGATTTTCGTTCTCAATTTCATCATTTTGCTTTGAAAAATTCCTGCATACGTCTGGCCGACGTTTCTTTTTCACAGTAACACCAAAAGTATCACCTGTGCTATTTCGTCTAGAGAGAAGCTCAAGGACTACAGTACCTGGTGGTGTACAACAGTAAACGATAGATCACAACGGTAAAATAAATCCGTATTCCAACATTACCCCTAATTCACAAGCTACAATTATTCTATGATCCTCGTCCATTTTCTTATCTCTCCTCTAACAACATCATGTCGGTAGTACGTAGTATTCCAGTTTTTGTCATGATGATAAAGTCAGCATGTCTTCGATTGGTATTACAATCATTCTGGTGATCGGAGCTTGCATAGTACGAGGTTTTCGAGCAACTTCAAAGATCGCACCAACGTCCGAATCTGCAATTTGCATATCCCATCTACAAGGATTTGGATCCTGAATGATGCACGGACAAGAAGACATGGGACTCGTTTCATCTTCCTTGAATTCCTCCTCTACCTGGATTGCATTGTAGAATCCTCTGTGGCGAGCGAGCAGCTTGCTCTCATTCACTGCTCTGGAATACTTTTTAGCAATACAGTCGTGGTCTCTGATACCCCCACTACCGTATTGGTTTTCTTGCGCTGCCAAGACACTCAATCTACCATCAACTATTCGTTTGCAGCGTTGTGAATTGTCTTCAAAAGAGAAAATCCCAATCATATCGTCTTCTAGATTGTTGATTCTACCGCGCATAGTCAACTTTTCACTTAGTCGTTTTTCTCGGTTTCTCATGCCTTTCAGATCATCTGAAGAAAACGATATTGCATGTCTCTCGTCTTCTGTGGAATCTCTGCGACACGGAATTTCTAGAACTTCATCATTATCTTTGAAGGAGACTCGTCTTAGCGGTGCTGATATGGTGTTGTCTAAAGGCATTTTTTGATTTTTCAAAGGAACAATGAGTATTTCTGACTGGCGGAACATTCACATTCGGAATGTAGCGGGCATGACATCGTCACCATAATCGTCTAGTCGATGCGTAGGCTAACGTCCCCATTCGGAGCTTTCCATGTGAAAGGGTTGTTTAGAGCCGTCTATGATCGCAAGATTCAAGACTTAGAAATCACTCGACAAAAATGGCCTTCCCGGAAGTTGGTCGTCTTGCATACTCGTAAATCGGAACCAAATGCAATTTTTCGAAAGAAATATCTGTCGAGGAAGGGCAAAATGATGCATGGAAACCGATCGGCAGGCGATTATTTTGTGATGAAATACGTCTCAAACGCTTTCAAAACGTACCATTGGTTGGTACAGTCCATACGAAATCACATGTACGAAGATTCAAGTAGAAAACAGTACCAGAGACGAGGGGAAAGCTAAACATGTCCGGAGGCTTGCCTCGCGTACTCACAACACCAAGAGCGGTCGTTCAGAATCATATTCAAAACAACTAATCCAAGATGGCCGATGATGAAGATATTGCCGCCCTTGTCGTAGACAACGGTTCCGGAATGTGCAAAGGTGGGTACTCTACATAATATTGTTCTTTGTAAACCAGGTGAACCTTTATTCACTTCGTTGATGATGCTTTTCTTCGATTGTTCGCTCACAATCTTTCTATTTCCTTTTGCGTCTTCTAGCCGGTTTTGCTGGAGATGATGCTCCACGATCTGTCTTTCCTTCTTTGATTGGACGTGCCCGTCAGCCTGGTATCATGGTTGGTATGGAACAACGTGACGCTTACGTCGGTGATGAAGCCCAAGCCAAGCGTGGTGTTTTGACTTTGAAGTACCCCATTGAGCACGGTATCGTTACCAACTGGGATGATATGGAAAAGATCTGGCATCACACTTTCTACAATGAGCTTCGTGTCGCCCCCGAGGCCCACCCTGTTCTTCTTACCGAGGCTCCCATGAACCCTAAGGCTAACAGAGAACGTATGACTCAAATCATGTTTGAGACGTTCAACGTCCCAGCCATGTACGTGAACATCCAGGCCGTCCTTTCTTTGTATGCTTCTGGTCGTACCACCGGTTGTGTTTTGGATTCTGGAGATGGTGTCTCGCACACTGTCCCAATCTACGAAGGTTACGCCCTTCCCCACGCCGTTGTACGTTTGGATTTGGCCGGTCGTGATTTGACTGATTACTTGATGAAGATTTTGACCGAGCGCGGTTACTCGTTGACAACCACTGCCGAGCGTGAGATTGTTCGTGATATCAAGGAAAGTCTTTGCTTCGTCGCTGTTGACTTCGAAGAAGAGATGAAGAAGGCCGCCGAGTCCTCTGCCCTTGAGAAGTCTTTCGAGCTTCCCGATGGTAACATCATCGTTATCGGAAACGAACGTTTCCGTTGTCCTGAGGTTTTGTTCCAACCTAACTTGACTGGTCTTGAAATGGACGGTATTGCCGACTCCACTTTCCAAACCATCATGAAGTGTGATGTCGATATCCGTAAGGATTTGTACGCCAACATTGTTCTTTCTGGAGGAACCACCATGTTCCCCGGAATCAGTGAACGTATGTCCAAGGAGGTTACTGCCCTTGCGCCCGCTTCGATCAAGGTTAAGATTGTGGCTCCCCCAGAGAGAAAGTACTCTGTGTGGATTGGAGGAAGTATTTTGGCTTCTTTGTCCACATTCCAAAGTATGTGGATCTCCAAGGAGGAATACGACGAATCTGGTCCCTCTATTGTCCACCGAAAGTGCTTCTAAACCTGTAGTCCCACCAAGTGTTTTGGTGCTCTGTGGAGCAATGTGACACCTATCGTTTCGTGTCCGCTCTTCTTTGTGTAATATTTAAAAAAGAACAAATTCAAACCAACAGCGTGTTACTTTCTACCGGTAGGCGCTGCGCTGTAGTTGATTAATTTTGAACTCAGTCCACAATCACTTGGATTTTGTTGGAGTGGTGTATTGCTGTATCTTGCAAACTCTACCAGCAGGACAAAATAGGATAAGCCATGTGATAAATGCGATGGACCAGCATTTGATAGCGGTACAGCACTGGTACCGGTACTGTACCGGTAGGCAGGGCTAAGTTCTTCTGTTGTCTTGCGTCATTGCGTCACGCACTGTACGTTCTGTAGTTTGTTGCGTTCGTCCCGCGTGACGTTAGACCAATCCGACTGCTTAAGTCAAGTTCACCTGATGCAAGGCAATTTGAAAAAAGTGTAATGCTACTCGAAAGGACCTGGCACCATCTGTTCTGACCAAAGTACTTGTCGGGTTTTATTGTCGTTGATTGGGCTATCGCTATTGGTTCTCTTGCTTTTTGGATGGCTCGACCTGTACTTGGAGTACTTTGGCTGAATATGAAGTGAAAACACTGGACACGGCCGCTTCGCCTCAGCACCAGTTGCCATCCGATTCCCTTTCCACCTGGATCTACCCGTAAAATCAAAAGCTGATGTATACTTCGTTGTTGCTGTGGGCCTTGTGCTTGTGCAGGACCTGTTGTATGTCCGATGAAGGAACTCTTTCTATGATTATCAATTTGATGGTGCTGGCTGCTGACACAAGGCAACAACAACAACAGCATCAACTATATTACGACCGTCACGTTCTTTGGCGGTAGCTTCGTGGTCTTCCCCTTCCTGCTCGTGGATGGCAAGACCATGGAGCATATAGCTTTCGGGATGTCTTCGATGGAGGGATGCAAAAGATTCGTGTGGCCGGTGGAAGGACGAGAAGATGATGTTTCCTGCTTCTGGAGGATCATGTCATGTACACACAAGAATTTCATGATCATCAAGAAAGTCGAAACAAAATGGTCTGCGATCGAATTTTGTGTGCTTCTTCCTGCAAAGGATCATCATGGGGTCATTTTTTAAATAAACCAACCATAAAGTCTGGGTGTTGATGGTACCATACCTGTGGTACCGTACCGGTACCGTGAAGGACATCTGCACATACCGGTACTACTGTACCGCACGATACCGCCTGTCCGGCGCGTTTCGAAAGACCTCACAAGATCTTTTCGATGATCGAATTTTATCGACAGACGCGCATCGAACAACTGACATCACGACGAATCGAATTTCAGACGTTCACTTACCCAGGCGTATCATCATGTCAAGAAAGACCCCATCCATCACGTGCATGCCATACTATGCACTCACATCCGATTTCCGAGAAATACAAAGCAGCCACAACGATGGACAACGACGAAGACGACGTCAAGGCTCTGATTTCAGACAACGGTTCCGGAATCTGCAAAGGTTCTTCGTTGTTAGTACCATACTAGCTAGTAAAAGGCTATTCATCGATTTCTTCTTGACTGAGGTTGTCACCTCTCACATGTTTACAATTTTCTCCTGACAGCTGGTTTCGCTGGAGATGACGCTCCGAGATGTGTCTTTCCTTCCTTGATTGGACGTCCCCGTCAAGTCAACGTCATGATGGATGTGGATCGAAAGGATGCTTTTATGTTGGCGACGAAGCCCAAGCCAAGAGAGGTATCCTCAAATTGAAGTATCCAATCGACAACGGGATAATTACAAACTGGGATGACATGGAAAATATTTGGCACCACAACTTTTACAATGAGCCCCGCGTCGCTCCAGAAGAATTCTGCATCATGTTGACAGAAGTTCCTATGAATCCCAATGCAAATCGAGAGCGCATGGCACAGACCATGTTTGAAACCTTCAACGTTCCTGCTCTTTATGTCAATATCCAAGCTGTTCTATCTCTTTATGCTTCAGGTCGTACTACCGGTTGTGTTGTGGATTCTGGGGATGGCGTTACGCACATTGTACCAATATACCATGGGATCGCACTCACGCACAACATCGTGAGGAAGAATCTAGTAGGACGAGATCTCATACAATATCTTTTATGAAGGTCTTGGGCGAACGGGGCTATTCGCTCAACACCACGGCTGAACGCGAGATTGTTCGTGATATTAAGGAAACTCTTTGCTTTGTTGCAAATGATTTTGAAATAGAACTAAAGCTTTCTGCAGAATCATCTCAACTCGAAAAGCCATACGAGCTCCCAGATGGTAATCTCGTCGAAATTGGAAATGAGCGCTTCCTGTGCGGAAGGTGTGTTTCAGCCCAACTTGATGGGCCTAGAAATGGATGGTCTTTCAGATTCTGTGTATCACACAATATTGAAGTGTAGGCTGGATCTCCGAAGAGACTTATACGCCAATGTTGTTCTCTCTGGAGGGACCACGATGCTCCCTGGAATGACTACACGTCTAATCAAGGACATCAATGAGCTGGCTCCTGGAAGTATCAAGGTTAAGGTTTCTGCTCCACCGGAACGAAAGTACTCTGTGTGGATTGGATGGTCTATTTTGGCTTCGCCTTCTGCATTCCAGACCTATTGGATGACAAAAGAAGAGTACGAGGAAGCTGGACCGTGTATAGTCCATTAAAGTGCTTATAGCCCGTTTGATTTGGAGAAAAAATACGTAACTCAATAGTGCGCCAAAAGCGAGTGGAAATGGTCAAAAACCAAAGAAGCAGGTCGTGTTGCTTTGAAAATGCGCCAAAGAAGAATTTCATATCACAACGAAACAAACGACAACAATAGGGTAGATTATAGCTCAATTGTTAAAATAAGAACCGACCCATCTTACCTGATCCATGCTGGATTTTGATGGCACCATATCATATTTTAGAAAGATTCTTCTTTCATATCTCTGCATTTCAAAGACAGGATATACTAGAGAGCAACATGCACAGATTGCTTCTGTCATGTGAATAACTCAAAAGCCCGATGGACGCTTTAAACCTTTCAAGCCCCCCGCCAAGGCACGCTTCACAAATTGTGGTAGTGATGGACACACCGTTCGAGTACCATACTTGTCCTCATGTCATTTTTTTTAAAAAATTTTGTTTCAGAGGGCACGATTGAATTTATTGCCGTTTTTTGACCCATCTGAACAATAAGTATTTGGCGAGGCATGCTTTGGAAGTGTCTCGTGGAATGAACATCTGTCCGCAGGCATTGTACGCAGCAGTCACTTCAGAGTCATCTTTTTGTGGTCATCATTCATCGGTTGAGTTTTGAAAATCACAAATTATTCAAAACAACGAAAGATTAAAAATGGCCGATGATGAAGATATTGCCGCCCTTGTCGTTGACAACGGTTCCGGAATGTGCAAAGGTGGGTACTCTACATAACATTGTTCTTTGTAAACCAGGTGAACCTTTATTCACTTCGTTGATGATGCTTTTCTTCGATTGTTCGCTAACGATCTTTCTGCTTCCTTTTGCTTCTTCTAGCCGGTTTTGCTGGAGATGATGCTCCACGATCTGTCTTTCCTTCTTTGATTGGACGTGCCCGTCAGCCTGGTATCATGGTTGGTATGGAACAACGTGACGCTTACGTCGGTGATGAAGCCCAAGCCAAGCGTGGTGTTTTGACTTTGAAGTACCCCATTGAGCACGGTATCGTTACCAACTGGGATGATATGGAAAAGATCTGGCATCACACTTTCTACAATGAGCTTCGTGTCGCCCCCGAGGCCCACCCTGTTCTTCTTACCGAGGCTCCCATGAACCCTAAGGCTAACAGAGAACGTATGACTCAAATCATGTTTGAGACGTTCAACGTCCCAGCCATGTACGTGAACATCCAGGCCGTCCTTTCTTTGTATGCTTCTGGTCGTACCACCGGTTGTGTTTTGGATTCTGGAGATGGTGTCTCGCACACTGTCCCAATCTACGAAGGTTACGCCCTTCCCCACGCCGTTGTACGTTTGGATTTGGCCGGTCGTGATTTGACTGATTACTTGATGAAGATTTTGACCGAGCGCGGTTACTCGTTGACAACCACTGCCGAGCGTGAGATTGTTCGTGATATCAAGGAAAGTCTTTGCTTCGTCGCTGTTGACTTCGAAGAAGAGATGAAGAAGGCCGCCGAGTCCTCTGCCCTTGAGAAGTCTTTCGAGCTTCCCGATGGTAACATCATCGTTATCGGAAACGAACGTTTCCGTTGTCCTGAGGTTTTGTTCCAACCTAACTTGACTGGTCTTGAAATGGACGGTATTGCCGACTCCACTTTCCAAACCATCATGAAGTGTGATGTCGATATCCGTAAGGATTTGTACGCCAACATTGTTCTTTCTGGAGGAACCACCATGTTCCCCGGAATCAGTGAACGTATGTCCAAGGAGGTTACTGCCCTTGCGCCCGCTTCGATCAAGGTTAAGATTGTGGCTCCCCCAGAGAGAAAGTACTCTGTGTGGATTGGAGGAAGTATTTTGGCTTCTTTGTCCACATTCCAAAGTATGTGGATCTCCAAGGAGGAATACGACGAATCTGGTCCCTCTATTGTCCACCGCAAGTGCTTCTAAGAAAATCATTTGTTTGGTGCGAATGCTCGCGCAAGTTTTGTTTGCGCCCGGTCAACCATTCCTGCTGTTGGCAAGGTTATTCTCGTTTTCGTCGTAGTTTTTGTCGATAGTTTACAGTCCAAATAGAACGTAATCACTCCACGAAGGATGTATCTATCTCAAACTTGTATTGTAGCTTTACAGATCGTTATTAAAAAGGACTGAAGTACAACGAAAGCGAAGTTGATAATACTCGACACTGCTACATTATGTTCTTACCGTCGGCTGCTTTGGAGGGGCGAGGTATCTTTGGGTCGCTCGTCAATCAATCAAATCCGACGACACGACTAAATTTTTTGTTGTCAACCAAGACTCTTGTCATAATTCTCATTCGTTGGTCATCGCTTCTTGTGAGTAGCACTCTTGAACTATTGACACAAACACCAAGCACTCATGTCGAAGCATAACGACGTTGAATCTAGCGGTTGTCTCGATACACCTTGCATGGTAAATAGTTATTACATGACGATTTTGACTTGACTGTCTTGATACTGTACTAATTTTGCTCCCTTGATGGCTGATGTCACACTTCAGGTTTATGGATTCGGCTGCATCTATTGGGCCTTTGATTGCAATACCTCCGGTTTGGTATGCAAGGGAAAGAGTGAAGAACTATGCATTGTTCGTGAGGCATGTCTAGACTTCAATGAACCTTCACTTGGATGGGGACTTGTTACTGACGAAACGAATAGGGAGTTCTGCAAGGTTGCGGCACCTTGTTGTGCGGTTGGCCTCAAGTTTCCTGAATACTGCTGCCGAATTGGAGGTTGGTTTCTATGTATTAAAACTGTAGGATCGCTTCCGTTTGATAAAGACTACGTTGGAAAACCAATATGTGCTGTCGGAGGTGTTCAGTGTTTTCCAGAGTTCAGCTGCTGTGGGCGGTCTGGTACAGAATCGGCATGTCTAGAGCGCCCCATGAATGTCTATTTAATTTCACCCTCTCGCAAGGCAATGTCTCGAGTCGACGACAGCCCTGAAGCTGGTGAGAAAGCTGGAATTGCGAATTACAATGATTTGGAGTGATGATACAATTGGATGACTGAACAAGCTGAAAATTAACATGGTGCCGAATATGCTCAAAAGATTTTCTCAGAAGCTTTCCGATATTTGGCTAGTATCTAATGTTCTTGGCTAGTCCATTCATCTTTTGGTCCAGATCTAGGGCCAGCGGCGACCGCTGGATTATAATGATTGGAGTCAAAATGTATTACCCAAGTAAAAGGACTACTGGACTGAAAACAAAATTCAAATATTCTCCAGTCTAAGTGAGCAGACCTCCAAATGCCGCTCTATCCCTTTAATCTACTATCAGAAATTGTGAAGAACACTGAACTAGTGTAACCTGCTTGTCATTGTGGTGTTTTGCCTGCCTCATAGTACTCTTCGGTATCGGATACGGGTGAACTCTTCATCTAGCGCAGGGTCCACTACTGCAAACTTGCTGAATCAGTATCTGTTCTACTACTGTAGCTATGCAGTAGCTCGTTATCTTTTGATTTCATATTACCTAATAAAAGATGAGTTTGTATGTTTTGTCGCATATAATCACAAAAATGGCGGGGAGGTATCCTTTGAATCGTGCAGAAAGGAGGGACAATGCGTCGGCCGCCAGCCCGGATTTTTGACAGCACCATGAAAAAAAGAGAAACGACTATCGCTTCAACAAGACGAATTCACCCAACGACCTTGCGCCCAAAGCTGTCCTGGAGCAGAAAAATAACATAAGGGAAGGAGGGATTAGCCTTCTTCGAGCTAAACGACGCTGGTCTAGTGTCAATTCTGCCCATTTACGCAACAATTCAAAGCGTGTCAAGGATGAGTAACGAGAGCAAGACTGGGGGGAACCTCTTGGGGAAGATTCTTCTCCCAGGATACACTGATGCTGGCTCAGACGCAAGCTTTAAACCAGTTCAGGTTACATCTGTGGCTTCAGCTTCTGCACAGCCGGACGATGATGACGATATGATGTCAGAAGCGGCGACTGAAATTTTTGACAATCGTTCAAACAGTCAAAACCCAAGGCTGCCTCGGCGTGAACAACCCAAAGAGATGCAACCAAAGAAACAGCAGCAGGACATCCCACATCCTTCCCCGAGAAGAGGTGGCGAAAACAATTATGCTTTTTTTCCATCGACAAAACCTATGCCAAGTCCTCGACCTCATTCCCCTCCGAGTGTAACACGCCGCCAAGTATCCGGATCCAGCGTGGCAGGGACGTCCACGGTGCCTGAAACAGGTGCCTTCTCCGGGGAGGAGTTGGAGCGACGAGAAAGGATACATAATTCAATGAAAATGGGAAGAGTGTCCTTTGAGACAGGAGGTCAGGTCGTGACACTTTCCGCGAAAGCGCTTCAAGCAATGGATGAAAAGCAAACGACAAGTAGCTCTGAAGATGCATCATGGGAAGCAAAGCAACGGACTTCACTAATCGAAAACGATGATGCAAATTCATGCGTATCGTCAACAGCGTCAGAAATGGGGACAGTGATCAATATTGGTAGCGATCGTTTTGCTGAGATTGAAGCGATGGCTGACATGGTGGAAGCAAACGCAGATGTATTTGAAATGCAAGAAAAACAAATGCAACAAGAATATATGCGACGTCCAGGGGAAAAAGAGATTCTATCCCTTCCGATACTGGAAGGGCGATCGTTCGAGGAACCTGCTCTACGTCCAATGCAATCTAAAAGTTTCTCGGAGGCGGAAAGGGGTCAAGACTTGGGGTTGAGAATGAAGACAACAGCAAACGATAACGTTACCACCACTCCCTCTATCAATCATCAAAATCATACGAACAATCCAACTACATCCGCCATGGTATCGGCAGCGATTCGAAGGATTGGAACGGGCATGTCAGGCAAGAGCATGTCAGGCAAAAGCATGTCTGCACCTAGCACGCCAAAAGGATCTGGTATGCTTCCAAAAGTTGAAGATCTTTTGAAGTCAACGCTGACGCCAGGAAGAAGTACACGAGAGTCTAGTTTCAAGACCAGTTCAGCCTCGCAAGGCCTCTTACGATCACCGGGTGGCAACTCAATGTTCGCAGAAAGACCTGTGTCTCTGACACCTCGATTTAACAGAACGCCACGAAACGAGCAAGATCCACATCTGAGGAAACCACCGATCAGTCCAAGCATAATGCTACCAGGATTGCAATTCGCTCGAAAATGTTTCTCCCATGACACTACATTCGACGAGTATCCTTTCCCGGTTGCAGAAGACGGGGATGATCCAGAGTCCTTTGGGTTTGATGTTCCAAGATCACGAGGGGACCGTTATAACTTGAGATATCGACCCCTTCAGCAGTCACAGAGTTGGGATGTCGCGCATGGAAAACATCAGGAGGCTGCCTTTCGAGCGAGGCATCATGCATTTGGAACCTTTAAGCGAACTGCTAGCCACGATGATCACTCTGAACTTAGACAGAGATTGAATTCTGACAACTTTTCGCCAAGGAAATTCAGTAGGACTCCAGCAATCGAGCTGCAAACATCCCAGAGAATAGAAACTGAACGCGAGGATGCATTGGATATTCTGGCATGCTTAGTCGAGCGAGCAGTCGAACAGGAGGAGGAAAGAAGCGATTCAAGCTCGAATGATCAAGATACTGCGATTGCAAAGTTGTCAGAAGCCCTCAAGGTTGCCAAAAAAGGATCAATGAAATCAGAAGGGGCAAAGGATGATGGAGAATCAAAGATTGATGAAGAAACAAAGACATGTGAAGAGGGCATGTCAATACAACCCAACGTGCTCGACTTCTTACTGAAATCGCATTCATATGCCTCGGAAATGATGCAAGCTACGAAATCCGCTTCATCTTGGCTCCATTCCATTGGTCGAGGAACAAGTCATCCAGCTGTTATTATGGAGAGCAAGGAAGAGGACGGAGAAACGACATCTGGGGAAGAGAAAAGCGAGGAAGACGAGAGTAGCGTTAACGAAGGATCTCTCCGGCTCCAAATTTCTACCATCAAAGCTATGCTTCACAGTGCAAAGGCTGAACTCAAGGCAAAGTCTGAAACGAATGAGAAGCTTGACGCCGAGTTGTCAAAGTGTAGAGCTGAAATAGGCAGACTGAAGACCGCCTCGAGATCTGAAGTAAGTGAATGTTGGTACTTGTGTGGCCTTTCGGTTACAGTTCGTGTCGTCCTAAACTCGCCATCTTCGTCTTACGTCACAGCCGCTACATTTGACTGCAAACAAATCCATCCTTGACATCAGTGGCAATGACGATACGGGTACTAATGAAACCCCGTCCGCATCACCAGAAAAAAAAGGAAAGCCTGAGGCAACGCTCGAGAAGCTTGATGAGAGCAAAATTCTTGACGATTCTTTCAATCCAGACAACTCTGTCATGCATGGCACTCTTTTGCAAGGAAAAGCCTTCAACGAAAGTGTTATTGACATGGATCAACTGAATTCAGCAGCCATGAGTGAAGCCCTCAATCAAGCAAACGAAACCATTCGACGTTTGCATAGTGAACTCAAGGAGGCCAAGAAGATTGATGATGAAAAAGATCCCCCAACTGTCACCTTTCCCGAGAACACAGGTTCCAAGCTGCCAGAAGAGAAGAAGTCCGCATCAGATTCGATGTCTAGTGATCTCCAAACTATCAATGTAAGGATGTTGGATGGTGAAAACTTTGTTACAGAGTGGACCGATTTGACTCCTCCGCTCCCACCTCCTCCCGACCATGGGTTGCGGTCTCCAATTGTCAACGTAGTATTGGAGCAGTGGACAACGGATCGCGGATTGCATGATTCGTTATTGGCTTGGATCGATCGTGTGATGACGGGGATAGACTTGGAATCTTCAGTTCCACCACTGACGATCTCCAGCCTAGATCACCAAGTCCGCGATGGCTTTGTGATGCATGTTCTCCCATTGCTGTTGCGGCGAGCCGATATTCACGTGGATGTCCAAACTAGAGCCCATCGTCGTACGTCCTATGATATGTCGGTAACAGTCACACAAAAGGGACCTCAGGAGCAAATTGACTTCCAATATCCAAAACCCACCCACGCTCTATTGGATCAACAGCATCACGTCGATGAATGGGCTGAGAACTTTGATCCGCAAATAGACAACAAGAGTGTTGCCCATAGTGCAGTCACCGAACACATGAGCAATTCGAATTCAAACCTGTATTACTCAGGAACCTACAAAACTTCCCACCCAACAATTGCCGAGTATAGCTCCTTAGCTGAAATGGTCCCACTTTCAGAGAGCCAAGAGATGGATCAATCCGCAAAACCAGAGGCTGGTATCATGAGCGCACTGGGAGGGGCATTGGGTGGCTTCTTGTCACGGCGGAAGGGAAACAGCAGTGGAAGCCCGTCTCTTGATGGTGAAGCATCGATTCAACGTGCTGCTTCATTTGAGGAGGCTGAAGAACCTTATCACAGAGTTGTTTCAGCACCACCTGGGCGCATCGGTGTCACTTTCGTTGAATATCGTGGTCACGCCATGGTAAGCGATGTGTCTCCCGATAGTCCATTGTCGAGTTGGATCTACCCATCGGATATTTTGATTGCTATTGACGATACTCCCGTCAGTGGAATGCGTGTTCGAGATATTGTGAAAGTGTTGACAAATCGACGAGACCAGCAACGAGCCCTACGAGTCATTAGTAGTCATGCGATGAATGAGTTCACCATGAATCAGAGTGCGATGAACACTGAACCAACGTGAAGATGATCTTTCCCTATATATGTTTTTAAATGTCTTGAATTTGTAAAGTTACCAAAATGTACAAATCCTTAGATCCTCTTTCTATACTTTACAAGTACACTGTCATTCGTCCAAGTAAATCCCAGCTATAGGGAACTCAAACATATTGAAATGAATGAATGAGCCTAGTGTCATGAAATTGGCTCAGCAGCATCCCTTCTTGTTTTGTTGTTGGTTTGCTTGTAATCCAGGCAAACCTCCACTTGCTGCCATGCCAACCTTAATCCCGTGACTTTCATTCGATACATCAATTTCTCCTGATAGGATCTTGCCGTGGATCTTCTCAGCCGTGTTAATAAATGCAGATTCCACGTTGAATGCAGTCTTGGCAGATGTTTCCATAAAGATGAGACCATTGGCATCCGCAAATGCTTGACCTTCCTCCGTGCTAACTGCCCGACGATGTTCCAAATCATTCTTGTTTCCAATCAGCATGATGACCATATTCGATTGCGCATGCTGCCGGGCTTCCTCCAGCCACCTCGACAGATGCGAAAAGGTGTCCCGTCGGGTAATATCATAGACTAACAAAGCTCCCGCTGCACCACGGTAATAGCTGCGTGTAATACTACGGAAGGATTCTTGTCCAGCGGTATCCCAGATTTGCAATTTGACCAGCTTGTCGTCCAAATTCATCATGCGGGCTCCGAATTCGACACCAATCGTCAAGTCGTGGACCGGTTGAAATCGCTTGTCGGTGAATTGCAAGAGCAGACAAGACTTTCCGACGCCTAAAAGTGGCAAAGGCAAATTCTAATTAGATTCATGAAAGTTGGAAGAATGAACGACAAGGCAACCATGGCTATGAAACAACTGCTTCAGGACTGTTCTGCCTGATATCGCAACGAATTCTGATGAAAATCTGTTTACTTCCACGACACAAATTTTGAAGCAATCACTCCTGCAGCATCAACCAATTTATGTCCATACCTGTGTCGCCAATGATGATATACTTGAAGAGGTAGGAGTACGACATGTTGTTGCTGTTGTGGTTTTGTACTGTAACGTTGCAGGAAACGTTGAGAACGAAGGTTGAATGTGTTGACGTCGAGAATTCCGTTTGAGCGATTTCTACGGGAGTTTTCGTACCAGCGCGGACGCAAGCTCAAGTTTCCGAGTAGTCGACTCCAACGAGTGCGCGAAGGTGACAATGAATTTGACAGTGAATTACTGTAGTTCGTTTTAAGTGACCTACAGTACAGTACAGTACATGCGACGAATGTTATGACTGATAAAGGATTATAATGATTACTATTTAGCTCAAGATCGCTAAATAACTTAGAAGCACTTTCGGTGGACAATAGAGGGACCAGATTCGTCGTATTCCTCCTTGGAGATCCACATACTTTGGAATGTGGACAAAGAAGCCAAAATACTTCCTCCAATCCACACAGAGTACTTTCTCTCTGGGGGAGCCACAATCTTAACCTTGATCGAAGCGGGCGCAAGGGCAGTAACCTCCTTGGACATACGTTCACTGATTCCGGGGAACATGGTGGTTCCTCCAGAAAGAACAATGTTGGCGTACAAATCCTTACGGATATCGACATCACACTTCATGATGGTTTGGAAAGTGGAGTCGGCAATACCGTCCATTTCAAGACCAGTCAAGTTAGGTTGGAACAAAACCTCAGGACAACGGAAACGTTCGTTTCCGATAACGATGATGTTACCATCGGGAAGCTCGAAAGACTTCTCAAGGGCAGAGGACTCGGCGGCCTTCTTCATCTCTTCTTCGAAGTCAACAGCGACGAAGCAAAGACTTTCCTTGATATCACGAACAATCTCACGCTCGGCAGTGGTTGTCAACGAGTAACCGCGCTCGGTCAAAATCTTCATCAAGTAATCAGTCAAATCACGACCGGCCAAATCCAAACGTACAACGGCGTGGGGAAGGGCGTAACCTTCGTAGATTGGGACAGTGTGCGAGACACCATCTCCAGAATCCAAAACACAACCGGTGGTACGACCAGAAGCATACAAAGAAAGGACGGCCTGGATGTTCACGTACATGGCTGGGACGTTGAACGTCTCAAACATGATTTGAGTCATACGTTCTCTGTTAGCCTTAGGGTTCATGGGAGCCTCGGTAAGAAGAACAGGGTGGGCCTCGGGGGCGACACGAAGCTCATTGTAGAAAGTGTGATGCCAGATCTTTTCCATATCATCCCAGTTGGTAACGATACCGTGCTCAATGGGGTACTTCAAAGTCAAAACACCACGCTTGGCTTGGGCTTCATCACCGACGTAAGCGTCACGTTGTTCCATACCAACCATGATACCAGGCTGACGGGCACGTCCAATCAAAGAAGGAAAGACAGATCGTGGAGCATCATCTCCAGCAAAACCAGCTAATAGTGAAAAAGAAGTGATGTGTTTGTGAGTGAAGCTTTTTTGGAAATTCAAAATTCAAAATCTAGGCTAGAATGACAGAAATTTCCGAAAATCATCCGATCTAATGCAGCTGCTGCATGTCTATGTGAAGAAACGCCAGAATTCCAGCTAGATCTTTGAGGTGTCATAGCGCTTGTTTTGTTGGAATTTGCAATGACATCTGGAATTGCTTAATCGGATCTGGCTCATTTCGATTGTCATCTATTTCCTACAACTGAAACGCTACGCACCTTTGCACATTCCGGAACCGTTGTCAACGACAAGGGCGGCAATATCTTCATCATCGGCCATCTTTAGTTAGTTTGTTGGATTATTTGGCAGCTAGGTGCTTTGTTGTGAGATGCGCCGATGAGATCTTGATGAGACTTGCCACACGTGTGTGCAATGACTGTGACTGTCCCGTAGGATCTCTACATGAGACCCGGTACAACCCGATGCCGGTACGCTCGCAAACAACATCGAAAACTTTTGGTGCCAGGCCCAGTACTTTGCCGTGCGTATCATCCGTTGTGATCAGTTTGAATCTCAGAACCCAACGGTAATTTGGGTTCGGATGAGTCGAAATAGTGACATTTGGAACGACTTCGAAACCTACAGCAGAGAACAGAATCAAATTATTAGGTGGAGCAACCACAACAGTCGTTCTATGCAGTACTATGGACCGGTTACTTCCAGTTGCGGTTCCTCTGTTTTCAAATGGAGCAAACTTGATTTATAGTAGTACCACGAAAAATTGGATCGTTTAGCTTACTATTATATTAGTTTCTAGTAATAGTAGAAGTAGTAGTATTCAACATGTATGGTGTCATGGAGTTCTGGTCGGCAGTAGTGTTTGAAGTATTTTTCTGGTAGGTAAGTACCAGTCAAAGGACGATCACTATTTGCCAACTCCCAAATCTCCAGTCACTTGGAATACTAGCAATTTGCCATCCTTACCACCCGAACAAAAGGTTCCCGTTCCAGGAACTCCACCAATAAGAGTGGTGACGGCCTCTTCATGCCCCACTGAGAACTTGCTTACCAAGCTTAAAATGGGAGAAAAGGCCATGGGCAGATTGGGTGTTGGCTCAAAGTTGCGCGCCATTATATTTCCCGATTGCAATCCAACCAGAAGGAATGGAGCTCGATTTGGATCTTCCGCCGTGCTCATGCAAGTGACGCCTTCTCCATGGCCCTCACTCGCCACCATTACGCCCGTCTTGCCGTTCCACGCCTTGATGTCTCCATCCAGCGAGGAACTCAGAATAAAGCTGCCACTGGCAGTTTCAAACTTTATCAAATCCGTTACGGCATCAGTGTGATAGGGTTGAGGTGGTTGGTTATTGGGCGGTGCAATATTCGGCGTTTCCGAGGCATCCTTCATGGTGATGGCGTGCATGCATTCCCCATTCTTGGACATGTCCCAAATGCGAATGGAAGCATCCGTCGATGAAGACCACAAAAAGTTGTTGTCCACAATCTGAAGTCCAGTCACTTCTCTGGCATGTCCCAGGAGCGTTTGGACTAGAGCAAATCTTCCACCGTCGTAACTCCACAAACGAATTGAACCATCTTTACTTCCACTGACAATGCGCTGACCGTCAACTAGCAATTTGGTAACAGCCGTGTTGTGAGCGTACGGCAACAAGGGGGACATTTGAAACTCCACTGGAGGTGCTGCTGGGTTGTTCAGGTCCCAGGCATGAATCATACCAACATTGACATCTGGCAAATTGGTGGAATAACCTTCAAATCCGCAAAACAAAAAGTTGGAAGCGACTTGCAAAGATTCCACCGGTCCACCCATGAAATGTTCAAACTCTTTTTGAAAAGAATTGTTGGCAAGCGACCAGAGTCTCCAAAAGCCATCCTGAGAACCCGTAAAGATTTTGACTTGATCACCTGTTTGCCAGTTGGCCACTGACGTCACCGGGTGAAAGCTCTTTTGGTTGCTGTTGTAGTTATTGTTGTAGTTGTTATTGTAATTGTTGTTGCTGCTGCTGTTGCTGTTGTTGTTGTTGTTGTTGCCTTGTTGCTTTTCACTAGACGCATCAATGAGTCCATGCAATCGAATCACATGAGCAAATTTACAATTCTGTTGGTTGCAAGCACCGGTTCGAGTAAAATTCGCACATGGCCTTAATATGCACGTCGGGTACTTGCTGGTGTCGTTGTTACTGTTGAAATTGCCATTGTTGTTGTTGTTGTTGTTTCGACCGCCCCGACCACGTCCTCGGCCTCGGCCTCGTCCACGGCCTCTTCCCCTGCCTCCTCTGGAACCGCTGTTACGTCCTCCACCACCACCAAAGGACATTGTTTATATGGTATTTGTGCCGCAACGTTTCGTGTTATGTTATGTTGTGTTGTGTTGTGTTGTGTTGGACGAGAGAAAAGGAGACTCTTGTTGCACCGTAGGCCAAGCAAAGACTTGTTGGACTACTTCAACCACTGTAGACGGTACAGTAGGAGGTCCATCACGGGTTTCGAGTCACTCTCGTAGCTTCTACGCCATGGCAGTACAATTCCAAAATTTGGTTACAAGTGGTAATTTGAGTCGTCTCATTCGATTTTATTCCAAATCTCAAACCTCAAAACCTCCTCAAAATATTTACGTTCTTAACAGAGGTGTGAGAAACATCGCCATGCCGAGGTGACAAGCTGGAGAGGAACGGGAGGGAAATTACTGAAAAGTGACACTAGTCTACCTATCTGCATATTCCATAGTTTCTCTTTTGTGGCATTGTCATCAAGCTTTAAAAGAATACTGGATCTAGCTACTAGTAGTACTAGTACCTACTAGTAGTAGGCAGTGATACTAGGAGTAGCGCATCGTCCTGCTCCCATGTCGAACTAGCAAATATGGAAAGAATATAACAGTCAAATTGTTGCGATCCAAGCCGAGCTATTGCCTGGTCTCTCCGAGAACTAATTAACTCACTGAGGATGAGTACCAGGTAATATGCTGGTTGAGAGACATTATGCATGTACGTGTGCCGTACCTGGTACACGTACCGGTACACGTGTACACATACACGTACAGTACGGTAAATGTACGTAGGGCAACCGGAAAAATCACTCGTGATTGATTCATTTTCCAATCCTGCAAATTCACCAGAAAAAGTGACTACTGGTTGCCGTACGTTTCAACGCAAATAATACCGGGACGAATATTCGATGAGAATTCTTCCAGCTGTTGACGTAAACCCATCAACTTTCGTGTCATTGTTCGAAAGCCATGATTGCATTTGCCACGTTGACAGAATACAGAACAATTACAGTAGAGTTATAGTACAGATTTCAAAGAAGACAACCTTGCAAGCACCAGCAACCAGAACAATTACAGTACACTCGCTTACTATAGGACTACAGTGTACAGGACAGGACGAGTTCTAACGAACATAGCACCATCAACCATGCAACATCCAGATCCAGATCCACACCAGGATCTCGATGATCCCGCATCCTCGACAACTCCTCCCAATAGTCTATACTCACATGAACGAGGAAGTGCCTATTCGTCTCGTACTAGGAGCAGGCGATACGAAGGCATGATGCCTCATCAAGACACGATGGATCAAGTCTTGGACACTCATTCGCCTTCCATGCGACAAATTGCCCGTGAATTGCTCGTGGGAACCTCCATGCGCTCTCGCAAATCCTTTGTGGGAGATTTTCGACGTTCCTCCCAAGCTACGGCCCGGGATTCTTCTCTTGTATCTGATGCTGAAGATTCCCATTTGATTTCAATGGATCAAGAAATATGCCATCTGTCGTATGGCGCCACGATGCTCGACAATGGCTCGCTCAATGACGATAAAACACTACCACCAACACCATACTCGAATGGTTCTTCGGCTCATCATCACTCCTCACAAATCTCGCAATTCGAACAAATCCTGAACCAAACGACTGCTGTCGCCGTCGTTTGTATATTGAATATGATGATTTCCATTCCCTTTGGATCTTCGTACTTTCCAGTGGGTTGGAAACCGGATGGCGATTTGTCTACCGAAGATGCAGGCACGGATGATGAAGTCCACGGCAACTTTCCCATTGTAGCCAAACAAGCTCTGGGCATTCGCATGTTTCTGTTTGCCACCTTTATTGGACAGTTTGCTTTCACGTTCAGCAGTAAATTTACCAATCCGGTTGGATTACAAATGGTAGAAAATGTTCCCTTTTTGCACAGCATTTGCAATACTGTCATTCAACAACAAGGGTATGGCAAAGAAGCACTATCGACAGTATTTTTTCTGTTTGGCTTGTCAAGTGTGGTCGTTGGACTGACATTTTACCTACTGGGCAAGTGGCAACTCGGCAGAATTGTCTACTTCTTTCCAAACCATGTTTTGGTAGGTTGTATTGGGGGCATAGGTGTTTTCATTGTGGTTACTGCCATTGAAGTGACCAACAACACGCCTTTTACCTTCGATTGGGATGGTCTCGTGGGGTTTGCGGATCACTTTCATTTGTTTGCAGTTGCCTTATTCTTCGAACTCTTGCTTCGATTTCTCATGTACAAGACGGAAGATGCGGATGGAGTAGCAAAGTATCCCTATCTATCGCCAGTATACTTCTGTCTGATAACTCCGGCTTTCTATTTGGGACTGCATCTCTTTGGCATTTCCATGGACCAAGCTACCGAAATCGGATACTTTTTCCCAGCTACAGTGGACACTGGAGTTGCCGAAGCGGCAAACACCAGCTGGTGGTACGACGATTCTTTATGGGATATCTTTCAAGTGATTGATTTGTCGACCGTTTCTTGGGTGGCTGTCTTTCGGTCGACTGGTACCATGGTGGCATTGGCTGCCTTTTCCTTGATTCACGTTCCTATTAACATTCCTGCCTTTGCCATTTCCACTGATGTTGAAGTTGACATGAATGCCGAACTCATGGCCCATGGGTATGCCAACTTTGCCTCTGGCATATTTGGCGGACTGCAAAACTATGTGACATATTCCAACTCTGTTCTTTATGCCAAGTCAGGAGGCGATGGAAAGAGTAGTTCTATGGCCATTGTAGGATTGACCATGATCCTCTTTGTAATTGGTCCGCAAATTGCCTCTTTTTTGCCGAGATGTATGGCAGGAACTTTGCTATTTCACATTGGCATTGATTTGATTCTTGAGGGAGTCTACGATTGTAAGTCGCTTTCTATTCGCAAGGCGGCTGATCCATGTCACGCCATTGTCTAATTTGCATTTGCTGTATCAATGTTAGCATTTGGAAACTATGATATTCTCGAGTATACAGGAATTTGGGTGATTACTCTCGTCATGACGATCTGGGGCATGTCGGCAGCCTTAATTGCCGGCGTCATTGCCGCACTTTCAACATATGCTGTCCAGGTGCGTATGAATAATTTGTCATCTGAAACAACGTGGAACTTGATGCGAAAGACTAATCCTGTTTTGCAACTCTTGAATCGAAACACAGTCCATCCACCACCACCACCCGATTCGACAAATTCTTTCGGCAACCACCCTTCGAAGTAGTGATTGGAATCGGTGTGCCACTGCAAGGGGTATCCTGGAGGACGATGTGACTGGGCGGTCGAGAATCTTAGTCTTTCAATTGCAAGGTCACGTAGGTATTCGTTTCGATTTAGGCGTTTCTCTTCAAGCGGCATTGTCTGTCTAATCATTTCCCTTTTCGTTCTTTCTTTAGATCTTCTTTGGAAACATTGCCCAACTCACAGATACCATCAAGGATATTCTAAAGGAAAAGGAGTCGTCGGGTGAAATTCCCATCGTTGTCATTGTTGACTTTACGTTGGTGGTGGGTATGGACAGTTCTGCTGCTCATGCCGTGGCTAAGCTGAAGAAGATTGTACACAGACTCTTTGGTGTCGAAGTCTCAATATTTGTCACTGGGTCTGGTCGAGGTGGTTTCCCTTGTGAATATGCTTTGACGGAAGCCCTGTGTCCGGAAGCGGCAGAGCAGATTCAGGACGCTGGAATTGATTGGAACGATGTTTCAACAGAACATGCATCCGAACCTTCGAAATCCAGAAGGAACGAATCTCCCAAGAGTGCAGTAAATCGTGGGTCTATATCCGTCTCTCCAGGAACAGCATCTGTCGCTGCTTCTCAACTCTTGAGCAAGAGAACGGGTGGGCAAGTTTGCGAGTCGCTGGATGAAGCGCTTCGTTTTGCTGAAGACATTCTGATTGCTCGGGAAAAGCCTTCCCTCGTGCATTCTGATAGCGTGGCCTCGTGCATAGATATTTCGGACCTGGCTAAGATTGAAATGTCCTTGAAAGAGGAAGAATATCACGTGAAAAAGTACCTCAAGGAACTCTTCTCCTCTGCAGATGAACTCAGTACGGATGCGATTGAAGCCAATGCTGAGCTTCTACTGTCCTTCATGGAGCGAAAGGAGTATCTAAAGGATCAAGCTCTATGGGAACAAGGGGACGACAGTGATTGTGCTCAACTTCTCGTTGTAGGGGAGCTTTTGTCGATTATTGAGGACACTGGTGCATCCGAACAAGTCAAGTTTGGCAATATGGTCGGCGAGTTGGGATTGGTACACGATGCCAAGCGATTGACTACTTTGATATGCTCATCTAATAAGGCAGTACTCTACTCACTCAGTCGACAGAACTGGCACATAATTTCAACCCAGTATCCGCAATTGGCCAGAATGGTGGATGCGATTGTGATACGCTATTTGGCACACAGAGTGCAGCACGTCAACAATCGATATTTTACGACAACTCTGCCAGTCTAAAGGCCAAACTAGTACAACTATGTCTCAAAAGAAATGTAATGATAACATACCAAAGGAAAACTTAGTTTACACGTGGTAGTGCCGCATCCGTGATATTCGATCTCTGATGCCAGTTTCCTTTTGCATTAGATTGTTTTTCATCATCTTGTGGAGGCCACCTCGGACGTCTTCTGTACTTCGACCACTAAATGACACAGGAGTCATTTCGCTGACTTCATCGGAATGTCGTGCATGGCCGTATTTCTGATTTCGCAGAAGCTGTCGGTCTCTGGATGACCGAGATCTTGGTCCACCTTTGCTTCTTTGCAGCAAACGACTCACAGTTTCTTGGCTTTGCCGTATTCTTCGTTCCAAATCATCCTCTTCTCGAAAATCTTCAACCTCGTCTCTTTCTTGCAATCCAATCGGATCTTCCTGTTTCATTTGGTGGCTGAAACCATTGTGAGCCGCCCCCTTGTCCAACTCTTCCATCTTTTGCTGACAGTACTTCAGATCATCTGTCATCCGTTCCTTGGTGATTCTGCGCACTTGTTGTTTACTCCTCCGCAGCTCGTCTTCTAACTTTTCCTTTTCACCTCGTAACTGCCGATTCATCCTGTTCTTTTCTTCTAACCGTCGTTTCTCTGCTCTTAATTCTCGATCCAGTCTATTGATTGCCGATGTCTCGGCCATTTCATTTTGCACTTGGGAGGATTCAAAGCTATGATGATGATTGTTATTCCTCATCCTATATTCCAAGTCCTGAATCCGGCGCTGTGTACCTTCAAGCGCATTGAAGACTTCGTCGCTTGCGTTCGATGATAGTAGCAATGGCAACGATTGAGGTGATTGTTGATACTTTGCAAGTTGGCGAAGGGTCTGTTCCTTCTCCTTGGTGCTTTGTACAATCACTTGATTTTTTAATGTGAGCTTTGCTTCTAACTCTTCATTGGCTTCTCTTTGCTTTGCCAAGTCGTTCTGGAGCGTTTGCAGTCGCTTCTGTTCTATTTGTCCACATTCCTCTTGGATTCTTTTGGTAGTATAATTGGTGATGATTGTCATGATTCTTGTGCGTTCGTCTTCCTTCATTTGAAAAGGTCCATTGCCTGTATTATCCTTTGCAAACATTGCTTCAGGAAATTTCTCAAGGAGAAGTCTTAAAATGTTTGCTGTCGAAGAATGCTTGATGGCCAGGTGGAGGGGAAGCATGCCTTTATCATCGGTGCATCGAATACCTTCCGGAAATAGGTCCATCAGTCGTTTCACGATCGTATATGGGGCCCCATTGATCACTGCTGCATGTAAAGGTATCCGACTCCATTCTACCTTTCCGTCCTCATCAAATTTTGTAACCCACATTCCAGCTTGCTTCGCAGGTGGATTTGCATCTGTCTCGGGAAAAATCTTTTCGAATCCAGAGTCTTGCCATGTTCCTTCTAGCAGGAAGTCCAATACACTTGCCCAGTTAAGGTTCTCAATTGCCTTATACAACCTTGTTGGGTTCTTGTCATAGTCGCATTCGTCTATCTGTCGGAGCTGACTACGAGTGTACGTTGCAGGTGAACCACAGGAAAACATGTTTTGAAAGACATTCATGGTAGAACAAAACGCAGCATTGTCGTTTCTGACGACTCTCGATGAATCCATAGTCTCACCAACCTCCAGCATTAATCGAATCGGAATGTTCTAGTTCCGAGAGGTGCTGTAAAAGGGATGATTGATGTTTCGTCGTGTCTTTTCAGTTGGAACTGAAAAGGTGAGCTCAATGGCGATTGAAAAAAATAAATTTAGTTATCTCCAAATTTTAATGCGAGCCCGGCGCGCGCATTTCAACTGACTGAGCTGCATATGACACGTTTTGAAAAAATGCCAATCCTGAACTTTTTATTAAAAAGCAAAAAAATGAGAGGCAGGAGGTTGAATAGCCTTCTGCTGCTACCTCTGATTGTCCAAGTCAGCGCATCACAGCATGCGATCGAACAAGAAGAAACTTGTGGCTTATGGTTGGCAGAGTCGACAGCGGTCAAGAACAGCTTGGGCCTCTTTGCAGGTGTCAAAGTCCGTAAAGGTGAAGATGTATTGAAAAATGGAGGAGAGCTGCACATTCCAATATACGACAAGAATCCAAGAGAATGGTCAAAGTTACATGATGTTTGGTGGACACACGGAATCTCGTTGGATTTTGCTCTGCAATCGGATTTCCATTCATATTCCTTCCTACCGGGTGTAGGCGTGACAGCAACGTGTCATGATGGGAAAGCCAATATTAAGCTATTTCCAACGGAAGAGATGGATACCAGTGGAGTTCATCGACACAAAGATGCAACAGCTGGCAGCTTTACCTATCGTTTACACTCGGAATACGTGGCATCTGAAAACATCGCGGCAGGCCAAGAATTACTTCTAGATTGTCGAGAAAGTAGTACAGATGAGGAGCCAACCAAGGAGAACGAGCTATTTGCGACATTTAAATCGAGTGATGCACTTTGCGTGGATACATTGGCCATTCAATCATCAACTGTAGCCGGTGCAGGCCGTGGCGCATTTGCCAAACGAAGTGTGAAGGAAGGCGAGAGAGTTGCAGTGTCGCCTGTAATTGCATTCGATGAGTCGGAAATGTACATGTTCGAACAAGCGTTCGAAGACGACTACCTAACATTTCAGGACAAAGTTCTTGGATACCAGTTGCTGTATAACTATTGTTACGGACACCAAAACTCTTCAATGCTTCTTTTGCCAACAGGCCCAGGAGTAAATGCAATCAACCATGATAGTGAAAAAGCAAATGTTGCCCTACGATGGTCAAACTCAACATTGAATGGCGATGCAGAATTCTTGAAAACGCACTATGCAAAGCTTACAGGGAGACAAGACGTGAACATGATTCTTGAATACATTGCATTAGAGGATATTGATGCTGGCAATGAAATATTCTTGGACTATGGAGAGTCATGGGAGAAGTCCTTTGAGTCCTTTGTGGAAGACGAGTGGGAACCACCTCCGTTTAGTAACAAGTATAGAAGCGCTGCTGATTTCAACAAACAACGTGGTGACCTGCCATTTCGAACTGTGTCCGAGCAACGGGATAAAAGGTACCCACGAAATATTATCACCACTTGTTTGTTTCGAGAAACAGAGGAAAGCTTCGAGCAGGATCCTGTCACATGGACTATGGCCAACAATGGCTGTCTGCGCCCATGTCGTATACTCGAGCGACATTATGTTGGCGACGGAGAATACTTGTACAAAGCAGAAGCACAAAAAATGCCAAACAAAGTAGAGGATCCGTTCTGCCAGCTTTCAAAGACCCATCGGATGGTACAGGATATCCCAAGCGAGGCAATTATGCTTACAGATCGAATGTATACAACCGACGACCACATGATGGATACATTTAGAAATTTTATTGAGGCTCCAAACGGCCTATTTCCCAATTCTTGGATGCGGGACAATGAGGATATGGGCGAATTGCTTCAGCCAAAGTTGAAAACACTGCAAATTGAACCAATTCGCTGGGAAAGCACTGGCGAGGCAGTCACAGAAAACGCCTACATGGTTAAAATGCCCATATCCGTTCGAAAAGGTCTGTTAGAATATTGCAAAGATGTGGGCATTACGAAATACTTTCGTGATTTGACATTTCGCGGGAACAGCTTAGAAGCTGGTGATGAGGAAGATGTTGTGCTTGATGGCCTCAAGTGGCACGTGCACAGACCACCAGAAGAATGGAGGTCGGACATGCACTGGATGAGTCCATTTAATGAGAAGGCGCATCTGGATTATCTTCAAGAGCTTGGAATGGCAGGATTTGATGACGTGCTACAAAGCATTGGTGAATATTTCGGCATGGACAGATTGGCCGTTTATCACATGTCTTTCATTGGTGTCAGCTATTGTAGTGATGATTTCATTCACCGAGACATCTCTGGATCAGGTGGCAAGGTATTTAATGTAATCATTCCGTTGATTCTCGCAGACGAAACTGGCCCCGAGCTTGGCATCGCTGCGAATACTGAAGGTGGCCCTATTGGCCGTCTACGTCTTCAGAAGAATGTTGGAATCATGTTAGGTGACGATGCTTTCCATGGAACCGCAGCTGTTGACTATCGGGCTTTCCGCGAAATGAGACTGGCAGCGACGGTCTACATTGGTGAAAGCAACGAAGAGAACATTGACAATATCATGAAGCACTATGCGCAACACTACGCTCAATCTGGGAACCAATCAATACATCAGAAAACGGCTAGAACCCATTGGAAAAAAGGAGACCCGGGAGTGCGATTACCAGAGTATCATGAACCTCATGATGAGTTATGATCAAAATACGACCTGAAAACAAACAATAGAATCTTTTAAAATAGAGTATAGAAAGTTTCAATTATGAAATGTGGTGAACCATGGCTATGCGTCATTCCTTTCTTCGTCCGAGAGCAGCGGTTGTCGCTCATCCACAGCTTCGCTGGTTTGCCTGTAAAGGACATAGTGTTGCAGCATGAAAATAATATCGAAAAATATCGAGACTGACCCGAGTCCAAACTTTGCAAAGTTGCCTGTAATGGCAGAGAAGTCATGCAGATCCTTGCAATCGAAAATCAACTGCAAATCACTCAAGAGACCACCAGTGAAATCCAAAATGATGTTCCAAATACTCCAGCCAGCAGTGGACTTGCGTTGGTAATTTAAAATTACCTGGGGTATGTACTTGATCAATGAGATCATAATCTTCACTGTACTCAAGAGATAGAGGTAATCCAACCAGTTGTAGTGATCACCAATATTGAAGACTACGAGCCATGGATAGAATGTACAGACACACAGAAGAGCAATCAGAATACCAAGGATAGTCTTGGAGGGCATCATGGCACGAACCCCGTCGTAGTAACCAATCTGAAACAAGGTAGCCGCTGAAAGCAGGAGTGCATGAAATGCAAAGGCCACATCGTTGCTTTGAACACTAATCTCTGCATCAGCTCCATGTCTCTCCCTATATAACTCATGTATCGTTTTGTTCCAAAAGAAGGCCCCATTGTAGATTGAATAGCATGCAAATCCGAGCACATTGAGCCCACAGAATTCTGCACTCAACCCTTGTGTCGTTCCCCGTTTGAAGTTGCTGATAACTTGTGGGTAAAAGGATACACTCCAACACATGAAATAAATCCAGCCGATACAGGCACTCGTGGTTCTATACCATTCCGTGGATAAGTCTTGATTCTTGGGCATGATCAGACCAATGGTTGTCCCCACAAGAAATAGAGAGAACAGTCCTGCAAGGACAGCCATGATACCTCCAGATTCATCGAGCAATGGAGCTGCAAACATAGAAAGAGCACGGTAACAGAAGCCTGGAACAGATTGATGTTCAGCAACCTGAGCTTCACTGATTTCAACTTGATACTCTTGCTCCATGTCGTCGTTGCTGTCATTCATTATTTCGTTGTCATCTGTTGTGATGGGTTCATCTGTAGTAGGTGTGTGCTCTTCCGCCATGGTGAATGACCAAAATCTGCCGGAACTTTGCTTTCTCGTCTTCGAAGCACGAAGAATAGTTGTGATCTATGGAAAGACCTGTTGATGTTTGATGTATAAGTTGGTCGTGTTCAGTTTTTGTTGCGTTCCATTGACAGAAGGATCGAAATCTGGCGCTTTGTTGCGCGCGTAACCTGGCGGCACGCCCCCCGAACATCAATTTGCCCAGATTGTTGAATGATTCATTCATTCGGTGAAATCGAACCGTAAGCACAAAGCGAACTTGGAACACGTCCTTGCTTGGAATATCCAGAACGTCGGATGCAATCAGCAAATCGCTGACATTGGGAAGTACAGTACCTATCTGTCACTGCCTGCTAAGAAATACCACTGATTCTCGGACATTGCGTCAAGATAACGAGTCCGTATCCGATTTGCTGGATTGTAGCATGGAAACAATACGTGTACCGTAGAGTGCGAAAAAATATGGTACTGTATGTACAGTACCGGTACGGTAGATATGGGAGATTTGGTTGATAGAAAAAAAATGCACGCATACCGTACCGGTAGGTTTATGGTTCGTTGTTAGCTCTAATTTTCTAATCCCCCTAACCCCAACCCTACGATAACAACTATTTTATAATCACAAAAACGACAACGACAACGACAACGACAACGACAACAGTATCAAGCAACCATGTCTGACGGTAATTTTAATCTGTATCATACTCATCAACCAGTGAATATGACTATTATTATGAGGAAACCTATGAGCATCCACCGCCCTTCAATCCATGGGTGTGCACATAGGATTTTAGAGAGCATAATGTTTCAGAGAATACTAAGCAAGAGTAAGAATTCATCATAGGTACTCCCTTATAGAGGGTGGGGGCGCAGCATACATGTCCACAAACTCTAGGCCTTCAAACTTCAGCGGGGCATCATACAACACTTCATCCATCAAAAGCTCGCCTGTGATGATATCAAAGACACAAAAATAGGTTCGGAAGCTGCAATCCTCAAAATTGTCGGTGTAACAGCCTTCTTCCACCGAGCGAATGGCAAGGACATGCCGATCCTTGGTGTCGGGTACAAACGAAAAAGCGCTAAAGCCATGATAACCTCCACCCTCTTCCTTGTATGTTTCAAAGTTGACTTCGACAGTGGTAGACGTTGTAAAGCCTTCATCCACTAGCAGGACCTTGTTGCTTCCCAACTTTTCATCCGTTCTCGGACTGTACGGTTGTTGTGAAATTCTTCGTGGCAAAAATACCCACTTGTTCAAATGGTCACTCCAATGAACGGCTTCGTGAACTACATAACCTGGTAGATCCGCAAACAGCTGCAGACGCACAAAATTGTACTCTTCGGTCCAGTCTATCCTCCTCGTCTGTCCCATGGAATTCATCGCTACTACCCACATTCCTGCTTGACTTTTGAATGTCAAGTCCTTGTTCGTTAACTCTTTACCAATGCTTCCCATGACTAGTTCTCCATCCTTTACCGTCGCCCATTCCCATTTCATTCCTGATAAATAAGAGTGAGTCAACCAAAAGAAGTTAGAAACCATCATTGCAGAACATTTCATTTTGCCTTGTTTGTCTTTGCCATGCACCAAAATGTTACTCACCTTTATCCGAATGACCATACCCTTCCGTAAATACAAATCGAGGTGACACTGTGGACGACATGCCATCATCTGCATTCAGAATTTCGACCACAGTACCCGTTCGGTCGTCAAAGGTTAACAGCCGATTGTCAAAGAGTTGCAGGTCGGAATATTCGGCCCCTCGTCCCGCCTCGTTATGTTTGGTGATAATTTCTCGTTCTTTCCGAAATTCAATGGTGTACATGTCCGTCTGTTTGTCGCGTTTCAGTATCCCTGGCAACAAAATGGCCTTGAATCGAGGTTTCTCCAAGGTGGCGGAGGGATCCCGACTGGCCGTGTCTTGGTCCGTCACGGCCGCAAATAGAAATTCGTTGCTCGATAATATGGCATCTTTGGGATAGAAATAGCCTGGTCGTTTGGCACCTCCAAAACTGTATTGATGACCATCTGGCGACAGCGTCGAAAAGGGTGCCTTGCCGCCACGCAATCGCGGTTTTCTTGCATTCCCCGATGTCATAATGGTCAAAAAGACTAAAAAGGCTACGGATGCCAGGAATCCCTTGCTTTGTTTCTCCCATTTCTTGGGTCCATGATGTGAGAATGCTTCGACTACTGTAGCTCCTAGTGGAAGTTCGTCGTGATGGTCTTGGAGGGAGGAGGGGGCCCGTCGAACGATGCCAACTTTTGGGAGGTCTCCTGTGGAATAAGAAAGACTGGGCGAAGAAGATTTCCGTCGTAATTCCATTGGATTTTATTCTTGTTGTGGTTATTGTTTGCACATTCAATAAAATTACACTTGTAGCGAGAAGAAGTAGTCGTAGTGTTACTCTAAAAGCAGGAAAATGATAATGGGATGAGGCATTGTTGTTATTATTTCCAGGTACAGTACCAGGTACGAGTTTGAAATTATTGCGTGGTCAAATAGGTCACTCCAAGAGCGAATCACAAGTGAGGTTACAAGTTCAAAGTACTCCCTCCCGACCCCCTTTTTCCCTTAAATCTGTCAATCTGTCAATATTGTCCGTCCGTCACTCACTCGTCATCACAAAACGAGCCTGTTTTAGGCCTTTTTCGAACCCCGCAATGAGAAAGGCTCAATATTCACACAATAGCTAACCGTATACGACTGCTTTCAGAAGACTTCTATCTATCGTTGGACCTGTACATTGCGTTGATAACCAAGCTATAACATAGTCAAGTGAGATAAGAAGAAAAAAGAAATAGAAATATGGCAGACTCGGAAGACAAACCAAGTAAATCACCTCAGGCCGAGGAGGGACACAGGACGGTCGAAACCTTGCAAATTGGCCGAGGAAGAGAGGAATCCAAGACGGTGGAGAAAAAGGTGGTTCCTCCTGAATTGCCCATTGAATGGACCAAAATGGGAGAAATCACAGAGGAAGAAGCCCTTCCCATGCGATACCCAGAAGATGTCGCGGAGATTTCACCGGAGGAGTTGGATATTTGCATTGTCGGAACGGCGGGAATGAAAATTACCGTCATGAGCAATGACTTTCACAAGAATTGCAATGAAAACCTGGAAAGCCTCGTGTTGAGATCGCACTTGATCACGAATATGAAGGGACTGGAAGGATTCAAAAAGCTAGAGTTGCTGGAACTCTACGATAACCAGTTGCAGGACTTGAGCGGATTGGAAGTTCCAGGACCCAACCTACGCGTTTTGGACATGAGCTACAATGCCATTCGGGACATGTCACCCGTCAGTATATGCGTGAATCTGAAGGAATTGTGTAAGCAGTGAAATTGATTTGTATAGTTTATGCAGAAGATATGATATGGAAGGAAAAAAACTGACGCATGATTGTGTTTTTTATTATCGTGGCTACTAATGTACAGACCTGGCAAACAACAAACTGAAGGAGATCAAGGGATTGAAGAATTTGAAGCAACTCAAAAAGCTTGACTTGGGAGCAAATCGAATTCGCGTCATGGACGAGGAAGAGCTTAGTGGACTTGAGAATCTAGAGGAGCTTTGGATCGGAAAGAACAAGATTGAGAAGATTGAAGGTCTAGAGAAGGTATGTGAATGAATAAAGCATCAATCCATTGGTGGACTATGGAAATTTGCACCCGTTTACACTCATCAATTCCCTTGCTGCAATCTCCCAACAGTTGACCAAACTGCGACGATTGGATGTCCAGTCGAATCGATTGACGCAAGTGGAGGGCCTGACGGCGCAAAAGGATACTTTGGAAGAGCTGTATTTGGCACACAATGGTATTGATGATGAAGGAGCTAGTCTTCCAACCGGACTGGGACTCGGATTTACCCAATTGAATGTTGTGGATGTGGGTCGCAACCGATTGACTTCGACAGCTCCGTTTGCCCACCTAGAGTCGGTGGAAGAAATTTGGTTGTCTGGAAATAACATTTCCACCTGGGAGGCCATTGAACCTTTGAAAAAGTCGCATGAAGAAGGGAAACAGAAGATGGATACACTATACTTGGAATATAACCCAATAGCGTCAGAATTCGAATACCGAAAGCGATTAGCAGAGTGGATTCCATCTTTGAAACAGATCGATGCGACTTTGATTGGAGGATTGGCAGCTCATGGTATGCCAACTGCGCCAAAACCTAGTGGCGACCCAGTGATTCCCCTGGCGGAAGAAATGAGACAGTTGCAAACTCAAGTCTTTGAGCGAGCCCAAGGGGAGAAATCCAATGAATAGATGTAGTAAACTAACTATCCTGTCGTACACGTGTAAATGGAAAGTAAAGTTACAAAATGACCAACTTATGAATTATGGCACTACAACACGATCCCCATGCAGGCAGTTAGTTCCAGTAGGCATGTAGTTTTCCAAATACCACACCGCATTCTTCCAACTTCTTCTTTGCCTGTTGGAAGCCATTCTTTTGCGACATTCGCTCCTTTGCATCCGTAATGGACATGTGATGCATTTCCACAATCATGACAACCTTGTTGCCCATACTGATGTAGTCGCACAAGACATTGCTAGATGCAATCTCTTTGATGATTTGGTATTCCGCACCTTCTACGTCCATTTTGATAATTAGTCGGCCACCTTTCTTATCGTCTTCAGTTGCATCTGGTTGGTAAGGAAGCATTGTATTCTTAACTAGTGTCGTCAGGCGAAGACCATTGACGTTTGCTGTGATTGATTGACCGCCATTTAACTCCTTGGCGGTCTTGACTGCATCCTGCTGACTACTCAAGATGCTAGATCCCCAGAACTAAAACAAAGACATATTTAATAAACAAGAACGGCAGTTTGAATTGTTTTTCTCCTTCGACATGGCGATGGCGACTTACATTGTTCTCGACGGAAGTCTTGTCGAGGTAGAGTGTAGTTGGCTTATCCTCCTCGGTTACAACAGTTTCGGTATGAATGTGAAGGTGACGGACTGGACGAGGTTTCATGTCCATAATGAAATTCTCTAACTTCTTCAACCGTTCTGTAAATGTTGGGTTTCCTTCCATACCATAGACACATGTATCTTCGGGGAGCATTGGTGGATCTGCAGTCATGTATTTTCTCATCATTCCCATTAATGGATTGACTCCAGATCCCTTGTTGTGGATTTCCAAATTAGCTACATCCAAGTGCGGGTGCGGAAACTGCTCATTCACTCGACTTCGAGGAAATTTGCGTTTCCAGATTGGAGTGCAAACATCCAAGGCACCGTCGACAAAGTATCCAATCGAGTCGCCAATGTTGGTTCCGAGATCAATGAAGGCGTGACGGCATTTTTCGTACTTCTTGCGTTCTATTGGAATCTCGCCTCTCACATTTCCATGTCTTGGAAGCTCAAACCTCTTAATGGCCTCCACTTCCAATACTTCCTTTGCTTGGACTCGCAATTGTTCACTGGTCGACGGCTGTTCTACTATTGCTTGGCAGAGCTTTTCGGTAGCCCCCCTCCATTCTTTCACATCCTTCGAATTCTCTCCATCATCAAATGTTGATGACATCAAGTTATGATACAGGTAAGGTTGTTGATAATCGTTTGCGATCCACAAGGATACCAGAATGCAAAACGCGCAGAACATGAGAAAGGTTCGACGCGAGAGCGCACCAAGGGTTTTGTTTTTGCCATTCAATCTCGGTGTTTGTTGTCCATTGTAATTCATTTTTCTCTGATGATGTAACTTTCTTCTTCAGGTCATGCAGGACAACCCTCAGGACGGCGGTGTTTTTCTTCTTGCTTGTCGACTGACGAGAGATGGCAGATTTGATGTGCAGACAGTGCTTTGGCGACGACAATGGAATCTTGACATCTCGGCGCGCTCGAGCAGGTCAACGACTTTTTTGTCTGCGCTGTGAACTAAAATTCTAGCACATCTGACACACGAACAAGCTGCGCCTTCCTGCCTGCAGGCATTTCGCTTCAATTTCTTGTGATTTCAGCGCAAAAAAAGGGGTTTGTCGTCATTTTGACTTTTGCAGTTGTTTTGATCGATTTCGATTTATCTTTGTGATCAATAGTGCAGGTTTTGAGATATAATGGCTTCTTTCCAGGAACGTTTCAAAGCAGCACTTGGCCCAAGAGGGTATGAATGTAAGTTGATGCCTATCGGAGCTCTCACCTGGTATTCTATATCCTGCTGACTGCGCTCCTCTCTTGTAGCCTCTATGCGAAGAAGTGTGCAGAGTGTCATCTTGTACGAAGCCCGAAGATGTATTTCAAAGCAACTCCCCTCGCTTCGTCCTTTCCAAAGACGCATTGCCTTCTGGGACCAAGCCGTTGCCTTGATCAAACAGTCAAATTTGCTGCCTCACCACCGCGAAGAAATCATGTGGAGAACAGGAACAAGTAGAGCACTGATGGACCCAGAAACCGCTTGGAAGCGGATGAAGATCATCGAAAAGGAGCTTGAAAAGTTGATCAATGAGAAAGTGAAGCCGTGCTACAAAGAGGGAATCACGCACGACGAGTTGTGCAAAGCGTTCATCCAAAGAGTCTTTCAAAATCAGACTGGTCAGGCCGGAAAGCAATGTCCAGATAACTGGGAACGTATGTGCTAAGTGGAGAGACGAATGAATCATTTGTCTGTATCAACCTTTCAGTGTGCCCTCACCAGTATCGTTCTTCATCCCAAAACTCAAGACGCCCACAACAACGTCATCATGACGTTCAGGATGTACTACGACGGTCTGCATTTGGATCCAACACTTCCAGAACCTGCCCCAGTGGTAGAAATCAACGTACCACACGAAAAGCCTGCTCCCATTGACGCGGCTGCTGTCATGCGGAGTCCTGCATCAGTCCGCTACAGTGCCACGAACCCTGCTGCGGCATCAGCACCTACTGTCGCAACAAGACCACCGCAAGTAGTAGCAGCAGCAGCAGCAGCAGCAGTAGTAGCACCTCCCAGCGCATACGTTGCTTCATTAGAAGAGAGTCCCGAGGACCGGCTTCAGGTGCTTCGTGAAGTCAAGGAGTATATGGAGGTCTTGGAGAAATTTGAGGGTGTCATTCACGATGACTTCTTGGCAAAGCGGAAACGGGAGCTGTTTGAAGCTTTGCCCTCCATTCCACCATCATCAGCAGCGAGGACACGAAAGAGGCAACGACTAGCCTAGTCAATGCATTGACCTATACGTGTGCATATGATGTGTTCCAGTAATTCTTTTTGAGATAAGTGACATTAGTCTTTTTTCAGTGAATATTTGAGCAAGAGAGCAATAGGACCAAGATCTCGAAGCGTCTATGGCAGGAGGCAACACCTTCACCGTTCCCCATGGTGCGAGGTTGAACGGAAGTATCTATAGTTTTGACATTTTTTTTCTGATCTAGAGGTCGTCCTCATCACTGCTATCATCACTGGTATCGAGGAGTGAGTCATCATCGCTGCTATCGTCACTTGAGTCTTCTTCACTGCTCCAATCGGCACAATTCTTAGTGTACCCATGATCTCCCCCGATTGTGCTTTCGATGGGTTCTACTGGAGATGAAATATCGGATTCGTCCTCTGTGCAAACCGTGATGGCATTGTCTTTGTCTTCCAAATAGTTCTGCACCATTTGTTCTTGGTATTCACCAAATGATAGTAGTAGTGTATTCTCAGTGGCGTTCATCCATCGTTCCAGCTGGGGTTCCACTGGAGATGTCAGTTATGTTTGCTTTGTCACCATGACACCATGTTTGATTGCCACCACCGTTGGTTGGTCTGGATCGATATCCAGTATTTTGGTGACGACTGGTGCGAGTCGAGCATTCACTCGACGACATTTCCAAGCCGACGATGTCATGATTGCATCAAACAATCGCGTTTCTAAATAACTGTCAATTTCTTGCGAAATGCTGATAGAATCAGCATCGTGGTCACTGAAGAAATGGACGACAAAGCCAGAATCATGATCATCCGCACCGTTCTTGAAGCATTCGACCAAGAGATCGTTTTGATCAATCGTCATTATCTTGTGTTTGTCACAAGACTCTCTGTCGTACGATACCGAGTCTACCAAGTCGTTCAAAAAAACAGCACCATCTAGATCTATTTGTTCGGCCGATGGGATGCTGGTTGTTGTGGCAGTAGGTTCTTGACTTGTTGTTCTTATTGCTGTTGTTGTTGAATATCCTGCTCATTGCTGGATGTTGTAGATGTCATAGCGGTGGAGCTTGTAGCAGCATCATGGATTATGGCTTCCTGGTGAAGTTCTTTCAGTCTCTTTTTCAAAAAGCGTTTCCTCTGTCGTATTTTGATGGGAGTTGCAACCTTGGACCCCAATCTCAAGAGATGATGAAGAATCGACTCGGAATAGTATTGTTGAGGATCCCTGCTATGCTGGTGCACACCGCTTGACATCGTGATCAATCAATGAACTGATTCTCTGTCAGTTTGTCGGAAGGTGGAACGGTGATGCATGTCGTTACTCTTGTGAACATAAAAGTAAATAATGCGACCGAACCGCTGGTTCATTGTGAGACAGTTTGTGAGAGTTGTTTCGCCGTCATTTACAGACAGACTAGTCGATAAATATTAAGGAATTTGGAATCCATCATCGGTTCGTGCAGGTTCATTCATTCGAGACTAACGTATGCCAACTTCGACGACGCATTTCAATAAACAAAACCATGGACGAAAAAGCAAGCGTTTATTGATCTTTTCTTACACCACCATTCATTCATTCATTCATTCAAAACGACGTTTGTTTTCTCAATCAAAAGCGCGATCGGTCATTGGAAGCCACTCTCATCCACAGGCTGGATGACAATGAATTGAGGTTATAATTAATACTCCGATGAGTAGTTCAAGGCAAAAGAAGAACAAGACAAGCTACCTGAACGGCGACTATTCAAACCTTGCCGATTTGGCGGAGAAAGTGGATTGGTTTACGGTGAGTCACAGTAGCCTTGTAGACATTGAGTTGACTTGAGTTGGTTTCTATTGGTTCGCTTTGCTTTGCTTTGCTTTGCTTTGCTTTGGATGTCATCTATATTGGTGTGAGCAATGCTGTGCCTTGCTTTTCCGGAATGCTAATTTTATTTTATCTTCCTATTTCCTCTGCAGCAATGCCATTCTCCAGCGGAAATATTTTCCTTCTTTTCCAAAGACGAAGGGGATGAGAAAGACAACTCGGTGATTGCAGAAGAGGAGCACCAGGAGCTGCAAATGGACAGCTTGGATGAATCCTTGACCAATGCCAGTAATAGTCCCTATCCGTTGCCGGCCTCGTGTGAATATTGTGGTGCCAAATCCACCCACGAATGTTTGCCAGCATGCACACGTCCCAAGTTCTTTCTGGTCAAGAAGCGGCCACCCTTTCTAGCGGCACCAACGCTGAAAACGGAATGGAATGGAAGTCAAGTAGGTGTTGGGGACAATGGCGACAACGATGACGTGGATGCCTTTGAGACAGCCTCCTCTACCATTTCCAATTTCAACGAAGACCAAAAAAATTGGATGTCGGAGATTGGATGGAGAGGATGATTGATTTAATAATATATCAGCATACAAGCATACAGGCAACACAATATATGTATGGAGCTGGGAAAGAATAACTAAGAGTCCGAGTTCCCAATGATGCTGCAAACCAAGGCATGACTAGGTAGTCTTCTGCAAGATTGATTGTTCCAAACGAATGCTTTTGGGAAAGTCGAACAGCAGGAATGGGCACACGAATCAACAATTACCAGCCAATACTCCCACAACCACAACAACAACAACAACAGAGTGAAAAAATGGCCAAGACTACCGCCAGAGCTATAGCATTCTATCATATATACGATGCAACAAAACGAATGGTAGCACATTATAGATCAATGATGCTACATACATCAAACACGCTAAACTCATAAACATAAATCTCCAACGTTTATCAATAGGCATTTTTAAAAATAAATAAAAGATGCAAACATGTATTTATTATTAGTTTGTGTTAATATTTTTTGGACTATATCTCCGACGAGATTGATTCCGGGAAATGGGATGCATCAGCCGATTCCAGGAAGAGGATAGATGAGTGGTGTATGGGGACTCGAGTTCGCCAAATTCAAACCGCGACGAGAGCCCAACTCGGAAAGGAAGTGACTATTGTACATGTCCGCATACGAGCCTGCCACTACCACTGCATCGCGGAGCATTCGAGAATAGGACGGCCCAAAGAGATTGGTCACAGGCATGCGGAACCCGGCATCATTGGAATTGATTCCCTGCTCATCAGCATAAAAGATTGCCTGGACGACCCAAAAGCAAAAGTTGGACCACTGCCGGTCGTCGGATAGGGTGACCAAAGCCAATGGATCCTTGGAAAGGATCTTTCCTCCAACCTGATAGTCACCAGTGTATCCACCAGCTTGAATGTTCGATCGCGAGAGATCCGAGACCCCGCCCGCAACGACATTGCAAGTCCCCATTCGAAGCCCTTCTGCAAGAAGATATCCTGCACTCTGGAGGACCAAAAATCCGTCATCGACACCAAACTCTCGGAGCTTTTCTTCAAATGTCGTACCAGCAACAACGCAGATCTTCAAATCTTGGCAATCTGAAGACCGGAAGTTAAGATTATCTGCGCAATCGACAAAGCTGAAGAAACCATAAATTCAATGATAATTCAACATGTGAGCCTTCTTGTTGGTATGCAGAAATAACGCTGCCTTTCATGCAATAACATGGTTGCTTACCTTGGAACGCCGCCAAAGGAGAGTCCATCATAGTAGTTGGGTGCCGTAAAGTCAAATCCTATTTCAGTGGTGGCCTCCAGAACATCACGTTGCAAATTGACCGTGGTTAGGCGGCTCAGCACATCGACGGTACCGTCCACCAGTGCTGAAAACCGTTCTTGAGCACCAAGGTCCACGAAACGAAGCACACTGGCAGAGGCTCGACCAGAAAATATTGCTGCCGCAATTGCCCGGCAGAAATCAACATCAAATCCTTCATACTTCCCATTGTTCACATACGCAAAAATGGGCCGACGACTGATCCCACAATTCAAGTACCCTCGCGCTTTGATGACTTCCAACTTGGACTCTGAAGATGGAGAAGGACCAGAAATCTCGTATCTGCCTAACGGCAAGGGACTGATCAGACCGGTCGACCCGTCGTTAATTTGGTTAATAGCGAATCGTGGCAAGATTCCTTCAACGCTGCGAGCATACATCTCGCCGTAGTTTCCCACTGCTGCAATGATACGTTTGAACATGGTGGCATAGGATGGACCAAAGACATCTGTTGTTGGCATGGTAAAGGCGTTGACTTGAAGGACTCCAAGCTCTTCAGCACGAAACGTAGCCTGGAGCGCCCAGTTGACAAAATCACTCCAACGCGGATCATCTTGGCGTGTCACCATTCCTAGTGGCTCTCGAAGGGTCAGATTGGAACCGACCATGTAGTCTCCAGAGTAGCCAAACTGACGAGCCACTGGCTCGGAAATGTCAAATGAATCACCAGCAATGACATCGCAGAAGTTATCACGAAAGCGGCTATGTAAAACTGCTAAAGAAGAGGCCAGCACGACATTCACGCCTTTGTTCGCCACCATCGCTTCCAAATCATCTTGGTGAGTAGTGCCCTCTACAACGCAGATGTTAATTCCTGTACAGTTGGCACTTTCGAAGTCCCTACGATCTACACACAGTGTTTGCTCTCCACGACCGGCGAAACCACTTCCAGAGTAGAGGTAGGGAACTGAAAAAACGAGTCCTGCTTGTGCTGACGGCTGCATCAAAGAGGAAGGTTAGACAGCATGATAGTGTGCGATTTCAAGACTTGACATGGACGCACCTCGAACACAGCGCGCTGCATAGTGACTGTATCAGATGTCAGCAAGACATCAACGCGTCTAGTTTGGAGAGCTTCGAACCTATCCACTGTACTCAATTGCACAAATGTCACATCATCAGGTGCAACCCCAGCAGCGGCTGCAAGTGCAAGACACTGTTTGCAGGGAGAAATCAAAGCAGATTGTTAGGCAATCGAGTTTTTGGATGGCGGATGATATCCCAATTCAGAATTCTACTTACAAGATCGATACTCAAACCTTCAAGCTCGTCAGTCTGAGGACTGATAGTCGCTCGGCCAGGAAGAAGCATGATTCCGCACTTCAAACCTCTTCTCACTACGGCTTCCAAGGTACTTCCATCGTCCTTTGTAATACTTGTGATGGGGGCAGTTGTCGGAGCCATTATCGGATTTCCAGGGTTCTGAGTCGTGTCATTCTGTGGATCTTCTTGCGTTGGTTCCAGTTGATACGACCATATAGAGCCTTGGGTCGTATCATCTACGGTTGCGACGGGCGCACCAACGGTTAGCATGAAGTCATCGCTTGATCCCACCAACGATAGCGAAGCACCAAAAAAGCCACCATCAACGGGTTCAACCAACTCGTCGTCCAAGAGTTCCCAACGCTCGGTTCGACTATTGTATCGATACAGGTTCACGCGGCCGTCGTTATCGTTGTACCACGGTTCCCCAACAGCAAGAACGAGGCCATTGTGGGAAAGCGAAATCGAAGGTAGATGTGTAATATCCGAAGAGGCGATTGGAATCAAGTTGCCGAATTGTACCCATCTAGAGGCCGCCTCACTATACTGATAGACCAGTACGTACTCAGGACCATTGATTCTGGGACCATCGCCATCGTTTGCGTTTGATCGCCGGTTGGTAATGGAAAGGGCCATGACGGACCCATCATCGCAAAGGGCAATGGAAGAGCCGACATTTTCACCAAGGGATTGACCAATCGTGCGCCATACACCTGTAGATGTATCAAGTTCTACAACATAGACTTGACCTGGACCGAAGTGATTATCGTCACCATTGGCAGCGACGCGAAGATTTCCAGTTGCTGTCTCTGAAAGTTTCACGGAAGATCCAGTTTGAAATTGGCTAAAGGGTGATCCAACGTAAGTCCATTCGTCGTTATCATTGCGATAAACAGCGGCGCCACCTTGCAAGCTATTCGAGTTGGGTTGTCCAAGCGCCACATAGTCTCCTTTACTTGAAATATCAATTGAAGAGCTGAATTCATCGAAAGCATACTCATCCCCAATGATCTCATTGCCGATCAAGGTCCAGCTGCGAAAATCACTTGAAGCTGAGAACACTTGGGCACTCGCGGCACGGGTGCCAGTACTTGGCAAACCCAAGTCCAATTGACTCCCTACAACAAGCGTACTCCCATCAGCAGAGAGTGCAATATTGGACCCAAATCGTCCACCATCAGTATTTCCCACTAAAGTTGCCATCAAATCCCAAGTTTCGCCAGGCTGGGATATGTAAATATTGACGTATCCAGTATTGGAATCATTGTTTGAACCAGCAACAGCCAGAATTTGACCATTCTTGGATTGGGATACCGAAGATCCAAGTCTGCTGCGCGGCGCACCGACCAACCGTTCACCATATCGCACAATCGAAGGACCTTCTGGTCGTGGAATACAATAGTCTGTGTTGCTTGAATCTTCACCATCACAACCTGGAACAGGCTCAAAACTGTTCCGTTGGAAACAATAGAGTCCATCTTGGCAGTCCATCTTGACAGTCAAAACAGCGTGAGTATGTGAGCCGGTCGCATTGGAAAATAGAGGGACAAGATCAAATGAAACTTACATCGACATCACAATCTCCCTGGCAGAGAAGTAGAGGGAACATATTGGATTCTGTTAGTACTGGTAGTGCTGGAGCCAGTATTTCAGGGCTGGGTGCAGTTGTAGACGAATCGATGTCTTGTGGTGAGCGCTGGGAAAAGTAATATCCAGCCCCTGCTCCAGCTATAACGAGACAGGTGATAACACACATCAAGCTCTTCTTTTTCTTCCGGGATGTTGCATCGTCAGTATTCACCTCCGTGATGTCTTCATTCCAATCATAGTCTTGAGTTGAGTGTTTGTTGCGATTGTTAGGTTTCTTTTTTTTATCAACTTCGTCAAATCCGGTGACAAGAGTGGCTTGATCATCAGTTCCTTGATCAGTACTAGAGTATTCTCTGTCCCGACCAGGCCTACTAGTAACACTGCCAGACAAGGGGTGTTTCTTCTCCGGATTCTGGTCGACGAAGGGCTTTTTCGAAGGACCACCCTGTACACCACCTAATCCATCACCAATAGAAAAGCCAGTGTTGATGGTACCCTGGTCATCTTGCGGGTTAAAATTGAGATCACGGGCTGGACTTGTGGATGTGGAATCTGCTCCACCATCTGGGATAAAGTGAATGTCGCCAGTCACTTCTGAGAGAGTTGCCATCGGCCGTTTAATTTTCATAGGACGCCGAAGGGTACCAACTTCAGGATGTGGTGTGCGATCATCGGCGGTACTGGCAAGTGCGGTATCAACTGTGATGACTGAAACGACATCACTCGGGGTGTTTGGAATAGTTCTTGGGTTGACATGCCTCACTGGGCGATTGGGATCGAAAATATTGGTTGCTGGAATCGGCGGAGCATCAGTTTCACCGCTCGTGCTGACACCACGTTGAGGCGGCTGTGGGCGTAGTGGGAACATCTTCGAGTTGGTCAGTAGTATTGTGGTAAGGGAAACAATTGCATTCACGGGTTTGTCTTGGAGGCAACTAACAAAGGAGTCTGCGAAGCTTAGACCTGTGGAAACTGGTTTCTTCGTCTGACTGTGAAAAATTTGAGAGCGAGAGAAGTAGGATCTCTTGCCGACAAACGCGGCTCAAATTTTGGGTTTTTGAATACCGTACTTCATGCGGTGATCTCTCAACTTCAAGGTATTGGCACGAACATCTTCAGGAGACCTCAAAAGCGACACTTATGTAGGCACAACCAGAAACTCCGAAGACCTTAAGTGTTTTTAGCACCAGTGCGAAAAATCACGCGTGCGGCAATTTGGGTCATTTCACTTTTATTGATTTTTTTACCAGGTATTTATCCAGTGTGAGAGTGACCTTGGACCATTCGGAAATCTATCAGTACACCAGGAGGCCAAAAGTGCAAAACCACGACCATCGGTGCGTCTGAAACACTCAAGCTACGTTCGACCATATTCCAAAAGCGTTGGTTGCATCAAAGAGCACATACTTTTCTAGTTCAAACAAAAACACGGTCCCAATTCCAAGCACCATGAGCCAATCCTACTATCGCACCCGTTCGCATTCAACGAATCCCCGTGATGGTCTAACAACCATCAAGGAAACGGATACCGTCTCTGGTCAAAGCGTCGATCTGGACGCAATGTCTGTTGCCACCCCGTTCATGGCACTGGAAGACAAGCGCTACTTCAAACGTAGCAACCTTGATCCAACTGAAATCATAGGAGTGGATGTACGCAAAGGGAAGCACGAGAGGAACCAGGCTGATTTGATCGGCAATATCTGGCGTTTCCTTGTGTGCTGTGTCATCAAAATCAGGATGGACCCGATCAACCGCCTCCGGTTTACGAGAGGCCTTCAAGTCTTCTTGCCCCTTCTCTCTCCATACGAATCCTACCTTCTTGGGGAGCTGATTGAAGATCTCGATTTCAGCCAGAAGGGTTCCTGGGACGTGCTTGCAAGATGCTTTGCTAATCGCAACGTCTCGCGCATTTTGGTTCAAATGTTCGCTTCCAAGTTTGACATCTTCTGGCATTTGTCCACCCAGATCAAGTACAGCCGTACTTTTGACTTTTTGGGAAAGCTTCCACTGCTCGGTTTCTTTGCATTCCCTGCAACTGAGAACTTTCCGTCCTCGAAGGCCTTTTCTTTCAACGCAATCATCCGTTCGATCAAGCCTGGCGCCTGGTTAATACGATTTGCAACGTCCAATCTTGAGGGATCAATCGCTGTTGACCCCAAGGCACCGGCCCAGAACTTGGCAGCCGAGGTCACTGGTTTTGAATTGGCCAATCGTAATTCTAAGGGAACTTTCTTTGGACGAAGCGAAACCAACAAGCATAGACTTGAGCATCGCCTTCCAACTGATGAGTCTATTGTACGCTCTTTCAACACCAGTCCAGCGAGTACTATTGTAAACAATGGAGTCGAACACGTTCTAAGGTGTTTGGTGAAGCATTGGGAAGGCATGCTGGCCGAAGAAAATGGCAACTTTGCTCATCAGCGCATGGTAAGTGGCGATGATTTATTGTTTTGTCTGAAACCATCACCAATCTCCTGTTCTGACACATGCTCGCAATGTATGTAGGAACTGCTCAACCCGTTCGAAACATTGAGAATCCACCTACCTGTAGTTCTGACAGTGCTAATGAATCTTCGTGGCAGAAATGTGTTTGACAGTGCGGAAGTTGCACGTTACATGCGAGCCATGCAAGAATTCCGATCAGATAACATCAGTGTCAGACAAGACATCGAGCAGGGTCGGCGTTCCATTCAGCAAATCCGCATTGCTTGTTCTTATGTCAAAAGCCAAATTCTCGATGGTCTTCTTTCTCCAAAGCAACCCGAGAATGGAAAGGAGACCATATCTCCAATCATTGACAATGTTTGCGCTGGCATCGCATCAAGATCTCAACCACTGGCAAAATGGATTAGATCGATTCGAAAATCCATCCAACAACTGGAGCGGTGAGTGCATTTCATTATATTTGTTGAATCATCTTGTGTAATTGTTTGCATTTGCCAGAGACTCAGCATCTGCTTTTTCCGCAAACAGAGAGGCAAACCAGCTATTTCCACTTCTGGAAGATGTCCAAGATGGAATTACTATCGGTTACAAGCTTCTGGAAGGAGTCGACTGGATTACTCCCAAAGACAGCGCTCTGAAGAGTGAAATCATTGGTCATATCAAGGACGAAGAAAAATGGAACCGATCTGTGGAGTTAGCCCTTGACAAGCTGGCAGCCAAGGAGAAACGAACTCTCATGGAGTGCATTCAGAAAGGCCAGCGTCGTCTTCCTGCTTTCGAAAACCTCCTTGACCGTGTTGTGTCCTTGATAAAGCGTGAAAAGAGAAGGGAGAACATTGACCGAAGACTACAGGAGTTGTCGAAGGGACCCGAAGTCAGCGACCTTCAAAAGCATCACTGGTATTGGGTGACGATTAAGGGTGTAGACAGAGCGTTTTGTTTGGAATCAAGCTCTAGAAGTCTTCTTATTGTCCGCGATGTTGAGACTGGATGCTTAGAAGAAGTTGATCAAAGTAGGAGAGGGGTTAGGATACGCAAGTACCACCCCGTTGCTGCAGCGATTGCAAGGGCCCAGAGAATGTTCATGACAATTGAAATGGATCGTTTGAAGATTTTCTCGTATGAAGCATTCATGGAGTTCGGTTGCCCATCTCATGTGTCAGGCGATATTTCATTGCGAACAAGCCTACTACAACTCTTGATGGTATCGCAGATGCACTCTTATCATATCAACGATGCGAGGCGCAATATTTTGAGTGAAGTCAAATTGTCAGGTGAACGGAAGAGAAGAACTGAGAAACCACAAAACGTATTGATCGTTGGAGGAGGTCCAAGTGGCATGATGTGTGCCATTCACACTGTGCACAATGTATTGCTGAGTGGCGGGCAACTTTCGGTACATCAAAGCCGCAATGGTAAGTGAAGTCATCTCGGGTCAGTGATATATCAGAAACCGCAGTTCCTAACGCCTGAAAATGTAGCCTTTCAGGAGGGAGCATCTTCGTTTGAAAGAAGCCAAATTGTTCGATTGGATGCCAGAATTATTTCCATGTTGCGATATCACCTGGGGAGTATCTTTGAAGACACTTTTCTCCCGTTGGAAGGAGAGACTAATGCCTACTTGGGAAATACACTGTAAGTTACTCCTGCAGATGAAGATTGCTCGTAAGTACAACAAATGCCGCTAAATACTAATCCATGCCCGCACTTCCATCTCCATAGACCAACACAAGGATTCGTCGAAATCAATATCAAGAGATTGGAGGATATTTTGGAGAGGGAATTGGTATCCCTCGCATCTCGCGACCTCTTGTTGTACTATCACAACTCCGAGATCATTGTTGACCCCGAAACTCTGAAACTCAAGAAAAAGGGGAAGCACCTAAAAATTGACGAAGTTGTCGTTGGAGCTGATGGAAAGAAACTATGCGTCTCAAAGTTCGATTACAAAGAAAAGCTCGTCAAGCCTTCTGAATTGAAAGCGGGCACGGCCTATAGGATCGGCATCGACGGAGACAGCCAACTGTTACCGTATCGTTTGAGTCACAAGGATGCCTACGGATGGTTTCATTTCAACAACCTTAGTCTTCAGTGCAAGCCATTTTCTGTGAGAGAGACAGAACTTCCTGCGATCTATGAAAGCTTCAAAGGCGAGGCATCTCCCACGGAAGTGGAGCTCATTGAATTTGGAAGTGGAACAGCCGCCTTGGATAGCCAAACGCAATCAAGTGTGAATTTCACAGAACTTCGCGATCAGGAGTTCGAAATCGATGTTTCAGATTGCCACGTCGTTTTGTCTTCAGGGTAAGTTTTATCGATTTCGTGCTGCAATCACTGTAAACAGTACCTCAAATAATATCGACATTCGCAGGAAACCAAGAGCTCCACGCCAAAACCAGAAGAACAAGGTGAAGAAAGACTACAAAAAGCATCACTTTGAGTGCACTACCGCCGAACCGCACATAGTTTGTTGCATTGAAGGGGCAAAAGTTGCTCTTGGTATGCACAAAGCAGGCAACAAAAGGTTTGGATCTGGTTGGTGGGACGATCTTCGAAGTTTCAGCGAGGATAACACCCGACTAATTGGTGATTTCACAAAGAGTTTGCGGGTCGTCTCAATCTTGGAACACTGCACGAAGAAGCTGAATGAAAGCATTGAATGGAAAGGACAGTTAACAACAGCACTGGAACGTTCATCCTCCAACATGTCGTTCACGGCGCTAAGACAAGCCGTCGGTGGAGAGAATGGGCTTTGTTCAATGGGGTTTAAGCGACAGCGTTTACAAATCCGAATGTTCGAGCTCGGTGAAACCTATTACATTGGTGAGTTTTTTTCACGCTGATTGTGCAGATTACCAGATGATTTTTTCTAACACATTTTATCAGGAATGGAGCTTCCTCGCGAATATGATACCTGGAAGACAACAAAGTTTAGGGACGCGATTCAAGTCCAAAAGCTCTTGGACAGACTATGGATAGAGGCAGCAACAGATGTACTCGCCCTCGGGGACGTATTCAATCCTGGGGGCAAAGTGGCAATACCGCAAATCCACACAATCGATTCTACATCTCCACAGAAGCTAGGGGAGCTAGGCGCTTATGATGCATTCTCACTGCCAAGTGGAATTTACCACGTGGATAGGCATGATCCCGACAAAGGAATTTGCATTAGACTGGCTGACGGAGGGGCTTCCTTCTGGGTGCCAAACAAGACTCGTGGTATCGCCCCTGATGCGGATCCCACACACCCAGGTGTTTTCACAAATTTGGCCGAGTCTACAGACTTCAAGATCTTCGATTCATTTGAAATTCTGTCAATTGGAAGCAAGTCCTCTTTTGTACGAAACCAAGAAGGATATGTCGCCGAAATATCGCACAACGTTGAAGTCATCCGGCTCAGCGATCTTTCAAAAGGTCCTGACGGCAGGACGTCGAAGGTGGCCGTTGCAAGCTTCCCGGTTGCTCACGTAGCTTGCACCAAAACTATGTTCCGTCGCGACGAGCCCGAGTATATGAGCGTCTATATTGGTGATGCCCAGGGTTCTCCGCATTTCATGCGATATTCTGGTCTCACGGGAGCCTGTATCAACGCTGTTTCGTTCAACAATTTCATTGGCGACTGTCTTGTCAATTCCACCTCCGAGAAGAAGACAATGAATGCACGAGATCGGTACCAGCAGTACTTTGCAGAAACAAGCTGGTCGACGGCGGAAGTTGTTCATCGAGGGACAGGGGAAGGATTTGGGGAAGATGGTTTCTTGCGTCCTGGGTTCGAACACAAGTATCTCATAAAGTTCCTGCGCGGAAGGCTGGAAGAACAAGATGCAAGTGGTCTAGTAGACGGCATCTTGAGCGACTTTTGGAAAAAGAAGTTGGGCACTTCTCTTGTGCCTCGCGGACTCGAGACTGACAGTGCCTTTTTGATGACCTTGCACTCAGAACTCATGAGCGCGGTTGCAAAGGAATTTGGCGTTCAAGTGGACGAGAATGAGTGGTCAAGCTACATTCTTTCAGGATTTCTGAGCGCAGTACCATCAAACTCGATGATCGCCAGACTTTTAATCCTCTTGGGATCCATCATTTCGCATGCTCAAAATCTTGCTTTTGAAAAGAGTCGAGTATCTTCGGAGCTATTCAAGCAGTCGAAACCAGTAGATTCCATTGCAGATGACTTTGCTGTAGAAGCGCAGAACTTTGCAACTGGTTTGACGATGTCCACTGCTTTAGCGACTTTTGCCCTCGCTTTGCGACTATTGAGTGAACCATATGCCAAAATTGCTTCAACGATACTCGGGCTCCTCAGCATCCGCATATCATTCGGGACAATTACGAATGTGTCTCGTTACCGCAATCGGAATGAAGAAGCAAGGACTCTGTTCTTCGATAAGCAGCTACCACAGCTAGAGAAAGACATTATGGGGCAGCTCCCGTCCGCTGATAGAAGAAAACACCAACATGAAGGCGTCGATTCGAATCCCTACTGGAAGGAGTTGAAGAAGCTCCACCGCGATTTTCTAGATCAGGCGGTGTACTATGACGAACCCAAGTTCAGAATTGACGAATTTGAGAAAGCTTTCAGAGCCGTCCAAGCTGACGTTCCTGTCACATTGGAAACCTTCAGGATGCGGCTCGTTAAAGAGTTTATCTCTATTAGCTTCCAGAAGAATTCGTACCTCCAAGAGACATTGGTGCGCATGTACCGAGTTGTAAAGCAGAACATTCTCTTTCAAGAAGCAGAGGGTGGCAAGCCTGTTGTACGGGATATCGAGAAAAAGCTCCCGAATTTGCGAAAGACCATCGAGGCCAGTCTACAAAGAGGTCCAATTCGTTATGGTTTCGTTCGAAAAGACTTGAAATGGTATCAGAATCCGCTTGTTGTTGGCATTCAGCGATGCCTATTCATTCCATCAAGAGCTGCATGGACAACTGGAAAGCTCTGGAAGTTGCTGAAAGAGCGATCAGAGGGCGAAGTGCCAGCACTTCGAAGGGGTCATTCGGCTATTCGACAGCTTCACTTCGCCACTGTCGAAAGCCAAAATGCGTGCCGAATCATTCTGAGTGCCAGCATTGTCTTTTTGTCTGGATTCTTGTTTTCCGTCTTCAGATTCATCTCTTTCTTTCGACCGGAGAATCCTGCAACGGGGGAGCCAGAAGAGAAATGGGTCCGTTTGCTTGTTGATGTCACTGCTTGGGCCGTTGTTGGCACGATTTTGGGAGCGATGATTGCAGTTTCCCACTTCTTGCGCAAGTTAGGCCACCTCTTGTTCCTATTTTGGCAAGTGTTCCACCATTCGGGAAACAGAGATGCAAAGTCCAAGACTGATGCGGGCGTGATCCTATCTGCCACGTTGTGGCAAATTCTCTTGACGATTCTTCGACTCTTGGCAAACATCCTTGCTTGTGTGGCCTTACCATGGTCTGCATACCAGTCGAGTACTGGTACGAAGCCATTCTCGGACCTTCCTCGGGATTTGCCGTTGTGGTTTGCAGCGGGTTCTTTGGGAATCACTGTCCTCGCAGCAATCTTGTTCTTGTTTGTTGAATTGTTCATTCGATACAATTTGGACCCAATGCTTGGTAGAGCCATATTCAACTTGTTTGAAAAGGAGATTCAAGACATTTACGAGAGTGAACTGGAAGGTTTGCTTCAGGCTCACTTGGTAGTCACAACTGCGAAAAATGCCAGCCGTACCGCCACCGAAATGCAACAGTTGATCTCTGCTGCAAATGATACAATTCAAATTGATGATCCTACGATCGAAGAGCAGGCATGGGAGCTGACAGCTCGTCGCTTTCTTTCGTCGGAAAACTATAGGTTCGACACTGTGTTTGCTGCGGACCGTTTTGGTTCCATTTTTCACTATCTGCACCTTTATGGGCACAAACATTAGAGTACTATTTGTTTTAAAAAATGAGCACTGTCTACCCAACCTATCGGCAATGCAAAAGCTGTTTATCGTAGTTTTCATGAATTTACAATACATGCTGTACCGATACCAGGTACCAGGTACCACTGTACTGACACTCCTCCCTCGCCTCCAGACAATCTTAAAAGTGCGATGCTTGATTGATTCGTTCGACCAAAGTAAGCAACAGCATTGCTCAACAGCGTTTACCGCGCACTTGGTGCAGAATTTTGTCAACGGAAAGGTCACCTGCGACTCGAGTGGTGGCAGAAGGCACAGAAGATACAATAGTTTGGCACTCAATACCCATCAACCTTGTGTGCGCAATTCCACCTCTACCGGTACTCTACCATTGCCAATAGAGTTTGCATTCTGTCTTTGTTTCAGAGCAAAAAGCTGATACACTGACTGATTGACGATCGACATTGACATTGGCGACAAGAAAGAATTAGCTAAGGCTGGAACGCATTGAACGAGGAGTCATCACCGAAATTTAGAACTCATATCTACAGCAGCAACATCCATAAGCATGCCCCGTCGTAAAGACCAAGGCTCCCGTTCTAAAGACCAACCCTCTGTTCAGGACAGTTACACCAACGATGACTATGGCGACTACACTCAGGGAGAGGACACTGCCACCAATACCTTGCCAGATCACTTGTATCTGATGCAATACTGTTCCGCAGCCTTTTCTCCGGTGGACGATTCGGAGGACGCCTTGGCGTCAGCTGCAGCCAGTTGGGATCCTGTCCGAGACTGGCTGCATGGTCACTCGGTCGAGGAAATCAGGGATGCCGCAGAAATGCGAGATGATGTCGGCAAGACGGCCTTGCATTTTGCCTGTCAAAACATTCCACCCATTGATATCATCGATGCGTTTCTTGGCATTGCACCAGAAATTGTTCAATGGCCTGATTCATTTGGATGGTTGCCTATTCACTATGCTTGTGCTTACGATGCGGAACCGGCGGTCATAAAAAATCTTGCGGACACCTTCCCCGAATCCAAGACAACCGTGGACCGAAAGGGACGAACACCCCTGCACTTCTTTTTGGGAACATTGGGCACAAGAAATTCCAACTCTGCCGAAGTGACTCTATTGTTGAGTAATACAGGGGCTGCAGCATATCCAACTGACGAAGGTCTCTTGCCACTCCATTTGGCTTGTGCCTATGGTCGCGCGGAAGAAACCTTGTACGTCTTGCTCAATGAATTTCCGGAAGCAGCCATCACCTTGGATAACAAGCTACGTACACCATTGCATTTCGTCTTGTCCAATGCCAACCGTAAGCATTCTCCCGGCGCTGTCCGCGTCTTGTTGTCACAAGAAAAGGGACTGGCCAATTCAGTTGGTGGAGGGCCATTGCCACTGCTGGTGTTGGCTCAATTTGCCAAGGCCGGTGTGAACCGGAGCAATCCAGAAGAAGAAGATGCTGTCCTCGGATGCTTGAAGCAACTCTTGGCGGCAGACCCCAAACCAACACCCCGATTCTTTTCCGCCTTGCAGCGATTGCCCGTCTTTTTACGGGACAAGGCTGTGGTCACTACAAGTGTCCAAGAAATGTTGAACGACAAGATTGCTGAACGATTCACTACCTCAATTTTGATTCTGGATTTGTATCTCCAGTTTGTCGTCTTGGTTGCCTATGTCTTTGGGGTGACCGAGTCGCAACGATTGAGATCCCTCTCGGGAAATCCGGAAGAGGTTGGGTTCTGGTACTCTTCCCCATTGCATGAGTATTCGGAACTCTTTCGTTGGCTTGTCATTGGGGGGATGTACGTAGGAGCCTTGTATTTTATTATGCGAGAAATCTTGCAGTCCGTCTCGTTGGCATTTATGGGCGCCTTGAATATTTACATTTCCGATCCCTCGACCTGGCTGAATGCTGTCTACATTTTTGTGGTCTTGGCATGGGCTACCTTGGTACTACTGGGCGTTGGAGATTTTACACCCTTTGTGTACGGAACGTCTCTGTCAGTGTTTCTGTTGATTGTCAAACTCTTGGCGTATCTGAGAAATGTGTACATTGATTTTGCCATTTTCTCTGGAGGTGTCTTGCACGTCTTGGGTAGGCTCAAAGCTTTTATCTTTTGTTTGATTATTTTCTTGGTGGCCTTTTCTCGATTCTTTTACACGGTCTTTCAAGAAACACAATACTGTAAGGATGCACCGCCCCTGTACTACAACTACATCGAGGATGATGCTGAACGACATGCACTGGTACATGAAATTCAGTGCGACGCCTATGACCCAAGTCCCTGGTGCGATCATCGAAGGTCCTTCTTGACTTTGTTTACCATGCTTTTGGGAGAAGTCGATGAATCCAAATTCTTTGACGATGAAGTGGGACCCTTGGCCGTGGTCATGTTTACCCTTTTCATGTTTTTGATGGTCATCTTGTTGGCCAATGTGTTGATTGCCATTGTGACTGATTCTTACAAGGTGATTCAAGACCAGCGTGCCGCCATTGTGTTTTGGAACAATCGATTGGACTTTATCGCACAGATGGACGCCGTTGCCAATGGACCCTGGAAGCGCAAGATCCGTAAGATGATTGGATTGCGACACAAGAAGAAGGAAACCAAGAAAGAAGTGACCTATGGAGCCACTTCTTGGGGTTGGATGATGGATGTATTGTTTGAAGATGAATTGGATGGTGTCTACTACTATATTTACATTCCCATTCGATTGGTGTTGATATTTTTTGTCATTCCCTTTTGGTTCTTGGCCGGAGCCATGACCTTTGGTATTTTGTGGCCACCCCAGATTCGTCGTCTGTTCTTTACCTCCAATGTGTCTAAAATGACGGAAGCCGATCGCGAAGATGCCTTGCGAAAGACTCAAATCGAATCCTTGCACGGTCAAATTGACGAATTGCGGGATGAAGTCTTGCAAGAATTGGCCAAGGAGCGCAGTCAAATTGTACAATTGCGGTCCTCCGTGGCCGAACGCAAAATGGAAATCAACAACGAATTGAAGCACATCAAACGAACCGTGACCATGTTGTTTGAACAACAAGCAGATGCTGTGTACATGACGTAGTGAACCAGCAAGTCAGTTAGTACTGACGAGTGACGAGCCATGGTTGGCTGTGCGTGAAGCTGTGAATTAGGAGCATGGTGGATGGTGGATGGTGGTGGTGCTGTCCATTGCACTGGAAGTATTGATTAACCTTTCTAATACTATTACATACTAGGGGCTTTTATGGAAAATATATTATTCCATTGCAAGTGCAATCCGTTGGTGTGTACCGGTACCTATTATACAACAACATCATATGAAATCAAATATGATTTGATACCGGTAGGTTTGTGAATTACATACTTCAACAATCGACTATGTGCTACAGTCACCACCATAATGATCATCATCATCATTGTCCATCGCAAACTACTACACTATTCCGTTTCTACATTGTCTAATAAATATATATATATATTTATATATATTATATATATAATCATTATTCTAAAATAGGACTACAGTACTATTATTATATTATACTCTCTATGCTTCAATTTTCCTTTTAATTTGCCCAAAACTGGAAATTGAAACAAGCGTACTTTGACCGTATTCCCAGCCCCACTATTATTGTGTCCACTAAAACCACTAGGCCTATATCAGCTGCAACTATACTGCATTGGACTCTAATTCTGCAGTATCATCATTTTGAACTGCCGCCGTATTTGAATTGCTTGCACTTGCACTTGCACTTGGTTTGCGTGGCTTGGCAATTTGCGTCGCACAGAGTGGACACGTATTCTTTCGTTGAACCCATCCCTTGATGCATTCGACATGAAAAATGTGTTTGCATTCTAGAGAAGCAATTCGATCTCCCTCTTGCAAGGGTCCAAAACAAATGGTGCAACAAATAGAGGGATCGTCTTCCTCCAAATCTTGTAGATTATCTTCCAATTTGACGTGTTCTTCTGCCTTGTAGGCTTTGGTTTTGAGAATCAATTCTCCGCATTCCTCTTCATTTGAGGCGTTCGCGTTTGGATGATTGGCATTCCAAAAGTTCATGTAATGCAAGCGAATCGTATTGTGATGTTCCAAAATTCGATCGACCAACATGCCGTTGGTATTGGGAAAACACCGTTGGACGCAATAAGTAATGGCGTGTCGTCCCTTGTAGGAAAAGCATAGCAAACACAGGAATATATACCAGAGGCACACCAACGGCCAAATATTTCTTACGAGTACAGTAGACGCATCGTCTTCAAAACACAAGACGGAATCGTTGACATCGACTGGAATCGCACAGAGATTGGTGTGATAGGGACATACAAAGGGATCGTGTTTGATGGGTCCAGGACATTGGCATTCTCTAAAAATGGCGGTTGTGTTGCTTCCAATTTCCTGATTCGTTTGTTGGTAATGATATTCCGTAATGGAAGTGGATTCATTCTTGATTTCGATCAATTCCACCACGGTGGTCACGGGACATATTTGGGAGTAGTAGGCGGCTGCAGATCCTACCCGCGTTAATGCAAATAGGAGGGTAAAGGAAAGGGAAGGAAGTTGTGTCATTGTGGGGAGTTTTACTGCACTTGATGATGATGATGATGATGATAATGAAGTCAAGGAGTACAGAATAATTATTATAGTACGGTACTGGTACAAGACACTCAGCTCATTCAATCGAACCAAATTTCTTCCGCGAGCCAAGAGGCACTTCTTTTCGTCGAACGGCGTCGCGCATGAGCAATCTTCTTTTTTATGCCCCGCCGTTTTGGGGACAGAGTTAGCGTCAATTGTGGATGTCATTTTTGAGAAAGAGCAGAAGTAGTGTCGATTGGTATGTTGAACCAAAGAACAGAACACGTCGCACGTCGACATTGGCAGGCAGGGTGGATGCTTTTATTGATCATTTACACGTGTGGTGTGGCGTGTGTACAAGTACTTTGTAACGACAACTTCAACCAACCGGTACGAGAGTGTTCCCGTGTTATGATCGCTCTTTCAAAACTGGGAAATTCCTTCCGGAACTTTTTGATTGGCCACAATTATTTCAGGCTTAAATATGTGGTGTTCTTCCGGAAGTATTGATTGGCCATCATTGATGATTGACACTTTCAACGTTCATACCCTTCTCGCTGTCGCAAATTCGCAATCATCGGAGTTGAAAGGAAAACTTTTTGAAACACGACATAACACGACCTCGCTCATCATACCTCGCATACCTCGCTCGTTGTGCCAACAAAGTACTGTAGTATCCCGGCACTGTACTGTACGGTAGCCAATGTTGATGAATAAAACAGAACAATAGGAGCAGCAATAGTAAAGAAGAAAGAAGGCGGTACGGAATCAATCAATCGTTGAGCAGACGATCAATCGTTGCCAGATAGAAAGGAAACAACCATGAAGTTTGGCAAGGAATTGTCTCAAACCATAGAGGAGCATCATCCCGCTTGGAAGGAATTTGCGGTGGATTACAAGGGCTTGAAGAAGACGCTTCCCAAGACACAGCCTGATCATCCACCTGTTGTTTCTCTCGAAGAACGCTCCGATTCACCCCATCTGAGTGTGGTTTCAGACAGTGAAAAAGCGGGCGATTATTCCGACTTTTGGGAAGTCTTTGAACGATCCCAACAGGGTTTGGATTCGTTCTACAGGCACAAGGAGAGTTGGGCCCAATTGAAACACGCCACCTTGCTTACGGACATGGCCAAATTGCGTTCCAGTGAAAATGTCACGACTTCCATGGTCAGTGTCCAAGAAATGAAGGAACACTTGCTCGATTTTCGCAACGAAGTGGAGCTCGTCCGCGAGTTTTTGCAAGTCAACAAAATGGCCTTTTCCAAGATCCTCAAAAAGTATGACAAGCGTACCTTTTCCAATGTCCGCAAGTCCAAATTGGTTTCCATCATGGAGGACCAAATTTATTTGGATGGCGCGGCCATGGACGATTACTTGGTCAATATCAATGGGATGATTCAACAGTTGGATGCTCTATTGGAACACAAAAATCCAACGGCGGGACAAAAACGCAAGCTTCACGATCAAGTACTGACGACCACTCTGGTTGAGCAAAAGGCCCATCGCGCGTTGGAAGCCTTGGAGGGGCTCTCGCCGTTTTTTGCCTCGCATACCCCGCGGTTGTTGCCCTCTTTGGAACGGGAGGAGATTGACATTGCCGGAGAATTGTTGGGACAGGGCAAGTTTTGCAGTGTCTACGAAATTCAAAAAATTCAACTGGCCGCACACGAAACGGACGAAGCTCGACTCTTGTTGCAGCAACAGTGTTTGGAAGAACGAGAGGAAGGATATGCACGATATGCCATTAAACAAATCAACGAGCATCTCAAACCGTCCAGCAAAATTGATGGAGCTGTGGACCTGGCCATTGAAGCCAAGTACTTGTCCTGCATTTCGCATCCCAACATTATCAATCTGGTGGCGACGCCCACCGGCTCGACTTCCTACTTTTTGGTATTGGATCGATTGTCCGCCTCGCTGGATCATTGCATATACAAAGAGTGGCAGCCACTAGTATCCAAACTGGAAGGAAAATTTGGTGTGGGCAAGATCACTCACAAGCACCAACTGGCCTATTTGTGGCAAGCCCGACTCAAGGCCATGCACGACGTGGCCAAGGGGATGGCACACTTGCATGAACATAGTATTATTCACCGTGACATTAAACCACAGAACATTGGAATGGATTCCAAAGGCAATGCGGTCATTTTTGATTTTGGATTGGTCAAGGAACTATTGCCAAAGGAAAAGATTGCGGACAATGAATTCAAAGCCACAGGACGGACGGGGACCCGCAAATACATGGCTCCCGAAGTGGTTTTGTACAAGCCTTATGGGACACCCGTCGATGTCTATTCCTTTGCCATTACCTTTTGGGAAACCATGACGATGAAATCACCCTTTGACAACATGTCCGTGATTCAATTGAATTCGTTTGTCTTGGAAAAGGAAAAGCGACCCACCATTCCAAGGGCGTGGACTCACGAATTAAGTGAAATGCTCAAGAGGGCCTGGGCGGCCGAGCCATCCAAGCGACCAACTTCCAAGGAAATTTGTCAAATGATTGATGCCGAGATTCGGTTCGTGGAACGAACCAAGTGATTTCATTTCGAAGAAGTCATGAGTATGGTTCTTGATTCAGTCTAGTCTCTCCTAGTATTAGATCATACTATTATCATACCGGTATATCAGCAGTCACTCTATACTTGAACTTTCTTTTTTTAAAATAAAAGCGCTAGCAATGCCCTTTCCATATGCAACAACAAAAAGGCAACCACACATTGCAACAAGCACGTAACAAAACAATAATAATCCAGACAACGTATTAGAATATTAGAAAAGAAAATGATTTCATTGTTTGTGGCTACTCTAAAGCCAATTATATACATATATCTTAAATATTTGTTTAATGCTATCCTACTGTAGTCCTACTCGTACTCGTACTTTTCTCTTTATTGCTCCTCGCCCTTTTCATCAATAAAATCAGCCTTGACCTTTCGTCCCAAATGCCATGCCGAACTTCCAAAGAGCGCAATATTGACACTGCAGAGTGTGTAGTTGATGGGTGTCACCAACAATGCATATCTTGAAAAGAAGAAACCGGTAAGAGTGAGTGCCGTGTACTGTGGCAAACTAATCTTGTCAGTGGGACGATGCAAGTCCATGAACGAAGCTCCACTAATGAACCATTTGGACATTGGGGCCCAAAAGTGAACCGTAAAGGGACCGGCAGGAGCGGCAGCAATACTGGACAAGGCACCGAGTTCGGCAGAGGCCAAGGCCGAACCAAGTGTAGGTCCCGCTACAACAGCAACCGCAGCCGCCACACAACCAGCACCGACTTGTTGCATAATTTCAGTCACTTTTTCTTCTTCTCCTTGCTCCTTTTTGAATTCCAACGCCCGACGAAATTGATTGATTTGGGCACCCACATTGGTAACATGACAGGCACACAACAAAAGATTGCGAGGCTGCACCACCCAAGCCCAACGGGCAAAGAGGGTGGAATAGACAATCAGAACGGGCGTCATGGTCAAGGAAATCACTTCCGGCCCCTGTTGAAAGGCATCGTAAATGGCGGATCCGGACATTCCCCATCCAGCAAGAGCACCGAGACCACCCCAGAATTGGGCAGAAGACCACCAGCCTTTGGGTTCTTCCTTTGTGGTGGATTGAAAGCGTTTGCCGAAGCGCTTGCCGCCAACGACGACTCGTCGGGAGGCTCGGAGCATGGCATGAGAAGCGAGGCGGGAAGAAGGACGAGCAAACATGGTGTTGATTATAAGGATGATGTTGTGTTTGTGTGTTGTATGTTGTGCTGTATGTTGTGCTGTATGTTGTGGTGTGTTTGTGTTTGTGGATAAAGTTCACGGATTCCTACAGTACAGTGCTGTATCAGATAATGTGAGTGAGTGAGTTGTGATGACAACGCCTTGTTGTTTTGGTGGAAAGTCGGTTGCAAGATTTTTTGACCAAATGCAAGAAGACCGGAATTTCGCCAGTGGAAGATGTTTCGTCAGTGCTTCCGGCGCAAGTTCCGACCGCGCGAAGGATCGTGCATCGTGTTGATTCATATCATTCGAATCAATCATCATTGTTTTCGACTCATTCGAATGTATGGTCCAAAAACCTCGCCGGCGTGACACCAATACAAGTACTGTACAGCTACTGTACTGGTTTGTTGTACTGGCACTCTGGGTCACAACCAAACCGAAGAATCAAAGAAAGTGAGAGCCGGAAGCTGGCGTAGGTTTCGTTTGAAGATTCTTCAAACAGGTTAATACAGTACAGTAGGTACTTGCTTTATTGCTGTTGCCCTCGTTACCGGTAGATTCATTCTACAGTATCCTTGCTGTATTTGATAAGGAACACGAGTACACACCACAACCACAATTGCTGAGCGGACAAAAGTGAAAAAGAAAATTGGAAACGATTCCAAAAACAAAAAAAGAAAGAATTCCAAACTTTTAGTCACTCAATAATAATCACTCAATAGTCAGTCATAAAGCAATATGGCGGAATACGGTGGCGTACAAGGAGATGCCGTTGGAGCAGAAGTGGCTGATGGCGGAGCTGGTTACTCGGAGGGACTCCCGGAAGTCTTGTATCTAATGCAATACTGCGCTCAAGCCTTTGCTCCGGAAGATAACTCGGAAGACGCCAGGAATGCGGCAAACCGCAGTTGGGACCCTGTCCGAGACTGGTTGCACACCCACGATGAAAATGAAATTAGAGATGCGGCCGAGCAACGAGATGATGTAGGAAAGACGGCCCTTCATTTTGCCTGTCAGCACGTGCCTCCTACCGATGTGATTGATATCTTTTTGAATGTGGCTGGAGATATCATTCAATGGCCTGATTCTTTTGGATGGTTGCCCATTCACTACGCTTGTGCTTATGATGCGGAACCGGCCGTTATCAAGAGTCTAGCGGAAGCCTTTCCCGAGTCCAAAACAACCGTGGATCGAAAGGGCCGTACACCCTTGCATTTCTTTCTCGGAACTCTGGGTACCCAGAGTACCAACTCTCCAGATGTTGTCATCCTATTGAGTAATACAGGAGCTGCCAGTTATCCGACTGATGAAGGTTTGCTGCCCTTGCACTTGGCTTGTGCCTTTGGTCGGTCCGAAGAAACCCTATATGTCTTGACCGATGCTTATCCAGAAGGAGCCACAACAGTGGATAACAAGCAACGTACTCCACTGCATTTCGTGCTCTCCAATGCTGGCCGAAAGAATGCTCCTTCGGCTGTCCGACTGCTGCTTTCTCAGAACCCTGATCTGGTTAATTCCATCGGGGGAGGACCTTTGCCTCTTTTGGTCTTGGCACAATTTGCTATTACCGGTGTGGATCGATCCAACGAAGACCAAATTGACGCCGTTCAAGGCTGTCTCAAGCACATTTTGAACTCGAAACCAAAGCCCACTCCAGAGTTTTTCTCTGCCCTGCAGCGTTTGCCTTCCTTCTTACAAGACAGGGCTGTTGTTATGAGAGCAGTTCAAGAAATGCTGAATGACAAGATTGCTCAGAGATTTCCGACCATGATTTTGATCCTGGATCTGTACATGCAACTTGTAGTCCTCGCGGCTTACATGTTTGCCGTCACCAATTCGCAGCATCTACGCAAAATCCAACTTGATTTCTGCGAAGATAAGATTGATTGTGAGGTTGACCTCCGACAAATTGGTTTCCTCTATGATGAAGCCCCTCACGACTGGGGTCCAAATTACAGATGGCTCATGGTTGGAGGCATGTATGCTGGAGCCTTTTACTTTATCATGCGCGAAGTCTTTCAAGCCGTTTCTCTAGCCGCCCTTGGTGCCTTTCACATTTACGTCCGCGATCTTTCCAATTGGCTCAACTTTGTCTACATTTTGTTGGTCTGCGTTTGGGCTACGTTGGTACTATTTGGAGGGGGTCCCTTCTTTGTCTTTGTCTACGGTACTTCGATATCGGTCTTTATCTTGATTATCAAGTTCTTGGCGTATCTGAGAAATGTGTACATTGATTTTGCCATTTTCTCTGGAGGTGTTTTCCACGTGTTGAGTCGCCTCTCCGCCTTTATCTTTTGTTTGGTCATTTTCTTGGTGGCTTTTTCGAGAATGTTTTACACAATGTTTCAAGAAACACAATATTGTGCTGATGCACCGCCGTATTACTATGCTTATTCTGAAAACAAGGAATTACGACATGAGCTGATCCATCAAATTCAGTGCGATGCCTACGACCCTTCTCCCTGGTGCAATCACTGGAGTGCTCTTCTCAGCGTCTATACGATGCTTTTGGGAGAAGTCGACGAAGGAAGATTCATTGACGACGAAGTGGGCTGGTTGGCAGTGGCCATGTTTGCCCTGTTTATGTTTTTGATGGTTATCTTGTTGGCCAATGTGTTGATTGCTATCGTGACAGACTCTTACAAAGTTATTCAAGATGAACGTGCTGCAATTGTGTTTTGGACCAATCGTTTGGATTTCATTGCACAAATGGATGCCGTCGCCAACGGTCCATGGAAAAGAAAACTTCGCAAGATGTTTGGTTTGTCCAGCCGCAAAAAGAAGCGTGAAGGAGGCAAGAAGACTGTCTTTGGAGAAAGTACTTGGGAGCGGATGACAAATCTCTTGTTTGATGATGATCAAGACCTTGGAATCTTGAACATTGAATTCTACTGCTACTTTATTTTGAAAGTACTGACAGTAGCCTTCATCCCCATTTGGTTCTTACTCGGTATTGTCACATTTGGAATCCTGTGGCCACCCCAGATTCGTCGATTCTTCTTTACTTCCAGTGTGACCAAGCTTAGTGAGAGTGATAGAGAAGATGCTCTCCGTAAGACGCAAATTGACAGTTTGCACGTGGAAATTGAAGATTTGAAGACTGAGCTCTTAAAGGAAATGGCTGTCGATCGGACCAATGTAGTTCAATTGAAGAGTTCAGTGGCCGAAAAGAAGCTGGAGATTCAAAATGAAATGAAACACATCAAGCGAGTTGTTACGATGCTCTTTGAACAAACCGCAGGAATGTAAATGCGATTGGCTCTTTGGCTTTGAGACATTTTGTTGATGCACAAAAAGTCTTTGATTTTGCTTCGGTTTGTAAGGGATCTTTCACTCACACAAACTGACTCACCCATCTTTCCACGAGTCTATCTTCGATTCATGGATGGATCGATATCTACATTTTAGTACAAGTAATTAAATTTGATGAATGTTGTTTAGTTTCTATCAGCAAGCTATCAGCATTCACGAAGTGATGACGGGTGACAACAGACGCCGACACCGTTTTCTACTCCTCTTCGTTGTTCGAGAGTGCACCACACAGATGTTGGCACCGCCTCCTCCGCACCACAATTGGAAGAACCGCGACCCCCCGAGAGTGCACCGACAAAGTATTGTAGGTTTTCAAATCAATTTGGCAGTTTGGACCAATATACTAGGAAATGAAGTTGTGTCATGTATGTGACTACTACTATACTCCCAGGAGCGAAGTAGTTTGAAATGAGCACAACCCAATTTTGGAAGGAACGGGGGCTACCAGTACGAGAGCTTCAAAGCTTCAATTATTGTCTACGCTGAGATTGCGCATCAACGCCTCCATGTCTTCAATTTCGATGACTCCAAATGATGCTGCCACAAGGAGCCTTACAGCAGGATTGTTATAGCAGGAAAGCAAGAGTTGTTAGTCATATTACAAATCCAGCAAAATTGAGATGAAATGGTTGGGACTCACAGAGCCCAAATGGGGCACCAAACATAATCTCCGATTAGGACCAAGACTCCGCACTTGTGGGGTGGAACTTTTGGTGCGGTTGCTCGCATGTCCTCGATGATGTTTTCACGATCTTTTGGGGTTCGTGTCGTAAACCAGTCTCGTTGCACAGTCCCATTGACGTAGTCTCGACGGCGAGCGACTCTGAAAATGGGAGGACGTTGCATGGCAGGAATGACATGATTCTGATTGGGACCAAAGCTGAGTTCAATAATCAGGTCCTTGAGCTCCAAACCAGTAATTTGGCACTTGGCGCTATTTTCATTCCAACTTCCATTCTATGTTCCCAGATGAAATTTCCAACAGACGAGCTCATCACGTCTCTCAATCTTTCAGTATTCTTCTTGAACGGAGTACACATTGGTCCATAACGCTTCCAATCGGCGACTTGGCACTTTCGAGAACAATAACGGGCCTTTTCGCATTTGGCACATCTCTGCTCCAAATGTTTGTCACACTTGCCACAGTGCTCACATAAATGCACTTGGATCTGATCACGATAGTTTGTAAAGTCTACCGTTCTGCCCATACAGGCAACGACCTGAAGCTTTTCCATTACTTTTGGATCCGGGGCCGCCGGTGCTGCGGCTCCGTCCTCACCGTCCAAAATCGCTTGCAGAGCATCACCACATGGCTTTCCTCTCTTGAGTTTTCAGTTCAAAATGATAGGATATGACTGTAGCAAATCAATCACTTGGTACGTACTGAGGCACAATAGGCCAACTATCAGTGGCTGCTGAATGGTGGCACAGCGGAGAAAATGTCTGAGGATGATACCAAAACATTGAATCTCAGATTCCTTGACCTTTTCACGAAAGAGCCCCCCCCCCGTATCGGCGCACATGGGCACCGCATTCAATTTAGCTTCACGAAATGATCAAAATCGTCCGATCGACGGCAATTCAAAATAGTTCGGAACCTTGTGATGAAAATTTTCCTTTCCTCTCACAAACGCATTGGCTCTTTTCCTCTCGTAGCAACATCCACAGACAGCACAGTACGAATGGATAATATCACCGAAGGCATGGGTAAAGGAGTGTTCATGTTCATCGTTGTATCACTTGATTGCAATCTTCAGTTGTTCTGGGGCAACAATGGCTTTTTTCTTTCAAAAGTCAAGTTGGTGAGCTGTTAGATATTATATGCGGTATAATATTTGACTGAGGTTTTTGAGGTTCCAGATTCTTTGGTGAAAGTGAATTGACGCGATGACCAACCAATAACGTAGTGAAAAGAATTGTTCATTCTTTTCAGTAAACCATCTAGATTGATTGTTGTTGCAACTTTGATTGAGTGCAGAATAGTTGATACTATAGTTATGGAACTGAAGTAGATAGTCATCAGTGCATGTAGACCTGATTGGTCACATGGACAATGCAGAGTTAATGACTCGCATCTGAATGATTATTTTGAAGATAGTCGTCCTATTTTCTATTTCTAACAGGGGGTTATCTTCGGTTCTTTGAAGGAGATTGGATTTTCTATTGCCGAAAGTATTGAACGAAGGCTCACTCTGAAGGTTAAAAATCAAGGAGCGAACTTGGTGTTCATTGCTCTCGGAAATACAGCTATTCATTTTTAAAGTGTCGTCTCAAGCAAGGCGTCAACAAGACCATTTTCGGAAGGACACATATCATCCAGTGAAGTGATGATGCGGCTGATGGATGTTGAGCCACTTGGACGAAGGAGCGTGTTAGATATTATATGCGGTATAATATTTGACTGAGGTTTTTGAGGTTCCAGATTCTTTGGTGAAAGTGAATTGACGCGATGACCAACCAATAACGTAGTGAAAAGAATTGTTCATTCTTTTCAGTAAACCATCTAGATTGATTGTTGTTGCAACTTTGATTGAGTGCAGAATAGTTGATACTATAGTTATGGAACTGAAGTAGATAGTCATCAGTGCATGTAGACCTGATTGGTCACATGGACAATGCAGAGTTAATGACTCGCATCTGAATGATTATTTTGAAGATAGTCGTCCTATTTTCTATTTCTAACAGGGGGTTATCTTCGGTTCTTTGAAGGAGATTGGATTTTCTATTGCCGAAAGTATTGAACGAAGGCTCACTCTGAAGGTTAAAAATCAAGGAGCGAACTTGGTGTTCATTGCTCTCGGAAATACAGCTATTCATTTTTAAAGTGTCGTCTCAAGCAAGGCGTCAACAAGACCATTTTCGGAAGGACACATATCATCCAGTGAAGTGATGATGCGGCTGATGGATGTTGAGCCACTTGGACGAAGGAGCGTGTTAGATATTATATGCGGTATAATATTTGACTGAGGTTTTTGAGGTTCCAGATTCTTTGGTGAAAGTGAATTGACGCGATGACCAACCAATAACGTAGTGAAAAGAATTGTTCATTCTTTTCAGTAAACCATCTAGATTGATTGTTGTTGCAACTTTGATTGAGTGCAGAATAGTTGATACTATAGTTATGGAACTGAAGTAGATAGTCATCAGTGCATGTAGACCTGATTGGTCACATGGACAATGCAGAGTTAATGACTCGCATCTGAATGATTATTTTGAAGATAGTCGTCCTATTTTCTATTTCTAACAGTGAGCTAAATTAAAAAAATGAATAGATCCTCTGACGGCACAAACGGACGTTTTCACGGACAAACATCGAACACAAAGCATCAAACGTAAAATGGTACAACTACAGTACAACTTACCAATGTTACTTCTCCTCCAATCAACAACCAAGCTACCACATTAGCCCATTCAAACTATGCTGGATCGCCTGTTTCGTTCATCATGGAGTCGTCTTTGTCATCAGCGTTTGCAATCAGTACACGGCAGCGAAAACATCCAGCTGAGACTACGGAGGTGAATCAAAATCTGAAACACCAAGCCCCTGTTGAGGAAACCAAGAAAGAGCAAGGACCTTTCAGATGTATTCCTACTCCTCTTTTGGTAGCAACAAGAAGAAAATTTTATCATATTATTAAAATATCGGCGATGGTACTCTTGGTGATTGCGGCAGGAGTTGTTCAACTTGGATCAAAGCCGCCCTCAGCTCCACCAATTGTCAATCACGCCTCTCCAGGAGTGAGACGCAACTTCATGAAGGGCCAGTCAAAACTTGCTGAGGAGCAATCTGAGAAACCAACGGAAATTGTGGGTGCCACTGATGATGCCTTCTCCATCACCAACATCAACACGACAAAAGTTTATCCCCTGGAATCTCTCGGCATACAATCCGCCATCGAGTTTTACAAAAAGGGCATGCGACAGCGCTCCAAACCGTTTTCGTTGGCTCAATTTCATGTCGATGTTACTTGCAAGACTCCGATTTCCCTGGTACAAGATGTACAGCCTCCGCACCACGATTGGAAGAAACGTGCACCACATGTCTTGATATTGGGCGCTCAAAAGGGTGGGACCACCGCCATGGCGTATTACTTGTACAATCACCCGCGGTTCATTTATTTGCCTTCCAAAGAACTTCATTTCTTTGACGATGACATGGATGCCTGGCAGAATGACGGTGATTCTGCTTCTTCTCTCACAAATCTAAATGGAAACGACATTCTGAATAAATATCATTCTGAATCCATGAGCAAGGATTATAACATGACCATTTTCCAGCAGCAACAAAAAGTCAATCCAGCCTACATTATGGATGCGACCCCGAACTATTTGTTTGAGAGTGATCGAGTGCCCCAACGGGTTTTATGTGCCTGTGGACCATGGGTCAAGCTGTTGGTCTTTTTGCGGAATCCAGTGGACCGTGCCTGGAGTCAGTATTATATGCAGCACAATTATGACTCGCTTGGAAACCTGACAAATTTACCATCCTTTGAAGAGTATGTTGAAATGGATATGAACGTACTGGCTGAAGTCGGCGTGTTGCCTCCTGACAACGCTGACCTGAGCTATTATGGATCGGCAGGAGAAGCAAAGGCATGGAAGACGTATACACGGCTGGGGATAAACAGTCCTTTGGGACGAGGGCTCTACAGCATTCAACTGCGACAATGGCTCAAAGCGATGAAAGACTATGGAAAACCAAGTTCCGATCTAATGGTTTTCTCCAGCGAACAAATGAAGGTTCTCTCGAAAGCAATTTACCATCAGGTTTTGGAGTTTCTCGAGTTGCCGCCCTATGAAATATCCCATTTTGATCGGGTGCACAAGACCAGGTATGGTGATAACGTCAAGATGAAACCAGAAACGAGAAAGAAGTTGGAAATCTTCTTTCGGCCATACAATCAGCAGTTGAAGGACGTGCTCGGAAGCGAGTGGGACGGTATTTGGGATGAAGCGTGATAACAGACTAGAACCAAAACAATGTGCTACTATTTTTTATTAAAATATTCGCATCATTTTCTGTCTAAACATCTTTGTCCCTTTTGTGTCGAGACGACTTCTTCTTTTTATGCTTTCGATCATGCTTTCGCCGGCGCTCTTTGGGACGTCGGTGATCTACGTCATCTGCATCTGGTGAACGCGATCGTTTCCGTCTCCGAGAGGAGTGCTTTCGGTGGCTCTTTCGTTTGCTACGACGTTCGCGCCGTCTGGAGTCAGCGGAAGAAGCAGATGACGACATGTCGTCTTTGTTGTTGTCATTGTCCTCCTTGCTGCCAGGCATCGGCCGAGATGTTTCGGAGGAAGGCCTTTCGCCTCCCATGGCAACAGCGTTCGCGACAATATCCTTTGCTCTTTGCATCATTTCGTTCCCCGGTCGTTCCTCTTGTTCCTCATCTTCATCGCTAGAAGCATCAAGATCGGTACTGGAATCAGTATCGGAGTTGGCTTCGAAAATGGACTTGAGCTTTTCCATAGATGGCCGTTGCAGACCATCTGGATCTTGCTCCATGTCCATGTCAGGATTCGCTTTATCGCTAGCCTTCTTTTTATCTCTTACTTTCTCCTGCTTTGACACTTTTTTGTTTTCCCGAACACTCATAATCTCCGTTTCAAAGTAGTTGGCTTCTGTAACTCTTGAAGGTTGATTTGAAGATATCATGGATGAATTCATAGATATTCCGACGGCATTCTTTGGCACAGGAACTCCGAATCGTTTACAGAGCAATGGATGAGGAAGAAAGGTTTGGACTGTGCGCTTCAGCACAATAGGTTTCTTGGCGGTAGGAACGTTTGTCGGAGATGTGTCTTCGCCTCTTTGACGTTTTGCAACAAGTGGGTCGGGTTTGTACAAGCCAGCTCGGCCTGTTACCTTGGTTTCTTCGGTTTTGCTAGTGGTGAAACGATTTTTCATTGCTAGTGCAAGATTGACAAAGTTCTTGCTTCCTGTCAACGGAGGAAGAACCTTCTGGTTCATTTTTTGTCGGTGCTGTTCTTTCTCTTGTAGTTTGACCGCTCGAGCAATTGTTTGGAAAATCAGTGGATGTTCATTTTCTCCAAAGATGTGTCGTTTTGTGATGTAATCTCTAGGCATGTCTGGACCAGGATAACGTTTCTTGTGAGAATTTATGCTTCCACCCAAAACAAATCCTTCCAAAGGAGGCTTTCCGTTCGACATCAACGCTGCTGCTTTGGTCGTATTGCTGGACGTGTTCGCCCACGACGACAGAACGCCACTAAGATCAGTCTTGCGCTGTAACAGGCCTCTATCATTCAATTGCGCTCGAGATGGATCAAATGTAACATCCCCAGCTGATTCTTCATTGTCACTGTCTCGATGTTCGTAAATTTCCGTGTTGTATTCGTCCCCCAACATGTCACGAGAAGGTTTCCCACCTGGCCTTCCGTTGGTTGTATTGTCGTAAGCATCATCTTCGTCGTCTCTGAGAGCGAATCCACCTACTGACGTCTTCCCAATGAAATCTTCTGTGGTTTCATAATTCAAATAATCATCACAATCGTTGTCACCTTTTCCGCTCGAGAGTTGATCCCCGTTGTTTCCTTCTGTCAGTGCCGATGCTCGGTAGACATCGCTACTAGAGCCACCTGCTGAACCACGTTCTTTGGCGAGTTGCTTTTTTCGCTCTCGAAAGGCTTTGAATTCCGGTGCATCTTGGTGCGGTTCAAATCCCAGTCCACAGTCGTCCAGCTTAGGTGGTGGAATTTTGAAGCGATTGGTTTGCAGGCGAATCTTTTTCAGCCGCCTCCTAGAAAGAACCAAATTAGCGTCATTATCTTCTTCCTGCTTAGTTTCAACTTGTTCGTCACGTCCCATGGGCACAAAGGCGGCCTTTCCTTCTTCTCTCCAACCAAGCTTCCTCAGGAGCCTCGAACCAATCGCTCGATGGGCTGATATCCGAAGGAGTGTGTCCAATGACTCGGTTTTCTTTTCAGGGCCTGGTCTCAAACTGGAGGTGGTATCTTTTGTATCCGGATGGTAATCTTGCCGAACCTTTGTTGGTCCCCCCCATTCTTCGTGATCTTGCTCGTCCATAAAATCCTCCAAACGCTGGTCTTTGAGTTTTTGATTGCTTGGCTTCCATCCTTCTTTAGTATCCACAGTATTGAAATACCCCGCGGAGAATCCACCCGTGAACGCTCCATGAAATCTCTGTGGCTTGCTGTTGTTGTTGCTGCCACTTTTTCTCTTTGCGGGAGGAATGTACACCGGGCGCCCTGACATGATGGTTGAACTATGAACAACTATGCACAAGTAACTATGTTTGGAAAATTTAGCTTGTCGAGAAGAGAGTGTTTGCTGCTACTGCATTCATGTTTTGTTTTTATCAAAGCGTGTGGTTGTGTGGCAATTTTTCTCATTTTCTCCATGCCCCGATATACGCTTTGACTCATTCGAACGGATGAAGTTAGAATCGAAAACTTTTACAAGGAAGAAAATAAGGTGTTGCTATCTCGCAAGAACACCCCCAGGGATGTGCACACCGGTGGTGGTGGGTTTCGGTTCCGAAACAAAAGAGCTTCCTCTTTCCTTCTGCATCGAGTACGTGGGGCAGGGTGGAAAGATTGTAACCCTTGGCTACTAGGTGGTACCCACCATAATCATGCACGACCTTCGTCTGCCAAAGTATGTCCTACGATTATTTGGTAGGAAGTGTATTCAAAATAAGTATTATGTTATAAGTTCTATGTCAGTATGGCCATATTTTATGTATTGGTATGTTTCTTCCAAAATCTCTCTGTTGACTGTTCGTGCCGAATTATAGAATGAGGCCGTCATCCTCATCTTCTTCATCGGAAGAGTCACACTCGATGAGAGGTGTTTTCCTCAAGTTGAGTTTTGGTGAGCAGGAATGAGGCGGTGCTTGTACTGGACTGCAAGACTGAACTTGATCACCAGTTTCTGCAGCCCAGCGACTCTTTCCTCGAGAGTGGTCGCTGACGTCCAGGGAGAATCTGTTGGAGGTGCTCCTTCGTCTTTGGTACATCGCTGGAGAAGCGTTATCCATAACGATTGTGATTTCTGCGGTTCCCATGGAGTGACTTGACTTTTCGCTGAGCATGGTTTGAAGGAAGGATTGGAGTGGGGTGTGGTTGCTCATGATGAAATTGACGCTTGTGGTTGGTGTCGCTTTTCAAATTGTATGCTTTGCTTTGCGTTGCGTTGTGATTGCAGTTTGTTCTGTTCATGTTCACTTTCGGGAATGTTGATTTGATTTCCGGCGTATCTGATCATCCCGTTTTCGGACCCTTCTATTTTTTGAAATAAAGAACCAAGATTTTTCCTATAAGTAACTCGGACAAAAGAGAAAGGCTCTTTTGAGGAGAACTGCAACATGGCCTTTCCAATCGGCTTGGCCCTTGCGGAAGAACATTCTTTCAAAAACCAATAAGTGTTAATGGAGGCAACACCTATGCCCCTGAGGAGAAGTTTTCGGCCACTCCGGACTCAGGGCTTTTCGGTAAATTGGCGCGTCTCGTGCATCGGCTATTTGGTCAACAAATTTTTTAATTAGATCTTTTATGGAAAGAATATGTGGAACCGTACTATATAACATAATACAGTACTGCAACTTTGTGTCATCTCACAAACCCGATTAGGATTCGCACACGAGGCGCTAAAAAAACTCGATTCACAAAATAAAGTACACAATTTGAAAAGCGACATCAATTTCATCATGAGCAACCACACCCCACTCCAATCCTTCCTTCAAACCATGCTCAGCGAAAAGTCAAGTCACTCCATGGGAACCGCAGAAATCACAATCGTTATGGATAACGCTTCTCCAGCGATGTACCAAAGACGAAGGAGCACCTCCAACAGATTCTCCCTGGACGTCAGCGACCACTCTCGAGGAAAGAGTCGCTGGGCTGCAGAAACTGGTGATCAAGTTCAGTCTTGCAGTCCAGTACAAGCACCGCCTCATTCCTGCTCACCAAAACTCAACTTGAGGAAAACACCTCTCATCGAGTGTGACTCTTCCGATGAAGAAGATGAGGATGACGGCCTCATTCTATAATTCGGCACGAACAGTCAACAGAGAAATTTTGTACAATGACTATCAAAATCGTGCCCCACATATCGATCGCCCCAAAACTTCTCGCGAAGCCAAGACCTTTCTGTGCAGTTTGGCACAGGAAGCCGGCAGGAGAGGAACGAGGCAGCCATAACACCTTTTACCGCACCATGGTCAAAATGTTTGGCCATCCACACAGCAAAGAAAATGATTTAGCCACCGTTTCTCGCGTCTTGGTGCGGAACGATGATAGCACCGTCGCAAGACCTGCTCCAATTGGAAATCGACCTGATACCTTAAAATACTTAAGTTTTCTACTATCTTTCAATCCAACAAACACCACATACCGGAACACTTTGACATCCGTGTCACTGCACATCTGGAGCTTTCTAGGAGAACGGTATTACCACAGTAGGTTTTCCCCTGGTACTGGTACTCGTACCCCACAATACTCGCTCGTTCCCCCCAGGCATGACGGAAGACAGTCTCGATAGGAAACCATCGAACGGTATGGTACAGGTACAGTACAGTATATTGGGTGTATTAATGCGGTCTTCTAGGGAAAGTTGAACTTTTTTATATTGCTGGCGCCACTTTACCACTTCCGAAATACAGCATCGATAAATACCCCCCTGCGCGAGTCAGTCGTTAAATGCACAGTTTCTCGGAAGGTAACGACTGAATGCGTGATGCGACTATGTAGTCGTTGCCAAATAAAATCTTTGGTGCGAAAATCTTCCTTCCATGATGGCAATAAGTAACACCGTAGGTTCTCTGCAAAATGGCTCCTATTCGATGATCTATTTGGCCTCAAAACCGGCCTAATGAGCACTATGTCGGAAATGTCGTCTCATCTACAGTATGATGGATGGTTACAGTACCAGTACCGGCACGATGCGAGTGTGAGTGACTGACTCGATGCGATTCCACACGTTTTTTACGACCAAACGGGAAAAAACCCGATTGCAAAGTCTCCCCACAACAGCAATCTAAAATACACGAAGCTCACAATTTGAGGATCGACATCAACCACAAGCGTCAATTTCAACATGAGCAACCACACTCCACTCCAATCCTTCCTTCAAACCATGCTCAGCGAAAAGTCAAGTCACTCCATGGGAACCGCAGAAATCACAATCGTTATGGATAACGCTTCTCCAGCGATGTACCAAAGACGAAGGAGCACCTCCAACAGATTCTCCCTGGACGTCAGCGACCACTCTCGAGGAAAGAGTCGCTGGGCTGCAGAAACTGGTGATCAAGTTCAGTCTTGCAGTCCAGTACAAGCACCGCCTCATTCCTGCTCACCAAAACTCAACTTGAGGAAAACACCTCTCATCGAGTGTGACTCTTCCGATGAAGAAGATGAGGATGACGGCCTCATTCTATAATTCGGCACGAACAGTCAACAGAGAAATTTTGTACAATGACTATCAAAATCGTGCCCCACATATCGATCGCCCCAAAACTTCTCGCGAAGCCAAGACCTTTCTGTGCAGTTTGGCACAGGAAGCCGGCAGGAGAGGAACGAGGCAGCCATAACACCTTTTACCGCACCATGGTCAAAATGTTTGGCCATCCACACAGCAAAGAAAATGATTTAGCCACCGTTTCTCGCGTCTTGGTGCGGAACGATGATAGCACCGTCGCAAGACCTGCTCCAATTGGAAATCGACCTGATACCTTAAAATACTTAAGTTTTCTACTATCTTTCAATCCAACAAACACCACATACCGGAACACTTTGACATCCGTGTCACTGCACATCTGGAGCTTTCTAGGAGAACGGTATTACCACAGTAGGTTTTCCCCTGGTACTGGTACTCGTACCCCACAATACTCGCTCGTTCCCCCCAGGCATGACGGAAGACAGTCTCGATAGGAAACCATCGAACGGTATGGTACAGGTACAGTACAGTATATTGGGTGTATTAATGCGGTCTTCTAGGGAAAGTTGAACTTTTTTATATTGCTGGCGCCACTTTACCACTTCCGAAATACAGCATCGATAAATACCCCCCTGCGCGAGTCAGTCGTTAAATGCACAGTTTCTCGGAAGGTAACGACTGAATGCGTGATGCGACTATGTAGTCGTTGCCAAATAAAATCTTTGGTGCGAAAATCTTCCTTCCATGATGGCAATAAGTAACACCGTAGGTTCTCTGCAAAATGGCTCCTATTCGATGATCTATTTGGCCTCAAAACCGGCCTAATGAGCACTATGTCGGAAATGTCGTCTCATCTACAGTATGATGGATGGTTACAGTACCAGTACCGGCACGATGCGAGTGTGAGTGACTGACTCGATGCGATTCCACACGTTTTTTACGACCAAACGGGAAAAAACCCGATTGCAAAGTCTCCCCACAACAGCAATCTAAAATACACGAAGCTCACAATTTGAGGATCGACATCAACCACAAGCGTCAATTTCAACATGAGCAACCACACTCCACTCCAATCCTTCCTTCAAACCATGCTCAGCGAAAAGTCAAGTCACTCCATGGGAACCGCAGAAATCACAATCGTTATGGATAACGCTTCTCCAGCGATGTACCAAAGACGAAGGAGCACCTCCAACAGATTCTCCCTGGACGTCAGCGACCACTCTCGAGGAAAGAGTCGCTGGGCTGCAGAAACTGGTGATCAAGTTCAGTCTTGCAGTCCAGTACAAGCACCGCCTCATTCCTGCTCACCAAAACTCAACTTGAGGAAAACACCTCTCATCGAGTGTGACTCTTCCGATGAAGAAGATGAGGATGACGGCCTCATTCTATAATTCGGCACGGACAGTCAATGGAACGGGTTGTCTGCAGTCTAAGTATGCAATATATTACCACGCCACATACATCGATCTCTCCAAAAGCTCTCGTGATACAAAAATGAAAGCTTCGACCAAGATTCGAGCTTCGCCACAGGAAGACGGCAAAGGAGAGGCGAGACACAAAACACCATTTACCGTACCACGGTCGAACTATTTGGCCATCTACACAGTAAGATTTTCCCACCGTCACCCGCCTCCTCCTATGTGCGGAGTATTACCTCTTTGCCTAGTCTAATGATTGGGAATAGACCTAACAACTCCTAAAGATAATAACAGGATATGCCAGCATTTTCACTTTTTCCAATCCTTTCAATCCAAGAAGCATCACGTAAAGTTTGACTCTTGTCACTAGACAAGTCTGGAGATATCGTTACAATAAGAGGCAAGAATCAGACATGACGGAAGAAGGCATGCTACCTACTGTACATAGCTCGACAGGAGAACCGTCTTTCTCCGACGACAGTAAGAAATATTGGCACTGTGTGGTACCAGGTACCGATGCGGTTGGTCTATTTGAGTGCACCAATACCGCTTCGAAAACATCGCAGAGGCAAATCGTACTCCCCCACGTTCCAGCGTTTTAAGTCGCGTTTCAATCCAAGTCGCGTTTTGGCTGCGACCATGTCCTTTTGCCTGCATCCCTAAAACCCAGTACCACGTTACCTGGTACTTTAAAAAAATACTTGTTTGTCATGCGCTTGATAACTAGAAAGCGGTTGCAGGCATGGAAAAGAGCTCGTTTCGATGATGTACCTGACCTGCATCATCAACCGTGTCTTTTTAAATAATGGAACGTTTCCCAAAGCGTTGTGTCACAACTGTGAATGTTCTGCGGTTGCGTATATATGTGGAGCCTCACGGCTCACGGATGCCTTCGTTTGAAAAAAAGCGTATCATTCCTTCTTAGGAAAACGGTCAAGAGATTCCGATTACAGCGTTCCCTCTCCAAAACTGCGATCTATCTATGATCTAAAGCAAGAAGACAATTTGAGAATCGACATCAATCACAAGCATCAGTTTCATCATGGGCAACCACACTCCACTCCAATCCTTCCTTCAAAACATGCTCAGGAACAAGTCAAATCACTCCGTGGGAACCGCAAAAATCACAATCGTGATGGACAATGCGTCTCCAGTAATGCATCACAGACGAAGGAGCACCTCAAAGAGATTCTCCTTGGATGTCAGCGATCACGCTCGAGGGAAAAGTCGTTGGGTTGCAGATACTCGCGATCAAGGTCAAGCTTCTTGTAGCCTAGTACAAGTACCGCCTCGTAGCAGATCACCAAGACTCTCACTGACGGAAACTTCTGTCATCGAGTGTGACTCTGATGATGAAGAAGGCGATGATGGTCTCCTTCTATAATTTGGCAAGAGCAGACAACAGGAATTCACTTGGAGCCAAAGTACAAGTTACCATCACACGTCAATCTCTCCAAAAGCCCTTGGAGCTTCGCCACAACTCGTGTTGGCGAAAGAGTGGACCTTTCTGTGAAGTTTGATACAGGACGGCACACCATCGCATGTAGTATACCGTCATTATTGATGCACTGTTTATAATACGGTTTTTTGGGGCACAATAAATACTCCTTGAATTGCACCTACTGTGTGTAGCGTAGCGTGCAACTTCTATTTCCCTACGCGCCTTAGGAGAAGATGGGCACCTACTCTTACATCTCTCGAAACCATACCTACAACTAGTGTGAGCAGTTTGATACGAAAATGAAAGCTTCCTTCAAGCTTGGTGGGAACTTTTGTCCATCCACACACCACACAGCACGATTTTACCAGCGTTGGCCGCCTCCTCTTTGTGCGGAACATTGCCTACTGTCTACTCCGATTGGGAATAGATCTTACTCCTAAAGATGAGAAAAGGATATGCCAGCATTTGATTTTCCAATACCTTACTACAATCCAAGAAGCATCACGTACACTCTGCCATTCTTGTCACTGAAAAGTCTGGAGATTCCTACTAGGATATCGTTACAACAAGAATCGTTTCGTGCCACCAGACATGACGGAGGGCATGCTACCTACGGTATATGGCTCGATAGGAGAAGAACCGTCTTTCTCCGACGACAGGACGAAATACTGGGTCTGGTACTGTGTGCTACCAGGTGCACGTACCGGTGCGTTTGACCTATTTGCTGGCACCAAGACCACTTCGAAAACATCGCTGCGACAAATTCGTATCCCGTCGAGGAGTCATTTAGAAATAAAATCACGAAAAAGTATTTTTTTAAAATAATGGTCACAGCTTTTTTGCGAAAGAGTGACTCCCCTCGTTCCAGCGTTCGAAGTCGCGTTTTGGCTGCGGTTATGTCCTACGAGTATTGTGCCAATGCATCCCTTCTATTAAAAAAAAGTACCAGTATGGTACTCGTTCGTCAGCGCTTGACAAAAAAGCAGGCATGGAAAAATGTCTTTTCAAAAGAATGTTTTGATTGCGTTTTGGTTGTTGTTATTTGGAATAATAATAAAATTAGCGTATTATAATATCATTCATTCATTCTTTCTTCGAAAAACGGTCATGAGATTTAAGGCCTACAGAGAATCCGATTACAGCGTTCCCTCTCCAACATTGCGATCTATCTATGAAGCACACAATTTGAGTAGAGAGATCAATCGCAAGCCTAATTTCATCATGAGCAACCACACTCCACTCCAATCCTTCCTTCAAAACATGCTCAGGAACAAGTCAAATGATAACTCCATGGGAACCGCAAAAATCACAATCGTGATGGACAATGCGTCTCCAGCAATGCATCACAGACGAAGGAGCACCTCAAAGAGATTCTCCTTGGATGTCAGCGATCACGCTCGAGGGAAAAGTCGTTGGGTTGCAGAAAGTCGCGATCAAGGTCAAGCTTCCGGTAGCATATTGCATGTACCGCCTCATATTAGATCACCAAGACTCTCACTGACGGAAACTTCTGTCATCGAGTGTGACTCTGATGATGAAGAAGGCAATGATGGTCTCCTTCTATAAGTTAGGAAGAACAGACAACGGGGAATGCACTTGGAGTCAAAGTACAAGCTACCATCACACGTCAATCTCTCCAAAAGCCCTTGGAGCTTCGGTACAATAAGACCTTTCTGTGTAGTTTGACACAGAACAGCGAAGGGAAAGAATCAAGACACACCATCGCATGTAGTATACCGTGATTATTGATATACTGTTTATAATATTGATTTTTTGGCACAATAAAAATTTCTTGAATTGCACCTACTGTATGTGGCGTGCAACTTCTATTGCTCTACCCACCTATGTAGAAGACGGGTACGCAGTCTTGCAATCCTTCAATCATCCGCGACTCCTCCAGGGGGAAAAGGGAAGTCTTTTCCCTCTCGACACCTATGCTGACTACTGGTACTGCTGGTACACGTGTATGTGTACTTCGGGGGCCGATCATGAGTGCCCATCCGTACTCATGTACCATGAAGCATCCATCAACGTTTGCCTTGCAAGAGGAAAACAGAAGAGTCCCTTGTTCGTTGGAATGATTTTTGAAAGTCTTCAAAAGTTGCGTAATTCTTCAAAGGCAGTTCTTCCATTCCGCCGTGGGATGAAACCCGCTTGTATAAGCGAAAGACTTTCAGCACCGAATCCCACTCGTCGTTGGAACAATCGTTAATCTGTGGATGAAACGAAATGTAAAGGATGGGCAATCGCTTCTTCCCCCTGAGCCAGTCGTAGATCGATGGGATTAGCTTACATTCATAGGATTCTACATCGACCTTGATGAGCACAGCTTGGGACTCAACGTTGATGTTCCACTCATCCAACAAAGTTGGAAGGTCGTAACATTGTACTTTCCAACCCATACTAGCATGAGCTGCCAATTTGTCCGTGATCCCACTCATGGAGTCACCTGGATTTCCCTTCATTCTCATCAACCCCGCATCTTCGGGAGTGCTCACGCAAGCAGGGACGATAGTGATTGGCAGTTGTGGATTTAGTCGCACATTGGCTTCCAGGGTCGCATAGGCCACAGGATCCGCTTCAATTCCGTAGGAACGACGAGAGAGTTGTGAATGATACAGAACGGTCGGTCCAATCCAACTTCCAAAATCAATCACAATGGTTTCGTTCGTCACATACTTTTGAAAAAAGGCAAACGTATTTGCCTCCCAGTCCAAATGACCATCAATCTTGTTCCAAAATCGTTTGATCATACTTTCCTGGTTCACTGTGACTTTACCCAATGGCGGAATTCTAATATCGATATGATCTTGCATCGCTAACCATATTCTTTGATCCTTGTAGAGTTGTAAGCCCCTGGCATTCCATCCAGAGATTTCAGCCCTGAGCTCATCCGATGGAATTTGAATATGCTGTGGCACAAAGACTGCAAGATACTCGTCTTGATTATGCTCATGAATGATCCAGCAGACAAGGAAAAATACTGGTGCGACGATAAACGAGTAGGATAGCCTTCTCTTTCCGACTTTTTGTTTTCGTTTTCCAACCCCGCTGTGCTCCAATAATCTCTGAGCAATGCTGGATACATTTCGTATCATTGTCAAGTGACGAGCATCGGAGATGTTGGATGCATGAATTTGGTTTTGCCATTTCGATGCGCGTTCATATCGCGCGATGAAAAGTTTGATGGACGTGGTCTGTCCTGTACACGGCTTCGGACAACAACGAAGTTTGAGGTTCCCTGCAACATCATCATCATCATCTATAATCCTCCTCATTCATTCACGTTGGAGGACCTCATTTCCTAGAGAAATTGGTCAAAGAAATTGCACTGAGAACCTATAGACCTCTAATTGCTGCCAATCCTGTTATCAACATCGCTTAGTAGCTGGTACCAAATACACAATGCTTCGATCCACTCGATGCATATCACAACTCGAGCAACGGATGAGACGGTTGCCAATCCATCCCAAGTCGTTCCAATGCCATTTCTCATCAGTAGATGCTGCTAAGAAAGAGGATGATAGCGGCGAAGATAAGAAGGAGTTCAAAAAGCAACCTTTCGTTACGGCCAAATTGGAACCAGGAGAATGGGATCTGCAGCGAACCAACCCTTACTTTCGACCCAAACCACCTCGTAGCCGCATGATTTCCGCTGAAGATTTTGCCAATCGACCCCCGGTTGGCTTTGAGAATGAATTCGGCTCGTACGAAGATTCTATGGTCTCCCTTAGTTGGTTGGACCAAAAGACGTCCCGCAAAATCTATCAGATATACGTCGACATGATGGTCTTGTCTCAACAACAACACAAAACTACGTCTCATGAATATGTTTGCCGAGTGATTGCTCAAAAGTTCAATATAACCCCGACGAGAGCGGCAGCTGTCATCCAATTGCAGCACGCCGAAGAGCAAATGCGCCAACACAATCCAGACATGCTGTGCGATGACCAAGCCAAGTATGCCGAAGAAGCGATTCAACAAAACATTCGGGATGCCTATAAAGCACAGCGGGCCCAAATTCCCAAGCAACCCTTCGTGGAAGACCCTGTCGGAGCACATGGCCGGGGTGAGCCAGACGAAACATCCGTGTCTTGGACTAGTACGGATGATATCTATGATTTGGAAGACAAGATCACCCAAGCGAATGTTCGAGATGCCGAACAAGCCAGACTTATCATTGATGGGCATTTGTACAAGGAAGATGTCGATGACGTGCAAGTGCAAGTCAAGACGGATAGTACTACCAAGCGTCTTTTGAAGGATAAGAAAAAGATTGCAGACGAATTGGAAGAGGCAAGTGGGTCGATTCCGTATCCCGAAACCAACGCCAAGGGTGAGAAGAGAGACCGATGGAAGTTTGTGGCCAAGGTTGTCAACACTCGAGCCATGAGAAAGAAGGGCCGTCGCGTAACAAAATACACCAACAACAATGTGGAGAATACCTTGGTGGAACACGATGGTGAGCTTCGTGTAGCAACTGTTGCGGAAGCCAAGCAAGTGGCGTGGAAGCCTACCCGAACCAAGGGGAATGAATACATCTTTGAAGGAGCCAAAAAGGCGTGGCTTGAAAAGACACTTGAAGGAAAGACTGGTGTTTGGGGGAGAGCACCTCCCACCATGGCATCGCAATCCACAAAAAAGGCTGCAGAGGAGAAAAAGGAAGAGGAGAAAGTAGTAGAGGCAGCGTCCAAGGAAGAGGCTTCAATTGACAGCAAGGAGGAGAAAAAGGAAGACGAGAAAGTAGAAGCATCGGATAAAGATTCTTCAGACTCAAGTGATAGTGGCTCAGACTCTGCTAGTAGTAGTGACAGCAGTGACAGTAGCGATAGCGACAGCAGTGACAGCGATTCCGACTTGGAAGAGTCAAAGGAAAAGGAAGAAGCTAGCCCTGACGATGCAGTTGAAGAACCGGGAAAGGAAAAGAAGGAAGAAAAGTAAATGCTAAATCGAAGTAGATCAATCAAGATACCTACAGCACTTCTCTTCATCTGCTTCATATAGCGTATCCCACCCGGAATGGGGAATTCTCATCGCTTTTATTAATTTTTGTATTTTAAATCGCACCAAACCACGTGTTGTCGTGGAAGATATTTGCATAGACGCCAGATGCACTTTGAACACGAGGTCTGATAGGTGCGCACTGATTGGTCCATATAATTGCGGGAACTCCCTGATGCACGTAGTCGTTAAGTGGAAACCTGATCGTTGAAAGTCCAAACCACGTGTGTTCACTGTCGTTCGTCAACTTGAGCTTCCAAGCCCAAAGGAATCATCATCTGCGAAATCTGTGAACACTGTCGGCAGTTATCCACAAAACAACAGACGAACGTTGATATCCAAAATGAGAGCAGTGTCCCTTTCCTTCCTTATAATATCGGCGGCATCCGCCTTTCAATCTGGTAGCATCCCAGCAGCCAGATTGGAGACTAGACCTGGTAGATTGTTGGAAACGAGACGGTACTCGACACAAGAAAAGTCTTCTGTTAGTACCATTTCTCCCTTGGCCACAAAATTGAACGAAAGTTCACCTCAGAACGACTTTGTGGAATCCTCTCAACAAACCAGCTCTCTGAATAGCGATCTTCCAGAATGGTTCGAGCCATTGGCATGGCGTGGGGTGATCCTAGTTCTGTGTGCTCTGTGGGCTTCTAATTTCTCGGCCACCAAAGTGGTCATGGCGCAGCCTGGCGTTGACGCTTCCCTTTACACTGTGGCACGGTTTGGAGTGGCCGTTGCTGCACTGTTACCAGGAGCCGTTGCTACTCTCAAAAAGTCCAAGGTTGATATGGAAACTGTGAAGGAATCAATTGTTTGTGGATCATGGGTTGCCTTCGGCTATTTGGGACAAACCCTGGGTCTACTGTCTACAACTGCCTCCAAATCCTGTGTGATTTGCAGTCTTAACTGTGTCTTTGTCGCCGTAGTAGCTGAAGTTTGGAGAGTTTCCAGATCTGCAGTAGAAACAAAATTTGAGTACTCGCGGTTGATTCCTGCGTTGATTGCTGTCATAGGGGTTGCCATCATCGAATTGAAAGGTGCTGGTGGCGACCCCAACATTGGCGATCTGCTCAGTTTTGCGCAACCAATTGGATTCGGAATGGGGTACTTACAACTAGAAGATATCATGGCGAAGAATCCAAGCGCTGGGCTACCAGTTTCCACCATCAAGCTGGGCGTCGTCTTTTTGGCTTCTCTTTTCATGTATGAATTGACACCGCTAGTCAATGGAGCCAGTGACTTCTCATTGACTATTCCAGATATGTCACCAATTCTTGCATCGCCCTTGGCCATCGAGGGAATTCTATTCACTGGATTGATCACAACGGCTGCTGCTTTGTGGGTAGAGTCCATTGCTTTTGCGAAAGTGTCTGCTACTGATGCTTCCATCATCTTGACAACAGAGCCTCTGTTTGCTGCGTTGATTGGCGCTCTCGCTTTGGGAGAAACATTTGGTGCCTCTGATTACGTTGGTGCATCACTTATCATTGGAGCCTGTGCTGCCGCGATTTTGATGGGAAGTGAGGAAGAACATTAGGGTTCTTCGCTCGTATGTGAGTCTGTTTTGACGAATTTGAAAATGATTTTAGAACCTACTGTTCCCAGCCGACTGCCAATGCGTTAAGTTTTGTTACTTTTATATCCTCTTAAAGTTTTTGACTTCTTAAACCATACAGTAGATTGAATGTTTCCTCTTTTTAGAATTGCCAATTCATCGTATCTGTGGCGCGTGTTGCTCCTGCTAAATCTTACACTGCTGTCGGTGGTTAGTTTCTGCTCATGCATCACCATATTCAGCAACTTTCTATACAGCCGGCATCCATTGTGACAGCGTAGTGCCACTTTACTATAAAACAAAATTCCATGTCGTTCAAGCACCAGCTATCCAAACTCAGTTGCATAAAAATGTATCGTTGGGACTCTGAAGTAGTAACAAAATGATTGGCCGACTACATTGACTCAGTTCACGCCTTCCACTTGAAGGTGAAAGATGAAGATTCAAAAAATAATCGTGCCATTGATATTATAATAATACATCTTCTTAGCGTTCAAACAATTGAAGGCAGAGACTCTAGAAAAAAAGTTTTGGCAGATAGAAATGATAAAAATGGCAATGTTTCACATAATATATTGGATTGCACTGTTACTATTTATCCACGCTACTGTCGCTTTCCAAGGGAATTCATGTCCAAGAACGGATCGGAGGCTTCAATCACCGGCACTAAGAATACGGAACGACGACGAGAATGGAAGCGAGGAAGCCTCGGAAAGCCGCCGATCGTTTTTGCTTGCTATTGGCCTGGTGCCACTTGTGGCTCAGGCGGAACCTGCCAGTGCCGCGAAATGGTTGGGACGAAAAACTGGTTTGTACGTCATTGACGACAGATCGTTAGCCGAACCAAAGGAGCAGGTTGACACGCCAATCCCTGCCTTGAGCTCCGAATATGCTCTCCTCAAAACCCTTCCAGTAAGAAACCCAGTATTTCGCACTCTGGAGCAAAGCATTGAAAAACTGTCGGTATTTCGGGAATTAAGTAAGTGGTGTCAATCAGGAGACTGATATGTTGACTTACATTTGACTAAGGGATGCTTTTCTCTTTTCTTGTCCAGGGGACGACATTTCGGAAAAAGAAGCCATGAATAACTTCAAAAAGGCAGAGCTGGCGATTGAAGACGCCATAAAGGCGACGGAAATGAAGCGAGCCCAACTACAACCTGTTTTCTATCCCGAAGACAGCACGGAAGTTGCAATTGCAAAAGGAGAGCGAGGAGAAGGACTTATTGAAACGCTTTTGGGGGATCTGGATTCTGTACTTGTTGCTTTGAAGAAGAAGAATTCTACGCTAGTGACAGAAAGGGAGAAATCTTCACTGCTTACATTAGGACGTCTTGGTGAGCTCTTGGTTAGGGAATTCCCATACCGTGTCCCTTCCACTGGAAGATTTTCCTTTCTACCTCGTCTATTGGGTCGTGCTACGGTGACGTTTCGCATACGACGAAAGAATAAAGTTCTTGGGAATATTACCATTGTGGCGGATGGCTTCACGGCTCCCATTACGGCTGGCAATTTTGTTGATCTTTGCTTACGAAATTTTTACACTGGTCTTCCAGTCAAAACGATGAACAAAAAGTTTGGGCCCACATCGGGACCTGTATCGGTGCCCATCAATGTCTTGGGATCCTATGATGAAGGTTTCTATAGTCCACTGACAGGCAAGCTGCGACGGGTTCCGCTAGAGATTATCCGGCTGGAGCGTCTAAGTGGCGCCGCGAAATTATCCTATTCGTTTTTACGGCCAGATTTTACCTCGCTGGATGTTTTAAGTTTTGGATCGAGTAGCTTCACCCAAGGTGTTTCAGCTGCAGCATTTCCCGAGGCTGGACAGGGAGTTTCACTGATACCCTCCATGAACAGTAAGCCGTTGCTTACATTTGATGTTCCTGGTTTGGTCGCAATGAATCATCCAGATAACTATCCGAATGGAGGCTCCTCAGAGTTCTTCGCTCTTCAGGAGGACGACCTTCCCAATGGAAAGCGAAAATTGTTGGACAATCAATATGCACCTTTTGGATTCATTATCAATGGCATGTCAATATTTCAATCTTTGCAAGCTGACGACGTAATCGATGCAACATTTGTTGACGATTTCGGAAAGTTGAATCTCGTTCAAGTGAGAAGTTCAACCTTTTCTGATGTTGTCCAGGGAACCGAAGCAGCATCATCATAATTCTAGAGAAAAGGATGTCTATATTACAATTTGTGATCTATCATTTGTCACTTTCTAGCAACGAAACGGTGATAGGCAGTGCAAGGTCTCAGTCAAAGCTGAATGGTAGTTCTGGGGTAGCAGGTAGTGAGGAGTTGCTTGTTGACATCCGCCGGCTCGCACGCCTCATCATCTTTCCAGGTTGCCTTTTCTGCGACTGTTGGAGGGGGGAAAGAAGCAGGGAATTCCCTCTTGGGGAAGAGGACCGAGGTGAACCTGAAGCTTTCACTCCATTGCTCCCTCTTCGCTCCTGCCCTGGCGACACATCACGGGCTCTTCTTCGACTTCCTGATGATCCATTACTAGCTCGCCTTCCATTTCCAGGGGAAGCAGGCATAGTTGTCCTCACACTTAGCGGAGAAGGATGTGCTACTGGGCTGTCGGGAGCTGCTCGTGGAGTGCGAATAGTATAACTTGGGCGCCGCATCATCACGCCTGGTTGGTGGAGTGGAAGACTTGGGAGACTTGGCAAAGCGACACCTTCTTCAATTGACTTTCGCGCTCTCTGCTGCGGCGATTTAAAGGTTGGTGTTGTACTCTTGACTCTCCGCGGCTGTAGCGTTGATGGCAAATTGTCTGTCGAATCGTCGGACAAAGCATGGCCAATTGTCTCATCACCTGGTATCTCGCGCTCCATAGGGATGACTACTGCAGGTTCTGCAGTTATAAGCGTCCTAGCGTCGCCACTGGCAATACACACCGGTACATACTGGCGAAAAAGTGTGGGTTAGGAAAGGGCATCCAAGCGAGAACTGTAGGCATCAGCAACTTACGGCAGCTTTATGACAATCAACTAAGAATTTTCGGAACTCTTCCCGATCCTGGTCAATCGCATCATCTTGATTGTCCCATCCATCCTTTTAAAATCAGAAAAGAAGCAGTGAGCATTGGCAGTGGCAAGAGGCACGTCATGGAGAATTAATGCATCAACATACCAACAACGAAGTCTGCAAGAGGGCAGCATCCTCAAAAGCTCTAAGATACTTCCTTCGAAGCTTATATCGATAGAATATGGTGGGAAGAAATGGTATGATCGCCGCAAGGGCTGGTCCAGTCGCCTTTTTAAGTAGCATCATCGTAAACAGCAAGATCTGGCCAACCACCATTCCACTGACACAAACATCAAAAATGAATGGAAACCTTCCACCTCCAACATCAAATTTTGGTTTATACAAGAAAATCATGGTCCAGCGGAGCAGTGGCAAGCAAAGAAGGAAGTAAAGGCATGCAGCAGGCGCGATCAACGGTGATGCCGGAGCAAGTCCGAACAAACACAGTAGGACCACCCCGGAGTCAACGTATATTCTATACGGAATTGGAGGTCCAGCGCCTTTCGAGAAAGCAAGACGTCAGTATTGCGATGTTGGAACACACCTAGTCTAAGTAATGAAACGTACCTCCTCCCCTTACAGCTCTTTGGCAGCAGTTCCATCCCAACCAAGTAAACAGAAAACTGTGTTTGTTGAAAAATAAAAGGTGAGCGTATGATACCATGGACATAGGTCAATTTTCCTAGTCGACGCACGTGTTGGTTTGTAATAGGTACTGTGTGGGTAAGACCACGAACATTCTTGCGATGATCCAATTCAGCCAGTTTGATGACACCTTTATTGGAATATTTTCCGCAGTTTCCTCAGCCAACTTCTGTAGCTCAGAGCCGATGCGAATTCCATCTCTAAACCCATCAACAACTGCTCTCTGAAAGCCTGTCCCAGTAAATGCGGAGAGGACCATGAACCACCAGAAATACTTCAACGCACTATTTTCTGAAGTGCCGAAGATTCGTTAGAACACTTTCCACAGGTCGAACTCGCGAGCGACAAATGACACAGCCAAGCGTACCTGCTTTTACCGTGCTTGTAGCGTTACTACCAAAATTGGATATAATCTTGAATAGAGGTGGACAAATGCTGTTGCCAAACATTGAAGAGTGAGACAGTCTGTCGCATAACATTGTGCCCTAGTGAGACTCTTTTTACTTACGCAAAAAACAATATCCAAATGAGGGCTGGAATCAAACCGAGGAAAATATTTGCCATTATGGGGTTTGATGCTTGCGCTTCATTGATTTCTGGATACAGCTCGGTTAACCTCTCTTCAGACACCATGTCTTGGACGGCACTAGATTGGGAAGTTGAAAAGGTGAGAACCATGATTTTGCAATTGCTTTGCTTCTACACCACAGCTGAAGTTACTCACGTCAGTGGAATTGTGTAGAAAAAGTATACGATCGCCAAGCATAAGAGAGCACTGCAATACAAAGTTGAGCAACACAATAAATGGTCACTCTGATTCTCCAGTCAGGTACTTACACAAAGTGGCGTATTTTCTTTTGCGTATCACTGATGCTGAATGTGACTGGCCTCGCACAGCCTCGACATGACGTGCTGCACACAGGAGCATCAGCCAGTGGGGGAGTGGGCAAGTCGCTGAGATTTACCCATCGATCGGCCCCTCTTGAATCTGCTAGACTGTGCCTTGCTGCCACAGCAGCTTGTCTGGAAGTGAACGTCACCACAGCATACGTAGAATCGCTAGCAAAATCATCCAATAGTTCTGGTGACTTTATTTTGAAGTTGTCCAAGCACTGAGATACTCTATCGCTCACTCCCCCACATATGCTTCGAAAGGATGGACAAGTCCAACGACCGTTGGAAATAACTCGTTTCCTTGAGTTCCCACCATTCATATCTTTTGCCGTCTCTTCTACAATCCTCATCACCTTCCCCCATTTTTCAGTATGACTGGCGTGTTCAGTAAATGAAACAGCATTTTCTCGTTTGCGAAGTCCAGCACGTTGTTCGAAATTGTAAGCAATCTCAAGATTCTCCTCAACTTCATCTTCGACATCTTCGTTCACCCAATCGGCATACATATTAGTATTTTCATTATGCTCTCGTGGCCGCATGATGGACGACGGCGTATTTGTTTTGGTTTCGTTCTCAGTTCCATTCCCCTTTGATTCTGGTGCAGCTGCCGCACTCGTATCCGTTTTGTTTGCGGTCGGTGCAACTGATGTAGTTTCTTTCGAATCATTTTTGTCAGTATCACTTGCCGTCGGTCCCGTCGTGTCCATCGCATCCACTTCCAGCTTCCTTTTAGTTATACGAGCTCGAAGGGACTCTTTCCTTTCCGTCTCCTTGTCCAGGGTTTCCCAAATCTCAGAGGAGCTGCCACTTCCGCCGTTTTTACCGTTCGATGAGACACTTTCAGCCCCATTCTCCATCCTCCCTTCACCTGTCTTCAGAATGTTTTTTAGTAGCGTTGAAATATTCCCCATGTCAACGTTTGGAGTTCCAGTTGTAACAGCTTTTTTCAGCGATGGTCTTTGTATCCGACTTTTATTCGCAAGTGTATCGTCGTCATCGAAAGAGGTCCTCTTCGCCAATGTTCTGTTTTGTGTGCCGGTCGAATGCCGACTTCTCATTTTTGCCATATCATTGTAGTAATTTTTCTGCGTACTGTCCATTTGTCGCGCTCCGTCAAGATCCACCGACATGATTCTTGATGTCCCACCCCGTCCCCTTGATTTCCTGGTTTGCGCTTGGCCAGAATTATTTCGTTCCGCCCATAACCCTACTTCCAGTCCTAGAGCTGTAGGAAGTTGTGCCATGCTTTCCCTCGACAACTTCTTCGATTTTCCGCCTTTCCCCGAGTTCCTAGGGGAATGAGTTTCATTGGATTTGTTGGATTTGTTCGAACCATCAAGGTCAATAGAATGATGCGAGTGAGTGGATGAAAAACTTCTTTTCTGACTATTCTCGGATTTCATAGAGCTTGCTGGGTTGTGTCTTTCTGACAATAATGGCGCAACCGATTTATTCGACTTCATTGACGTGGGCAATACCAGGGTTGGTGCTTGATTTTCCGATAACGATGGTGTAAATATCTGCTGCTGCATCGTAATGTTTGTGTTGATATCTTCAGATGCCACTGAAATGTGCTCCGACTCACTATTCTCTCCAATTCGATCTCGAGCTTCCTGTAGCTCTACATTGGCTCGTGAGACAGCCCGAGCAGCTGCTTCCTCCATGACCAAGAGCTCTTTCAAGCCTGCATTATTGATTCTCCATTCAAACCAGCCATGTGGCGCAAAGTTGGCTGCTCCTTGTGCGAATTCTCTCCCATATACGGCTGTTTGTTCTGGTCCAAGGTTCAGTGCATGGAAGAGATGGTCCTCTACTTCCACATCCGTTTGCGAACCGAGAATATCGTCATGGTGCAACGAGGTTCGTCGTCGCAATATTGGATGTCCCGTCTCTTGGTCGACCCCCAAGTCGACATCACTCCCAGACCCCTCCGTGTCACTCCCTTCCTTCCCCTTGACATATCTTATCCGCTCCCGAATGTACCGTAACTTTCGAACTTTGGCAGCCGCCTTGTACCATTGTTGCCAGGCATCTGTGATTTGTGTTGCGGCTGGTAAAATGGTAACTGCTGCCACACTCGAACTGAATCCGGGCTGATTTGGGACACAGTGGTCAAAGAAAGCTGTAGTCACAGACAATTGCCAATCCATACTTTGCTTTTTGGAAAAGACTGCCTCTACGTCCTGCACAGCATCCGTTGGCAGAGATGGAAGCCCTCCTACAAGGATGCTGTAGAGCTCAATATTTGGAACTGTATCGCGCAATTCTGGATGTGGCACCCATATCGACCGCTTTTCAATCCGAGAGGCATCTTTTCGATTCTGCTCCTCTGCAATATTGTCTAGTTCTTCCCTTCGATCTTTCCAATGATCCGCTTCGAGGTAGTAGACTCTTCTCATAGCCAGAATGTCCAACCATTCCAGGTGAAGCAATTTCATCGTATACCATGTAATGATCCACGTACACGCCACAGCTGTATAAAGTCTTCCCATGTTTGTTCGTTTGGCAACATTGACTAATGCCATCAATATACTATCTTCGTCTTCATACGGGTCGAGCTCCGGAATATTGGCCAGAGTCAATTGCTGGTAATCCGTCAAGGTGGTATTTATGCACTCGGGTGTGTCCAAATCTCCCCTCAGACTGGAACACCTAGCCGTCGAATACAATGGCATGATCACGGCCAAATACAGAACGGATGCCAACGCACAGACCTTCATCCCCAAATGATGATACCGTAAAATGACAATGTAATCCAAATTAACTTTCAAAAGATGCCCCTTCAACCCTCCATCTCTTGTCCCCGTCCCCGGTACCCCATTTAATAACGTATCATATGACAATGACATGGCCCAGATCATCCATCCCAGTGGAGTGTACCCCCGATCTTGCGATGGATGCTTTGGGTTTGGATTGTAAATGACATCCTTGGGACGCGCCACACAGCGACCCGCCACAAATATATTTCGATTGATCACGGCTGCAGTAAAACATCCCAATGTAATGGTAAGAATCCCCAAACCACCTCCTGCCGTAATGCCAATGGCCGCCAAGGTTGCCATTGCTGTATTATTTCCCCAAAAGACGAAGACGAAGAAGATACCACAGTTATTCCAAGGAACGACCAATGAATCTATCAGCAGGCTTTGGGAAGTGTTGATGAATGGGCAGCTCTCCACATGTGAAGTATTATTGTATATCCAAGAATTGTCGAGTCTCGTTTGTGAATAGGAAAGGTTTCTACTGTATGCAATGCCAAAATGGGAGCCTGTTGTCGATTGTCGGAATTCAGCTGTTGCAACGGTGTACATGCAGTACCACCTCTGGGAAGGACTTTTTCGTATTCGGACATTTGCGGGTGTATTTTCGAGCTAAAAAGCCTAGTTGAATGGAACACTGTACTTAAAGACAGTAGATCCACGTATCTAAAAGTACTAGCCCAAGAGATATTCATTCGTCAGTCGAGCAAGGTTCGTAAAAGGGGTAATATTTTGGGGAACATACATTTCTTTCAGAAAATGCACCATCATCAAATATTTCACACGCCCATCTCATCATCACCACTCACTCACATTCCTCAGTTTGAAAAATGAAAGCCAACCATTACAACCAGCCAGATAGAAGAATGTATTGGGAACGGCTGGATGAAGTGGATAAGGAACTTTCCGAACCCATCTTTATAGCGCGGCTTCCCTTTTACCTTTTGGAATTTCTCCTTTCACTTCCAGGAAACTGGTTTGGTTCCTGTTGTTTTGCATCGCTGACGTTACCATCGCTGGTTGCCATTTTCGTGAATGGTGGAATTTCATCAGAGGAGTGGTATCCTTGGTATATGCTAGTGGGAGGCTTGGTGTTAATGAATCTTACGCTATGGATTCTGTTGATATCACCGATCAAATCGGCGACTAGCAAACGAGCCCGAATCCTCTTTTATGGACCTTTGACAGGAGCTTTGGCACCTATTATTGGGGTGATAGTTTTGGCAATCTCTCCTCTTCCTACAATGTCTCGAAACATGGGTTACTTTCAAGTTTGCGCATGGTCCATTGGCGTGATTCCCACTGCTTGTCTGAAACCATTGGTGGCAAGGCAACGTCCGGCATCCTGGATATTACACAATAATCATTCGAATGCTGGCGACGAACGAATACAGCTGCTCCAAAAGGCAGTGCAAGAAAAACACATCAACACACTGCCAAGAATGTTTGCACTGGACGCTTATGCTTCCTTTCCATCAGGGGATACTGCCGGTGCCATGTCTTCCATGTACGCTTTGATATTCTTGCACCACCCATCCAATCCAGGCGTCCGACTACTAGGCATGATATTTGTTCTGCTATCTTGTTTTGGACGCATGTATTGGATGGCACATCACATGCTGGACGTCTTGATGGGGGTACTTCTTGCCTATTTGCCTTGCGCCATATTGGCAGGCATCTTTTGCAACTATGACACAGGAAGCTGCCAGATGGAGTGGTGGGTGCCACTTGTGGGTCATTTCATGCTGTTGCTAATGGTCATCTCGACCCGATTAATCTTCAATTCGAGTGTCTTTGGGTCCGGAACCTTACAAACGGACGATCGTGACGAAAATGATGATAGTGGAACAGAACAGAAAAATGAGTGAATGTGCTGATAGATACGCCTACTATTGGTGCACAACGTATGACTGACCGACAACAACCGGGCTTACTTGTAATCCTTGAAATACAGAAAAAGGAGAACGTGGACCCAAGAAGGTGGACAAATGAAACGAAGCGCACCATTTGCCATCGCGATGCTGCTGCTGTTGGATGCAGCGAAACGGACCACTTGATTGATTGATTCATTCATCGGTCGATTATTGATATCTTTTGGTTTTTTGGATCTAGTATTAGCGACGGGCATGATACATATTCATCTTCGCACGTTATTTTTCTCCAATCCAGCAAGCAAAGCTAGCTCTACTAACACCAGGATCTCCCACATGCTAATAAAATGACGCCGGATTATCCATGTGTATCGTATTCGGGAATCAGTTGTAGGAGGCAAATTTGTACGCCCGTTAAATACCAAAAACAGGTTTTGGACATGACGTCCGTCTTGCACGTGGTTTCTATTTTGGATTTCGATTGCAGACATTCACACCAAAGCCCCGTTTCTACCTTCATCATTATATCCTCCGGTTTGTGGCGCCATGGCCACACTGACAATAGCTCCAATAGCTCCTCCAGAGCCTTCTTCTGCAGAACGCTCGGTTCGTGAGGTGGCATCGCGATTGGGCATTCCGAACGTCGAACATGTGATACAACTGATGAAACAAGAATACGTCGTGACCGACTGGCAATTGTCCGCACTGGATTCCTTTCAGTGGAAGTCCCTGGGTGCACCCATTGGGCTGGCAGTTGCAGTCCATCAAATCATTCAACAGGAGCAGCAACCGCAGTATCAACAAAAACCCTATGTCTTGCCTTCTGACAAGACGACAGAATCGACGAAAGCATCTAAGATTTTCCAAGACTTGGATCAACACAATATTAATATAGTTGAATCAGCTAGTCACAGCTCGATTGACGGAGAGGAAAAGGAAGAGGGTGTTGATACTGAAGAGAATAACTGCACAGTCGTGGATGCAGCTACTATTCAAGAAACATCAATGGACGACGAACCGGAACAAGACGAGAACTTGCAGAACTCGACTGACGGAGAAGAAAAGGAAGAGAGTGTTGATACTGAAGAAAATAACTGCACAGTCGTGGATGCAGCTATTATTCAAGAAACATCAATGGACAAAGAACTAGAACAAGAGGAGAGCCGTCAGAGCTCGACTGACGGAGAAGAAAAGGAAGAGAGTGTTGATACTGAAGAAAATAACTACACAGTCGTGGATGCAGCTACTATTCAAGAAACAACAATAGACAAAGAACCAGAACAAGACGAGAACTTTCAGAACTCCGAATCGATTTTGGCAGACGCGTTTGAGACTGATGCCGCCTCGAAAGAAGAAGAAGAAGAAGATGTGTTGGCAAAGGAGTCGTCACTCAATCATGGCACGGATGATAAGCAGTCGAGTTCCGAACAGGATCCTGATGAGGCTGATGTCGCAGCCGCGACTAGTGAAGAAAAAAGTCCCATTAAAGCAACTGTTTCCATTGATAGCCCTCCTCGTCCCCAGGAACCAGAAGTCTGTGATGCTGACACCAATTCCACCAACGCTGATATGAACAACGCAACTTCGAGTCTAGAGCATGTAAGCGACAAAGTTGTTGAGATGGATAGCCCAGTCCCTTCTGAAGAACCAGAAGTCTGCGAGACCGACGCCCCCACAACTGACGCTGATACGAATACCCAAAGTCCGAGTCTGGAGAGTATGAACGACAAAGCTATTGCGCTAGCAGCTACCCTGGACCATGCCCCGGGTGAGGACCAGACTCTTCCAAGTAACAATCGTGCTGTGGAGGAACTGGTGGTGAAGGGGGAGTCCGGACCTGATGCTGCCTCGAACGATGAAAGTGTAGCACCGGAGTCCGTTGCAAATGATGAAAGTGTGGGTCCTCAGAATCTGCCTGACGTGTACGACGACAACAATATTGAGCCAGCAGCAGCTGAACCAAACACCGCGGTGGAAGAAGAATCCACGGACTTTATTGTTAAAAGCCCTTCGGAAGACTCTTCCGAGGGTTTGGATGCCGACGACGTTGACACTATACCCACCACATCGATGAGCGAGGAGGAGAGTATGCTTGAATACAAATCTAGTTCTGCAGTATCATCGCCTCCCACGACCCTTCTATCGGCCCCTCTACCTCACGATGAATGCGACGATTCCTTTCACGTGTCCGATAGCAAAAGAGAGCTGTTATTATTGAAGCCATCCTTTGATTCCGAAGATATCAGTGAAGATCTTCTTTCGTTTGCTGGCAATGAGGACACGGGCGGTACAAAGGAGGACGACGAAGAAAATAAAGACCAATCGAAGCCTCGTTTGATCCACGAAAGGATTGATTCCTTCGGTGGTGACAACAACGATGAGGATGACATGGACAACACGAAGGAGGAGGACCACGAGAACAAAGAAGACTTGGCGCCACGTTCCATCCAAGACGAGAATAGTGTCGATCCTGTTTCGTTTGCCGCTAGTCAGGAGGAAATGGACCGCAACACAAAGGGGGTTGGGGAAGAAAACAACGAGCACGAATTTGAGCCTGGTTTTATTCAAGAGGAGAATAGCGAAGACCTTGATTCCTTTGACAACAACAGTGAGGATGACACCGACGAAGGTGAAGAGTCACTAGACAACGATGACGAAGATGACATTTTCATTTCAGGACAGGATCTTTTGGTTGACTTGAGCAGTGGAGAAACACAAGAAGACGATAATAGCACAAAACAACAGCGATCTACTGCTGAAAATCCCTTTGACATGATTTCCTTTGGTCAGTTCCGAACATCACCACAGGTGGATCCCAATTCTGTGACCCTTGCGGAATTCCGCACCACTGGTTCCTCCGATTTGGATGACGAAGACGGATACGACGATCCAGAAGGGAGAAAGACTGCTACTATAGGGGATCCATCATCGTTGTCGCAACCATTTGTAATGCACAAACGTACCGTCTCTTCTTTGGAATCCTTGTACTATGTTGACAACGATGAATGTACTGTAGTAGCATCCAATGTGAGTCCAGAACGAAGGAATCGCCCCAAACGACGACGAAGCCTGGAAGATAGCGCGGACCATACGATCCAAACCTTGAGCCATGGTAAGCAAAAGCATAGTTGGGCTGCCATTGCCATTGTTGTTTTCCTTTTGCGATTCTAACACAATTCACTCTTCACTTCAGTCTCTTCATTTGATGTCGAGTGGGACGAATTCTGCTTGGTGTTGCACAAAGTCCCTAGTAGTAAGACCCAGCGAACCATCTTGAGTCAATTGTTGATCATGACCAATGGAAGGACCAAACCAGCACGTTACAAAATGGCCAAGCAAGTCTCCCAAATGATTTTGAAATCGCTGGGGCGTTCCGAGGATGGCGAAGAAGAACGCAAGGTCCAAACCGCACAATTACGATCCAACTTGCAACTGTTTGCCAAGCTGCATCGAGCAGAGCGAAAGGTGTTGGGAAAAAAGATATTTGAGCAAATATCCAAACTCTATGCGGGTGGTGACGATGACAACAAGAAGAGTGGCCAAAATCTTTCCAGCAATGTTGCTACTGTTGCAACAGAAGGAGAAGAAGTAGTACTAGACGACGATGACGAACAAGCTGCCGAAATGCAAAGCTAGCAGAAACCCAAGTCATTTTTTAATTGTAGAACACACACAATACTCGCAAACTTTTCCAGTACATGTACGCTGAAGTGAGTGATATCCACTTTTCGAATGTCTGATCCACAGACTATAATAGCTCATTCGTTCTGATATTTCATCCAAGAAAGCTGCGATGGAAGCACGGGAAGGTCGACTGGAACTGGGACGCTTTAAGGAAAACAATCACATTGGGAATCACAATTGATGCGCCACTTGTCACTCGACAGGTAGCTCGTTCCACCTTTCGTCGCTCCTTACTTCTTGGAACAAAGAAATACTCTTTCTCTAGAGCCTTGACATTTTTCTTCCATAGTGCCAGCTCTGTGACACACAATGCTCCAAAAGAGGTATCGCGGCTTCCTTGATATGGAGAGAAAATAGCTCCAATACCGTGCCCAACGAATGGCGTCGGGCCTCTACATTACCGTTCCAATTCATTGACTCGATTATTTGAAGAGAGCTCCATCGCTGCGCCTGCGATGCGAAATCGAGCCATTGGTTCGATAATGATCTTGTGAAGAACTAACTTGATCATTGGAATAGCTCGTGGCGTTGAGTTCATCAATAAATAGTCCAGCAGACATAGCGGCTTCAACATCTTTGGGGGGAAAGGAAGGAAAACGTTGACAAGTGCTGGGCATTCAACAAAACATGACCTCCATAGCGCGTTTTCAGAGATGAATCCTTTGCAAATTCGACTCCAAGAAGGCTCTCGCATCCCGAGAACGAGACACAATTTTGAAAAGCTCCGTTGTGGATGTGCCGTAGTCCCTCTTGGAGTTCCACTTCCACTATACATTTACAATCTATAAAGGCGTCCCAACGGATTGTGTGCACCGTGGAAGGTAGAGACACACGAGACAATGATTTACAGCTATATTGAATATAGCAAAGGCCTCTGCGCCAATCTCGCAAAAGCCCTCCGTGTAGTTTTACATTCACAAGTGATTCTCAATAAGAGAATACGTTTTATCCAATGATCCTCGCTGTTGGAGGTATAATATCGATACTATGTTCAACGACCTACAGTACATGGAGGCAGTGTCGCCTATTGTCTCCATTCCATTCATTTAGCAGTGAAACACGGACTATAGTGGTCGGCCAAATATCATAGAAAAATCGATACGGGTACAGTATATGGATCATTCCAGTCGACTGAAGAAAGAACAACGAGATGAGCAACGTTGTCAGGAGTATCGCCGAAGTTTCGACCATTGAAAATGAACGCCCGTTGATGGGACCGTGATTCATTCGTCCTCATCATCTGTGTCATCCATCGTTCGCAGCCTTCTATTTTTATTGCGAGCTGTAAAAAAATAATAGATCTCGAACATTCATTCGAACCATTGGACTAAATGTCCATTGGTGGACGATGGTCAGACGCCCATCATTTTTGAATCATGATCTGCCTGATATCTTCTTGTACCGGTATGCGAGAATTCTATGATACTGCGGTACCAGTAAGATGCTGTAGTTTCATTTCTGTCTATCTCCCCTCCTCTCCACCCTATCACTCATTCCATTCATTCAGGGGCTTGTATGGTCAGGATGAACCAAATCTCAGATACCCCGCTTCCAGATCCAGGTCCACTGAGTCCAATGCAATAGCTTCACCGGTACCATATACTTTTATCTTTTATATATTCAATATTAGGAACCGCCGTATCCCTTTGCCAAACCTAAAGTCTTATGACACGGCAGATTCATTCATAGCGATATCCATGTACCTACGATAATAATAGTAATAATGATCAAGGCATATACATCGCTTGAAATTGACCCCGAGTGGCAACAATCACACATGGTTGATTGATGATCATTCCTTAGTACAGCATTTGCCCCACAGCGATCATGTAAAAGGAGATATTGCTGGCCTTTTGTGACATACGGTACAAGAAAGCACACGAAACAAATACCTATTTGTTCTATTTATTACCTACAATTTAGTTTAAATTTTTAAAAAGTTTCTCTCCTAACATCAATTCAAAAAGGGTCGAGAGAGAACGCATACAAGAGAGAGAGAGGCAGAATAAATCATGGATGATACATGGTGCAGTTTCTCTCTTTCTATTTTCTTGATGAAAAGTTCTTTTCTCGTTGCAGACCATCCACTCGTTCGACGGCATGAATCAATTCGTCCACCGAAACATGGATGCGATCGTACACAGACTTTTTATTGGCATGCCACGGAGATGCCTTGTTGTCTTGGAGCAGGTATCGTTCATTCAAATAACCCTTTTGGACTACCAGGTAATGTTTGGCTTCCATCCGGTCATAGGTGGTGAATATTCGGGCCTGATTCACGTTTGGATCTTCATTTGCGTACTGGAGTTGAAAGGAACCATCGGGGTTGATCGTAAGGTGGCGATCGAGTCCTTGTTGCAGCAGCCAGCCACCCTTTTTGGCTTGTAGATATTCCAAGACCACTTGAGAAAGAGGATGCACAAAGGATGTCCTTTGAAAGTACTTGTCATCATTGGACTTGCTGGTAGAGGACAATAACCGAGTAGTCGTAAAAGGAGTAAAGGGAGTAGCTGCAGTTGCAGTCGCAGTAGAAGTGAGCGACGCAAAGGGTGCGGTCACCTGTGGCCTACCGGCAAAGCGGGAGACGACTCGAAGCATGTTGATTACTTGTATTTGATATTGATATTGGTATTGATATTGATATCAATACAGTTGTGTTAGAATTGTTGGTGTCACACGGATTGACAGATGGCAGATTTTCTTTCGGATCAGTTGGAACAAAATTCCGAATTTGAAAAATGAAGGAGAATGAATGAATGAATGAATGAATGAGAAGAAGAAAGATGTCAACGTGACTCTTTTGTTTACTCGTTTCGATTGCTTCGTTCAAACAATGACCTGAACGGATTGGATTGTTGCTGCTTTTTATTGGATCTATCGGCTCTCACACGAGAAAGAGAAGAAGATGTCAAGCTGTAGTCACTGTACCAGAAAAAAAACGGAATGAAAGAGTAGGTCGTTCTGCGCGGCTTTGGCTTGTACCGGTATTCGGATCGACGCGACGCCCAGCAAATTCTGGTTCGTTTGCAAATTTCTGAAATTGGCGTGCTGGCGGTGCAAGCTGGCACGACTGATGGATTGATTGATTGATTCGTTCGAATGCTTGTCCATCAGAAGGAGGAAGGCGAATGAATGAATGAATGAATGAATGAATCAATCAATCGCCTCCGGAACCCAAACGAACCGCTGGTTTCGATGGTCGCACCGGCAAATAATGACCTCCGAGCGGCCCTTCGGCCAAAAAGGGCGGGATAGACACGCACCAACCATGCGGTATTCAACGATTAGTTCGTTTGCATGCAGTTCCCATTTTGTAGAACAGCGCGGGTACAGTTGTACCGGTACGGTAGTGCATTGCGAATCAAGTATAATAACATTCGTTTGAAAATACAGGCAGCGTGTCAACACTTTACACCAATAAACACTGTAACTTGTCATCAACGATAGCAACAAGAAGAAAAACAACAAAGAAAATAGAACGACAGCATTATTTTTCAACTATGAGTTCTAATCAGCAACGACAGGAACAAGAACAACTTCAGGAACGAATTTCGCAGTCGCGCACCAATGTTTACGAAATTCTGCAGCACGTTTCCATTCCAGTGCCTTCTAGTCAAGAGCATTTGCAGTTGCCGCATGAAATTTACTTGCAGATCCTCGAGTACTTGCCGCAATTTCCACTCCAAGCCCGACTCGATTGCACCACGAGACGACTTCCAAGTCGGAGGTGTTTTGTCACTGATCAGTCGTGTCAGACGGATGCCGAGGGAATGATCCATGCGAGATCCCATCAACCTTTGCCGCATTTGCAATTCTTTCGATTCCGATCGATGGGTTTCAAGGTGGGATTTGGTGTCACCACCAATCCTTCCTGCACAACCAGCAGCGGCATGGTGGATTCCTGTGGCTTTTTTGTCTCTACCAAATGCTTTCATTTTGGCAAGGGCAAGGAGGAAAATGTCACCACTTTGTTGGATTGGCTATTGAGGACACGGTATCACTCCACGTCCAATGCCATGGGAGTTGCAGTGGACTATGCACAAAATCAACTACTCCTCAATTGGCCCAATCGCCAAGATACCTTACGGATCGATTTGCCAGAGCAATTTCAAAACAAAGTCTTGTATCCCATGGTGCAAGTCTGGGGAGGATCGGCCATTACCGTCTTGCCCGAAAAGGTCATGGCGGCGGATGCTGTAGGAGCAGCAGTGGACAAAAACAAAAACAAAAACAGCAACAACAAGTCCCCTACTACTACTTGTAGGATTCCATCCACCACCAGCACATCCATGGAGGACGATTCCAATACTAGTACTGTGAGCACTACTCCGCGCACCTCGGCTACGGTCACCTTGAATCCACCCACGACCTTGCCCTTGACCCAGTCCATTACTAGGGATTCCTGGTGTTCCGAATGGATGAGTCTTTGCAAGTCGCGGGGATTGCCATGGGACAATAATCATCGGCGATGGGCGGCTCCAGCAGCACCGCTTCTGGAACTACCGGAGGTACAACGAGTACGCATAGTACCCACACTACCACCAGAACGACAACCAGAACCACAGTTGCGTACACACATTACTACACCATCGCCACCACGATCGCAGTCACCACCACCACCAACCTTCATTCCCCGATCCATTCTCAAGAATAATAATCGTCGCTTTTCACCCATTGTTGATGAACTCGACAGCCGAATGCAAACGAGCACGAGTTTGACATCCATGACGACGCGGGTCGGGGGCAGTCCTCTTGGTAGTCGTAGTAGTTTTGTCTTGGGGGGTCGTCTTACTCAACCATCACCGCTGCGTGGAACGACTGCTGGGACGAGGCGGCGGAACAACCAGCAGTTTTGCTTACACTAAGAGTACTACTATCAAATACTGCTAATAATAATAATAATATTCAAGCCTGTTAAAATAGATTACACTACACTACCGAATAAATACGTAATATAATGTACAGGGTAGGGTCTGCAAACGGTGCGAAAAGCAACGTGCCGTAAAAGCTAAAATAGAAGAAATAGAAAGTCGACTGAGTCGAACATTTGGTCAATTGAGTGTGGTCAACTGCGACATGGTGCGACATGGTGCGACACGGAGCTAGACGAAAATGTATACTAAATAAATAGCTTAATTGTTGACACCCGAACACCAAACCCCACCGTACTGCCCGGGGAAAAGAAGACGGGCCACTTTGCAGATTAACGAAGCCTCAGCCCACTACCAGGTCCTCCTGTAGTTTCAATTTTTATGCAGGTACACTTTGGGTGGTTTTTCCGCTTCCGTACTCTTGAACAGTACCCTTAAATATTTATTTACATAGATGCTGGGAGTTTTTTAAAACCAACTCATATTTAGTTTCATAAACGAAAAGTTATCTTCTGGGTTTTGTGACACAAGTGCATGTCGTTACATATATGGAATTCTGAATTTCGTGTGGTAACGAACCACTCGGCTCACTCGGTTACCACCACAAATACGCCAATTTGCCTTCGGTAACAGAAACAATTTGATACTACTGTACCAGTACTCCCCTGTCATCGTCGTCATCGTATCATTCTCCTTTCTGGTTCTGTCAACGATCGCCCCAAACCGCAAGCACCAAAGGCATTGATATTGTATTTTTTAATAAGAAATACACTACTACCAATATGGACAATGCAGACCCCGAGATGAACTTTCGAAAACTGTCCCAGGGTCAAGAGTTGTTACTGGCCATCCTTCCCATTCCATCAGCAATTCTCAGTATGTTTGGAAGCGTGATCATTATCACCATGGCCTTTCATTCTCGTCAGAAAAAGCCATGGACACCCTATCATGGACTGTTGACGGGCATGTCGCTGTGCGATATTTTATTTTCCATCACATTGGCCGCAGGGAACTTTCTGTATCCTAAATCGACCTCCGATCGCGCCTTGGCCATGGGGAACGATGCCACCTGCGATGCCATTGGATTCTTCAACCAATTTTCATACTCGGCGTTGTTGTACAATGCAATGCTCGGCTATTACTTCTTGTTGACTACAAAATACAGATATAGCAACATGGACATTGCGGCAAAGTTTGAGACTTCCATGCATATGGTTTGTTTGGGATGGCCACTTCTGACGGCATTTGCAGGTCTTTTCATGGATGTCTATGGAGAACGTGAAGGTTAGTAGTGTGGGGGGCATGACGATACTAGACCATTTCTACATAAATGCATGGTTTATGATCAATTCTAACGATGTCGTATTACTTTGGACAGTAAACATTGGTTGCTGGGTCCGAAAAGACATCCCTTACAACTGTGGTAAAGGGCCCGACAAAACTGGAGAACCATGCAAATCCTTCCTTTATGGCAACGTCTTTGGAGGTATCATTCTTTTCGTTTGTTTGTGCTCCCTGGTAATTACAAATATTGTCATCTGGACGTATGTTCGAAAACAGGTGAATCACCATGACCAACGATTGTCAAGACTCCAAAAGCAACAGACCCCAGCTACAATAGTCAATTTCGAGGAATCGAGTGAAGAAAACGAAAACGCAGCTCCGGCAAGACCGACCAAAGAGCAGAGACTTGCTGAAATACAGGAGCAACAACACAAGCGACTCATGTTTTTGAGGTTTCAGGCAATGCTGTTTGTTGGGGGATTCGCATTCTGCAACTTTGCCACTTACTTGCTTCGAATATTGGAATCACGCGCGGAATCAAATTTCCAAGTGAAGGAGCTTCCATATCGATTCTTCTTTCTACTTCTGCTCCAAGCAATTACCTTTCCACTTCAGGGATTCATCAATATGTTTGTGTACATGAGACCGACGTACTTGAGCAATAGAAAGAGCCATCCATCCGAGTCCAAGTTATGGTGTTATCGTCGTGCCATTTTGGGTGATTCCGTGGAGCCATTGCACAGTGACACCAGACCCAAAATTCACTCGTTGCCTGTACAGAGCTTTCGAAAATTGGACAAGAGCATCATTGGAAATAAGAATGGGACCAACATTGTAGCGACAAGTACTGGAGACGGCGTCTCGTCCACTGCTTCGGTGCCTCCGGAAGTGGATCCAAATCAGGTAAAGGAGGTTGTATGGACACCTATTGAACTGGACGAACAAGATGATGCTCGAGCGACCATGGTGAAGAAATCCTTGGCGCAGAAAAACACTGATGCATCTGCAGTTATGATGGATGGGACTATTCAGTCTACCGGATACGACCGTCCTCAGTAACGACGAAGAGTTCAAGACACATTTTGATGACGATTTCTACTCTCTGGGAAGCAAGTATAGAAAGAGGCTGTCTTTTGCAATTCAACGGAGCAGCCAGTTACTGTGACGGAAATTGTGGAGCAGTCTTCGGCCCAATTGACTTTGGGGTTATGGATCTATCAGTCCGCGTGAAGTGCGTCATGTTACGCAATGGAATGGCGCCCTTGCCATTTATGCTGGTTGTGTTGGAAGAATAAAACACCATTCACAACCAATGTTGCAGTTTGTGAGCGCTATATCACAGAGCTCTCCAATTTACACCAAGTAGTAAAATAGCTTTCCACATTCTAAATTTCACGATTTATATATTTTATATATAGACTTGAAGAATGGCTTCTGTTCAAGAAGACGGTGAAACTTCGGATGCACCACACATGAGATAATATCACGGCGAACCTTTTATTGGAAGCAAACATCTTACAGTTTTGCCACGAAAACACAAAACCACACTTTTAACCGAGAAACGATGGAGTATCAGGATGCATATGAAGACAGTAACATGGATTTTCGTCAGTTGTCTGAAAAACAAGAGACGCTTCTTGTAATCCTACCGATACCGTCGGCTATTCTAAGCATATTTGGAAGTGTTGTCATCATCACAATGGCGTTCAAGTCTCGCCGGAAAACACACTGGACTCCATACCATGGATTGCTGACAGGAATGTCCATTTTCGATATTATCTTCTCTGTTAATCTGGCAGTAGGAAGCTTTCTATATCCAAGGGAAACATCAAGTCGATTCTGGGCTTTTGGCAACGAAGGTGCGTCGAATTAACCGTCTTCTCAGACGAAAAGAAGTTCCTTGTCGTTGGACGATCAGGGACTAAGAATCGCGAACACCTCTTCCAGAAGTTGCTGCTTGCTCCTCTGCATGATACTAACTTATGCATTTCCTTTCGCAATGAAGCCTCATGCGATGCCATCGGATTCTTCAACCAATTCAGCGGTCCTGCCGCTATGCTTTACCAGACCATGTTGAGCTTCTACTTTCTATTGACAACCAGATTCAAGTATAGTGACAGTGACATTGCGAGAAAGTTTGAAACTTCAATGCATGTGGTCTGTTTGGGCTGGCCGATGCTGAGTGCCTATGCAGCTTTGTACTGGGGCTTCTATGGCGAACGTAAAAGTAAGTCGTTGCTGAAGCAGAAATTGTGTCGTTTGTATAGTGTGGTATTTTAATCATTATGATGCATCAACAGTAAATATGGGCTGTTGGATCAAAATCGATATTCCAGAGAACTGCGGTCCAGATGGCACAGGAGAACCATGTAAAGGTATACTCTATAATGTCGTGTTTGGGGCGACAATGATTTTTTCTTGTCTTGTTTCGATGATTGTCAATAACGTTCGGATTTGGGCGTATGTTCGGAAGCATGTGCAGGCTCACAAAGAGCGACTTTCGTTTGCAAGAAACGCGTACCTAGATGCCACCGAGCAGAGTGCAGGCACCAATGGGTCATCGAAGAAGAAGAATGCTGAAAGGAGTCCATCTCAAGGAGCTTTCCAGCGACTTGAAGAAACACAGAAGCAACATCAAGAGAAATTGCAGAAACTCAGAACACAAGCTTTCTTGTTTGTAGGCGGTTTTCTCCTTTGTAATGTTATAGCCTATGCGCTTCGAGCAAGGGAAGCAATTGTTGGATCTGGTATTGACCTCAAAGAGCTGCCAGTCACAACCTTTCCTTTCTTGGTACTACAAGCTATGCTCTATCCGCTTCAAGGATGGGTGAACATGTTTGTCTTTCTGAGACCTTCCTACTTGAGGCTTCGAATGAGCTTTCCTTCCGAGTCCAAGCTATGGTGTTTTCGACATGCCATCTTTGGTGATCCTGAGGACTGTAGCAACAGAGCCAGCGAACCAGTACCGCTGAAGGGGGGCACCAGAAAGGTGGAAAGGAGGACGACATCACAGACCGCTAAGAGTGAAGAAGGTGCTATCACCTCAGGCAATCTTTCTGCATCCGATACGACCGAGTCAAAGGAAGGGAAGGATTCAAGACGGTCAGCGGTTGACGGGAACGATCATCAAGCTGATCCGAAGGAATCTCCTGAACGAAGTTCATCAATTGTAATGATGGACGGGTCCGTCCACACTGTCAGGTCTGCAGATATGGACTAGTGATCACATATTGAGTTTTGAAAGGATGATTTCGAGTCAAAAATCAAGTAATTCTTGTTAATCCAGCAATCGAACCATGGAAATGTTGATTCCTGCTGACAGAAACAGCGAAAACCTTGGCGTAGAAGCAAACTCCTGCCTCAGCAGTTATGATAAATGGGACTGACCTATCAGTCCACGTGAAGTGCCAGCGCCCTTGCCATTTGTGCTTGTACGAGTAGGGGCATCTCTCAGTGTCCTCTACTCCAGTGGATGTCTACTCAGCTGGGTTGGAGGTGGTTGGGTCGGAAGAATAGAACACTATTCTGTGGCAACCAATGTTGCATTTTGCGAGCGCGATATCATAGAGTTCTCCAATTTACAAGTACACAGCAGTGAAATGGCTTTATTTCCACAGCCATATAAATATAAATATTATCGTTACAACGTTACGATGTTGTTGGCTTACGAAGTAGTAGCTATGATAGACGGTAGACAATATTGCAATCAAACGTATTCTTAGAAAGAGTGTGTTCATTGTTCATCGACAGCTTTTGTAAGCAGCCAATTTATCCTTACTACTCACAGACCGCTTACAATCGCACACGTTCGCATCAGTACTGCGCGTCTCGCATCCTATAGCACAGTCACCTTTATTTGGTCCCCTCAAGCTGGATACCAACGATGGAATTCAGTTCGATAATATGACTAGTACGTCCATTCGCCATACAGGCGTCCCCGTCTTTCCAGGGTCAATAGCTTCGTGAAGACATCAGCGAGGTTTAACATTCCTGGCGTCCATGATACATCGACAACTCCAGGAGCCACGTTCCATCTCGTATAATGGTATGCTATGGAATTGTGCTTCTTGTTCAAGGTCGATTTGACCTTTGTTGCATTTGTCTCCACGCTCTCATTGTCGCAAAATATGTGTGTTGGTTCATTCTCCAAAGGGATTCCAAACATTTTCAACTTGAATCTCAAATGTGTGATGGCCTCAATTCATGCTTTCAAGGCGATAAACTCCGAACCAAAAGTGCTCGCTTCTACCGTGTTCTGCCTTTTGCTGTGCCATAATATGGGAGCTTGATTGAGGAAGATCACGTAACCCGTATGTGATTTTCGTGTCTTCTTGTTAGCACCGTGAGAAGCATCTACCCATGCGGTACTCCCTACGCTTCGTCCCCTTGGCTTGGGTGCGTTGTGCGGCATTTCCTCTTTTGCGTCTCGGCAATATTCCTGGAAGTTTGGCGCCCTATAATCATAGTACAAGGTCAACTTTGGAAACGTATCCAAGAAAGCAAATATCCTCAATGCTTGTTTCATACCGGTATGCCCTTCCCTTGGCACTGCTTGATATTGGCTTAGTAGTGATACTTCCAATAAGATGTCAACTTGTCCAATCGCCCATCGTAACATTCCAATGGTTTCATTGACATACATAGTATGTCATCAACGTAACATAGGATGTATTCATAATACTCCTCCCCATCAGGTTTAACAGCAGCTCTCATCCAAACATCAGGATCGGCAGTGGATGACCAGAAGCCCAATTCCTCCAATGTCTCTGCCAGATGTGACCTGAATGCCGCTGATGATCCTTTTAGACCATATAATGCCCTTCTTACAATGAAAACTTTGCCTTCTTTGTCCCCAAACTCGGGTCCTGCTACCATGTAGCACTTTTCGATTGCTGGTGCAGTGAGGAAAGCGTTCTGTATGTCCGCACACTGCAAGTCTAATCCGTTTAGCACTGCTATCATGAGTAGTATCCGAACTGAATCACAAGATACTACAGTACTGTAGGTCAATGCTGCCGGTGCTCCAGTCTTGTGTCCGTCAGCGCAGTACCTGGCTTTCCTTCGGAAGTTTTCTCCCAATTTCACATCAAATACCAAGTGTCCCGTGATTTTCTTGTATCCCATCAGCTTCTCTACGTCTCCATCAAATTCTTCAAAGGCTATTCGATTGTTCTTCATTTCCATTTGGATGGAATCCTGCCATAGGGTGTCCCCATTCTCTTTGTCGATTTTGATGGCTTCTCTGATTGATTTTGGTATACGTATCCCATACTTGTGCGTACGTTCCCAGTACTTTGATTTGACTTTGCCAAGGAATTGTGTGCGTTTTCGAACAACGTGTGGTACCCACCATGCAAAGGCGGGTTTGTCTTGAATGTCCTTGCTTATTGCATAGTCTGCTACTTCAATTGGGAAGGACTCTTTCATGTCTTTCAAAGGTATCCAGTTCGAGGAACCATCTTTCCAAGTGACATAAAGGTCCCAACCTGCTGTAGTATGTCGTCTTCGTTGCGTTCCTCTCTTCAAGCTATAAAAACCGTCTTGTTTCTTTACTGCTTTTTTGTTAGAACGGTGTTCTGTGATCTCTTCCATCAGTAAGTGTTTGTGGCCATGTTCATCCACTTGCGCCAGTAGGCTTTCTGCTAGTAAATTTGCGGAGAATATCTCGGTGCCTCCGTCTTCATATTCGACTTCGTATTGCCTTGTGTCTAGTAACTGGTTGTTGCTTGCCACACCGATTGGGCTTCCTTCTGCATCAACAATTTGCCTACGTACAAGGGCACGCTGTAGTTCCCCTTCTTGGCCTCGCCTTAAACCAATTTCCATGTTGACATAGTTTTGTGTGTTGATGTCGTCTGTTTCCGTAGTCCCCTGGAGCATGCCATCATCAACGTTCTCAGCCTCGATCAACTTGTTGAAACTGCATTTGAATTCAGCATCTTCCAATTCAAGGTCAAACATCAATTGTGGCGGTATTTCATTCTTCCCCCAACTGATGTCTCCTGTTTTTGCATCAAGAACTTTGGATACATCTTAGCGGTCTGTGATGTCGTCCTCCTTTCCACCTTTCTGGTGCCCCCCTTCAGCGGTACTGGTTCGCTGGCTCTGTTGCTACAGTCCTCAGGATCACCAAAGATGGCATGTTGAAAACACCATAACGTCTGTTTGCTTTTTGGCTTCCATGATGTTTTGAACGGTGTCAGTAGAGATTGGGCGGCCACTCATTGATAATATCCAATACGTCATCATTGGACCCGTTTGGTGTGACATTCCCAACCACCTACCAATCTCATTTGCCCCTAAGGCACCATCCGTGCGATAGTATACCCATCCGTAGATAGTAAAGTCCATGTACTCCATTATGTCGGGTGTGATGCCAGTGATCACTTCCAATGGCACTCTTCCATCAGAATACCTTGAATAGTTCGTGTTCATCCCTTGCATTATGGGATCCAATTGTCTCAGTTCTGCCTCGTTGGATCTCGGATTGTCTACATGGTCCTCAGTGTCTTCGTGGGCTGCTGAGACCTTACCAAGTTGGACAGTTCCTGGGTTCCACGGCACCTTGCTTGTCATATCGACGTGGAGACAGGTTGCAAGGTCTTGTTCAGTTGGTGCCCTTGAATCAAAAAGTAACTTTGTGCCTTTTGCCTTTAATGCTATGAATATATTTTTGGATTCAATACCAACATGTCTTGTTTCGTCAAAAGGGTTATCCCATAGGGGAATTCCGAAACTTTGTACCTGGTTTGGATTTATTAGCGAATGGTCCAATCGGTTCCCATAGTAGAGTGCTTCGTTAATTATCATGATGAACGTATTACCAGTCTGTGGACAATCAAAAGCAGTTGCTCCCGACACGATAGGAACGTTCGTCGGTGGTAACGCTGGGTCATATGCATATACATCTGCTGATCTTGGTGTGTAACTCATGATCACGAAGTTCTTGCCAAGGCAACTAGTGTCGGCATTAGTGTCCATTTCATTGCTCGCCAGCGTTCCTGGTTCCTGGTGTTGGTTGTTGTACCGGTTGTTGGGATGCGGCTGTGTTGGATGAGATCACTCGCACAATTCGTCTGACCTCACCTACCGTGGATCATGGTGACAATCCACCTGCCTGTTGGTTGCAACCGCTTGCCTGTTGGTTGCGTCCGCCCATTACGGAACTTCCACCAGTCCCCATCGTCACTTGTGATATCCGTGCAGCTGATTCTCCCGTTTCAACAGCCTCAGACAGTTATGCTTCCGTGGTAGTCTGTTGCGTTTGTCTTGCCGGCATTCCCTGACGTGCACGATGTGCAGCCCTTTCAGTTGACACGCCCGTAGCTGATCCCAAGGGAAGTGATAACCAGATCTTCTCCCCATTGCTCAGGGTAATCTCTTCTTTGTCTCGGTGTCTGTTTTTTCCTCCTCCGTTTTGGATCCTGCTCCTGTTGTCGTTTTGCCTGTTCCTATCGTTACTAGCTCGAGCTTCGCCCAAGTGTTGTCCCTGTCAGTGGCATTGTTGTTTCCTTGGGAAAATTTTCCCTTACTGCAGTTCGGTAGATTTGTAATGCCGTTGTGAAATTCATCACCATTGGCCGTTCGACAATTTCCGTATCAATCGCCGTCTTGTTCAGTTGTAGAAAGGATGTGGTAACCTTGGTTTGCAGGTTACGTAGTTTCATTGCCACCAAATGTACTACTCTCCCCTCATGTTTGTCGTATGCTGCGTATGCTTCCTTCAGCATGCGTTCAAACATGGCCCAGTTCATTGTAGGCTTTTCTCCCACGTAGCATAGGTGGGCTAGGAGTCCTTCACCTTCGTAGTGGGTGCGTAGGGCGATAAATGCATCCCTTCCCTTGCCTTTGACATCAATGGCTTGTAGTGTCGCCTCGGCCTCGGTATTGCCCACGGTAAATTTTCTCAAGAGGACTAAAACTTTGGTGTTGTCAATTGTAAAGGCTTCGCCATTGAGTGGTGCCATTTGGATGTACATCTCTAGGAAGTCTTCGTGGTATGTCGGAACTGATGCTTGTTCGTTCGGACTACATATTGGAGCGGGACTCCATCTCTTCCTGGTATGGTACGGGGGTAGTTTACAAACGTTGGGTGCCAATCCTCCCATTGGACATTGTTGGTGAAGTCTTGAGCTAGTGCCTGTTGTGACATCAACTTGGAGCCATATACATATTGCTCGTGTGTTTTCATGCGTCGAAGGAGTTGGGCTGCATCAGTGACTGGGAATGGTACTGTTGCTGGGTCCCGTCTCATGCGGAATTCGTCTCTGCACCATTGGATGAAGGTGGGGATATTTTTCTTGATGCCAGGCATAATCGAATTTGCCCTTGTGCAGCAGTCATTCCTGCTAGGGTTTTGAGTTCATCGTTGAGTTTGTCGATAGATACATCCATTGTAGTGCTAAAATTGTCAGAGAATATTTCATGAGCAATTCTCTCAGCTTGCGTACATCCTTGGAATAGGGTTGCATCGTTAATACCACAGATGACCATATTGTCATGAACAGTGAAGAGAGGAGGAATGGCGGCCATGTTGCCTATATCAATGTCATACATCGTATTGTTGGTTAAAGTTTTTGTTTTCAGTGTGTTAAAGGCTACAGTTTTTGTTGGTGTTGTAGCACCCATCAAAGCAGTTTTTGTTGGTGTTGCGGCACCCACCAAAGCAGTTTTTGTTGGTGTTGCGGCACCCATCAAAGCAGTTTTCGTTGGTGTTGCAGCACCCATCAAAGCAGTTTTTTGTTGGTGTTGCGGCACCTATCAAAGCAGTTTTCGTTGGTGTTGCAGCACCCATCAAAGCAGTTTTTGTTGGTGTTGCGGCACCTATCAAAGCAGTTTTCGTTGGTGTTGCAGCACCCATCAAAGCAGTTTTCGTTGGTGTTGCAGCACCCATCAAAGCAGTTTTCGTTGGTGTTGCAGCACCCATCAAAGCAGTTTTCGTTGGTGTTGCAGCACCCATCAAAGCAGTTTGCGTTGGTGTTGCGGCACCCATCACAACATTTTCCATTGGTGTTGTGTCACCCATCATAGCGTTCGTAGTACGCTCGATGCCGTTGTCGTTGTCGTTGTGATTTTCATTTTTTCATTTTCATTTTCATTTCATTTTCATTTTTGTTCGTTGAATAACTTTCGGCAGTTATTGCTGGATCTGATAAACAATAAATATTATCGTTACAACGTTACGATGTTGTTGGCTTACGAAGTAGTAGCTATGATAGACGGTAGACAATATTGCAATCAAACGTATTCTTAGAAAGAGTGTGTTCATCGTTCATCGACAGCTTTCGTAAGCAGCCAATTTATCCTTACTACTGCGCGTCTCGCATCCTATAGCACAGTCACCTTTATTTGTATATACACCTAGGACCTACCGGCATACCAGTATAAAACCAATTATAAAAAAATCTACAGTATTTTTATAATATATATATATATTATATTAAGTATAATGATAATACTCGTATATAAATAAAATAGTATGTGTGGTTTTCTGTCCAAACGAGAATTTCTTCCTTCGGCGTAAGTTTTACATTGCATTTTCACTTGTGGCGCAAACTTGAGAAATGACTTCTGTTCGGTGAAACTTTGGGTGCACCGACACGGCGAAACTCGCATCAACCATCTGCAGCCACTTTTCGCCGAGAAAACACAAATCCACACTTTTTGACCCAACAAACAGAGAAACGATGGAGTATCAGGATGCATATGAAGACACTAACATGGATATTCGTCAGTTGTCTGAAAAACAAGAGACGCTTCTTGTAATCCTACCGATACCGTCGGCTATTCTAAGCATATTTGGAAGTGTTGTCATCATCACTATGGCGTTCAAGTCTCGCCAGAAAACACACTGGACTCCATACCATGGATTGCTGACAGGAATGTCCATCTGCAATATTATCTTCTCTGTTAATCTGGCAGTAGGAAGCTTTCTATATCCAAGGGAAACATCAAGTCGATTCTGGGCTTTTGGCAACGAAGGTGCGTCTCATCAACCATCTCAGACGGAAAGAAGAAGTCCCTCGTCGTTGGACGATCAGGGACTAAGAATCGCGAACACCTCTTCCAGAAGTTGCTGCTTGCTCCTCTACACAATACTAACTTATGCATTTCCTTTCGCAATAAGCCTCATGCGATGCCATCGGATTCTTCAACCAATTCAGCGGTCCTGCCGCTATGCTTTACCAGACCATGTTGAGCTTCTACTTTCTGTTGACAACCAGATTCAAGTATAGTGACAGTGACATTGCGAGAAAGTTTGAAACTTCAATGCATGTGGTCTGTTTGGGCTGGCCGATGCTGAGTGCCTATGCAGCTTTGTACTGGGGCTTTTATGGCGAACGTAAAAGTAAGTCGTTGCTGAAGCAGAAATTGTGTCGTTTGTATAGTGTGGTATTTTAATCATTATGATGCATCAACAGTAAATATGGGCTGTTGGATCAAAATCGATATTCCAGAGAACTGCGGTCCAGATGGCACAGGAGAACCATGTAAAGGTATACTCTATAATGTCGTGTTTGGGGCGACAATGATTTTTTCTTGTCTTGTTTCGATGATTGTCAATAACGTTCGGATTTGGGCGTATGTTCGGAAGCATGTGCAGGCTCACAAAGAGCGACTTTCGTTTGCAAGAAACGCGTACCTAGATGCCACCGAGCAGAGTGCAGGCACCAATGGGTCATCGAAGAAGAAGAATGCTGAAAGGAGTCCATCTCAAGGAGCTTTCCAGCGACTTGAAGAAACACAGAAGCAACATCAAGAGAAATTGCAGAAACTCAGAACACAAGCTTTCTTGTTTGTAGGCGGTTTTCTCCTTTGTAATGTTATAGCCTATTCGCTTCGAGGAAGGGAAGTAATTGTCGGCTCTGGTATTGGCCTCAAAGAGCTGCCAGTCACAACCTTTCCTTTCTTGGTACTACAAGCTATGCTCTATCCGCTTCAAGGATGGGTGAACATGTTTGTCTTTCTGAGACCTTCCTACTTGAGGCTTCGAACGAGCTTTCCTTCCGAGTCCAAGCTATGGTGTTTTCGACATGCCATCTTTGGTGATCCTGAGGACTGTAGCAACAGAGCCAACGAACCAGTACCGCTGAAGGGGGGCACCAGAAAGGTGGAAAGGAGGACGACATCACAGACCGCTAAGAGTGAAGAAGGTGCTATCACCTCAGGCAATCTTTCTGCACCTGATAGTACGACCGAGTCAAAGGAAGGGAAGGATTCAAGACGGTCAGTGGTCGACGGTAACGATCATCAAGCTGATCCGAAGGAATCTCCTGAACGAAGTTCATCAATCGTATTGATGGACGGGTCCGTCCACACTGTCGTTTCTGCAGACATGGACGAGTGATCGCGTACTGAACTATTGAAAGGATGATTCCCAGTCAAACATCAGGTAATGCGTGGTTATATCCACCGATCGAACCATTACTTTGATTCCTGCTGACGTGAACATCGAACCGATATGCTGCATCTGTAGCCTCGCTCGATGAAAGACGCCTATGAACCAATGCACTTATAATATAGCAAAAAATGTACCATATCTTTCAGCGTTGTCTATTTTCATTTATCGGTGTCGCATCTATTCTAAATTTTGGGCAACGTCGTATTCATGTTTTATATGTCGCATGCCACTCTTCTATCACGTGAACACATCCGTCAGCCCACTTATCAGTGTCGCATCTTCGCAGCCTTTTTCGTCAGCATATGGCACGGTAAGTGTTCGCTCTAGGTGGATCTCCTCTGGTTGGTTCTTTCTATTTTGCCGGGATTCGTTCAATGGATCATCCTCGTGGCGAGGAGGATCAGGTATGATATCCTGAAGGGCTCCACATGGATCAAATGCAGTCAAAACCATATCGATCGCAATGCTCAATCCAGCGGATCCAAGTTTGAAAAGGTTGGATGAGGTAATCATCGTCTCAGCGTCTTCATTTCTTCTGGACGATTCTCGTTGCTTCCTTCGTCGGCGGTAACTTCGATTGGGTCGTTCTGGTGGGGAATCTTGTTGCGTTCTTTCCGTGTATCGCTCGTCTCGGACATCTTCATCAGTGAGGTATTCTCTACTCTCATAGAATGCAGCAAGGCGTCCCTTCCGAAAGGTCTGCGGTTTATACTTCATGGTCTGTTCACACGTTATCAATCCGTTGTTTTTCTGGGAAATGTGGGCCACTCGAAATGGCGAATGAACGTTTTTAACGTTTGAGAATTCGTCCGGTCAGGCACAATTATGTCAGCTTTGAAACTCCCACGTCGGCTGTGCGCACCGGAGTTTCACAGAAGCGCAACTTACTGTACAGTACATTTTTTTAAACCTCGTCTGTGAGAAAGCCGTCAATCGATCGAAGTCTACCATATAAAAAGACTTGAAAAATGTATATTTTCAAATCTCCAAGTTCAAACATGCGGGTTGACCCAGGGAGTGCACAGTATCTGGAACAAGGCATGCCCTGAACATAACGTGCACTTGATATTGGACGAGCGATCCTATAGTATCACTTGTTTAACAAAGAAATCTTGGCACGTCTGATGGATCTTGGTTCAACAGTATGATCGATGAAACCCACTTCTCGAAGGATTCAAACATGCCACCAAATCTATCTTCTCCTCTCAAACATTCATAAAATTCTCAGAACAACAACACCAGCAACAACAACAACAAAAACGAAAACAATCCATTCAACATGAATCCAAACACTGGCAATCCAGGCAACTTTCTATACATCCAGGTGCTCGGTATGGTCAACGCTATGAAAACGGGCAATCCACAAGTAGACATGCTGATTGCCATGGCGCTCCCGTACCTCATTAGCATGCTGACGAACGATTTACAACGATGGATAAAGAAACTCTCTGTGAAGAAGGTCAAACTGGGTACACCCGAGTATGAGCGTAGCATCACTCATCGATCCACACTAACATCTGGGGGCTCTCATGTTGGTATGTCATATTTTTTGTTTTTCTGACTGTGAGATGGCATCTTTCGTATCCCTCAATTGAGACTTGCCCTAACTGCTTAAATATACCCTGTCATACCTGTAGACATTGACCAAGACAACTACAACTTGTGCCTGATCAAAGCTATCCAACTGTATGTTCATGCCAACTGCAAACCAGAGCTTCGTGAAGCCGAAATGCACCTCACTATGCTAGACAACAAAAACAAAAACAACAATAATAACAGACGCCGTGCCGAAATGTCCACTTCTGCCTTGCTCAAGTCCTTCAGCATGGTCGAGCGCCCAATGTCCAAGCAATGGTTAGACATCGGAAGCTTTGAAGACACACCTATTAAATTCTATGTGGAAGACACTCTAAGCAAGGGCGGGAGCAAGGGCAAGGAAGATGGTGGTGGTGATGGAGGAAACGCCAAGATTCGAGACATCACAATTCGAGTCAAGTCCAATTCCAAAGAAGCTATTAACTCCTTTCTCAAGATTGCCTTCGACTGGTATGTGGACCAACTTCAAAACGTAGAAAATACCGATCGCTTTCTCTTTGACTTGGAGGACTATAACAGTCGAAACGGAGGTGTCCCTAATTTCCGTCGCTACAAGCTAGGCGATGACAAGACCTTTGAAAGTCTCTTCAGCCGGCAATGTCATGACCTCTTGACAATCGTGGATCAGTTCGAGTCCAAATCTGGCAAGTACCGCATCAAGGGATACCCACACAAGTTGGGGCTTCTGTTGACTGGTCCTCCTGGTACAGGAAAGACCAGTCTGATCAAAGCATTGGCGCACTACACTGGGCGTCACATTGTGAATGTCCCATTGTCTCGCATTTCAACGAATGCATCCTTGATGAGTCTACTGTTCAACAAGCGCTACATGACTAACGACAGTGGTGCCTATTCGTCCTTGGACTTTAATCGAATCATCTACGTCTTTGAGGATGTCGATGCATCTAGTGATGTTGTCAAGTCCCGCAAATTGATTGCTGAGGAGCGTGCGAATGCAGCAGAGGAAGCACGCAAACGCGCCGCAATGTTCCGTGGCGATGCAGAAGTTGGTACTAACACTAATACCAAACCTGTAGGCGCTGCGCTAGGTCCACCAGTGAGATCCAGCTGCGTGAATGGCGGTGACTCGTTAAACTTAATGGGACTGCTGAATGCACTTGATGGTGTCGTGGACACACCTGGTCGTATTGTGATCATGACTACAAACCACCCCGAGATTTTGGATGGAGCATTGATCCGTCCTGGCCGTATTGACAAGCGCTTGGATCTAGGCTACATGATTGGTCAGGATATGATTGATATGATCGAGCACTATTTTGAGATTGAGGGAGGACTGGATGTCGAGATGAAGAAGCGAATTGAAGACTTGATTGAGAAGGGTCTGGAAATGACAGCAGCTGAGCTTGAGTACCTGGCAATCGAACATGAGACCGTGGATGAACTGGTAAAATCACTGGAGAAGCGTGACTTGGACGGGACCGACCGCACAGTGAGCTCAGACAGCTCCTCTTGCAATTCAGATTCAGGGAAAGCCTCGAAGGAGTAAGAAAGCCAGTCGTGCCATTAGAGCTCTGTAAAATTTAAAAATCTCTTGGTACAACAACTCTGTATTTGGTCGGTATAAAAACGAAAAGTAGACTTTAGAACAAACTCTGTATTTGGTCGGTATAAAATCGAAAAGTAGACTTTAGAACAAACGCTGGAATAAGTCCCATGACGCTATGATATGATAAGCTATGGTGGTATTTCTATCCTTTGCTTTTACATCAACTCATTGGGCAGTTCTCCTTTACTGAATTCATCAGGCATGCATACTGTACAATCATTGCAATTATTACACATCCTGATACTCACGAGGGCTCCCTCAGAAAGGGCAGTATGTTGCCAATGATAATATCAGCACCACAATTCACCCGAGCGAATTCGCGATCGTCAAGCTTCACCCTTTTTGGTTGACAGACATCCAATATGTCCCCGGCGGGTCCTTCGTCGATCTCATTTTCTAGTAGTTTGCAAGACCAGATCCTTAACTCCAACGAGGAGAGTATTTCCATTAGTTCATGTCGCTCCAAGATGTGACAAATCGCATCAACACCGCGGCTCTTTTCTAGTGTCATGTTTTCTTCTTTTGCAAAGAAAAGCTCGCGAGCCTTTGAAATGACAGCTACCCTCCAGTCTGGCAATTCTAACTTGTGTGCACGGTACATCACTGTAGCTTCGAAAAGATACTCTACCAGCCTCTTTCGTTCGCTCATTGGAACACTCGAATTCGCGTATATGTACTGAATTGGACGGATCCCCCACCTATCCGGAACATCCATTGGCCATCTATTATTAGGACTACTGTAACTTTGTAGTATCCTGAATAGCCCAATCTCTGGTCTTGACGACAGTGCCAAGACGTGAAAAGCTGTCATACCAGCTGCATCCACTCTCAGTAGTATTGCATCAGATGAAGCTTCTGAATTCAGTAAGGCAGGCAACTTGACGAGTGCTTCCTTTTGTGGTAAATATGACTGCTTATAACAGAAATCATGGATCGGATATCGGCTGTATCGTCGTTTGGTGGCAGTGTAGTATGTATTGAGAGTATTGTGGGCTAGATCTGGTAGGAACATCTCCTCGAGTCGTCCGCATCTACTGAAGCAAGTTGCGGAAATTTCAATTGGGGATGATGATACTACTGCGTTGGTCAAAATGTATCATTGGGCAAACGCAGATGCGTCAATGCTTCGTAATCCAGTTGATGGGAACTCAACTGATAGTAAACTGGGGCAATTTCCAAAAGCATGTGAATTGATACCCTGGACTGAGGTTGGCAAGTGAATCACTGTCAACGAAGCACAGTTTAAAAAAGCACCTCGGCCAATGAAAAATCAAGCGCCTGTGCCAAAGTCAACACATTCTAAGAGCAAGCAGCTGGAAAACGCTGAAGTTGCGATGCAACTGACAGTCAAAGGAAACTTGATTTTCTTCAGATTACGACACAATGAAAAGGCTTCAAATGCAACGACTTGAAGACCTTAATTGAACTCAATGGATTCCAATCCACAATTGTGAAATGCTTTTTCCTCGATTCGCTGCAAAGATTTTGGAAAGGCAATTGTTTTCAAAGACTGGCACAACGGAATGCCTTTTTGCCAATGGTTTGGATACCCTCACAAAATGTCACGTTCTGCAGTGCATGGCAATCTGAAAAGGCCGCAACAGGTACATAACGAGTTGGTCGACCAAATACAAGATATATCAGGTCATCGAGCTGTGGATTCCGAACGTCCCTTCTGTGGCGATATACCAGTGCCTGAATACTGATATCTTCTTGATCATTTTCACCTTCTTCGGAATTCATCAGAGCTTCCTATTCATCGGTGCTATCAAGTTCATCTACGGTCGAACCATCTCCGAAGTGACTTTGTTTCTCCTCCTCGCTATCGTCGGAATGGTCGTCCATGTTGAGTCGTTCTACCAACACTTTGGAGGTGTACACTTTTGGAATACGATCATATACGTCGCCAACACCGTTTTAAAGATATACTGTCTGATTTGATGCGTGGATTTTTTTCACCTTTGTGTCTCATTGATGTCTCAATATAAATTTGATGCCGGGTCACTTTTTTCCTCCACTCAATTTCAACAGTAACATCTCGAAACGTGCCAATACTGGTAAAGATTTGATCCCAAACACCGATACAATTTATTGATCAGCAACAACATCAAACATGATTTCAAACAACAGTAGCCCAGAAAATTTTATATTTATCCAAATGCTGGGTATGGTCAATGCCATGAAAACAGGCAATCCACAAGTGGATATGCTCATTGCAATGGCGTTGCCATATCTACTGAATATGCTACGAAGCGATTTACTACGATGGATCAAGAAGTTAGTTGCCAAGGAGGTAATAATCGTCAAAGCTGACTTTGAACGTAACATCACTCATCGATCAACTGTCACTGCGGGTGGCGTCCATGTTGGTATGTGAATGGTCGCTTGTTGTCAGCAAACGGTTTTTTCTTGTGTCTAATCCATCCTTTCTTGTCGAATACAGATATTGACGAAGAAAACTACAACTTATGCCTGATCAAGGCTCTTCAGCTTTATGTGTATTCTAATTGTAAGCCTGACCTGAAACAAGCTGAAATGAATCTGACGTTACTTGGTGGCAACAGCAGCCAACAACGGCGAAATGATATGTCCACGTCTGACTTGCTCAAATCCTTCAGTATGGTAGAGCGGCCACTGTCCAAACAGTGGTTGGATGTTGGTACATTCGCTGATTCACCTGTAAAGCTCTTTATGGAAGATTCCTTGAGCAATGGTAAGGAGGATGGTGGCAATAACGGCGGGACTGGAAGTATCCGTGACATGACCATCCAAGTCAAGTCACCTTCTAAGCAATCCATCAATGCCTTTCTGCAGGTTGCTTTCGATTGGTATACAGATCAGCTGAAAAGCATGGAAAACACCGACCGATTCTTGTTCGAGTTGGAGAGCTGCTCCAGCCGAGGCCGAGAAATTCCTAATTTCCGTCGCTACAAGCTAGGAGATGACAAGACCTTTGAAAGTCTCTTCAGCCGACAATGTCATGACCTCTTGACAATCGTGGATCAATTCGAGTCCAAATCTGGCAAGTACCGTATCAAAGGATACCCACACAAGCTGGGGCTTTTGTTGACCGGCCCTCCTGGTACAGGAAAGACCAGTCTGATCAAGGCTCTGGCCCACTATACGGACCGTCACATTGTGAATGTCCTATTGTCTCGCATTTCAACGAATGCATCCTTGATGAATTTAATGTTCAACAAGAAATACATTACCAACGACAGTGGTGCCCACTCATCTTTGGACTTTAATCGAATCATCTACGTCTTTGAAGATGTCGATGCATCTAGTGATGTTGTCAAGTCCCGCAAGCTGATTGCTGAGGAGAGCGCGGAGGCAGGTCCTGTTGAGGTCGTTGAAGCATCCGCAGCAAAGGCCAGTAAGGATGACAATAAGGCCAGAAAGCGTGCTCAAATGAGAGAGAAAATGATAGCCAAAATGCGGGCAGACGCCGATGGAGAGGACAAGCTGGACTTGACAGGATTGCTAAACGCACTTGATGGCGTCGTCGATACACCCGGTCGCATTGTGATCATGACGTCCAATCACCCGGAGATCTTGGACGAGGCCTTGGTCCGACCTGGCCGTATTGACAAGCGCCTGAATCTTGGATACATGATTGCTCAGGACATGGTCGAGATGCTCGAGCATTACTTTGAGTGCAAGGTAGACTCGAAAGCAGAAATACGTATCAGAGCATTGATCCAGAATGGTATGGACATGACAGCCGCTGAATTGGAACAGCTGGCAATCGAGCATGAGACTACCGAGGAACTGATTGCATCTTTGGAAAAACGTGAATGACAGATGATTTAGCTCACGGTTCAAATACGACGTCGACACCAGACATTTCACCATTGTCCGAGTATGATGGTTCCCAATAAACAGAACACTTGAGCGGTGACATGATCGGTAGCCAGTGAGAGTTCGATGACATGTTTGACAGTGACGGTGACCATTGAAGAACCTTTCTTATCAAACCTGCCAGGCACTTTTATGAGTAGCCCCCATTCTCAAAAGAGTACTGTATATATAGATGGATCAAGGGGAAGGAAGAATGACGTCATTTTTCACAATTTTACTGCCGCCATCATACTTTCACAAAATAGTAGACACTTTTTCATTCACATCCGGACACTTCTTCAACAGAAGTAGTGAATGATAGTAGTAGCTGTTGATGTATTCAAAGTAAAGCGTGACACGCTTTTTCATTTGCAGCCGAATACTTCTTCCGTAGAAGTATAGCAATAGCAGCAGAAGGAGTGATTGCAGTCAATGAGACATTGATAGTCCCTAGCTAGCTAGCTAGCTAGCGTGCTACACTACGCTACTAAGCAACATTATGCAGTCCATCCTTGGTAATGGAATGTTTCGGTCTTGTTCCTTGATCTCCTCCTTTGATCCAGGTCGTACAAGTAACGGACCAATCGCGTGATTTTGCATCATACACAAGTTGAGTATCGTATCCCCCATTCATTCCTGGAATGGCATAATATTGTCCCTTGGTGGGAGCATCGTCCCTCTTGGCCAAGTCGACCAAGTTGGGTAAGGATGCTTGCTGTGGTTGAGAACCTGTCACTTGTTGAACCTCGTGTCGAATCAAGGCATGAAAATTGCCTTGTATAATGTTTAGTTGGGCAATGTCACTTTTACCGAGTGGAGACGGCGACGAGCCTCCATGGTGCACAAAGACCGCGGCATGGTACCCAGGCGCAGTCGTGGCTGGAGGTGAAGAAGATGCAGCGGGGTTGTAACCAGGCGCAGTAGCAGGCGGTGGTGCTCCAACTGGTGGCGGGAGTATGTTCCAACTGGAAAGATCTGCGCCAAATGCTGTCGAGGAGGGTGCCGATGGTGCAGTAGTAGCAGCAGCAGCAGCAGCTGGGTTGTACCCAGGCGCAGTCGCTGGAGGAGGACCACCACCAGCAGCAGCAGCAGCAGAAGGTGCCGTAGCAGGTGGTGCGGAAGCCGCAAAGGTCGCAACTGGTTGTACAGGTGCACGTGATGATGATGATGATGGTGGTGATAGTGGTGGTGGTGATAGTGATGGTGACGCATGCTGCCCTTGAAAGGGCTGCAAGGTGGGAACCATGACATACGACATTTCGGTTGGTCTCATGCCCAGATCTTGTGTCATGATGGATTGCAAGATCCCAAAGTCCTTGACATCAAACGCATAGACATAAATATGCTTGAGGCTCATGGCCGGAAAGGATTGCATGGTTTGCAATCCAATCTTGATGACTTCTTTCAAATCGCGACTTGCCCGAAAGGCACCACTCGAAAGAAGTGGAAAGGCAATGGCTTCCAGTTGCAACTGTTCCGCCACCTCGAGAGACGATCGATAGGCCGACTGCACGATATCATCTCCCTGTTGCGGATGGGAACACAATCGATAATCGGCTCCCACGGCATGAATGACATAGGGGACTTTTAGACTCCCATAGTTTCCCGGGCCAGTGGCACGGGCTTCTCCTTTGGGACATCGAACTTCGTTTCGCGTGTTGGGATTCCGCAATATGGGCAAGGCCTTGCGATCTTGTCGTAGCTGAGGACCTCCAGCCTTGTTAATGGCGGAATCCAGCCCGCCACCGCCAAGGCACACTTGGTTGGCCGCATTGACAATGGCCGACGCTTGCGGGTTTCGTTCATGGAAAAATTCCAAGATGGATCCGTGACGAATGGTCAATTGAACGGAAGAAGGAGAAGAAGACATGGTAATGATACTGCTTTGTATGTGGCTTGTGATGTTATTTTGGGTATTATTGATGATACTGCTGTCTTT